ATCGTCGTCGATCGCGGCCCAACGGGTGTGAATGCCCGTACGTGCCAGAAACGAATAACGAAGCCGCGGACGGCCCGCGATCAAATCCCCCTGTCCTCCCCCTCCTCCCCTCCTCGATACACAGCAAGATGTACGCTACTCACGTACGAATCCTTTACCTTGTACCCGATTTGCGAGCGAGCGAGTCGGCCGCGAGTTTCATCGCTCCGCTTTGACCGCTTGATTTCCACGCGGTTCGTGAATCACGTTACGCGACAGCCTACATCGACGACGACGATGTATCAGTCCGCGCTTCGTTTCCTCCTTCTTCTTTTCCCGTCGCACTAGGCGAAGCTAACTCGACCAACGAGGCGGTGTTAGAGACCGACGTTGGAAATAGATTCTCAACGGCGGGCGGAGAATCTCAGCGAATTCGTTTAGTTACGCGCGACGCCGGGTGGCCGCGGAGGAAGCACGCGGAAGCGCCTCAGCATCCTCTTCCACGAACATCGAGGAATTCGTATACAACCGGTGAAAGTGCGGAGGTACCCACTCCGCACGTAAAGACGTGCGTTTCCCCGTGATAATAGCGTGATATTAGCGACGGCGTGGAAGGAAATTCCATATTTCGCGACTCGATCGACTCGTTCGCTTCGTGGCGTTCGATTTTGCACGTTTCGTCTCCCCCCTCTCTCTCTCTCCCCCCCCCTCTCTCTCTTTCTCTCTCTCTCTCTCTCTCGCTCTCCTGTCTCATTGCCGTGATAATCAGCAATCGCGATCGAACTCGGTGCCTTTGAGTCGGGCATGGAGCGAGGAGAGAAGGTAGAAGAGGAGGAGGGGAGAGACGAGACAGAGACCGTTTTTACAAAGTGCGACAAACCGAATGCGCTCAATTATCATTCCGAGCGGGCGCTATCGTATACGTAATTAACTCGAAAGTGAGCACTCGCCTCGCGGTTTTTGCATGCGTGGAAACGAGCTCGACCGATTATTATCGGCCATTGATATCGCACGGAACTCGACTCGCGAAACCGCGCGCTCGCGCACGCCTTCTCTCTCTGGCCTTACTTAATCCCGGCATAGATACAGCGTGCAGTATGCGCAATGGAATGCAGTCTCTCAAAGTGGGCTGCTCTTGGCTATCGGCGTGCATCGTGGAATCCGGCTACCTGGTGAAAGTACAACTACCTTGACGGCGCTCTACGCGCGCGCTCTCTCGAGCGAGCGTTCCGCGCGCGCGCGCAGATATCTGTGTGTGCGCATTTATATATATATATATATATATATAATATGTGTGCCGAGCACGAGGTGAGACTCTGTCGGGCTACAGCTTGGTACGAAGTGTCAACGTACTCTATTGTGTCATCCGTCACAGACGCGTGAGATAACGCATCGTATTACTGGCCACGATGCTTCTCGCCACGCATCTATCTATCTATCGATCTATCATCAGCGCGTAAACCCTCTTCGATACTCTCGGCACTCTTCCGAGAACTCCCGGCTCCGAGTGATACTCGATCCGGATCCTCGTGCGATCGAGTTGTCCGCCGAATTCATTGCAGATTTTTACCTCAGACCTTGCTCGAGAGGAATTCCTTCGCAAGCTCCTCTTCTCTCTCCCCCGAGGAGATCCGCGCGCGCGCGCATACGCGCTTCACCATTACCTTGTCTCATTCTTTTCTCCAGTCATCCGCCCTTTCGCGCGCACGTGCGCTCCGGCGACGTGTGTAGCCTAATTAACGACGCGCGATTATCTCTCGCGGCGTCCACCGCGAGTATATCCGTCAATTTATCGGCGTCTACTTGCTACGAGGACTCTCCTTCTCCTCCCTCCCTCCCCCCCTCCCCTCTTCCTCTCTTTCTCAAAAACGTACACACATGCGTATCGACGCCTACTATCGCGTACACGTACACACGCATCACAGACGCGCGCTCATACATGTACGCACATTGCATACCCATTGCGCACTGGTCCTGATATACACGCGCGCACTTATACGGCTGGCAAGGCGTAATCGGGTATAACTCCTCCGGATACTTTACACGACGCGCACCACGGGCTGCCCATTACGCGCGGACTTATGCAACCAACTCGTTTGTACGTATGTACGACCCTTAGTTATCTCTACGCATTCCAGCCTGATAAGTGTAGACCTCGGCTCGTACTCGATCGTCTCGTCGATCGCCGAGAGCTTGCCGTTACCCTGCTCGCGTCCGCTTCATGAGATGCTGAGCATTTTCAGAAATTCCTTCTTTCGTCGCTCTCGCCGTCTTCCTGACTTGACCGATCTCGGCTTGCGCGAAATCTCGCGGACGAGGTATTCACAATTCTCCTTCGGTTCGATTAAATTTGTTCGATGAAATTGAGTGATGAAGAAGATCAGTCTGTTGAAACAGATTTGTTGTAATTTCTTAACCGACCTCGTCTTGGGCGAAATCTCACGGACGAGATATTCACAATTCTCCTTCGGTTCGATTAAATCTGTTCGATAAAATTGGGTGATGAAGAAGATCAGTCTGTTGAAACAGATTTGTTGTAATTTCTTCCAACACTCTGGGTCAGGGGAAGAAGAAAGAAAGAGTCTCGCGACACTTTTTAGCCGCGGACGGGCTGTCGGGGAAGACGCGCGCTCAGCGCGTCGAGACGATTCAAGCAAAATGCGATCATCTAGAACTCATCATCGTTTCGCCCCTCTGCCCCACGTTGGTCCCGGCTTAGAGATTGGTTCGGGCTTCGGCAAGCGGATTGGACGATGCCGGTTAAGCTCTCATCGCGCGAGGAGCCGGTCGAGGCGAAACCGAACGAGAGTGGGCTCGTACGGCTGCGTAGCTCGGGAGCTCGCCATTATATTCGCATTATAATCCCATCAGGGGATTCCTCCGCTTAGCCGGACAGCTACGAAAATACGAAGCGCATGCCCTGCCCTATCTGGCCGGGCCCGGGCCCGGGCTTCAGCCTGACTTAGAAACGAAAAAAGACGTCGACACAATGGAATCGCGCGTTTTGGCTCTCGCGGGCCTTTGAAAATGCCTCGGCTCGAGCTCTCGGCGAATTCTCGCAGCCCTTCGACACATGGAATTTGCACGCTACTCGACCGCCTGCGTTTCCCTTGTCATTGCTTACGCGCGTCGTTGCCTGGTGAAAGCCACCGGCCACGATAACCTACTCTGATGCACGCCACGGCGAGTAGTCGCAGCTATTGGCAACCCTTGCGAAAGGTGGAATCCCAGTTACGCACTGACAAGCGAGCCGGAGCACGTTGTTACGTATGCGCACGCACACGCACAAAATCAGCCTCTCGAGAGCGGCCGATCGAACTTCAGCTTGTACTCCACTCGTCGCAAAAAACAGATGGCCTAAACGCGGGTCTCGCGAAACGACCGATCCACCTTATGGCTACCTTTCGCTTGCAGCAATATTTGGCAACAGGGTTGAATTTTGCACTTGCTACTTTGATCCCAATATTGCTGTTACAGCGATCGCTTTTAACCGAGAGGAAATAATGATATTGCTGCAAATTCTTCATTGGAATTTGCGCCAAATTTTCTTGTGCAACTAATCATACCAAAGATGAATATGTATATGTGTGTGTGTGTGTGTGTGTGTGTGTGTGTGTGTGTGTGTGTGTGTGTGTGTGTGTGTGTGTATGTATATACCTGCGGTATATATGTGTCGGTTTACTTCCGTCGGGCACACGCGGCACGCGGCACGCGGTCGAGATGCGAGAGGGAGAAAGAGGGAGAGAAAGAGAGACAGAGAAAACCAGAAGAAGCAGGGATATGGAGGACGCGGAGGAAAGGTCGGAAGAAGTGTAGGCTGAAGAGAGGAAGGTAAAGGGAGACGCTCGATGATTAGAGCGAGGAAAAAGCAGACGAAGAGAAGAGGAAGAGAACGATACGCGGACGACTCCCCGCGCAGCTGCTTCCAGTTTCGCCTTCCTTTTTCTTCCTCTCGAATCCTTTTCCCTCCCTTCCCTCCCCCTTCTCTCTCTCTCTCTCTCTCTCTCCCTCTCTCTCTCTCTCTCTCTCTCTCTCTCTCTCTCTCTGTCTGTCTGTCTGTCTGTCTGTCTGTCTCTTTTCCTCTTTTCTCTTGGCCGTTGCTCGCTCTCCTTTTCTCACTCTGAGTTCCATCTTCTTTGACTCCTTCTCTCTCGCTTTCTATCTCGTTTCTTTTATATCGCTCTCGTTTACTCCTTCCCCTTCTCGTTCTCTCTCTTCCTCCCCCCTTCTCTTTCTCTCTTCTCCCTCCAAGTTGCCTTGCCCCTGCTCTTCTCGTCTCATTTTCTCTCTCGCTTCCTCCTTCTGTACGGCCGATTCTTCGTATTATACCAGGTTACGGCGTGGAATGCGGGCGTCCTTCGTCCGCTTCGAGCAGCGTCCAACCGATGAGCCCCGCTAGCGTTATCCTTCGCCGGTCCTTCGCATGCGCTCCTTAGGGCTCGGTAAAATTAACCTGAAATACTTGCTCGAGAAATGCCCGTCTCGCTCTCCTCTTCGCTCTCCTCGCTTTCGTAAAACCCGCTGATGCGCTCGACGCGCTCTCTCGGATTTACGGCTAATGAAATTAGCGCGACTTATTTGAGCACAGCGATCAGAGCGACGTCGGGTTTGGGTAAACGTTTGGATATGCTACTGCATCAAAAATCGCAGTCTTTTTTTCTAATAACCGACAAAATATATTATACAAATATCTATGTGCGTATACGAGTTTTTGAGGGAAAAACTCGAAAAATGTCACGTCTTGCGTGATGACAGTGCGGTACTCGCACATCGCGAGAAATAACACGACGTCATCTTGTCTTCTTCTACATTGTCGTTTCTCCATATGTTATTAATAATAATAATAATAATATTATTTGTGCGAATCGCACTCCTCCGGTAAAACTAAAATTTGCTGGAAGAGAATTCCAACACAAGAGTACACTTCTTGCAAAATTTGTGGAACAACACGAGATTACAAGACACGATTATTGCACAGCCAATTGTGACGATTACAATCTCTTTTTCTCTACGTGTTGCAGGCGCACCCGTGAAGTCGCAGGCGGAGGATTCAGGAGACGAGGGAATCTAGGTGAGTTTTCTTTCGCCCGATCGATATTCGACTCGAACATCTAAGATTACGGCGCGGCGGGGAGGTATGCGTGTGTCCGCATCGCGTGTGTTCCGTTGTTTCTGCCTAAGCCGCCATCGCGTCTTGGGTATGTGTCGGGGGAAAGATTTGTTTCGCGACGGAGGAATGCACGGCATTATAATGAGAACGCGTGTTGCGGCGATGCGATACCGCAACTCGGTAATTTCCTTTAATTGCCGGGAACGTTAGGCGAGTCACATCCGCAATCATACTGCTGCGTCGTCTTGTGCCGTCGCGAGCTCGCGAGTACGTCGCCAGAGAGAACCGAATGGGATTTTTTCGTCCGTCCCTCTCTTTCTCAGCTCGCGATCTTGATTGAAGAGCGGTGTTCGTACGGATATACGGACACGACGCGAAAATACAAATACGTTATTATTACGTGGTAGAAATAATATTCACGCCGAATGCGCGGGATGCCGAAGCTACGCACGTCGCCGACGGTGCTCGAGTAACGTTTCGGGTTACTTCAGGTTTGGCCGCCGAAGAATTCGCTATTGAGCCTAGCCGGCTGTCGTGTCACGTGTGTCTCATCGAGTTGTTCCTCGATCCTTGGCGATTTCAACGTTGCCGCGATGTCTCCGCGGATCACGTTAATCGCGTGAGCACATCTCGGTTATACAGTCGAGAAAAGAACGTCGGAAGTCGCTCCGACGACGTAAAGACGACGACGACGACGACGTTACTTTTACTTCATATTGACTCGCGCTATAATCGCCAAACGTGATTACAGCGTGGATCGATCTTAATTTAAACCGAGCAATAAAAATGAGCGATGCATTTCTGCCCGCAACGAGAGGCGCGCGAAACCGGTAGCCATTTCGTTCGCGGCGGCGAACGACGTAATTATTTTCTCATTCCCGTTGTTCGTCCGAGTGCGCGCGCCTTCTTCTTCTTCTTCGTCTTCGTCTTCGTCTTCTTCTTCTTCGTCTCTTCCTCCTTCTCTTTCTCCTCCTTCTTCGTCGATCACGACAAGAGCGTGTTTCTAATCCACACCGAAGCGCGTACTTACGACAGCTTACGGCTGCACGATGAAAGAAAAAGACGCGACTGAAAGGAAGCTGAAAAAGAGAAAAATGAAATGGGCTCGCTTACGAGCGGTAGTCCGTGAGCGAAAATTTCTCGCTTTATTGCGGAAAGTGGCGAACACACCACCGATTTACAAGCGCGCGCACCGAATGCCTATCAGCGAATACTGCGAGGGGAAACGGAGAAATAAGGGGAAAAAAATAATCCGGCTTTCACGAGGATCGCACACCGCAAACGCTCCGCTTCATCGTATATACGGAGCGTCTCGGGCAGAAAAAGAGAAAGAGAACTGCGTCGTTATATTTCTACGTTCCTTCTACGAATTCCTCCGTGCGTTCCTTCTACATTCCTTCCACGGATTCTTTCGATCGGTTACAGTCGAATCCCGCCTCCCTAACGGAAGTTCTCTCGTGTGTGTCGCTGCCTCCTGTATTTTTTACCTCCGAATTTTTCACTCCGGACGTTGCTGGTTTTTTAGCCTCGCGCGCGATCTCCGGCTCTACAATTAATATTCGCAGGAGTAACGCGAGTCGAGCGATAGCTCGAACGCGCACGGTATTACAGACCGAGAACGCAATGTGACATTCCAGCGAGAAATCCAAGATAGACTCGAGTTACGGCTGCCGAATTTGAACATTGAAAAATGTGAACAGACTCGCAGAGAGAAAGAAAAAAACTGGTCACAGAGTTTGTAAAAATGTATTTTCGGAAGGATATACCATATAAGAAATATTTGGAATTACTAGTTAAATAGCTGTGCGTGCGTGTGCGTGCGTGCGTGCGTGCGTGCGTGCGTGCGTGCGTGCGTGTGTGTGTGTGTGTGTGTGTGTGTGTGTGTGTGTGTGTGTGTGTGTGTGTGTGTGTGTGTGTGTGTGTGTGTGTACGACGGTAAAATCTGGGCGTCTGGCGGGTCCAGGTCGAGTAGATAAAAAAAAATTGAGTCTCGTCGGGCCTTCCCGTCGTTGTCGGGCATTATCGTTGTGACGACGAAACGTCAAACGTAACAAAGCTCGCGCCGACCGGAACGAAGCGGGACGGATTCCGAGGGAGAATTCCGAGGAGCGGTCAGAGTCGCGCGCGAGCTTTGTTACGTTTATAGGTTTGCGTTTTCGAAGTTACTTATTTCGGCTATGGTGCGCGGCACTTTATTCCCTTACGTAAGACCTGCATGACGCGGGTCGTTGCTTGCGTCCGCTCTGTATGTCACCGTATGCCGCGCTCGCGCGCGTCGCGGATGCGCGCGCGAGCGCGCGAGAGAGCGCGTACACGCGCGCCCACACACACACACACACACACACACACACACACACACACACACACACACACACACACACACACACACACACACACACACACACACACACACACACACACACACAGACACACACACAATACACGCACACAGACGGGGGACACCAGTCCGACGGCATTCCATCGTGATTTGCGAACGTTTCGGTAAACGTGTACAGCGCGCCCGTGGTCCGTGGTGTTTACGTCTGTACGTCGTGCTGGCATTCCGCCGCACGACTCACGGTGTATGAAAATCGGTTCTCGCTTCTAGGAAGAGCGAAATTAGAGACGGATTCGCGGAGAGGCGCGGAATCGAGCGCGTCGCGCTCGAATCTCTCTCTCTCTCTCTCTCTTCTTCTCGTCCCTTACGAATAAAATGAATATTACGGAGTAACGAACAATCGTCATCTCGCCTTACGCCCGCCAACTCCTTCGACTCCGACCTGACCGAGGGGCCAGGTCCGCTCGATTTCGTTCGTTTACGCACGTCGAAACTTGCCGGCGTTAGTGCTCCGGACGCTGCCGCTATAGCCGACGTCCACGTGCGCATTCGAACGCGCGCGCGCGCGGAGAAGTGCGAACGCGAGTAAATGCGCGCGTTCAATGCGCGTTCTTACGACGACAGGTTTCATCGAGCGCGTTCGTGCTGCAAAACTCATCGGTTTCTCCTCGTCCTCCTTGCTTCGCCCGCTTCGCCACGATCGGACTCAGTAAAACAGGATCGATCTCGCTCGGATCTTCCTTGAAAATCCATCTGGCGATCCAGCTGGCCGCCCATCCGACGGCCACGGCAACGAGGAATCCCAATGGGCAGTACCACATGTAAGAGATGCGATAGAGGTAGAAGTAGGAGCCGTTCTCCTGCGACCTGCAATCGAGGCCGGCATTAGTTCGGACCCGTTAAATGCGTAACGCGCACGAAAATAAAGGACGAGCTGGATTAACGTGACTGCGAATGATCAGCCAGACAGAGAGCTTCGCGCTCGAGGGAAACACACAATTTCCGACCCTCGTGAGCCAGATTCGGTTCGGAGAAGCAGGAATTCCCTCCGAAAGCCTCCAGAGGCCGTTCATTGTCACGTTAATCCGAGCGATTTTTCTCTCTCCCCCTTGTGCGTGATGTGCACAAGGAGGAGTGTGCGCGGGTAGATCCGAGAGAGATACCCGTGGCGAATCTGCTCTCACCGGTCGTCGTAGCTCGCCGAGCTCGCATAAATAAACGATCCGCCGTCATTTCCGTGATACGTAATAACGGTGTCGTTGGATCCGCAGCCGTCGGTCGAAACACTCAGCCGCGGGATTGGCGGTTTCGGCTGGCCGAATCCGATCCATGAGGAAAATGCGAGGCTGAGAACGAAGCCCGTGATCGCGCCCCTCTGGTTGCACGACGGGACGAACATGCCGAGCGTGTACAAACCCAGCATAGGTCCGCCGACGACACCGAAGATTGTCAGGGCTGCCTGCAGACAGCAGACAAAGAGGAGGTGGAGGAGGAGGAGGAGGAGGAGGAGAGAACGTTTGATCATTGTGCGATGCGGCGTCGAGCGAAAAATGCCCATACCTGCAAAAGCCCGCCGAGAAATCGCGTCAGGAAAGCGATCGTCAGACACGTCAGCCCGACCACAAGAGCCAGAACTTTGCTGAGTATTACGGACATTCTTGCGGATAGCTCCTTCCTTCTGCAATCGACATTTACTTATGCTTTATCTTGTCGAGTACACGCGAGGCCCGGTATAACGGCCCGATCGCATGAGAACGAGGAATGTTCTATTCACTGTTCTATGACTTTCCTTAACCACAACGGTGACACACTCACTTCGTGCTTGAGTAACCTCGCACGTCCATCGGACGTGTATCATCGAAAAATTGACCCGTAATCTATCGATTCGCTTCTTGTGAGTTGCAATCATCGCTCTCTCTCTCTCTCTCTCTCTCTCTCTCTCTCTTCTGGTTTTACTTTCAACATGCTTTTCGTGAAACTACACCTACAGGGTTGAGAGGTTCGTGTTACGCGTTCTGGAATGATGACGATCTCATGTGTCTCGAGACTATCACGCCGACCTGTGCGCTCGCATATATTTTTCTGCGAACGCACCGCCGGATGAGTCCTCGCATCTTTCGCCGCTTGAAACATCATCATACAGTAGCTACGCTACAAGGAGCGAGAGCGAGCGATCTCCGTGACGTATCGATTACCGTCGGACATAACGTCGTCGGACGTATTCCCGATACATCGATATACATTTCGTTGCACGCGAGTCGCGAAAGAATTCGGGCTGCCTTGAAACCGGATTGTTTTCCGGGACGACTCTCTTACACCGCGTGCGCGCACGCATCTTTACGATCCTTCGCGCTTTTACGACTCCTACCTTACACGCCAGAGAGGCTTGATATAATCTTCGAGGATAACAGCGGCGAGGGAATTAACCGTGGCCGAGATGGTGCTGAGTCCGGCACTGAAGATTCCGGCTACGAAGAGCCCAGGCACACCGGGATAGCCCGACAGCGTGTCCATCACGTACAACGGCATCAATTGATCGTTCGAGCTGATCCTGCCCGCCTCGAGCGGATCGCAGCTACGATATTTCGAGTATATCGCCAAGCCGGAGAAGCACAGGGTGAGCGACATGATCGACGCCATCGGCCAGCTCCACCATAGCGCGCGCTGGCCGGCTTTCAGATTTCTAGTAGAAATCGACGAACACAAGGTTACCTTGAGACCCGCGTGCGTTCACCGTCCAAAAAATCGATCGCGCTCTTATGCGGTGGACTCTAATCGCGAGCGTTGACCTTAGCGTTGACAAGTTCGGTATACCCAAGATATTCCGAGAAATCTTCCTCAATGTGATCTCGCACACTCTCTCCGCGCGCGCGTATGTAACGGTAACGGCGTACGGCGCTACAATAATGATTTTTCGGTACGATTGACTCGTGCCCGATCGGAAATTAATCCAGTTCGCTTTACCTGACGGTCAGCAGTCTCTGAATCTGAACTTGATTAACGCCGTATAAGGAGAGGTAAGTGAAGAAACCACCGAGTGTCAGACTCCACCAGGTGTGCCGTACAGTTGGATCCGGGGAGATGCTGCGGACACACGTAAAAAGTTGAGCCAACCGAGTGTCATTTTTACGTTCGTTGACAACTTCATTTCGTCGCTTTCGTCGTAACGTCGCGCGAGCGGGGCGGGAGTCTTGCGGAATAGAGAGAGAGAGAGAGAGAGAGAGAGAGAGAGAGAGAGAGAGAGAGAGAGAGAGAGAGAGAGAGAGAGAGAGAGAGAGAGAGAGAGAGAGAGAGAGAGAGAGAGAGAGAGAGAATGCTCGTTTTGTGTCTTTTCTATCAGAAATGCGATCGAATGAATACTTCGTAGCGAGCTTCTTCTTGAGATGTTGAGACTCTTGAAGAAACTCCTTACGGAATTACTTGATATTCATCGAATAACCGAATATAGTGTTATAGCTCGAAATTCGCGGTTAATCCTTCAAGTTAAAAGAACCTCCGCAAAAAGGGTTGATTTTTTGCCCGTTTTTCGGTCCTCGATTTTGAAATGGAATTTTATGCCAAAAGATAGTCTATGATGAGACATTAATTACAGAAAAGTTTTACGTTGAGCATACGATTGGTTTCAAAGATGTAGAGGGTCAAAGTGGTCACTACCTACTAAGAAAGTATAACACTAATAACGCTTTATCGCACGAATTTTTGCAAAATTCGATATCTATGGGTTCTTTGAGTTGCTGATTATGAATCTGATATCAGATTTTAAATATTCAAGATGACAGGTGCAACATGGCGGACATACATAGTGAAACAATCATTTACTTTTATTGGAACTGTTATATTGTGGTGTTTTTGGCTAGCTGATTGCGAATTTTCTATATATATACTTTCTTAATAGGTAGTGACCACTTTGACTCTCTACATCTTTAAAACCAATCGTATGCTCAACGTAAAACTTTTTGTGATTAATGTTCTTGTCATGAGCTATCATTTCGCATAAAATTTAATTTAAAAATCGGGGACTGGAAAACGGGCACTTTTTGCGGAGGTTCTTTACTTTAGGGATTAACGTGGGACCAACATTCGAACTCGGATGTATCCGTGTCCAATCTTCCAATACCCTTGAAATTATTCCCGGATCAAATTTTTTTATCGAATCTAATTCGATCGCACTAAGCTGAGTCGAAGGAGAGACATAGACGAGTCCAGACAGATATCGATGTCTCTCGGTTGTCTCGTGGACTTCTGCCGGAGAGCGTCGTCGCGGTCAGATCGTTACTTGTCAAATTCTATTCGGGATCCTTCGCGAGCGATCAGCCAGATTTGATCGAAACCGCCAGCGTCGACTGCCGCAGTGGCGATCACTGTGACAACGGCGGCCAGCATCAGCAGACTCTGCAACACATCGGTGATGAGGACCGCTTTAATGCCGCCGATCGTCGAGTAGAAGGTGCACACGAGCCCTATGCCGATCACGCTCGCGCTCGTCGAGATCCCCGTGGTGGCTTCCAGCGCTAACGCGGGTGCATACAACACCACGCCGGTGTAGAGAAGCAGCTGCACCAGAAAGGCCAAGCTGGCCGTTAATCTGGCGGCTGTGCCGAAGCGCCTCTGCAGATACTGCGGAAGGTGGATTTCGGTTTTATCAGACCGAGTCACAATTTCTTTCATTTTTATAGAGACCGAGGCGACGCGCGGCGGCGGCGATGCCCGTGGCCATGATTTTTCCTTTACCTCGAAGGCGCTCGTAGCGTCGAGCTTGTAAAACACCGGCAGGTAAAAATAGGCCGCGAACGGCGTGGCGAGGCCGTAGGAGACGTTGATCACGGCGTATTGCGTGCCGTAAACATAATTCTCCGAGCTCACTCCGAGTAGGCTGACCGCTGATAAATATGAAACCATCAAACCTATCGCCACCGGCGTCACTCGCATCGATTTGTTCGCCACGAAGTACTCCTGCGGAAAGACATTCGGCGAAAGTGACACGCGAGTGTCTACGTGTGTGTGCCTCCTTCACTCAGGACGCGTTAGGTATATATATATATATTTCAAGAATGTTTCCCGCCACATCTCATCGCCGCCACATCATAATGCTATGCAATGCAACAAGGTGACTCGATGGCCGGTAAATCGAAGGAAGACGCGCCGAAAACGGAGCGCAAGTATTTTTGTTTCGGAAAAGTTTAGCGGCTCGGGCCAATGAGACACTCAAACTTCTTTTCTACACCGAGAGAAAAAAAAATGGCCAATGCCACTGAAATTGTGGTTATTTTTGGTATCGCCTATATACCTATCCTCTTGTTATTCTAATAATGATACTTGTTATTCTAAATAATGATACTTGCTAGATACATAGTAGCTAGATATGGTTATTATCTTTCTAATACCATATCGTAGAGCGCTTGCTATCAAAATGTTTCTCCTGGATAGAATTCTTTCGTTGTGCACGATCACACAGCGATTACAAATACCGAGAGCAATTCTGTTCTCATCGTACCTCGGTCGACTTTTGTCGATCACCGGTGAGCCAATAGTACACGCCGATGCCGGAACTGATGAGCATCGATACACCAATCACCACGTAATCCGCGGCAACTAACGTAGACATGATGTCTCACTGTAATAAAATGTGAACACGTCACTACGATCTATTAACACTTGGTATCCCCTTATCTACTGTCTCACAGGCTCGCGTTAGACGACACCGACGTGAACTAATACACAAACACGCTTTACAATATATCACTTTTTTCTTTCCTCTGCGCGTCCATCCTTTCGCTCTCGCGCTTGAAACCGTTTCTGCATATGGAACTCGAGCGTTTTTCTTTCCTCTCCGTTGTATTTGCCTCGCGACTTTTATTTCAATAGCAAACACATTTCATCATTCGCACATGTTCACGCGGAACCTCGATAGCTTCTCTCCCGACGAATGCCGCATGTCATCTGTATATTTATTGCTTATCAGCAAATACGCTTATCATCCACCGTATAGATGAATCGCTCACGATCTTAAGTACGATCTAATCTTATGCGTATATATAGTTGTCGAAAGATACGCGGTACATAGTGACGTACTACAGATGTAAAAGTGTCCTTGCTCGCATTTATCGGAAATTCTAGCATTTCCGACCGCGAGATCTGACTGTGGTGATCTACATATGGCGTGCTCCGCAACAATGACAATGTGCATCTGAGCGGGGGACAGCGTTGGGAATGCGAAGCGTTTCGCAAGCGACGATGAAGGACGAGACCGAATTCGGCGGCCGCGATCAGTCGTCCAGCGGCGCACCGCGCACGCACCATTGACGAACGCGCCGCGAACAGATCGCGGTCGCGCCGCGTCCGCTCGCCTCTCGTGTGATATCGCGCCGCTAAAAATGCTGGACGTCGCAAGGTCGAGGTGAGGCGAGGCGAACGCGCGAGAGCGAGCGAGCGCGCGCACGCGTCGCAAGAGCGGCTCCTTCCGACGATTTTCCTTCGCGCAATGCGGCGCGATGCGGCGCGGCGCGGCGCGGCGCGGTGCGACCGGGTGCACGGGGTCGGTGATCGCGCGGAGAATGCTGCGGGGACGCGCAGGTTGAACGCCTGCGAAATGCATCGGCCATCGGGGCTCTCCGCGAGACCGAAGAAGGAGCGAGAACGAGGGAGCCGAAAGGGAGAGATAGAAGGAGCGAGAAAAAGAGAGAAAGGGGCAAGGAGGGGCGGAGAAGGAGGAGGAGGAGGAGGAGGGGGAGGGGGAGACCGGCTTTTATAATGGCGCGGCAGTTATACCGGTAAGCGAGTAAATGCATCAACGTGTTGCAAGAGCGGAGAGAAGCGTCCGGGGGACGGAGAAAGAGAGAAATAGGCAACCTCCTCCTCCTCCTTCTCCTCCCCCCCGCCCCGCCGCCGCCGCCGTCGCTCGTTCATGAGCGCGCGCGTACGAGAGGATCGGCAGGATGAGCGCGAGGGTAGGAGATGGCGGGGTCAAGGGGGAGGCAGCCCTTGTTCGGGGTGTGGGCGGATTGCACGCGTCTCCCGGTAATGGATCCCATCGATCATTCCTTCGCGGATAAGATGGTCTCTCCTCCTTTCCGCTCTCTCTATCTCTCTTCTCTGCCTCCTCCTCCCTCTCTCATTCTCTCTCTCTCTCTCTCTCTCTCTCTCTCTCTCTCTCTCTCTCTCTCTCTCTCTCTCTCTCTCTCTCTCTATCTATCTCTCTCTCTCTCTCTCTCTCTATCTATCTGTCTGTGTGGTGGCTCATCCATTAGTCAATTCCGTCGATTACCATCACGACTCGACTTGACTGGCACGAAACCGCAGGACAATCCAAAATAATCCGCTCGGGGAGCAATTATGCCGATCACTTTGCGCGCTCGCGGCCGCCGTTCCCGAAATAAGTCGTTCAAGATGATCCTCTCGTTAGAAAGAGGGATCGGAAGAGAAACCCGAACGAATCGCATGATTCGATCGTTTGATCGTCCGTGCGGTTCGCCCGGGCGGAGAGACGTTAGAAGCGCGAGCAGAACCCGAACGATCTTCGAGCTTCGATCTCGTCAGGTTCGCGTCGGACTAGGTAGGCGCGCGGTCGATCGATCGGAACAAAGTGAGAGACAGGATCGGAATTAGTCGATTCGTCGAGTTTCAATCTCTGATCCGCATTCCTTCGGTCGCGATATCCAGTCCGATATAGGCTGAAGCCGAACCTTCTGAATCACTCGGACCACCACTCGGCAGCCCAGGATTTGCGTTTCGCCATTGGAGGATCACGATGAATCACGATTTCTTGCTGTTCACAGTGAGGACGCTGGACGTAGCGGCGACGAAATGAAGCATGCAGCATGCGTGGTAGCGGTGTCACGGCTGCGCGGTCTTGCCTTCAACCCCTGGTGTCCGCCAGCCGCTATCTCGCCGTACACGCCCTCCCCGGTGATCCTCTCTACTTCGTCGTCGAGGTGAGACAAGTGAGAGAGAGAGAGAGAGAGAGAGAGAGAGAGAGAGAGAGAGAGAGAGAGAGAGAGAGAGACGACTGCGCGGGTATCATCGGAACTTGACGACGTTCATCCGTGATTATCGCGGAACCGAGGAGCACGTTTACATCTCACGCGAGTACGAGATCTTTCGAGGCAAAAGCAGGAAGAAGAAATCCGCTAGTTTTTTTTATTTCTCTCGTTTTCCTTCTCCGGAGGTGAACAACACACGAAATCGTTGCGATGCCTTTCACATATGCGAACGCTCAATGCCAAGGTTCGGCCGATTCGACCCCCGTAGTCATTAGACCGGCAAGCTAGCGTGTCTTCTCACACGATACCATCTTCCTAATTGTAGCGAGACTCGTTTCTGCAGCGACGAATCTTCGGATTCCGCCGAGCTGCGTGGAAATTCCTCGTTCTGCCTCCGTGAGTCCGCAGCCTGATACGAGCCGACTTCTTTCCGCTCTTCGATCTTTACGCGCGTCTGTCTGGCTGCTCGAGGAGTTCCGTTCGAGTTCATTTTGATTCGAGTATCGAGATAGGAGCGTTAATGAGAAGTAAATTTTGCTTCGGGCACGAATCAATCGGGTCGAGGAAATTGATCGAGTGAAAATTCACACAAATGTGTAGAGCTGCGTTCTCTCTCTCTCTCTCTCTCTCTCTCTCTCTCTCTCTCTCTTTTCTTTCTCCTTATTTTTGTTCTGTTTTTCCTTTTTTGCTTGGGATTTTCGTTGCACGAAACGATATTTAGCCGATTCCCTCGCGACACGATCGCGGTTGCGAAATGGCGCGATCGGCGTGATGGCGATACCGGAGCACGATAATCGCTCGTCGTAAGCACCGTGTAATTATGGAAAAGCTTGCTCGTTCGCGGCCATTGTTCCCTTTCCGCCTTTCCACCCGTAATAGGGTGCGGCGAGCAGTGAACGGCGAGCGGAAAAGAGAGAAAAAAAAGCGTTAGAGCGAACACCCACAGCCCACGGATATTTAAATCGGTCCTTGCTCCTTGCCTCCATTCCTTCCTTTCTTCCTTTTCCCTCTTTTCCACCCTTCGTCTTTCCGTCCTCTCTTCCTTCCTTCCTCCCCTCTTCCTGCCTCTTTAACTTTCTTCCCGCCTATCGTATCGTGACTCGCATCGCGACTTTTCCTTAACTTAACGAAGGCACGTGCCATATTTATTATTCGTATTATTTAGCAAATCACCGTTTTCTGAGATCCTACAATTTTTACTCGTAATTGGAAACATCGTGAAATAATGAACTGAGAGAAAGCGACTAATTGTAAGACAAGCGCCAATTTGGAATCGCGTTGCTGATCAGTTCACTTTACTGTATTTCAGGCAAAGTCGAGAGTGAAGGAGGTTTACACGCAGACATGCATGCTTCTCAACCAACAGGGCATGCGAGATTGCGAACTTTTCGGCTTAGCAATATTGTCCGGTGAGTGAACGCTATTCTCACATTCTCGTCTATACAACGTCCAAGTTACTTAACGAACGTTGCGGGATTTTTTTGTGATGATAAGGCGATCGAAGAACAGGGACATGCGATCTATATAATATATGTAGCCAAGGCCAATATTCATACATATATAATCAGATCTTATATTCAAGATCGTCTTGAGGAAACTGTCTCGTAATCGATGGAACGATTTGCACAGCATGTGAAGACGAATTTGAAATAATCTTAAATATAGGATCCGATACTACTTCGCGAGTTGCAAGAATTCATAGTTTATAATAAACAATGAGAAATCGAAGGGTGCATTGGAAGCATCCTCCGACGCCTCCAACCTCTGTCAGAGACAGAGCGAACGAAGATGCCACCTCTTAAAGATCGCAACCTCCTCAACTTGTCACTTGGAAAAGCGGACATTACGACGCCGCCGCCGCTCGAATTCGGTTGCCTCCGACGGAAAAGGGAGTGGCGAGAAATCACGTAAACATTAAGCTAGCGAGACGTCCGGGCCTCTTGACTAATCGTCAGGTCTTTCTGCATACCGCACGGCTCACGTTCATCGCTACCCTCGGATCGCGACAAGCCGGTCCGACTGGTGGCCCCCACCACGAACGAAGTCTTCCCGGGCCCTCGAAGGGCCCCATGGGACCCCATCCCAACCAGGTCCCTTCTACATTCCAGAGCCCCATCACTGGGCTCGGTTGAGCCGTGGCGGGTTTTGAGACGCGCGGCACGACGGGAAAAAATGCGCCTAGAGAACAAGTAGAAAAAGAGAGACGCGCGCACACGCGTCGCGATTCGCGACTTTTCTCCTCTCGCGGCCTCCTCAACGCGGCGCGCACGCTTTTTCCCTCCGCCTCTTTTAACGAGCTTTAATCTTCTCCTTCCGTTCTCCCCGTGTTCCGCCGCTTCGTCCTTCCTTTATTCTGTGCAACGTGCACTTCGGCTCATTCTCTTCTTCTTCCCTTACTTCCAATTATCCTCGTCGATAGTGAAATCACGGCAACTGCTCATTATTACATTTTATAAATGTACCGTGCATGTGCGCGCGCGCGTATGTATGTGTGTATGTGTGTGTGTGTGTGTGTGTATTAGTTATTAATAACTTTGGTTACTGGTAGTAGAGAGAGAGAGAGAGAGAGAGAGAGTAACACACGGTGGACTCTCTCTTTCGACTTTCGATTTTCGACATCGCAGCCCTTTACCTCGCGCTGAGGCGCGAGCTCAAGGTCGCCATCATACGAGTGTGCCGTCACGTCCTGTCTAATAATCGTGAAACACGTTTTTCTAGCGTGAGTGCGCCTGGGAAGTCACTCAATCTATTTCCAATTGAATGAAACGGGACAAAAGTCACCGCCTTCCTCCACCCCGAGGTGAAATTTACATATTTATAAGCAGATGAAGGGAACGGAGATACCGCCTGTTCGTCTTCATTACAGCGTCAGGCTCTGCTCGAGACGACTTCGAGACGATTATTATCTTGAACGTATGACACTTGAACTTTCTCGATTTAACACTGTATGAGATGATCCATCTGCAAGTAACTGCGCCCCCGAAATTTCTCTATTCAAGTATTTGGACCAGATAGTGCGAATGGGAATTTACGGGAAACGTCGAATTTCACGAATGTCAATTACAGTACAGTAGCTGCCAACAACAAGAGACTCGGCATGCGGGAGGACGTAGGTGAGCGTGAAAAAGAGTGGTCGATATTACTCGTCTCTTAGTCGCGCGGGAAAAGATTCAGCGAGAGAACGAGAGAGAATACTAGAACTAAAAAAGTACCAATGTGGGTGCGAGAGAGAGAGAGAGAGAGAGAGAGAGAGAGAGAGAGAGAGAGAATGCGATAAATGAGAGAGATAATAGACTGCCATAAGACGGAGAAGAATAACGAGCGCTGAAGAAAAGAGAGAGGGCCCGGTCCTGCAATAGAGGGAGAAAAGCGGACGGAAAGGAGACGCAGAAAGAAAGAGATCGGGGTCCGGGTAAGACGGGTAGCCCGGTGATTTGTATAGGGCCTCTCGTATTCCACCTCCCCAGTCGAGCGTCTTCACCGGCGCGACGCGGCGGCTCCGAACACAGGAATGTGGAAGGAGGGCGCCGAGGACAGGAATCGCGTCGGCGCACGACGCGCGCGGCGCGGGTGAGGAGGGAGAACGCCCGACCAGGGCCGCGCGCTCAGGTACGAAGGACGAGGTGGAGGGAGGGGGGAGGTGAGCAGATAGCGGAGAATGGACTCCGGCACAGGTCCGGGGGATACATATCGCGGCGAAGCTGAACCTACGTCACAACAGGGCTCGACGTCCTTCCCTCCTTTCCCGTCTTCTCCTTTTCTCCCCGCCGCCCTATGCGCGATGGTCCTTTTCAGCATCGCAGAGTTCCGCAAGCTACGAAGCAGCACCTTTTGCGCTACTTGTCGGACTTGCCGGCGAAGTCCATCGCTCTTTTCAGAGAGATGAGAAAACTGCTTTCCTTTTCTTTCATCGCGCTCGCTTTCGCAGCTTTCTTTGCCCTGTCTTTGCAACTCACACCGCCGTCATCCCCCCTTTCTTATCCCATTTATCCCGCTACAGCACGGTTACGATCGAACTACTACGTGGAATGAAATGAAATTTCTTCGTCGAAAAGCACTATCCGGCACCATTTCGTCTCCCTCTACTCTTTTTCCTTCGTTTTTTCGCTCTTCCTTCCCACTTATCCTCTCTCTCTCTCTCTCTCTCTCCTGCTCTTCCTTTTCTCCTGCTCTTCCTTTTTTACTTCTGTCTTTCTCTTTCTTTCTTCCTTCCTCCCTGTCTTCCTTTCTTTCCTCCTCCTCCTCCTACACCTCTGCGTTCTTTGCTCTATCTCTTCCTTTTTTCTCTCTTTTTTCTCTCTTCTCTTCTTCGTTCTGCCTTTCCTCCCTTTCGTCGTCCTTCTTCTTTATTTCTGTTCTTCCTTTTTTTCTTATTGCTCTTCTCCCTCCTCCCGCCTCCCTCGTCTTTCTGAGCACATTGTAACAATGCGGACGTGTCCACAAAACAAGAATCCTCACATGAATGAGTCATTCATAAAGCATAATGGCGTTCTATAAATTAAAACTCGCTACGATCTGGTTTACATTAGATCACTATTTCATCGCATCTTGCCTTTTTTTATATTTATACATAATACTGTATTATATATAATACTATATAATCGAATTGGGTGTTGAGTCATAACTGAGGCAGCTGGTGAGACGACACCTAATGTGAAAGATACAAGAGGATGTCAATGAGATCAGACCTCAATAAAATTTGTCGATAAGATATCCCGACTGATTTTAAAGCATTCTCGGCATAGAAGGAGATATTAAAACAATTATTGGAAACTTCTCTTGGCGGGCACCTCACATACCGTACATAGGATGACAAAGACCATTATTATCCGGAAACGATATGTCGGACGATGGGATAGCATGACTAATGCGGAATGCCATCGATACGATTGTTGTCCCAGACTACCTTTTTGTCCTAAACGCGGCAGGATTCTGTCCCGAATCGAACGTTATAAAATATAAGGAATGTCTAAGAAGAAACATTCCGTAAAGTGCTGTAGTTTCGCACACAGTATATAAAAGGTAGAGAGGGAGGGGGCGAGTTTTTCTCATCACCCGCAGTCCGTAGAAAGTGGCAGTTTTCGCGACTTTTATCATTTCAGTGTCTTTGTATGCCGTAGAGCTCGTCTCCCAAATTTTCGCGATCCCTCGCGTGTGACTTGAGGCACGTGTGACAGCCTGAGAAATCGATCGAACTCGATCGTTACGTAACGTCCTGGATCAGGAATCAGTCAGGGATGAACGCAGCGGCGACTCGTTGTGTCGCGCGCTCCGCATGTTTACGCGTATCAGCCACGTTCATGCCCTCTTAATATTTATCGGAGTCACGATTTCCTCCTTTTTCCCCTTGTTTTTTCCCTTTGTATAATTACGAGGGAAGGTTTCCTCTCGGGGTCTAAACCGGGACCGAGGCACGGGTATGTCCGCGAAATTCCTCGAAAGGGGCCCCCGATCTTCCTCGGTTCAGGGATACCTCGCGCGCGCTCGAGAATAGGCCGTCTCTCGGGTGTAGGACAAGCAGCGAGAGTGCGAAGGTAGAAGAGCAGCTCGGAGGATCCCCTCTCAGCAATCAAGGGTGATTACGGCTGTAATTATGGTTACGGCGCATTGCTGCGTCACGCCGAGACAGAGAGCAAGGGGAAGTATTGTTTCCTTCTGGGAAAGCAGTGGCTTTACAAGAGAATCGTTCTTCTCTCTTCTCGTCGAATTTTTCTCCTCGCAACGTGGAACGCCATCATCCCGGATCCGTTCTCTCGTCGCCAGAGAGAACGCGGTGACTTCTCTGCACTATATCTGTTACTTTGCCGACTCTCTTCAACTTCTCCCTTGATCCGCGAGACCGTCAAGGCATCTACGATGTCCGTGATGAACGAGTTGCAAAGACAAAGCGCAATGTTCGGCGCGGACGAGATTAGAACTTCGACGTATCTTTGTTAGAATTAACATAAATTCGCGCGCGTCGTTCGCGTCACGTTCGAGGCACACGAAGATCTAAGAATATAAGGCGAAACGTAAGAGATAAACAGGATGCGAGGCAGCGACTCGATCGGATTTATGCGAGATGAAGAAAAAGAGAGATCGCTCCGTCCGTGACTGCGAGGTATCTCCGAGGAGGAATACGATGGGCCCTATGGGCCCCGATGGATGGTTACGCGAGGGCCAGGGTTAGCCCTCGGGCAACATTCCCCGGTAATGGTCGGGTTATACCTCGGGTAACACAGGTGCTCCTCGCCGCGGAGAGAGAGAGTGAGCGCATCGAAAGAGGAATACCGGACCGTCTTAAGCCCATTTTAGACGATCTGTGATTCGCGACGGAACTCGAGACGGGAAAGCGCGCGTAATCCGATATATTGTCTAACCGTCGAGAAATATTCACGAAGCCTTTCGTCCTGAGTCTCTAATAGGATTGAAAAATGTGCTGTTATATCTTGCAAAAATTTTAGTTTACACCGACAAAGCGCAGATAGAAAGTATAATTTTGAGTAAAACTTTAGAATAGGGTCTTTCCCGAATTTTGATATATTTTTGCTGCTTGCTGGATAAAAATCTTTGTTATGACTACGATAATGATAATCAATGGGGGCGCCCGAAAAAAATGTTACCGACCTACTTTTTTCAAGCTTTTTCGGATCTTATAAAACTCTGAAGGAAAAATGCATCAAATTTAAACTATTGAGTAAAAGTATAAAAAACTCAATGAACTTTAATAAACCGAAGACATAAACTATTCTCCGCTATAATTTAGACTTTATAATATAAATTTGTGCTTTTGATTAAAGCAGGGCATGATTGTGAATAATGCTCTGCTTTATTTTGCTTGTAATTTATGATACGTCCTACCTTGTGTAGGAGTCTTGCTAATCTTTTCAGTATCCATTTTTAGTATATCGTAGACTCATCTGTTTAGTAAGGCGAAAGATTCGAGTAACTAGTGTGAACGGTATTTAATCAGTATAAAATCGATATTTAAAATTTTAAATATATGGAATAAAATTTTCGTGCTTTTTCCTATAAAGATCGTAGCATCCCTCCGCCCTTAATATAAATGTAAAACTTTGTATACATGTTTTTGTACAGCTAGTTTTGTAAATTATTGAACAAGAAAGAAAGTAGTTTTTTTTTTGGTATAATAGTACTTTTGAATATTTACCAAAAAAATTGTTCAGAAAATAAGTGGGTAACATTTTTTTCGGGTTCCCCCGATTGATTATCACTGTCCGAGTCACAACAAAGGTTTTTACCATGAGGATAGCAAATAAATATCAAAATTCGGAAAAGGCCCTATTCTAAAGTTTTACCATTTTTTTTTCACACGAAATTTGATTTTACCTGAAGAACCTGAAGATTTTGAACCGGCAAGAATCGGTCTCGATGAATACTCTTCCGCCTTCTCAAGCTTCACGTGTCTTTCGCGACGAGCCTCGCAGTGCATTGTTAGAGCCTAAAGCATCCTCGAATTCATCCCTCGACATCGGCTGCCGGAATACAAACAGAAAGAAAGCACTGTTTTCTCCCTTCACTTGCGAATTTGTATGTTCTACGTAAAAGAAGATAACGTTACTCTAATGTTCTCTTTGCGGCTACCGTTGCCGATTCACTCGTATAACGTACGATCACAACACAGCCTAAATCCAACGACTGTTGAGAGATGTTAATGCGTAACCCGAGACAAAGCCTCGGTGTACTCGCGAGCGACCCTTTTGTCTCGCCGCGCGCGCGCACGCGAGAGAGTGTTGTACTCTCCCGTTCCGCAACGGCACCCTGTCTGCCGAAGCGGTGACTGCATCGGGAAGCACGAATGAACCGCTCTCGATGGCCTCGAGGACCTGCTCCCGGTCCTGCTTCCCGTTTGAGCTTTCGAAGCGAGTCCCAGTTTGGAAAGCGCGTCTCGCGCATTATCGTGCGTAAGGGCCCGGGCGCGTGTAGGCAGGACAGGTTTCGAGCCCTCTCATTCACGAACGTCTCCTCGCCGACTCGAGTTCTCTTTCATTGTTTCGCTCGTTTAAGGGGGTATCGGTATTTCGGCTTGTCAGCCGTGTAAAAAGTCGCGCGAGGAGAATGAGCGGCTTCGGGCTTCGTGGAAGAACCATATCGGGACACCATGGGCACGCGTGTGCGCCTTCTACGGACCCGTTTGGTGGGCCCAGCCGCGACCCACGACCCGCGACCCGCGACCTATGCGGCGCGCCGACCATGGACGATCCGCGACGCGTGGTCAGCGAGAGAAATCGTAATGATCCACCGGTTCGTCATCGTGAACATTCCTGAGCGTCCGCGACGTTTGAAATATCTACATCTCGTAGCGTCTCTTCTGAGCTTGCATCGAAATGAGCCAGTCATTCTTGCTGTTTCAGACGGCGAGTATCTCTTCGTGGATCCCGAGAATAAGCTGAGCAAATACGCCCCGAAGAATTGGCGAAACTCTCACACATACGTAAGTAGTCGTTTATTTCTATACCGCGCATGTCGTACGGGTAATTAACTCTTCAGGCTCATTATCAACGAAACTAATCGGGGAATTGCGGTGGTAACTCGCGAACAAGTAAACGTCGAGGCCGAATAACGTCAACGAGTGGAAATGAGAAAATGATATTTTTCGCGAACGAGAAGAGAGCAATGAGGAGGAGGAGGAGGAGAAGGGGAGGAGAGCGCGTAGCGCGGTTTTCTCGGCTGAAATTAACATTTTCACCCACGGTTTTATAACTACGACCATGTGTCTTGCCTCGGGGATGGTGTTGAACAAGCAGCAACGACTCTCCCTTCCCCCCTCTCTCTCTCTCTCTCGGCGATATAGCCCAACTCGTCGAATAAAAGAGGAAAATATTTGGAGGACAGAGAGAGAGAGAGAGAGAGAGAGAGAGAAAGAGAAAATGAAGAGAGGAAAAACACCTCGCGCGATATCTCGGAATCGGCTCTTACAGTGGTTGGAGGCCCGTTTGGCTAATGACGGCCCGCGCACCAATAACCAATAAATACTCGCCCGATAGAGCCGAGCTACTGCATTACGTGCTTATCTCCGATGAACATCGGAGCCGCGAGGATTTCCTGCGAGCGCTCGTGGGCCCGAGGTGAGTCTCGGCTATTAAAACTGGCCCTCTTCTCTCCTCACCGTTACGCGACCATCTCTTCTTGTACTCTTCTTGTTTCTCTGCCGCCTCCTCCCCCCCCCCCTCTCTCTCTCTCTCTCTCTCTCTCTCTCTCTTTCTCTTTCTATTCTCATTGACTCGCGATTGTAAAATCTAATTCGCGAAAAGACGTTTAAAACAAACTTCCCCGCATTTTTTCTGCTTTCCCGCGTGTTTCATCTTCAGGAATTCGTCGAATGTTTTCGATCGATTTTTTCTTGCGCGAGTTACACGAAATCCATCTCCACAGTCAGGTTCAATTTTGTGAGGAATTTTCTACATATCGTAACATCCGTTTTCTTCGATCTACGTGTCCGCGAGATAACGAATGGTTCGCATGGTCTCTTAATATTTTAGCGATGATTATATTGGAGAAAAAGAAAACCGGTGCGAGGAAATAAAAGCAGCAGGAGAAAGATGGCAATTCGGGGCGAAATGAGAGAGAGAGAGAGAGAGAGAGAGAGAGAAAGAGAGAGAGAGAGAGAGAGGGGAGAGAGGCACGCAATGGATTAATATTTATGGTTCGTAAATAATATGCGGATGGACCCAACGGTGTAATTTGCTAGAGTTTGACCGGAGGGTCCTAGGTCTAGACGCGACGGCGAAAAGGCCTTACCGGTTTAATTTTGGGCTACCGAATTTAGAATGGGCTTATTGGTACCTGTCCTTCTACGGCGTTTCCTTCTTCCATGGGGTTCACCTCGCGTATCTCGCCCCTTCGTTGGATGATGTATCGAATACATTGTAAGGATCGTTGTTTAACAATCAGTCTATGTGTGTGTGTGCGCACGCGCGTGCGTGTATGTGTGTGTGTGTGTGTGTGTGTGTGTGTAGCTTCTAATTTGTGCTAATGAAATTCCCGAGATCGTCTCGCCTCCATTGACCTGAAAGGATCCTGAAGAGATGAGAGTCTTCGCATTAAAGATTCGTCTGTGCCTGCACGGGGAAAAATTCGACCGATTCTATCGATCCAACAGCGCTTTTATTCCATCTGTAGATGAGACGAGTCATTGGGAGGAGGAGCGGGGGGGACCTTTTGCCCTCGCTCTTTTTTTAGAAATCATTTGACGTGTAAAATTTACGCAATCCAATATCTTACGATTGTTATGAAACAAATCGTTGGATTTTATACGCTGCAGCGCGAATCGTTGCGTGAGTTTAAATGCTGACATTTAATTACGGCGCACAGTAGTTATGTTTCCCGGAAGAGAGAATGCGTTTAATGTCACTCGCTCCGACCGCCAATCGTCCACCTGTCAAAGCAATCGATCGTATAGCAATGTGTACGATAAACACATATATTCGAGTACCGATCGCGTCATCACGTGTTCACGTCCCGACGTGTTTCTAACGCGCGACTCCCATTGTCAGAGTACCATTGTTAGAATAGTTAGAATTGTAGCAACTCGCATTTCTACATCCATTCTCAGTTGGCAGCGATCGCTGCGACGCGTTCTAAGCAGCTGTGCTTATTATCATGTATGTACATGTCTGTATTATTTTGCAGGGTTTAGACAGCAGCGGGAGGCCAGCTTTTGTCCTCTACTTCCGAGTTCGCTACTACGTCGACACACCGTTACTCTTAAGGTAAGCAAACCAATGTTATCTTGCGCGATTCTCCGCTTGGCTCCGATCGCACCGAAAAACAATTGGAAACGATTAACGCGCGACGTGCTCGCGAGCGATCACAGGGCGATTCGTCGTACGGAAGAAACAGCAGTAGCAGAAGAAGCAGAAGAAGAAAAAGAAGAAGAAGAAGAAGAAGAAGCAGAAGAAGAGAAACGGAGAAGAGAGAGAGAGAGAGAGAGAGAGAGAGAGAGAGAGAGACGCGGAAAAAAGGGGGGGGTGAGAGCCGGAGGGAGGGCGCGTCCCTCTCGCGAAACGAAATCCGGACTGCCGTCCGGTAGCTAAGTGTGTGTGGCTACCTATTCTTGTAATTATAAATTATTACGTGGCGCGTGATAGATAGACCGTGCGCATTAAACGAAAGCACTCCGGGGCCGTAGCTCTACCCGTCGGTAATTATACCGATCCGCAGTCGGTTTCTGATTTCCACTCGAAACCCGTGATTTACATCGGACTTGGCGATTCACCGCACGTTCGCGTCGACGAGGGTTTAATTCTCGAGGGGACCGAAAGGCCCCGGGCCGCGCGCGCTCGCTCGCTCTGCCCGTCCTCTCGCATCGACCGATGCTTCCGAGTTCAGTTAATGACGACGTTCGCCGGTTTTCGCTCTTCGGAGCCGCTCCCGGAGCCGCGCGCTCCGCGATTTAACCGATCCCCCGGCTCTTGACACGTCTCGCCCCTCCCGTCCCTCCACCCCTCCCCCGTGTTCCCGCAAGGCTGCGGCGAGATCGCTTCGATAACGCTTGAGATTTGTCATCTTTCGGATGCGCGACTCGCGTGTTACGACGATGATCTCTCGGACCTGTACTCGCAGTCGTCGCTTTTCAAGTCCGTCTCAAGTGAAATTGATTTTGAGCCGGATGTCAGCCGTTTCCGTCGCACCTACTTTTTCGATAAAATTTCACCGGAACAAATTGATTGAAATTCATTGAAGGAGTGCGCGCGCGCCTCCCGAGATGCTCGTCGCATTAAGAGTTGTCCAATTTCATCATCCGGCGACTTTTTTCGAGTGAATGTTCCGACGCGACGTAATTATCGCGCGCGCGGAAGGCCCCTCGGTTTCTCCCCTTCCTCCTCCTCCTCTCTCTCTCTCTCTCTCTCTCTCTCTCTCTCTCTCTCTCTCTCTCTCTCTCTCTCTCTCTCTCTCTCACCCTCTCTCTCACCCTCTCTCTCACCCTCTCTCTCTCTCTCTCTCTCTCTCTCTCTCTCTCTCTCTCTCTCTCTCTCTCTGTCCCGAATTGCAGGTCGTCTAAAGTAGGCTTCAAACTCGCCTCTAGCTCATTATCCCGCCGAAAGCACCCGTGTATTCCACGAAGGCGAACGAGCGGCGCCGCGTGAATATCCCGTATAACGGGCGACGGGACGAGCGACGTCGGGACGCGATTTGCATAATTAATAAGAATATCTCAGGCACGCCGTTGAGATACGCTAGGTATACCGATTGACGTTGCACGCCAAGCAGAACAGCCAGCCAGATTAATCGAGCGTCGACGGATGTCGTTGAAATATTCCCTAATCATTCACGCGCGATGCGTATCTGTGTGGGAACGAGTTCCTCTCTTTCCTTCTTTTTTTCGTCCTATCCTGCCAAATGGCCGGCTGGCTTCGCGACGCGATAAATATTAATTAGGCTGTATTCGAGGTCCTCCGCGAATTAGATACGTTCTTTTCGCAGCCACGCGCGGGAATGACAGGCCGGGTTATACATAGCTCAGCGTAGATTAGGTAATAATCGAAAGAACGTTCGAATAACAGTATCGTGTCTCGACGATCACCGGAGAGGCCGTGTCCCCGGCGACGATGAACAGCGGTAAACTCTGTCTTGGCTAAAAACGCGCGCCACCGCTGAAGCTCATACCGAGGAGACGCCGAGGGAGCTCATCATTACGACGAACGCTTGGATTATAGCGCTTTCGACTGAAGAGGATTTCGGTCACTCCTGGAGCGACTAATAATGTCATAAACCTTGTCTAACCTGCGATAGAGCTTATAATGTCACGTGGACTTATATAGGCTTATATATGAGGTTTGATCAAAAAGTAACGAGAATTTTTAATTTTCTCGAGAAGTGTTTATTTAATCTTCAATTTATGTTTATCCCATCTCCTTCAAAGTAGTCCCCCTGTGATATTATACACTTATGCCAACGTAATTTCCAGTTTGAGAAACACTGGTGGAACGCCTCTTTAGGTATCATCTTGAGCTGGATCTGCGATTTCGCCTTTATCTCATTTATTGTTGAAAAACGTTGTCCATTGAGTGTCCTTTTTGAGTTTGGGAAGTAGGAAAAAGTCACAGGGGGCCATGTCTGGAGCGACGTCAGTAAGCATTTGTTTAGCGATGATTACGCGATGCTGTTTTTGTTGAAAATCCAACAGTTTCGGAACAAATTTTGCTGCCACTCGTTTCATGTTCAAAACATTAGTAAAAATCGCTTCGCATGAGCCGTATGAAATTCCTATTTCTTCAGCAACCTCCCTAATGGTGATTCTTCTATTAGCAAGCACAATCTCTTTAACTTTACCCACGTTTTCATCACTGGTGGACGTGCTGGGACGCCCAGACCTCGCGTCATCTTCGATGTTTTCTCGGAAACTTCTTCTTGAAAGCGTTTGTAGCATTCATAAATAGTATCGTCATCAAAGGCCTTCTTTAACATTTTGAACGCTTCGCTGTACTTAATCCCGTTTTTAACACAAAATTCTCAGACAAACTCTCTGATCCGACATTTCGCCACACAAAAAATCGCCAAACACACTGAAGTACGTCTTGCTCATTCGCTCGCCAAAGACAAACTAAGCTCGCAGCAGCCTGAAAATTGACACGTACGTCACTGGTAGTGCTACCAACACACAAAAAAAAGAGTCAACTGAATAGACAAGATATAGCGCGCGCAATTTCAAAATTCTCGTTACTTTTTGATCAAACCTTGTACATTCGTATACACTGGGCGTTCTACGAGAGGCTGCGAAGACTTGACTGGGAAAGAACGTCCCCTGTCAGTAGTGCACGCGTTCGATCTTTGTCTCGCTCGGCACCTATTGGAGCTAGCTGACTAGACAAAGTCAAGCCTGACAAAGATCGAATAATAACCGTGGACAGTGAAAGGGAAATATCCCATACAGATATGAGATATCTGAGGTCATCCTGGATATATTCCCTTTCTCTCCAAGCGTTTTCGACGCGTTTACAATGTTCTGGACCATTCGAGACGGCCGTTCTTCAAGTCTCGTCTTCAGACCTGTCTCAAGAAGGCGCGGTTTACGTATATAAAGAGAGTCTTATGGGTATTAGTAGATACAGATAAATTTTATCAATACTGAAACTAGAAGCGACGATCAACGTTCGATCCATTTCTATCCAAGCGATATGACAGGTTTTTGAACAGAAGTACGTCACGCTGGGGTAAAAATGTTCATTTATTTCTCTCAGTTTGATTCGGACGGACGGACAACGTCCGTCAGCAATATAAAACGCATCGTTACATACGTACATTTGAGTTATTTTTATGAGAAGTTATAAGCCGGTCATCTCCGACCACTTAGTCGCTCTGGTGTCGATAGATCGGTAATGTTATGATATATAAATAAAGTCTATGTTATGGTATATACAGGGTGTGTTAAAAATACCGGAACCCCCGGATAACTTTGCAGGATCAAGTTTTCATGAAAAACTTTAAATACGAAAGTTGTAGAGAAATCGAGTAACGGACTTGATGATGACCTTGAATTTGACCTTGGCCATGACCTTCAAGGTCATTTGGAGATCAACTTGCGTTTTTAAAATGAGAACCCTTATTTCTTACTATCAATTAATTTGAACAACTTTTGTCTAAAACATTTTTTCATTTGCCTAATATTTTTTGAGATATTTGAGGAAAACTTGATAACTTTTTCAATATTTAATTTACGATATCTCGTTAACTATTTGTCGGAAGAAACAGTGGTACTAGACTTTCTTGCTTTATTTAGTCTCAAGAATATATTGTGCACAATAGTGCCGTGATTTTTGTTAATTTGATGATTTTGAAATTTCCAAAAGTCAGGGCGCTGTTGTAATAATATATTCTTTTTCTACAACTTTTGTATTTAAAGTGTTTTTCATGGAAACTTGATCCTGCAAAGTTATCCGGGGGTTCCGGTATTTTTAAGACACTCTGTATAAATAAAGTCTATGTTATGGTATATAAATAAAGTATACGGGTTTATTCATCGCTCTCGGAGCGATCCAAAATCGTTTCGGCCCCGAAGACGCCATTAGTCCATCGACTACTCACGGTCGGCGATTTCGCGATCACTCATTGCGAGCATCATGCATGCAACTCACGTTGCTGTTTCAGTGATGAGACGACGCGGCATCACTATTACCTGCAACTGCGCGACAACGTCGTCAGGCATGGTGGCGGGGTGGAGAGCCTTCATCCTCACCATCCCCTTCACGAACCATCCATCGTTACGCCTCTGCTCACGCTCGCTGGGCTCGCCCTTCAAGCCGATCTTGGCGACTATTCCGAGGAACGGCACAGACCACACGCAGGATCTGTCGGCTACTGTAAACCTTCGGATTACCTTCCTCCCCACGTAAGTTGCTTCCACCGATATCGCGAGATTTCATCATCTCCGGTCTTGTCGCTGCGGCGCGCCTCAATCGAACGCCGTGCGGCCCGCTATCGGTGTATCAGTCGCGGCACGTGGCACCGGGACCAGGGTCACACAGCCAATTAAACTTAAATTATTCACTGTAACAGAAGATTAAGAGTATAAAAAAAATTGATGGAACATAAAATCTTGTGTGTGTGTGTGTGTGCGTGCGTGCGTGCGTGCGTGCGTGCGTGTGTGTGTATGTGTGTGTGTGTGTGTGTGTGTGTGTGTGTGTGTGTGTGTGTGTGTGTGTGTGTGTGTGTATGTGTGTGTGTGTGTGTGTGTACGTGTGGAAGATAGCTGTAACGATCGATGAGCGTCCTCTTTCGTTCCGTCTCATCCGTCTATACAGAGTATTTCAAAATTATAATTTATTTACATTTGTTTACCTTCATTTTTTGTGTTTCCGACATTCCAATCACCAGCTGAGCTCGCATACTTTCAATTTAAATCCACGCGTTACATAAGACATTTGTGCTCAAACTTGTTAAACTTGCAACGAGCAGTACTTTAGGTAACGAGAAAGTCCTAAAAGACGTCTTTGAGGCGTCTTGTGTGGAGAAGTTTCCGCTTTACGGCCGGGGCCGTAATTGAACTTGCTCGTTGATCGCTTGCTCGTTGACCCGACGACTTCGTGCTTGAATCGAAACGAACGTTCTTCTTCTAGATGTGCCACGAGTCGAATGTGCTCGCCGTGCTCGCGGCCCAGCACAGGGACAACAGTGGGCTCTCGAGGGAGGAGGCAGAGTTGCAGTACATTCGGGAGGCGGTGCTGCTGGAGGCACCGCTCAACGCTCACCTGTATCGGTTGCGCCGAAGCAAGAACGAGGCGGGACCCGGACGTATACTCCTGGCGATATGCGCTCGCGGGGTGCGAGTCTACGCCGAGGAGGAGACACCGCGCATTTTCGCGTGGAATAACATCGGCAAGCTGTGCTTCGACGTGAGTCGCGCGATCGTCTCTTCCTCTTCTCTCTTTCTCAACAATAGACACGCGCGCGCGCGAGTTTTCGGACGATACTCGGATACTCACAGTCCGCTCTTGTATTTAAAGTCGTCCCAAGTTCGTCTTTTTATGCTCTGCAGCCAATGAAACAATTCGTACGGAATCCAAAGATAAACTTAATTCTAAGATTTTCCTCGTTTTCGTACAGCGTAAAAAGTTCGAGATCCGTGCGGTTGATCAGCCGGACAAACTCACCCTGTACAGCGGCTGCGATGACAAGAGCAAGCTCCTCTTGGGACTTTGCCGTGACACCCATCAGTTCTCCATGGCTATAGCGCCTAGAGTAAATGAAGCCAAAAGGCGGGAGGAGGAAGGTAAGGAGGAAATGAATGTTGTGAAGATCGCGAGATGAAGAGCGCAGCAAGTAAATCTAATCGAACATACGCTGCACGCAGAACGGAAAGTCCTGAGGGACTGTTACATGTATCCCGCCCGATGTAAGCTGAACTTGACGACGCACGGGGCGCGCGGTGATCAACGGATTTCGGTCATCTCGAGCACGTCCTCGAACACGACGTCCGGCATCGTGAGCGATCGAGTGCACAGCGAGGACGAGCCCGACACCGCCCCGGCATCGACCGAGTGCCTGCCGCGTCTTACCGAGACGGCACCCTACTCGGCCGGCCAGGGTAGAGTGTTAAACGGCAACAATACGGACACGGACAATCATTCTATGCCACCTTCTCCTGTTTCTATCGTCGACGGTAAGCTCGGTCGCTTTTTCTCTTGTCTTGGTTCGTAGCGAGTAGCTTCTGGATCACACCGCGCGATCTCAATTGTGAAAATAATGAAAGATAATGAAAGAAAGAGAGGTGTTGAGGGATTTGGAACAATTAGAGGAAACTATGAATGATTAGACTATGACTGATTAGATAGACCGATATGATTGCAGGTCAATTTTCAGAAGTGGATGGCGCGGATAATACTCCCACGTCGGTGGCGTTGCGACTCGCGTCGAGCACCGCGATGGCCGCTGAGGGCTCGCAGTGCAGCAGCAGCTGCAGCACGGTCGTCGTTGTCAACACACCTGCGGGCGGGCCGTCGCGAATACGCCGCGCCTCGGCAACCTCCAGCTTGGAGCTGGGCTATTCGCACACGGCTCAAAACTCCGCAGTCTCTTCGGAGACTGCCAGCTTTCCAGGCGCCATTTACGACAGGTGCAAGAAGACCGGAAAGTATGCAGGTGAGCAGAAGCAAAAATGTGAGAAACGAGAATTATTTTATAAACAATACCGAAAATATAAAGTCAGTCGCTCGTACGTTAGATGTCAACATTCACTTGAACTTCTTCTTCAGACTTCTTCAGACAAAAATTGCTTATTTTACCCTATGTAGAACACTGTTTTCGTTTTATTCGTTTAAATTGATGATTTTTATAGCCGGGATAGGGCTCAACCAGATAATAAATTAATCTTGTATAAGAAGTTACGTGTGGATAAAATCCAAAACTTTGTAAATCTCTCAGGTACCGACATCGCAAGCGAGACCAGCGGCGTGTACACTCTGAGAAGCAGCGAGATGCAGGACGAGAGGATCGGCGACGACCTGTATTCCCCTACGGGCGACACCAACGAGTCTTCGGCAGCGAGCGATGTATGCGCCTTGAGCTCGGTCCAGTCCACCACCGACGAGGCATCCGTCACGTCCGGCTTCTACACTATCCATAGCGGGCTGCGGTCGGAGAGCAGCGACGTGTACACCGAAGACGTCGGTACAGAACCGGAAGACCAAGAGCCGATATACAGTGTGTGCAAAGGTGACGACGACGGGGTCTCTCTGAGCCAACAACTTGAAGACTCGCGGTCACGTAGCAACAGCATCCTCAGCGCGGGTAGCTTTCATGGCGACGGCAGCGATCCGTCCAGCGCGCGGCCGCTGTTGTCGGCCGACGAACTGTCGGACTTGATAGTGGGCAGATATCCACCGCGCAAAACCATCAGCAACTCGATGGACTCGGACTGCGACTACGTGACCATGCCGTTACCGTTGTCGTTGCCGTTGCCGACACCACCGCCCCCGCCTCCACCACCCAGGACGGACAGCGAGCGGCAGCTATTGCTGTTACCGCCACCACCGCCATATCCGGTAAACATCGAACCGTACGCGACGATCAACACTGCTAAAAGACCGGGTGTGCAACTGGAACTAGACCGGGAACGGGAACCACCGCCTCCGCCGCCACCGTATAACGCGACACGCGGTGGCAACGGTGACTTCGTGGTACCGCTACCACCTAGGCGAACCGATCTGCCGCCACCGCCGCCGCCGTACACCTCGCCGCGAGAAAGGATCCAGATGCCGCCGCCCACCCCGCCGCGGAACGATGCGATAACACCGCGGGAGCCGCCACCTCCCCCGCCGCCTTACCCCGACGTCGTGACGACGGCGCAGATCGGCCCGGCCGTCACGAGAATCGCCAAGACCATCGCCGTGGACGTCGCGGCGACTACGACCGCACCAAAACCACCGCCCAGGATACAGCCTCCTACTTATCCTGGTGATAAGATGAAGCCCACGCCGGTGCACGCTCCGGTGGCCGCTCTCGTGGTGGGTCCGAACAATTACTTGGACGTACATGCTTCCCGAGGTGGTCCGGTGCTTCTGCCGTACTTGGCATCACCGCCGCCGCCACCACCACCACCTCCACCTCCGATGGTGCACTCGAGGCTGCCGCCACCGCCGCCTCCACCATCGTCTCAGCAGCAGCAACAGCAACAGCAGCAACAGCAACAGCTACAACAACAGCAGCAACAGCAGCCGTCGACGACTCCAGCACTCACGTTGTCATCCGCTTCCAGTCTGGCGACCGTGTACACAAGTCAGGTCGCCAGATCGCAGATAGAACAGTACAAGCAGCAACTGTATTCAGACGTCGATTACGTCATGTTCCCGTTGAAGGACCCGGCTGTGTCGAAGCAGGAGTACATTGACGCCAAGCAGGGCTCGCTGTTGGCGGCGATGGCGGCCTACCCGCCACCGCCGTATCCGTCCTTCAGCAAGTCTTCGGTGATGTATCGCAGCACACCCTACTTGCCTGGCGCCTCTTTCTCCTCGCCCCCGTCCAAGTACGCGTCCAATCAGAATCTGAGCAGCAGCGACGCCAGTTCCGCCGGCAGTTATTTGCTGCACAGCAATCTCAGTAGTCACTATGCTGCCAGCACGAGCTCGCTCTACAGCGGCACGACATGTTCGTCCATTGGCAGCCATAGCCATAGCCTTAGGCGCGAGCCACCTGCGCCGGCTCACCCACATACCTTGCACGCGTTCTCGCGCACCAGAAGCGATGAGAACATCCTCAAGTGCTTGGATACTCCGGTCGCCAGTAGGATGCAGTCTCTGCCGCAGCCGAAGCACCGTAGGTTACCGCCGCCGCCGCCGCCGCCACCTTACGAAATACAGGTAGTTGAATGATACTAGAAGCATTTCAGAGTCTATTAACCAAGTTTGAGAAAGTTTTTTCTTAAGAGTAACAAGTTACACGAGGGATATTTTATTGAATAATACTATACTCTATATCACTAAGATATATTCATATTGAAGTCTAAATTTATATATATTACAACAAGTAAATCGTTTGCGAATATTAATATCTATTACATTAATAAGTAATGTTGACTGTAACGAGCTGTTATAATTTATTACTTTGTCACTAAGTCGTAAGGAAATTTTACGATCTACTTTCGAACTTTGCTATTAGCGCACTTTAGATTTTATCGCACCGACTATAATAATGCAATATCCTTAATGTGCCAAATTCACATTTTTGTTTAGAATCTTGAGAAGAATCAACCTTTGCCATCGGCTTCTTCGGTGGGAGCGTCCACATCGACAGCCACTACGGCCAGCAGTAAGTCTAACAAGTCTAGTAACGGTACAGAAGAGAGCGATGAAGGCAAGGATGACGGTATGCTCGACATCCGAACGCTTCGTGAGAAGAGCCGGAATTTGGACTTACCGTTGATTTCTGCGCTGTGCAACGACCGATACCTGCTGAAGCAAACCAAGGCCTTCGTCTTGCCGAAGCATCCCAGCGAGACGTCTACCACGTCCAATGCCGCTGCCGCCGCCGCTGCCGCCGCCGTCGTCGCTGCTGCTGCCTCGAAGAACAGCGCGCGAAACGGTAATTCGGCGACTTCCAGCAGGAACAAATACCCGGTAAGTGGGTTGTCGACTACGCAGATTCAGAAGCCACCTAGAAAATCGTCGGCGAGTACCCACAAGCATCCCTCCGAGGTGAAAGGCAACGCTTACAAGGTCACCGCCTCCTCCACGGCGGCGGTTTCGACGACTAAGAAGGACTTTGCGAAAACGTCTCATTCCTAACGCTCGTCTTTATTTCTTTCTTCTTCTTCCCCTCTCTCCCCTCTCTCTCTTTCTCTCTCTCTCTCTCTCTCTCTCTCTCTCTCTCTCTCTCTCTCTCTCTCTCTCTCTCTCTCTCTCTCTCTCTCTCTCTCTCTCTCTCTCTCTCTTTCTCGTTCTTTCGATTATCTAGAAATTTGTAACTCCGAGTAAAAAGCGTACATTCCATAACCCCGATGTCATTGTTGCGACGTTTTGTAGGTAGAAACGATGTTGCAACGAGAAGACGATGTATTCCAACAATGAGTTACTTAAATATCGTTTCCGCAGACCGTGCTTCTTCAACTCAGGGTGCCATCTTATTCGTTTAATGTTCTCTCTTCCGGTCACCGGATGCTCCAAAACTTCAACGGTACAACTAGACAATCGTTTGTTCCGAGCGACGAAAGTATCCAAGTTGCTCATCGAGACGGCGACGATGGAACGTGAAACATTTCAATGCCCCCCTCCGTGCTCTTCGTATTCGTAGCATTTATTTCTTCTTTTGTCTTCAATCGTCGTTTCTCATGTAAAGTATTTAAGTACTTGAGCTCTTTAGTACTTAAGTGTACTTAAAGTGTCTACTGCCTCTTGCTCAATTGTACGGCTGGTGCGACAGAAATTCACTTTGCAAGCCCCCGATAAAGGCGCTAGTCCCGCTCGTCGTTAGGATAAACCATACATTTATTGGCCAAATTGTATGTAACGATCGTTACATCGCGCAATTATCGAGTAATCGCTTATAAATTTACAGGTTTTCAAATCTATTCGAATAAATTTGTATGTTTCTCTTCGTTTCGTTTTTCTGTTTTCCTTATACGTACCAATTGCTCGAATTGCGATAATATTGCGACGCAGTCACGTGTTTACACATTGTTTTCGATTTCACGACGAGAAAGACCATAGATATCACTTAGGCGGCCAATAATGATATAGTTTACCCTACTTATGTCGTAAAAAAGGAAGCATTCCTTCCTTAGGTAACGATTATGCGGAATATATCTATTAATATATTCCGGAAAAAGACATATATCATTATTGTAACTAGAGAAATAGAAACCTCTATTTTAGGATGTCTGTGGCAAGTAATATTTATTATCGAGAGAGAGAGAGAGAGAGAGAGAGAGAGAGAGAGAGAGAGAGAGAGAGAGAGAGAGAGAGAGAGAGAGAGAGAGAGAGAGAGAGAGAGCGCGCGCGCGCGCGCAATATAGTTTCTCTCTTCTCTATATTTTAGTATTTCAATCAGCGCTCGCTTTATAATATCGTTATCATCGAAGCGTCTTATGTAAGTACGCGTAAGGTGCTGTTAGTGTAGTCGACTACTTTTTTACTCTTTTCTTTTTAATCGATATAATTCAGTATTACGATGCTATATTGAAAAAAAATAATTTAATCCAAATTTATCAGTGAAGGAATGGACACGCGTTCGAATCTGCTGTATTTAAAATTACAGTAGTTTCTTCATTTTTTGATCAATTTTTCTCGCTCCTTTTTTTTTTTTTTTTGATCAGGGTCGAGTATTTAGTAGACTTTTGTAGACTAGCACTTCGTTTGCAATGCGAAACGTAAGATCGACCTCTATTTTTTGAAGAATTTATTGAGACAGCGTATCTCTTGGATGACAATGTTTAACATAAAGGGCAACAATTTAGTCATAAAATTGAGACGTACACTAATCGTCGTTAGATCTTAATATCACATTACGAACCCTACGTGGGCGACCGAACGTCTGTACATAATATAGCGCGACACTATAGGACTTGATATATATAGGCAAAAATCATGTGCATGTACCTCAGCTATAAATAATAAAATCTTTTGTAACGAAAACCGCTTGTGTGTTAGAGCACAGTTTATATAAAATTTCCAGATTGGATAATTTACCAAAAAAGGCTACTTTTCGATTGTCTAAATTTTGTGAAAGTCGGTAAGTTATGGTTTGTGTCTCGATTAAAAAAACCTTTCTAGTCGAGACTCAAATCATAATTTACTAACCTTTATAAAAACTAGTCGAAACTGAACTAAGCGTTTTTTGTAAACATTTAAAATTGCATTCGATTACTCGTTAAATTATATAAAATAATACCTTCGAATTTTTCACTCCAACGGAAATGCCCGTAGTACTTAATTTATTAATTCGGCTATAATTTTACGGAGGTTGGTAAATTGTGGCTTAAGTCTCGGCTAAAATCAGCCTTCGTTAGGTGGCGCCAGCATCTTTAACAAGTCAGCGTCGTAGTATTTCAATAAAAAAAAAAAAAACAGCGTCGTAGTACAACTCAACGATAAATTAGCCGTACTTTTTTTTTTCAAGTAGTACGACACAACGGCGTGTCAGCCGTCAATTTATTTTTAAATTTTATGAAATCACAGTTCTGTTACTTTTCAAGCAGCATGACTTAACAGCAGGTTAAAGCTGCTTTTATCCTATCAATAACTCCATTGAAAACAGTTGAATAAACATTCGTCTCCGTTTATCTGCGAGAAATTATATTTCTTAGCACTTCATGTGAAGTACATACACACATACATAAATGCGATGCATTCGCTCAATAATATTCAACCGTACAATTTAACATTTCACGTTGACGACACTTTAATCGCTAGAACAAGCTAGTTGCGGGAAAATGATCGATCCTTCCAAAAAATCTAAAAAAGGAGAAAGAAAGATAAAAGGAAGTAAAAGAAAAGGAGAGTGCAGCGATCAACGGATCGGCCGAACATCGCGGTTCGTATAGTAGTACCAGTCTGCGCCGAGCGTCCGATTGGTTAAGTTGTGTTCGCGGCATAGCGAAGCGTTTATATAAATGGCGCGTGCGACCTTTGCGCGGCTTTAATTATGACTCATTGTGCTGACTACACACATTCAGCCGGCTTTTCTCTTTCATCGGGGGAGACCTCGCCCCGGGCAGTGCGCGTTCTAATGCATTTGGTCTCGGCGTGTACGACGACGTCTGACAAACTCACACATAATCCCGAGAAGGGTCTAGAGACTCGACGAGGTTCGACTCGAAAGTTCACTGCACGTCTCATCGCCTTGGTCTCTCGGCCTCGGGAAATTTTCGCGGCGCCTAAGAATTTCATCTACGCGCGGTAAGTACAGACGATGCGATATATTATGTAAGCCAACATTGCCCGGGTAGAACAAAAAATCATGATAACATCAAAATGACATCAAAATGACGAGAAAATGACCGAGTCATGATGGAAAAATGAGTTTTCCTCGTCATTTTTATGTCATCATGATTTTCTGTTCTGCCTGGTTTTCGTTGATTCCACCGCAAATCATTTTTTATCACGGTGTGCGCAAATTTTTATACTGGTATGTGTTCTTTCGCGTGCCCTTCGGAGAGATTGAACTTGGGCGATTCGCCAAAATCGACCCAGGTAGAGTGGAAAATCACGGTCACCTCAAAATGGCGGGAAAATGATCACAAGGGATCTTCTCGATCGTGACTCGATTATTTTTTCATCACTCTGACATCATTTTGACATTATCGTGATTTTCTGTTCCGCTTGAATAACGTCCTCGAATCAAGTTCTGAAATTAAGTAAGATCGTGCAATTTATTGCACGTTGCTATAACATATATCTTTTTCCTTGTAAGTGGGTTTTTTACATGAAATGTGTACATAGTTGTTCGCAACGAAACGAGCAACTAATTTATTCCACGCATGCAATAATTCTCTATAAGTAAATAAATGTAGGATTTAAAGAGAATTTAGAATCACCAAAGGCAGATAATTTTCCTCCTCTCTTTCTCGTTTTTTCTTTATTGTAATTGGCGTGTTTACCTCTATCTGTGTGAGCAGGAGTGACTTAAATATTATCATTTTCACACTTCCGAGACTGTGACTCACTTGTAACGGTATTACAAAAAAGAACGCAGCACCGACAAGTATCCCATGGACGTTCTCAGAACCTGCAATTTAAAAAAATGTTAATATAACGCCGGCTTGCGATACGTTTTAAATGTATCTTGCATATCGACAAAATATTTTAGGTTTGAGTCTTTTCCTTTCATAGCATGACGAGACCATATATGTAACGAGCATATCCACCAAAAATATCACTTGATATTTCACGATTTACGTATTCTAATTATGAAACAAATCGGGAATGTACCAAAATTTAGCAGAGAAAGAGAGGGAATAGGGATATTTAACGACAATCTGAGGTTTTCCTAAATACTTTTGAATTGAAATATCAGAAACCCAATCAGAAAAAAGAAATTTTTTAAATATTTTTAAAAATATTAACAGAACATTTAGAAAACATTTTTAAAACGTTAAAAATAATTTTAAACGAGTTTTATTAATATAAAATAAATATTAAATGAACATAAAATAAACATTGAATAAATATTTTCTTAAACATCATTTTAAATGAAGAATTAATGTAAAATATATATTAAATAAATATTTTGTGCAATGAATGGAAGAAATGTAAAATAAATATTTGAAAAATGTTAAAAAAATTGTCTACTGATTGGAAAGTTCTTTCTCTCACGATCGAGCGTAACAAGAAGACTTACGTCGGTCAAAGTGCTGAGACAAAATGTGTTGAATTTTCCAGCTCTCAGACACAACGGCTTTTGCGATCTCGCCATGCATAGTACTATTATCCGTGCGTTTTCTGTCGACATGTTGTACCAATGGCAATCGTAAAACGCTTCGCAAACTTTAGCGCTCTGTGACAAAAATTTTACGGAAGGAAGTTCGCGCGGACGAACGGAAATGGAATTGATTGTAATCGATTTTACACTCGTTTCTTATTTTCGTTTCTTGCTCTCGATGAAACGTTACCTCGGTCAGTAGACTTTCGCCGACGGTACAATGAGCGTAGAGTATCAGCAGGACCAGAAATTGAAATATCAGGAATGTAACGAGCACCCCGCTTTCGCCCTTGGCGACATTCTGCACATAACACGACGCGACAATAAGAAATTGAGATCAATTATGGGACTAGACTTTCACCAAGTTCCGATTAAGCTGATCGATGATTGATTCAGTCAACAGATATATTGGACATGGACGTATATTGAGACATTGAAGGTAGAAGACACATAAAGACATATATTGAATATAGAAGGCTATAAAAGGAAATAAATAAATAAATTATATTATATTAATAAATAATTATAAATTAAATAAATTAAATAAAGTTATATTAATAAATAAATTATATAATAAAAGCTATCAATCAAACTCTTTTACAACATTACTCTCTCTACTTTGCTAACAAACACAGAATTCTTTAATTATTTAATTTTTGTTGGATGAAAAATTACTTAATTAGAATTGATGTAGGATTGATTTTGGTGTAGAATTTAGCCAATTCTGTCGATTAATTTTTGATTAATTTAATCGGACTTCGGTAAAAGCCATCCTCGCTCAGGCTGTTTTATTACTACGATAACTCACCGTCAAAATTTGATAACCAAGGATGCACACGAGAGAAGTGGCTCCTAGAAGATGAGCCAACAGCGTCACGCTGAATGCCTTTTCTATTGCTCTTCCCATTCTAAAATACAAATAACTACAACTTACAACAGTAATTGTGCGTTACACTCCTCTTGTCTAATTCTTTGAATAAAATTTCACCCCAAAGATGCGACAACAGACGGTAATCACTTGAATTTAGAAGAAACCCAAATAGACAAAAAGATATCTTTTAGATTTCTAAAAGATAACTTGCAATGTCTTGAGATATCTTACATTTTTTCCGAAGAGATATCTTTTAGGGATCTAAATGTTAAAGATATCTTTCAAGACATCTTTTGGATGCCTGTAGATATCTTTTAGAAATTCTATAAAGATATATCTTCAACAAAATCTATTTAAATATCTTTTAGACAACTTCTAGACATCTTTTGGAAATGTCTTGAAGATATCTCTTGAATATCTCTTGAAGATCTCTCTCTCTCTCTCTCTCATAAGATCTCTTGAAGATCTCTCGAAGATATGTCTTGAAGATCTTTCATAAGATACCTTTCAGATGTCTACAAGATACCGATGTTTACTGGGAAGCTTCGGATATATGAGAGCTCCGTCGATGAGAATAAACTAGTAGGAGCCCGTAAAAAAGACACATCGAAAAGTGCAGTGCTCTCGTGGAAAAAAAGTAGAAAAGAAAAAAAACAGAAACGAGAAAGAAACTTACTGTTTGCGAGCATGAGAGCTCACCGTAGCAATCGCAAATGCATGCGTACGACGTTCCGTATCTCGCGCTGGCAGCTGAAGGGATCGGTATCGATGTTGTTGATACGCAGAGCCAGCACCGACATTTGCCCGCAAATGTGAAAGACCAGGGTGACCATGATGCAGTCAGCGGCGCTCTGTCCGAAGCCGCTGACGAACACGAAGGGCAATTGCAGGCCGTACGTGATGACGTAGGTGCGCATGTCCTCCACCACGTGGAACATGTGAAAGCGATAGGGCAACAGATAAATCACCCGCGTCGCGTTCTCGCCGATCGCTACTCGCGGCAGACCTGGAGGAGCGTTCGATTGTCTCGTCAATAGCGGCTTCGGGAAATAACGTGCTCAATGTCCCGGCAACGTTTGAGCGTAGGTCGGTCACCAAAAAATACAATGTACAATATTGAGAATAGTTTTGATATAAATATTTGCATTTACTCGGAAACTCGAAAGATCTCAAACTCTCAAAACTCCATCCTTAAGCGAAGAAAAATGATTTGAACCAATGTATTTAACGAATGACCATTATTTTGCCAAGCCATAGGTGCGTACTTATTTAATTAATTTTTATTTTAACACAAAAGTATCGCATTAGGTCTATTTCTTTTTTCCAACTAATCGTCAAATATTGGAGTTCCTTTTTTACAATAATTATTACTTTCCATTCATTGTTGTTAAAAGAAATAGTAAATATTTTGTTTCAAAGTGGTCGGACACCGGAATGTGATCTTGAGAACTTTACGGGAACGTTAAGGGAAAATGTAACGACTCGTTACTTCCTGAGAACAATAATTAGTTCTTTCTCACAATGAGCAGTAATAAACGATTACTTTTGACGATTTGCTCCAGCGAGTTACTCCTCGAAGAGACTTTTTCACCCTTGACAATAAGGCAACGAAGAAAACAACGAAAAGAAAAAGGCAGACCGTTTTGACGTAATTGTTGACCGTCGCGGCCGATTTGACTCAGAAAACTGAAGAAAAATACGTGCGATTAATTGATCTAATTAAAATACGCGCACGTGTCTTCGCGTGAAATACGCCGGAATTAAATATAAATGACTCACCGCCTCCAAATATAATTATAATTGGTGTCAAATAATACGACGTGGCTGTCAACGCGACGAACACCATCAGCAACTTCACGAAGATCTTTGACCTGGCGTTATACGAGATGAACGTTTTCATTTCCTCGAACGTTCTGTAACACGTCCTATCGAAGTCCTTCATGGCCTCGGTTATGACCTCACCAATTTGACCGTTATATAACCGTAGTGCGCTCATTCGGACGAATATTTGCGAGAACGCCATATTCTCCGTTAGATTCATCACCACGCGCTCGAGGTCGCCGATGAAGAGGAACAGATCGAGGTATTCCAGAATCATTAGGAGGCTGAAGTAGCCGAAGTTAACGGTGAAAATCAAGTCGTTCGAGCGAAACGGCCAGAGCCCCAACGTCGACATCAGCCGTTTGTTCCACGACAGCACCTGGGCTGCGCGCTCCAGGTCCTTCTGATCCTGAAGAAACGATCGCGCTTTCTCGTCCGTACGTTCATACGATCCTTTCGAATTGGCGATACCGCGACTTCTCTAATTCCGATATTGGCTCGAGTTGCGAGTAACTTTCGCTTTTCTCTGTTTTTCTTGGCTTTCTTACTTCTCTTTCTACAAGTGCTGAAAGAGAGGAACGTTCCGAGCGAAAGGGAACATCCCGACTTTGTGGCAAGTTACTCGCTCGATTCAATATATCGATATGCTCTCTGAATGTTATTGAGACTCCATTCGAAAAATGGAGCGGCAACCGAATCGCTCGAAGCAATCGTGATTTATCGTTTACGTGGAAAAATCGTTCACGCAAAAAAAAGTATTCTATTTGTAAAGTTATTTTTCTCATATTCTAAGCGAAGCCTTTTACAGAAGAAGGATTCCTCTTTCGATAAGGCGATTAAAGTGAATCATTCATCTCAGATTTATCAGATATTATTCTAACTGTTTTCCTCTTATTTCAAGAGGATTTCCCCTTATATCAATTAATGTTCCTCTTATATGAAGAGGAATATATTGATTTGAATGTCGGCTTCTTTTGTTCAGTCATTACCTTCCTCGCGATAATTTATTGCAAGAAGTTGAATAATATATTCTTTCTTTTAACTATGTTTCATATTAGTTATGATGAACATCTTTGTAGCGAAGAAGTCCACAACAAAATTGATTAGAAATTTATTTGTTACGATGATCTTATTTCATTCGTGCCTACTTATTGTGGAACTGAAGTCAGAAGTACATTTATATATATACATTTATATATATTACTTTTCGCTATACATTATAATAATTTTATAATAAAATCCTACCGATAAAGATCAGTCGCAATTGTTGCCCCGAGTGGATTTTCGCTTGTTTCGAATGAGATTTCGGCGAAAGATTCAAAGAGCACAATATGACGTAACGCGAGAATTCGCTAATATTTGCAACTCACCTGCATCGCGTTTTTACGCTGTTGTTTCCTCGAGAGCTTGCACGAAACTGCATCGAACGTACTCGCGGCGGGGGTGGTGCAAGTAACGCTCATCGTCGCTGCTGCTGCTGTTGCTGCTGCTTTGAGCTGTCTATAGAATCGGGGAAAGCGGCCGATATCGCGCAGAGCCGGCGACAATTGCACCGAAAATTGACGTGCATACGTACGAATCGCATATGAGCGTGTTACTCGACCCACCTGCGCCCGCAATTTTATGCAAAATCGCCGCGCGCGAGCGACGTAGCGTCGTTCCACGCGCAATTAATTGCCGACGTCGACGATACCGATTTGTCATCATTATACCCGCAACTACGAGTCGCCGCTGAACGCTTCTGGGAATAATTGCGAAGGCAAGAAATCTCAGGCGCGCCTTATAGAACAATTATCGTAAAGATATCAAGTAGTCGCGACTCCGATCGTAATCCCAGGGCTGTAATTTAGCTATCGTAATGCGTTCCCTCGACCGCTACCACGTGGCCACGTGGTCAACTCCTGAACTTTTACCCGCTGAACTGAACTTTTATCATCCCGAGCGAACTCGTATCTCTTTTCGCGAGAGATTATTATTCGATTGACGTATCGTAAATTTTATTTCTCTTTCCTGTCCCTTCTCGAGAAAGAAGTCATACGCTATGCACACAGGAGACGACGAATAGCGACGACGAACGTACGTGTCCAAGTGCGGATCCAGGGCAGTTTCTACGTATATTTCTCTATTTGTAATATACAAATTCGATATTCGTGCGCCGTCCAGAGTGTTTACCACGCATGACACTTCACAACAGAGTGCGCAGCACCGACAGATACGCCAGTGAGGTTTTGATAATCTGCATCCAGTCAGAGAGGTAAAGTTCTATTAATAAATTCTATTAATAAAAATTCTATCAATAAAGATTCAACTATGTCGGTTGTGCCGAAAAACGGAAAACGAAATCTCACTGGAGGGATCTCGATTCAGGATCTTGTCTCGAAATCGTGTTCTTTTGAAGACACAGATAGTATAGAAATTACGGAAGAACAAATTCTACTGCCGAAATAGAACGAAGCGTCACTGGACTCACATCCGTGAAACCGTTCAAGGAGAACACGTAAAATTTCCCGGCTGTCAGATAGAGCATGACCTGGCTGCGAATCATACACATCAGGAGATTCCTCTTGCAGTTGAGCGGCATCTCGTACCAGTTGCATTGATAGCACGCATCCAGCACGCTTATGCACTAAACACAAAGCACAAGCGGCCGATTAACGCATTTCGCATGGATAGCATAAAACGATAAGCATAAGAGAAGCAAAAACTTCGTTATCTTTATCAATGAATAATAATTCGGTTACCCCTTTCGTGCCTGGTGGGACGTACTCGTATATGTCCTGGAACTTTAAAAATTCATATCTCCCACATAAATAAAGATATCGACTTCTTCTTGAGCTGATTTTAAAAAGGAAAGATAGAAATCTTCACACAAAAATCAACACCCTTGTTAGTTTCAAACTGCATATCTCGTCAAATACTCGTATGTAAAATAGGGTAAAAGTGAAAAATATATATATATTTCACAAAAATTAAGATAGCAAGTTCTTCTTCTGGGCTCATTTTGAAAGTCAATGTAAGGGCTATATGAAACAAAATTGCTACTTAATTTCAAAATGGCAGATTCAATATGGCGGACAGAAATGTGAAATTTTCTTGGATTTGAGTGAAACTCATTTTTCAGGAGTTTTTTGAGTCGCTGATAACGAATATAAAGTTAAAATTTTCAAATTCAATATAGTCATATCTAATACAGCTGACAAAATAAAAAAGTAAATAAAAAAGGTCGACTCAATTTTATTCACATTTCCTGGAATTTTTTGAAGCACGGAATGGGACAGAATGGAACTTTATACGCTGTGCATATTGAATTCGTCATTTTTAATTTTGAAATTTTGACTACAGATTCGTAATCAGCGATTCTAAAAACCTTTAGTAAGACATCAATTAGATGCAAATTATCCCTAGAAAAAGGTCAGACACGAAAGGGTTAAGTCAGTTAACGACCTGTTGAGTCAGTTGCTCGCCGATCAAGCAGCACCCGTAAAGCATAACGATCGAAATTACGGAGAAAAATATGAATGTACAGCAGGTCGCCAGTTCCGAGATGTCCAGGTTCTGAAAAACGCATTCTTGAAACTTTTTCCAACGGAATTCCACTCGAGAAGTAGAGAGACAGCCGAGTCGTCCTTGTTACACAACTTCGTGCGGCAGAAATTATTCTGCACCATCGAGTGAATCTTTCTGTTAAAAATTTCGAAAAGCCCGTTAAATTGGACCTTTGTCTCTCGTAATTCTCGTGATTCCGATCATAGAAGAGCTCGCGATGACGTACCATCAGGACCTGATACATCGAGATGATCAATATAACGCTAAGGCCGAAGAGCTCACTCATTAGAACCATGTTGAAAGCGTTGTCCACGGACTTCGCCATCCTTCAGGAGCGCCATGGCATTCCGGTCAGGTGACGAAGATGAGCAGATCGCAGGTGAGAAACATAAAGAAAAAGGTAAAGTGTTGTTGACGATACCGTTGTGCATATCGCATGAGATTGGCTCACCATATTATCTTGAGATGCATTTGGACGAAGCTGCGAATTCTAACCACCAGCGCATCCCGCGAGTACGCTTCTACGTTCTTAATGCGGTACGACAGAATGGACAACTCGCCGCAAATGTGAAACACTAAAATAACCAAGAGGCAGATCGCCGCCATGTGACATATGGAGTTGTAAAACATCGGGCACAGGTAAAGATACACGAGCACGTATGTCCGGGTGCTGGCGATATCGAAAAACGTGCGGATCCTGTAGGGTAAGACGAAAGATCCCGTGCCGTTAATAAATTCTGCGCAGAAAAAGAGAAATGCTGGACAGTGAAACGGCAAAATATTCATATCGATCGTAATATCGATCGACCTGGCCACGCCGCGGTTAGCCAAATGATTTTTATGCTATTGTCAGTGAGAAATCGATTAAAACGTGAAATTATTAATATCGAAGTATATCTTTAAAGTCGATAAATCGATTAAAATGTGAAATTATTAATATTGAAGTATATTTTTAAATCAGAAAAACAAACGTCTCGTTAATGTAGAATTGAATTCTGTAGAGTCTGATTTCGAACTCTAATCTTGACAAAACTGACGCTTGATTCTTTATTTTCAAAAGATTATTTCACTTTTTATGCGTTTTAGTCGCCACAGGGCGACTTGGGTTGGCCAAGTCTATTGTAAAACTTTGGTAAACAAAGACAATGAATCAAAGGACATTGGTCCTTCTTCTGAGGAACAGAAACGAAGGATATATTTCCCGCCTGTATACCTTGATCGTCGGCCGAGAAACTCATGAGCGGTCTAAAATATAACAACATCACCGTGACGAACATGCCGACGATCGAGCCATAGAGAAATATCTTAGACGTGTAATTGTAACTGTAGTAAATCCTCTCTTCCTCGGGATCCTCGAACTTCTGCTCCATCATGTCCTGCCTCATCACGACGATGATGCGCTTCAGCAAGCCGCTGCAACGGATCATACACACCATTGTGAAAGTGGTGGTGTAGGCCATCGTCTCTACGAGATTCATCACCATCAGCTCAAGATCACCGAAGACCTCGCAGAAATTCGCGTACGCCATGACGAGGTACAGCATAAAATACAAGATGTAAATCGCAAAACGAACGTACGTACGCTCGAACGGCCATATCCCCCCGATGGAGAAGATCCGTTCTAAGTGAACGAACAAATCTTCGATATGGCCGACATCAGTCTGCAAGAATCAAGAAGTTCAGAATGAAAGCGTAACGGGATCGGGTCGTATCTTATTTTTCTCTCGCTTTTCGAGTTTGCATCAAAGGAAGAACTTCGAGTGAATGAGACATCACAATTCCTTTCCCTTAAGAGTACTTTTATTCCCCAAGACTTTCACACTTACAGTATAGTCCTTGCCAGACTTGGTCTTCGCGCATATCGTGGATCTTTTCGAACGATACATTTCCCTTTACGGCAACGACGAGATTTGGATCTACTACGTCGAGAGAGAAAGAGGAGAGAGAGAGAGAGAGAAAGAAAGAGAGAGAGAGAGAGAGAGAGAGAGAAAGAGAGAGAAAGATTCTTCAGTTGCTTTATTTCCCCATGTGTGATGTCCTGATAACTGAAATGACACACACGATGGTATATCCAACGTGAAGAAAACTTGTGAAGATAGTCAAAAGTTACCTATGAGGTCGAAGTAGCCGAAAATATCCGCGTGTAAGTATCGCAGGAAGATAGAGAAATTTTTTTTGGCTAATTTTTACATTTTGCACTCGCCATCAAAATGGCGATCGATTGGCAAACACGAAAAGATGAGAAGGGTGCAACAAGTTCCAACAAGGAATATTCGCGATTCACGAAAAATAGCCGTGCTCTCACCCTCGCAACCGATCGCCGAAGTTGTGCTTCTTCATTCACCGATTATCCGCAACTGCGACTCGATGATGTGATTGGGGCTTAATATTATTAAACTTAAGATTTGAGGACCGAGCGTTTGCGACGCGCTCGTACTTGCCTGATTTCCGTTGTTGGTTTGCGCACGATTAAATGTCCGACGGTCGTAATGTATACACAGACATCTGTTATATTCATCCAAACCGATATTAAGGCATTAAGCCATTATTAAACGTCATTTTACCTAGCGCATCGATTATCTTACCGTCTCGCGTTTATGACGAAAAGCAAACGCGCTTATAGCATTTTGTGGAGGAACTATCGCGCAGCTATTTTTAACATCGGGTAGTCGACGAACTTGTCCAATGCTTCGCGAAGTCTCAACCATAGTCATGGCTGTCGACGTGGACATATCGCGGATATTCTTATTGAAACTACGTTGACATATTGTATTTTATCTTTGATATTTTATATCAAAGTCACTCGCTGAGTCACACATCGGTATTGAGCTTGAAATTTGCCGGTATGAAATTTACTAGAAACTAACGAGAAACTAGAAGTTGAAGATCGGCAAAAATCGGCAAGTAGACACACGTTAAAATCTCATTGTTTCTCCAAGCTATTATTATCAGAAATATATCAATAACCTTTTTCACTTGTTAGTGTCGAAAAAAGTATTGGAAATATCACATCGACTAACATCACATGTCATCGACATGTGAGAGAAGCAAGCTGTAGCAAAACGATAATATTTACACCAATTTTATTTATAAAAATTATCTTTCGTTATCTTTCATTGTGTACGAGCAGCTTAACGGAGAGATTTGTATCGAAGATTATTATTGATATAAGGCAAGGTATTTATTTGACGCTGGTAAGTTCATGAATTCATCAAAATTATGGGGTCATCAAATACAATTAAAAATCTAGTTTTGCTTATGCCTATATCTCGTCTTGTAGATAAATTTTCGCGTATTCTCCGTAATTCATATTTCGAAAAATATTTCGAATCTTCTCATGCGAAGACTTTTTTCGAAGACTTCTCACAGGAAGTTGCGCAATATGGACAAGTACGCCATCGAAGTTTTCACTATCTGCAAACGAAATGAATTATAAGAGAACATGTACAAGTTCACATCAAGATAAAGCACACTTAAGTACAGTGAACCTAACTTGTCGACTTACACTTGTGAATGTGTTCAGTGATAACGGGTAGAATTTACCGGCGGTCAACACCAGCGGCTTTTCGGGTCGGATCATACAAATACTGAGAATCTTCCCGCACGACGGCGAAATATTGTACCAATCGGTGTTGTAAAAAGTGTCGCGCAATCTGACGCTCTGAGTGGAAAACGAGAGATTTCGCATGGAGTCGCTGCGGCAGAAAGGTCACGACGTTTTTTCTTCGAACGAATTTTGCAACGCATCCGTATCCAATAGCAACTCCGTTGAATAAGTATCGTAGGATAAATTGTTCCTCTTGCGAGTACGTTCCGAGGTACGTTCAAAGTGAAAAAAGCGTCGCGACCTTCCTTCCACCGGCGTTGAAGTCGAAGAAAATCGATCAGGCTCGAAGAAGAGAGAAAAGGAAAGGAAAATAGTCGCCTATGATTTATTTATCGATGCGAGTTTGTAATAAGAAAACTCACCAAGTCAGCTCGATAATTACCTCCTTAATGAGGCATTCTCCGATGTAACAGTACGCGAAAATCGTGCTGATCACGCAGCTTGTGTACAACAAGAAAGTCACGACGTTAGTGCTGGCGCCATTCACCGAATTCTGAAATACAATTACATTTTACTCGCAAACGACAAACCTAATCTCTAGAATTTATTGCAAGTGTTATGTATATTAATTGTCAGACACCTTGTATAACGTTAATTGATAGATTTGGTGAGGCTTCCACGTTATGGAGAAATTTTTTAGATTTTGCTTTAACTAATTTTGGATTAAAACCGCGTTTTCTTCTTACTGAATTTATCTGTTTTCAACAAGCTAACGACGACGAAACAAATTCACACGGCGAAGCCAAGATCAGTATCGTTATTCTTCGCGATCGATCGATTAATCGATGTCTGAACCAGACGCTTAAGGCCATCACACACAAACGAACTTAAGGCCATCACAAATGAACGTAAGCAGTAAGACGTAAGCAGTAAAGAAACTGACCAATCACAATCAATTATTCTCGTAAGTTTTAAAATGGTGTCTTTAAATTTCGATTGTGATTGGTCGATTTGCTTACTGTTTACGTCTTACTGCTTACGTTCAATTGTGTGTGATGGCCTTTAATATCTCAAATCGTGGAACTTACCGCGAACATATGATACGTAGTCAAACAGAGCAAGAAAACGGTGCCTAGAGTTTGCTGAAGAAATATCATACTGAAATTGTTTTCCAAGATCTCTGCTAATCTGGAATGCGCCGAGTATATAATCTCAAGATTATATTATCATGTTGTTCCCGACATCGAAAATTTTATTCATCGCGCGATCCTACAAGGACTATTCCACGTCGTACAAGTATGTAGCGTTCGCGATCAGAAAATAAAAATTGCAGATATAAAAGATTGCAAACTAGAGATGTGCGAACTATTCGAATTCGAATCCCTATGATTCGAATCCGAATAATTCGAATAGGAGTCAAATACATTATCGTATGCATCAGCAACAAAACGGGCCATCTGGGCTTGTATATTTGAACCCTTAACTTGTAATTAACTTAATTAACTTATAATTAATAACTTAATTATAAATTACTTTAATTATTTGAATATATACTTTACTTTAAGATGATATGACAATATCAATATTCCCTTTCACATTAAAATCTTCCATCATTATTTGCATGTTTAATAGTCATGTTACATTTTTTTATGATTCGATTCGATTTCATTCGATTCGATTCGAATTCGAGTGAAATTTCATAGATTTGATTTGATTCGAATTCGAATTTAGAAAATGAGATTCGATTCGATTCGATTCAACATAAAAATTCTTGATTCGCACATCTCTACACAATACCAGGATATGGATGAAACGTCTTTTCGTTCAAATCCCAATTTGGACAAGGATATTTTCCGATTATACTTCTCACTTTAACTTACACTAAGTGGAAAAGGTAACGAAAAAATGCAGCTACGAGTTCGATCCTATCGGACGATCATCCTTTGTAAAAAGAACGCGCAAGCGCGCGCCAATGACAATAAACCCAGTCAGAACTGTAACGTTGATTCGATATTGATTGATTGAGTTGAAATGGTGGACGATGAAACGTTGAATCAACGTTAATTCAACCCTCATCGACGTCGAATCGACGTTGTAGTTCTGACTGGGAAATAAACTCACTTGATTAGCTGACGATGCCTCAATACAATGGTACCGATATGATGATTATAATTCTCGTGATCTTTCAACAATTGTTCGATTTTACACGACAGAACGGCGAGTTGGCCGCAGATGTGGAGGGCCATGCTGAGTACGAAGGAATCCGGTGCCGAATAGCCGCACACTATCGTCGGCAAGGCAATTATTTGATAAGCGCAAAGGCAGAAGTAGGTGGTACTATCCTGGATTTCGAAGAAAGGATACGTCCGGTATGGTAATTCGTACGAAGCGTTACGAGTCGATACTGCGTAAAATAATGTTATTTCTAACTCCTTATCGTTGTTACCACGTGCCTATCTTACGTGTGTTTCTTGTAAATAATATGCAAAATTATACGGTGTATTTTATCTTCTAAACGGTACGTCATACTAATACTTTATTAATGCGTTGAGTAATCGCACAGAGTATCGCATGTATCGATTTATCGTTTACTGTGCAATACAACGCTTCAACGCGATTGCGAGTTTGAGAAATTACTTTTTCTAAGGTAACTCGTTGTATTATATGTGGCGTATTAAAAAAAAAAACAACTGCTTACGGTTATCGCTGTTGCATTTGTTAATTAATAAATCCATTTAATAATTATGTACTGTAACTTTTTGTATTTTTTAACTTTTGTACTTTTGTATCGTTTTTAATAATTACGTAGTTTTGTATAAACAATAACAAAAATGTTATCGATTTCGTTATTCAAGAAGTAACGGTCGTTATTCAAGAATGAATGGAATAGAAGAAGATCGGAAGATCGAAAATTATAACGACTCGTTAATAAATAAACAATTTTCGGTCAAAGTAATTGAGAGAGAGAGAGAGAGAGAGAGAGAGAGAGAGAGAGAGAGAGAGAGGGAGAGAGAGAGAGAGAGAGGGAGAGAGAGAGAGAGAGAGAGAGAGAGAGAGAGAGAGAGAGAGAGAGAGAGAGAGAGAGAGAGAGAGAGAGAGGGAGGGAGGAAGAAAGAGAGAGAACGAGGAAGAGGAAGATCTGGAATAATGAAAGTCGTCGGTGAATTCTCGAATAATTTTAACAAAATTTGCACGATCTCCAAGTCGTGTTTGCCCTCGACAAAGATATATCAACGTCTAATCATCACGTTTATACCACACGCACATATCGCATTCTGTATTCATGCCAGAACATACAAAAGCTCGACGATACGGGCGATAACGTATCACGAATTGTCGCGAAATACAGAAAAATACACGACATTCGTCGTACACTTACCTGTCCAGTTTTCGAGAAACCCCATTATATAATACAATATAGTCGTTAACGTGGCCAAGCCTAGCGACACTTTGATGAATATAAGTGCGAACTCGTTGTAATGCAAATACAACGCCTTCTCCCGCGCGTTGCTGTAACTCTTGGCCGAAAAGTCGGGCTGGATGGTGTTTAAAAAGTAGACCATTATCCTGCGGCTGCGCTCGCATATGAGCATCTTGCCTATTATCATCGTGAATAGAACGTTCTCCGTCAGATTGGCGACGATGTATTCCGGCTTGCTGAAATATTTGACCAAGTGAGCCCCTCCCATGGTGCAATGGATCGCCACGTAGACGAGGAAGAATACGAACGCCACCCGATTCACTTTAGTAGGCCATATTCCGAGAATGATTAAGAACCGTCTGTTCCACGATATTATCTTGAACGCTCGGGTGAATTCCGTCTAAAAGAAAAATCGGGAGATCGTCGTAAGATCATATATACCGGATGTATCTGACCACCCGTCCATCTTGATTTTTTAGTAAACGCGACATTTTAGAAAAAAATATTTTAGAGAAAAGTTGTTTAATTTCAAGAGGAACATAAAATAATTACATCAGTTTGTTTACAGATGGCGCCACTTTCGAGATTCACTGATCATTACTTTTCTTAAATGGAAATTCCAACTTTTTATTATATCGTCTTTTCTTACCAATTAATTTAAACAATTTTTGTTTGAGACATTTTTTTATTTGCCTAATATTTAAAGAAAATTTGGTAACTTTTTCAACATTTAACTTACGATATCTTGTTAACTGTTTATGGAAAGAAAAAATGATATTAGACTTCTTTACTCTATTTGGTCTCAAGAATATATTGTTACAATAGAGCCCTGATTTTTGACTAATTTGATAATTTTAAAATTTCCAGAAATCGATAAGTTAACAAAAGTTAGGGCATTACTGTAGCAATATATTCTTGAGATTAAATAGAATAAAAAAGTTTAATACCATTTTTTCTTCCAACGAACGGTTAGCGAGATATCGTAAGTTAAGTGTTGAAAGAGTTACCAACTTTTCCTTAAACATCTCAAAAACTATTAGACAAATAAAAAAATATCAGACAAAAATTGTTCAAATTAATTCGTAGAAAAAGATGATATAATAAATAATTGAGATTTCCATTTAAGAAAAGTAATGATCAGTGAATATCTCGAAAGTGGCGTCATCTGTATACAAACTGATATAATCGTTTTATGTTCCCCTTAAAACCATACAATTTTTCTCTGATACATTTTTCTCTAAAATGTCGCGTTTACAAAATAATCAAGGTGGACGGGTCGTCAGATACACCTGGTACATGACTCGAAAGAGAGAGAGAGAGAGAGAAACATCTACAATATTATCCGACCGGGCTCATCGTAACTACAACTCACATTCGCCAGATGCAGTTTTCTCAAAAAAAAAAAAAAAGAAAAAGGAAAAGGAATAAGAAAAATTATCAAGGAAAAAATATTATATTAAAAAATATACAAGAAGATGAAAATAAATCTATGCAAAACTGACAGAGTTTCCGTCTATACTGGACGTTCCACTTTTACCGAATAGATTTATCAAACGCTCGGAGAAAGATAGCACTCCAATGCAAGGAGCAAAGAATGCAAATGAAAGTAACAAATGCTAAAATAACTGATAGAGGAGAGGAGAGACAATTGCAAATTCGAATTTACACACTTGCATGATTCGCGCACCTTCGACGCGTGTTTACAGCCGACTGATCGCAAGAGTCCCGTGTCTGCTCCGAAGTTAACTTCCCATCGAAGAAGAGGGAATCGTCGATCGTGTAGAAACGAGGGGACACGGTCAATTATCCTGCAAGATTAATAAACTGGTCTCGTTGTCTGCCTCGGAATGCGACGTCGGAAGGAACATAATGAAGCGGAACGTAATTGTAAGCTAGCGTTCGTCTGAAATATCGTAGGTACACCATAATTATAGCTTTCCCCTAATGTTTCCTCTCGTTTCACATATTATAAGACCTCGTTCCGTTTTGTTCTTGACGTGCAATAATACCGAAAGATACCCATTTAGCCGGTTCAGGCTTATCGTGATGTTCGTCAGATGTCTTTTTCTCAAAAAAAAAAAAAATAAAGAAAAATGGAGAGAGTGAAGAAAACGGCAGAGGAGAGAAAAAAGAGAAATACGCTTGTTAGAGAGCCACACTTGGGAAACACAGCAGTTGGTGCGCAACCATTTAGTGGCCACTATATCGCAAACTATAGCATTAATATTTCTATTGTCATATGTGTGAAACTCTTGTTGTATATTCTTTCCAGTCGCACATATTGTACTAATAACGAGTGTTTGTGTGAGAGTGAACGAGATAGCTGCTCTTGCATCAATTATATCGACCATACTACGTGAATCAACGAGACGGGCATGTTTAAAAATAGTCGCCAAATTCAACTGAATGAAACGCCCACGAGTGGCCGGTGGGTGATACGAGAGCCAAGATAAGCGATAAAAAATCGATAATAACAAGTAGTTCTATTAATTGTTAATCGTTCATTAAGAGTCTTGTTCCGCGGAAATGTCAAGTTTGCAGACGACCGAACAAATATCGAATAGCAAGATAAACACGCAATTTCCGAGAATAGCGATAATCAGAGAGAGAGAGAGAGAGAGAGAGAGAGAGAGAGAGAGAGAGAGAGAGAGAGAGAGAGAGAGAGAGAGAGAGAGAGAGAGAGAGAGAGAGAGAGAGAGAGAGAGAGCGAGAGAGAGAGAGAGAGAGAGAGCGAGAGAGAGAGAGAGAGAGAGAGAGAGAGAGAAGAGAGAGATGTTATCAAATAATTTACAATCGCTGAAGCGTCAAACTGAAGCTCACTGCCTCACTCTGTTTACCTCATGTTGCTCCATATTGCTTAACAGACAGAATGATAAGAATGTGTAATAGTAGCGCGTACAATAGAGCGGTGTGCAGTCTTGATCGAACGTGTTATCAGTTAAGGTAGTAAGAGCCATCCGAGCCGATTATTAGCGCGGTCGATTCAGTGAGTTCAATACTTCTCTTCTTGTTTTTCACCAGGTTTATTCGAGATTTTTCCGTAGATTGGGAATGGAGAGGTAATATATGGTTGCATTAAATTCTAATAACAGAAAATTGACGCGAGATTCTCATGAAAACATTGCTAATCTGGCAACCTCACTTTGTGTCTTTAACGCTTTCATCATGACCTGTAATAATATTATGAAATATATTTACAGATAGCAATACGAGTGTAGCGGAAAATACACGCATATGATGGAAAATAATTAAAGATCGAAAAGATTCCCATCGAGAAGCATCATCATGATAAATGACGATCAAAAAGAATATCCAAAAAATCCGCGTCAAAATGCGAATGTCATCTCTCTCCTCACTTATTGGTAATTTCACTTGTCAGCAGTGTTTACTGAAGTTAACGATAAAAGCATTGGCGAATTTAACACTTAACGATCCAATACAGTGAAATATACTATTCACGAAATCACGAATGCATGTGACATTGATGGTATAACTAATATGAAATGAATTTCAATTAATTAATTACACAGTAGTCAAGTTTTATCGATGTATTAACGTAACAACAATGTGCTAATTTGAATTAAATTAACATATTAATAATATATAAATGTTTCGACGCGCAGGTGGACTCGAAAAATTTTCCGAGTTGGCTACAAGAAGGAACTGGAGGAGACCGATCTTTACGCTACCCTTACGCAGGATAGAACAAGCTATTTAGGTGAGATCATTGCTAAAGCTTGGGAGGCAGAAGTGGAATCATGCGCGAGAAGAAATGAATCGAGCAATAAGAAGAAGAACAGCTTCAAGCCGCAATTAATCAGAGTACTAGTGCGCTGCTTTGGAAAACCATACTTGCTGATCGGGATAGCGGAAGCGATTATGGAATTATTCTCCAGGTATATGAATCTCTGAAGAAATCAGAATTAACCGATCACACCTGCGCTTTGCCGCATTGATAGAGTACAACTTGTACAATTGAACTCCAACGTTGAGTTCTCTCGTTGCTCGCTAATTCGTAAATTCTAAATAATTTCAATTGCATTGTAGAATATATCAGCCATTGTTGCTTGCTACTTTGCTACGTTACTTTGAAAAGAGCAAAGAAGAATGGAGCGACGAAGTCTATTACTGCGCGGCTGGTATAATTGTGCTGTCTATTGTTGACGCTTTTATTACACATTATAGCATACACTACACTATGCACATAGGATTAAAAATCAAAATCGCTTGTACTGCACTCGTTTACCAAAAGATATTAAGACTCTCCAGTTCCGTGCTGGATAACGAGACGTCCGTTGGGCAGGTAAGTCAGATGTCGAAGTAAATTTGGTAGAAAATTAGAAAACTTTGTTACTCTACTTATAAATATAAACAAGACCAATGAAAAAATGGAAGTATCAAGGAAAATGAGAGGAGGGAAAAAAATATTCATTCTCACCATTTTTAGATGGTAAATTTTCTGAGTAGCGACATTACTAGATTGGAAATGTCGTTGATTGATCTGCACTACATTTGGATCTCCCCCATTCAAATGATGATGATTATTTATTTCATATTCCCCGTGGTTGGATGGGCAGGCGTATTGGGAATAACTGTACTTTTGCTATTTATACCTTTTCAAGGTAAGTTGTATCAAGGTAAATGTTATAATAATCAAAAAAGGCTAATACGGTAAAACATAAATGTTCACGAGTCTCGAGTCTAAGAGCAATAATTCGGATATAAAATTGGAGATCTCAAATGAGATTCAATGAGACGCAATAGTACCATGCCATGCGTACTTGACATAAGCAAATGTTGCAAAGTGTCGAACGAAATGTACCATTTCAGTGTTCTTGGCGAAGAAGATCACACCTCTGACGATTAAAACGGCAGAGAGATCGGACAACAGACTCAGATTGATGAGTCAAGTAATCGCCGGCTTACAGGTGATAAAAATGTACGTTTGGGAAATTCCCTTCGCCAATCTCGTGGAAAGGGCGAGAAAGTGAGTATTTACGTTGAAACTCATCAACAAACGTTGCAACCTACGGAGATAAATTCAAGCTATCGTTCGTTATCGCAGCACGAAAATTGCATAGTCTGTCGATATACATATCCTTAATTCGAATAAATTAGAGTCCTGCAACGTATCGGTGGAAATGTCACGAGCATAAATTCGTGAGACGGTCTTTAAACGCAACTTGATTCTTTCCAGACGCGAGATGGGCGTGATAAAAAAATTTTCTATCCTGAAGCAAATGGCACTCACTCTCGACTGCTACGTGCCACGACTCTGCGTCTTCGTTACGATATTCTCGTACGTGCTGCTCGGGAATTTTATCAATGCCGAGAAAGTGTATCTAGCAACGGCGTACTTCAACGTGTTACGGAACTCGATGATCTTTGGATTCGCAATGGGTAAAACTGTCGAGGAGAATAAAAATCAAGCCTTGGCGCACAAGTGCGGCTTGCGTTTTTCTTTTTTTTTGCGACACACTGTTATAATATATATATTAGGTAAATCGGAAAGTTCCGTCCATCTAGCGGCAAGTAGCTATAGCTAGAACTGTCGTTAACCTCTAATGTCGAAGCTTAATGATTTGTTTTGACATCTGTCAATAACATTCGGTACATAAAGGTATACGTTTGCATCAATAACATTGTTTTTCACTGCATCGAAAATGTCGAAATTTGAGCCAAATAAGCGTCATTTGCGCGAAGTGTTAATCTTTTGCTTCAATTGGAAGAAACTGTAGCTGAAGCTCATCGAATGCTTGTAGAAGTTTATGGTGATAATGCTCCTTCCGATGAAACATGCAGAGAATGGTTTCGACGCTTTAAAAGTGGTGATTTTGATATAGAGGATAAAGAGCGTTCTGGACGGCCAAGAGTATTCGAAGACGAAGAATTGCAGGCATTGATGGACGAAGACCCATGTCAAACGCAAAAGCAACTTGCAGAAGCATTAAATTATGCTCAATCTGTCATTTTCGGTCGTTTGAAAGTCTTAGGAAAGGTTTACAAGGAAGGAAAATGGATCCCATATGAACTGAAGCCAAGAGACATTAAAAGGCGAAGAACCACCTGCGAAATTCTGCTTGCTAGGCAACAAAGAAAGGGGTTTTTACATCGTATCATCACTGGGAATGAAAAATGGATTTATTTTGACAACCCCAACCGTCGAAAAACTATTTGCGATCCCAGCCAATCCTCAATATCGACGCCAAAGTGGAATATCCATGGAAAGAAGACAATACTCTGTATTTGGTGGGATCAGAAGGGTGTGCTGTACCACGAGCTGTTGAAAAGTGGTCAAACAATCACAAGGGATCTCTACAGAGAATAAATGGTCCGTTTGAGCCGAGCATTACACGAAAAATGACTATGAAACGAGAATATGAAACGAGACAGCATAAAGTGATTTTGCTTCATGACAACGCTCGGCCTCACGTCACAAAATCTGTCAAGGAAACATTAGAAGCATTTCGCTGGGAAGTGTTACCCCATGCAGCTTATTCACTAGACTGTGTCCCTTTCGACTACCATTTGTTTCGGTCGATGGTACACGCACTTGCTGACGAATGCTTCAACTCTTATGAAGATGTCGAAAAATGGATCTCTGACTGGATAGCCTCCAAAGATGAATCATTCTTTCGCCGCGGAATTCGCTTGCCGACCGAAAGATGGAAAAGAGTCATCGCTAACGATGGATAATATTTTGATTAACGTACTTTTTCATTTTGTTTCTTAAATAAAGCCATACGTTTTGTAAAAAAACGGACAGAACTTTCCGATTGATCTAATATATATATATATATAAATATAAATTATAATTTACAATGTATATACAATTATACGTATATATGTATATATATATATAAAATAATATATATTTATATATATAAAATTATACGTACTAATAACGATGTATATACATAAATTATAACAATAAACGCATTTTCCGTAGGTCTTCACCAGTTAGTACAAGTACTGGTGTGTTGTCGCCGTTTACAAAAATTCATGACTCACGCCGAGATCATGAAAACGGCGGAGGAGCCGTGCCAAACAACCAAGAACTCGTTTGCACTTCGTATGACCGATGTCAATGCCAAGTGGCAGGATGATGCCAAGGAGGACACGTTACGCAAGGTGAACTTAACCGTGCTGCCAGGGAGCCTCGTGATCATCGTCGGCTCGGTGGGTTCGGGCAAGAGTAGCCTTTTGCACGCGATACTTCGGGAACTGCCGTTGGCGAGTGGAAGCATCGAGAGTCATGGGAGGATAAACTACGTCAGCCAACAGCCGTGGATCTTTGCCTCCTCCGTCAAGCAGAACATCCTGTTCGGTCAGGCGATGGATAAGTCGCGTTACGACCGGGTAATTAGAATCTGCCAGATGGAATCAGACATCAGATCGTTCAATCACGGTGATCGCACCATCGTGGGTGAGAGAGGGATCAACCTGAGTGGTGGTCAACGCGCTAGGATTAATTTGGCTCGGGCGATCTACAAGGATGCCGATATCTACCTGATGGACGACCCACTCTCCGCCGTGGATTCCCATGTCAGCAGACATATCGTAGATGAGTGTATCTGCGGCTACCTCAAGGTATTTTCTAAATTTCTTTAAATGAAGTTTCGCAGAATGACAAGTTCGAGTAACTTTTCACTCGTATAGTGCAAATTCTCGAGCTTGATAATGAATTGAAGAAGAGTACAGAAAGAAGAAAATCGCATATTAAAGATTCACATTTTCAGTGGAAAAATAACGCTCTTAATTTGATCAATCTATTTCGTTTCTGTTTCGTTGCATTAAAGGAGAAAACAAGGATCTTGGTGACGCATCAGCTACAGTATTTGCCATTCGCCGACCAGATTATCGTGATGAACAACGGTAGTATCGAGCAGATGGGCACTTTCAACGAACTGCAAGCCATGGGTCTGGACTTCATGAAGTTACTGAAAACGATAGACGCGGAAGATGAGAAGACTCAAGCGAGAAAGCCCCAAATGACACAGCGGCAGATGTCAACGCACGAGATCAGCACGAGCGACGACGCAAACTTGGCCGACTCACCGGTCGAAATGCGCGAAGCGATGGCGAAAGGTCGCATGTCTAGTCGGGTGTTCTTCGCTTACTTTAAAGCGAACAAGAAACCTTTCATGAGCGTATTGATGTTGCTGATCTTCCTAGTGAATCAGATAATATCCAGTGGTAGTGATTACTTCATTGCGTTCTGGGTGAACATAGAATCGAACTCGTGGCGTGAGACCGACAATGGTACGATGGCGTTCCTCTGGCAGGGTCCGTTCTCGCGCGACGTCACGATCTACACTTACACCACAATGATCGCGATCATCATACTGCTGTGGAATTTCCAAACGATCGTGTATTTCAACGTGTGCATGTGGTCCTCGGTGAATCTGCATTCCAACATGTTCCGCAGCATATTACGGGCCACCATGTACTTTTACAACACCAATCCAGCTGGTCGCATATTAAACAGGTACGAACTGATTCTCAGGAAGATAGTAGATTAATTCCCGCGGTGGCTGTTATCCCTCTTCAATATTATATGATATTAATAATTAATATTAATTATTAATACTTCATACATCAATCAATTTCATTAGGTTCGCCAGGGATATTAATATCGTCGATCTGATGTTGTCAATGTGTATATTCGACATTATAATCATCGGACTCGGTTTAATCTCTGTGGTATTGATGGTAGTAGCTATTACCCCATGGTTGGCTATACCTACTGTGGTTTGTCTCTGCATCTTCATCGCTTTCCGTACGGTATACATCTGCACTAGTCGTGCTGTTAAACGTCTGGAAGGGATAAGTAAGTGAAACACATGGTATTTATTAAAACGATTATTTACAGGCGTGACAAGCTGTAATTTTCAGCTGGAAAAGTAATGTTCTAGTAATGACAACAATTAGAAATAAGTTTCAAACAAAAGAACCAACTATTATTTAACAAAACAATCATTCTTAGCTCGTTCACCGATCTTCGATCATCTTGGAGCGTCTCTGCAAGGTTTAACGACGATCAGAGCATTCCACGCCGAGGAGATATTAGTGTCGGACTTGTGCAGACATCAGGACCTTAATTCGTCCGCGTGCTACCTCTTCTTAGCCACTTCTCGAACTTTCGGCTTCTACATTGATATAATATGCCAACTTTACATCGGCGTGATAATCATAGCTTTCACCATGTTCGACTTGGCTATGGTAGGCAACATCGGCCTGATTCTCACGCAGATCATGTCACTGACGAACACATTGCAATGGGGAATCCGGCAAACGGCCGAACTGGAGAGTCATTTGACATCAATCGAGAGGATCCTCGAGTACAGCCACTTGGAAGAAGAGCCCATGATAGACAGCAAACCGGAGACCAAGCCGCCAGACAACTGGCCGACGAAGGGCTTCGTAGAGTTTAAGGAGATGAAACTAAGGTACAGTCGTGAAGGCGCTTATGTGCTGCGGGACATCAACTTCGTCGTATCGGCTGAGGAGAAGATCGGTATCGTCGGTAGAACCGGTGCGGGCAAGTCATCCTTGATCAACGCTCTCTTCCGTTTGGCCTACATCGAAGGAGAGATATTCATAGACGGCGTCTCCACAGGCGCAATCGCCTTGCACGATTTCCGCTCGAAGATTAGTATTATTCCTCAGGAACCGTTCCTTTTCACCGGTAGTCTGCGACGAAATCTCGACCCGTTCGACCGGTATTCCGACGCGATGCTATGGCAGGCGCTCGAAGACGTCGAATTGAAGGATACAATCTCCGACTTGGCCGCAGGATTGGATACCAAAGTCTCCGACGAGGGTTCGAATTTCAGCGTCGGTCAGAGACAGCTACTATGCCTCGCACGTGCAATTATCAAGAACAACAGAATCATGGTGCTTGATGAAGCGACTGCCAATATTGATCCGTATACTGATTCTCTCATACAAAAGACAGTTAGAACAAAATTTATAAACTGCACTGTGTTCACTATTGCTCACCGATTAAATACTATCATGGACAGCGATAGGATATTCGTAATGGATGCTGGGCATCTCGTGGTAAGCGAGTTTTTCTTTCTTTTATTATTATTCATTTACTGCCAGATCTTTTCGGAAGGAAAAACTGACGCGATCCAATATATAAAATTGCTTGCAGGAATTTGATCATCCGTACATTCTTTTGCAACAGAAAGGTCGTTTTTATAACATGGTACAACAAACCGGTGCTGTAATGGCCGAAAATCTTACGGATATAGCCACAAAAGTAAGGATTCAATCAATTTCAGATGTTAAATCATCCTGGATATTCAACAATTTTTAGGGCAATTTTTTTAAATCTTTTCTGGTGAACTAATAGTTGCAATATCAAATTGGCAAAATATATTTATTAGAACATATTTAAATGTAAGAAAAATAATTATTGTACTGAAAAATCGTTTTAATTTTTTGCAGAGTTTCTATGAGAAGAATATGCTATCACCCAGATAACTATAGCTTTTAACTAAGTGTCAAATTTCCTGGAATATCGTTTCATCGTTTCATCGTGAGCATACCGTGTAATTTGTCGCATATTACATATGCGAGAGATTTACTCTTTATAATATAGTGAAATATTTGTTTATGAATATAATTTTATTTATGTTTTTCATCCATTTTTATATGGCAAAATTTATACAATTTTAAATTTAGTAAAGTGATAATAGATATGTAATATACGTATTTATTGCGCAAAAGAGCTAGAAAGAATAAAATTTATTTTTAAAAGTTTCAAAAATGTAAAAATAAATATTTTTTTCCCGTAGCTATATAAATGCTCACAATACCAAAAACTCACAAAATTTTACAGTACTTAATAAAAATTGAAGTTTTCTCGCAAGGTAAGTGTCATTTAATTGAATGCGATTTTTTCATTCTCCGAACGAAGAACAGAGAAAGTTGTGTATCGATAATCGCAATTGATCACTACGATAATTCTAATAATTTATATTTGTCATACACATAAATGTCATATATATAAAATCTTTACATAACAAATATATATTTGTTCCGTTTTGATTATTCTACATGTTAATGACACAACATTTCAAATTTAAGATGAATAAGTTCCCTATTTGTATCGGTTAAAAGTTTATTACAAAACAGATATAGCTAGGCGCTAATGTTTTTCATTTATCTGTGTAAATACATAGGAAATAATCTTATTAATGCAGATTCTTTGCATTCACACAATCAATTAATAATGTACAATATATCTGTAGTCTTAATATAATTATCCAAAAACGCCCCTTCTTTTAAAACGTGTATAATTGTACGAATACGCAATTTGTTTATATCAACTATAAACACATTAAATGAGATTGTATAAATAGCCAATATATAATCAGTATATTGCACATAAATAGAAAATTTTGTTGACGTCATAGCAGACTATAAATTCTGTGCCATGTTTATCGTCACAATAGTGAACGATTTTATAATAACAATTCGTTACAATGCACAATGATTTTTGATTCTGTCATATAGAAAGGATTATAAAATATGCAAACAAGAAGCCTCTCACATTTTCTTGCCGGCGTTCTCTACCATCAGAATAAATACAATAACTGCAAACTATGATCACAAAGTCACAATTTGAATACAATCGCATCAGATGCCTTTATTCGGACAATGGATATGTAGGATGTGTAAAAATTCGTTGTAGGGATCTAGCATTATGATATGAATTATATGAGTAGTTTGATTAATATCCAAATTCGTTGATCAATTTGTAAATATCGCGAGAGGCACGTGTTATCCGTTATTTGAGTATAACTGGAGATTTGATTGGACGTTATTTCATCCTTCGTTACTTCTTAATTTTCAATATATCTTTTATATAGATCCCACGTGTCTTTTTTATATTTTCTATTGACTATAGTCTTGGTCGAAATCGCACTATTCGTTGAAATAGAAATTTGTTACACATTTTTTAGAAATTTTCGTTGTAAGCCACATTTTTAATGAAATGGTGTTCGAATGACATCGGCGATTGCTTTGTAATGTGTGACAAGGGTAAAACTAAAAGTTGAATATGATATTAAGTAGTGTTACCTGATCGAGGCTCTCTCATTTATCCAATTTTATAACAAACGCTTCTCCGGGCAAGATGGTAAGTTCTTTAAAGTACACATTTCGATTTAACCTGGAATTCGGCCCAACAACAACGTGACCGCCGTAGTAAAGGGACGACAAGTCCTTCGTGCGCGTCTCGTTGCCAAAATTGGCTACGTATACGTAAGAATTTCTTCGTGGGTACCATCGTTCAATCACAATTATTTCATCTTTCACGTATCTAAACAAAATAACATCGAATTAGTTTTCTTGAAACGCTCCCCCCCCCTAATTGACAAAAATTTCGGATTAATTTTATTCGAAGAAAGAAAAAAAAAGTGAAATATTTCTGGAACAACCGAGTAAAATATTTTTCCTCTCTAATTTGAAATATTCTTCATTGGGGCGAAATTAATAATCACCTTATATTATCTTTTAAACAAATTAAAAGTATTTACTTGACATCACAGTTTGCCGCAATTTGTTTCTCCCTTAATACTGCTTTAACGTAGATCGTTGTCGTTTCCGTCCTCAGTCTTGCCATTTCTGGGATAACGCCTGTCAGACTGGTCTCCAGGGGTTTGCCAGCTTCTGGCAACCATGTGGAAACTCCTACGGACGAAAATCTGCTGTCGGAGCCGTCTTTTCTCTCCCAATACATAGGAACTAGGTTGTGCACGTGCGCCAAATCTTTGTGATCTTGGCACTCGCAGTCTTCGATGCCTATCTGAGCGAATGAAAATCCCACTGATTACTCTCTCACATCCGGGTTGTCTTACGCGAATCAAATGACTGTCCAGCGAACAAAAGATCATTGATAGGTCGTTATTTTAACAATATTTAATATCATATCAATATGTTTCCTATTATATAGTGTTCAACTCAAAAGTATCGTAATATTCAGTAATGTTTTTGAAATATTTGAAAAATGTGAAATGAGAACACTCAAAAGATACATGAAATTAACATTCCACGACGTCAACTTAATGTTCTTCGTTTACTGGACCCGCACTGTAAATCTTTCTTCTCGATCGCGATGCTTTTCGTACCTCGTCTCCGTAGAATATACTGGCTGTTCCAGGCAGCATCATGCCGAGAAGAGAAGCTGCCAGGCTGGCGTTCTTGACACTCATAGTGGAGGCCACTCTACTGGTGTCCACAGTGTCTACAGACCAGTGTATCCACGGGTAAGCCGCTTTTTCGAACAGCATGCCCTTCGTAACGGCTTCAATCTGCGCCTTGATGTCCTTGGTGCCGTTAGTCATGCGAAGAGTCACGTCAATCAGATCTATTCGAGACAGGATGGAGTTCATCGATGTGACAGAAGTGACGACGTTCAAGACATTCGAATGGCAGATAAAGATACCATTCGGACGTAGGAGAGATCTCCAGTATCTGAGGCTGCTGACGAACGCGGCCTCGTGGACGTAGTGCTCCAGTCCTTTCAGATAAAAGCCGTCTACGCCTCTATTTTGCCAGATCCTTATGGCCTCGCTAACAGGATGCCTTTGTTGGTCGTACATGCGATTCGACGAGAGCTCCTGCTTCCTTGCCTCCTCCAAGGACGCTGGTACGGACGACAAAACGTCACGAACAGTTTTGACTGACGTGGACGGTGTTGACAGTATGGCCTCGTGGATCATCGTGCCGACCGTGACGTCCTCCCTCCTCTTCCGGAATACCTGTTCGTCGGTTTTGTTCGTCTTCATAGTAGGCACGTCTTCCTCCGGCTCGCTCAGACTCTTCACGAACGGATACAGCGGAAGGTCGAGTATCAAACTCATATTTCGTCGGTGAATCTCGAGCGCGAGAACGGAAAAGTCCTTGAGCGTGCCTAGGTCTTTGTTCACGTCCGTCAAGTTGCTGATATTCGAGTAATACTCCGGATAATGCGGCGCCGGGAATATCGAGTTCAGTCGGATAGCTTGCACCCCGAGTCCCTTTAGATAGTCCAACCGCATAGTTATCCCGCGAAGGTCGCCAATCCCGTCGCTACTCCTCATCGAGTCCTGAAAGGACGCTGGGAATATTTCGTAGAAGGTACTTCCTTGCCACCACTCCATTGGCGGGTCGCACCTAGTCGGTACACATTGCTGGCGTCAAAGAAATGTTTTCAGGCAGCAAATGTTAAATTAGATGCCTATTTTTATTAACATGCACGATATTACACGAGCAAGGTAATAGAATTTTGAAGCGAAATTAGACGTCAGGAAAAAGGAAATGTCGCGTACTTCTTAGGCATCGTGACGATGACGCCGATGACGAGGGCGGTGCACCCAGCTAGGACCGACATCAACGACCAGAAGCACGTCTTGCGTATTAGCGGCCAATTCCACTTCATGAAACGATAATCCTTGGGCGGCTTCGGCACCATCAGCTGAATTCCAACGAGTGGTGGCTTGCCACCGTTCTCCTGGTTGTAAAACTAAACAGTTACGGCGTGAGTACGTATAGTGATGTTAGGAAGCGAGAAGCGGTGGATTAGTACACGTCAATGAAACTGCTGGAGATCGTTGTATATCCATCATTGCGCATCCACCGGATCCATCTCCGCGATGCGAGGCTGAGGGGGCGCGTGTCAAGTCAATGACAAAACGGGCGTCCGCATCCGGCAAACATACCTGTACCCGTTCGTTCCAAAGCGTGATGATACGATGACGCAACGGAATACCGATTCTAGGGTGACCACAAGAGTCCTCCAAGACGTGTCCTGCTTATCCGCGAAAACCGCTCTTCAAGAATCGAGTCGCGTTTATTTTTGTTCAACTGATCAGATATTCTTTACCCACTATCGTTTTGCAACACTATCGTCTTTACGGTCACCCTAGTCATGTCTTGGTTTGTACTAGGCTTGTGAATGCGGTACCAAGATGTACGTTGTGCAAGACTCAGATGATAAGTCGATGATCGAGATAACGAACTTGACCGGACGCAAGGAGCAAGATGCGGGTATGGCTATGCGGGCACGATCACGGCGCGGCATTGTTTACACGTGATGCATTTAGCGAAGTGCTCCTCATTCGTGTCAGGCAAATGCAAATGGACACAATGCATTAAACAACATCGACGTTGTTTGCTTCTGCGAGGGAGGAGAGGAAAAGAGAGAGGGGGAGAGAGAAAGACAAAAGACAGAGACAGAGAGAGACAGAGAGAGAGAGACACACAGAGAGAGAGAGAGACAGAGAGAGAGACAGAGAGAGAGAGAGAGACAGAGAGAGAGAGAGAGAGAGAGAGAGAGAGAGAGAGAGAGAGAGAGAGAGAGAGAGAGAGAGAGAGAGAAAATAGAATAGAGGCAGAATTTTACAACACGCAAGATGTTAAACGCAATATGCAAGTATAAAGATACAATAAACAAAGACACAAGTACAGAAATCAGTGAGAGACAAGTTAAGTGTCAACTTTTGGTCTCTTTAGTTGCGTATGCGTATGCGTTAAAAGAGACCGAAAGGTCGGCTTCGGAACCAAACAGAATAATTCTCATAATTTATACAAGTTTGCAACACGAAACGAGAGGGAAAAAAACAATTTTGCCATCCTCCATCTCTGCGTCTCAATATAGAGATACGTGAAACTGTTCGGAAACATTTTCCTCTTCGAAAAATGAAGTAGCGAAAAATCGAACGTGATTGACACTTATGATATATTTATATATTTCTCTATCCCCGTAGAGAAAGAGAGAGAGAGAGAGAGAGAGAGAGAGAGAGAGAGAGAGAGAGAGAGAGAGAGAGAGAGAGAAAGAGAGAGAACATATTGTTTCCGCCGTTAGTCCTTATGTAAAACTGATGAAACGTTTTACTCGATTTACGACAGATTTTCCACCAACCGAATGGTCCATTTCCACCAATCATTGACAAAAATCCGAATGGAATCTTGTTTGCGATACTCACTAATGCTTGAGCATCTGGCGCGAGATGCTGGTAGGCAGTATTTAATTGCGTCAACAACTGTGCGCAAACGGGTTCGTTCGTGTCGCTGCTGCTACCGCTGCTGGTGGACTCCACCATCGGATCACGTGAGCTCGGCTCTGAAACAAATTGGGCATGATCGATTCTCTGTCAAACATATTAATTGATATTTCAGGCGAAATGATTCGTTGCCTCTGAAGAAGCCATAAAACAAAATCTCAACGTGTTTTTATTAAGAATAAAATCGTATAGCCGAGTGAGTTCGCAAAGTCCCAAAACAATTTAAAGCCCGAGCTTTAAGCTCTCGCGTAACAATTCCAATTGGAACGACCGTCGATGTAAAAATCGTCACGATTAACTGTCGTCGCTTAAATTGAAATTTGATCCTAGCGCTTCAATAAGCGAACGTCAGCGGCGTGTAACGGCGATTATGTAAGTCCTTTGGCTCGAGAGCGTTGTCAGTGTGTAACGAACACATAAGCACACTTCTCGTTTAAAAAGGAAACAAAAGCTCAGTCAACACGAAGCGCTGTCGGTCAACATGGATGTGTGTTCGAAGTTATAAGATTATTATTGCGGATTAAATGCCGGTACGCTCTTGTAGTCGTAATTAGAATGAATTTTTCCCTGGCAAGAATACGGATTTGATGCGTGAAAAGTTCTTCATTCTCGCCAGTTTGTAACTCGACGATTGTCAGCGTCTCGACACTTCTCGACTGAAAAGAATCAACGCCATACTTGACAGAGAGACGATTGTATCGCGTTTGTGTGCACTACATAGGCTTTCCGTCATTCGCTCGATGAACAGCAGCTTTAGGAACAATAAACGGAGCGGCTAAAAATCTTGTTGCATTACATAATCACGTAATACTCTTTTCTTCAACGGACTGCGTGAACTGCGAGTGATCGAAAGGAACATACCGTCGTTCAGAGGTTTACTCGAACTATTCACGATATTCATGAACGCATTGAGTCCGTCCTCCGTATTAATATTCTCCAGCGTTGGCGTAGGTATCATCTCTAATGGAGTTCCTTCGAGCGCGTTGAATATCGGCGTCGACTGCAGAGACTTATCTGTTTGGATTGGCGGTGGGCTCGGTGTTAACAGGGGACAATCAGATGCTTCTTCATCCTATTAAACGATTAATACATGTACAAAATGTGACAGAGAATTCCCAGAATAGACCTTGCGTATTTTTCTTCGATATAATCTTCGACTCCTCTGAATGTAAAATAAAGTGTCTCGGATATATTCTATTATGCAGACTATTGTGTAGGAAATATCTTGAATTCTTTAAATAAACATTTACTCCATTGAATATTGACAGTAATAAGTAAATAACAATCTGAGTGAAGATCTGAGTAAGGTTTGCTTAAATTTATTAATTTTATGATTGCAAAAATAATAAATGAAGAATATTACGGTAGTAATTTGTAATTAAATTCCTGTCGCGAGAAAACCGGCTCTAAATTGGCCTAAATTTAATTAACTTGTCAAATTTTTACATCTCTGCAAACAGAAACGAGATTGTAGTAGTTCCGACACGCATGGCACAAAAAGAGTGAATGAATCGTTGCAACGAACGCACCTGTTGATCCTGATTTATAAACAGCTGACGGGAATTCGGTGAAGATGGAAGTTCGGTCGGTATAACCACCGATAAAAGACCTTCGGGCTTCTGGATATTCATCTCTGTTACAAACATTACATGCGATGTAATCTAATGTAATTTCTTATTTCGTATTTTTTAGAACTTCAACTTTTAGAACTAAAATAGGATTATCAAGAAATTATCTAAAGTATTGAATAATATTATTATATGCTAAATTATAAACTACGAGTAATCGCATAACAGCTAATATTTTAGGTTGCTATGATCAGTAGCGTATAAATTAATTGTGCATTTATAAATTGACAAAATTGAAAAAAAAAACATTAAATAGTTCTCACGAGTATCGAGCGGGTCTACAGAATTTCTAATTTTTCAAATTATACGTATGAAACACGTTCGCAAAGTAAATTGCCTCGCTATCTTAATTATTGATCGACATAAAGTGCTGCGACTAATAACAATCTTCGGTCACTCGATAAATTTTAACGGCGCTCTTGCTCTTCGCGCAGAGACGCGTTTCGTAAAACTTCTTCTCTGCCTCTGCCTTGCTGAAAGTTCCTCGAAACTTAAATTCATATATCTTCAGCGATACGTATGCCCATAACACGTGAGCTTGACATTTGAAACCGCAAGCAAACGTCGCGGTTTTAAATGTAAAGCGGTGAACATCGCAGTCGTAAGTTAGCCTTGAAGCGTATTGCAGCACCGATCAAAACGATAATTTTTAGGTATCGCGCTCTTGAACGAAATTGCTTTTTCTAACAAAATTAACTGCGTGATAATATATGTTACATCTGCGGTTAACCTTGTAAAAAAGTAAACGACGCACTGAAACGTCTGACGATGTTGCCGCGAGCCGAAGATTTGAAATTGCGAGTGTTAATCGAATACATAGCTAATTTTATGAAATAAATTTGCCTTCTCCTCCCTCTGTGAACATTTTCAAAATCCCGTACGCCGTGCTCGCGGACGTGTTTTACGAAACTTGACACACGCGTTGTCACACCTCATCTATCAGCGAAGAGAATATAATATTGAAACAATTAGAGAAATTCTCCGAATTACATACCGGATTACTTCCTGACGATTACGATGAAACTTCCCCAAACGAGGACGTCGTCATCGCTGCGTGTAGATATATATATATATACACACACATTATACGCGACGCAAAGTCTCAAGTCGCTCACCTACGCGGTTTTCAGCAGATCACGACGACGACGATGTTCGAGCGAATCCCGGTGCAGAGGGTCTCCGTAGATATTAGCGTGGTCTCCGGAGAAGAGGTTTCCGGGGAATCGATTCGTAGACGTGTAGGGTAAGCCAAGTACCCCGGGTCATCCGGTGTAGGGCTCAGCACCCCGTGTTTCCCACGACCGATCGACACAGGACAAGGCGTGTTCGCGTCAATATCGCCTTCGCCGAGAACGGAACGATAGATGCATGCACGTCGGCCGCCTCAAACGTTGATCACCGTCGCCGTCGCCGTCGCTGCCGTAAGTCACTCCGTGTTTGATCCGCCGCCCGCAGTAAACGGGTATCGCAGAGAATCGCGTGTCCCGCCGTATTATATTTAGCGATGCAATATCGTTTCGTTCCCCTCTGGCCGACCGACTGATCGACGTCCGCGCCCTCCGCGATTCTGCGCTCTGCCGACGACGCGGTACGCGCGTGCGGGATATACAGGGTGACAACGAGGATCAGCAGAGGATGTCACCGCTCGCTCGTAGTCCGGGGTAAATTCGAAGAGGCGAGTCAAGCGGCATCGAATCAACAGGTTCATTCATGTCGTAATCTTCGAAGGAAATCGCTCGCTCCGAGAGGTATTCAGCGACTCCGAGGTACTGAAATTTGCTTAGTACTCGCCTGAGAATAGAATTGAAAATTACGTCGAGGTGATGAGAAAATAACTATAAAATCTGTCTTCTCGGACACGATTCGGTCACTTCTCCCGTCATTTCCACGTCATTTATCGCGATTTCTTGTTCCACTTGGGATAGGGATACGAAAATGTTCGGTAAAATATCAAATTTCAAATTATGCAACGTACAGTACAACACATTTCATCATATAATGCAATTCTTTCTAAATTATTATATTACTGTCATAGAAGAAAACAACGTTGAGTCTTGATAGAATAGAGGAAACACAAAAAACAAGAGAGATAAGGAGTATGTATGATCTTGAATTAATACCTTTTTCGAATCACTTCACGCTTCTACCGACGAGACATTAATCGAGATTGCTGGTCTTATGGGATTTTTAGTAATAAAGAAATTCCATTGAACGCTAGCGCCCTCTTAGAAATATCGTGGCTGAAATACGAAGCTGCAGCTCGAAATAAGCATAAATGGTAACAGATATGGAGTAATGGGAAAAAGATATTGGAAACTATCAAGACGGTAACTAACACTTTTATTTAAATTACATTCGAGAGAGGGAAGTGCACATCGGATACATCGAATGTAATTTAAATAAAAGTGTTACCATCTTTTTCTTTATTAGTGTCTCGTCGGTGACCGAGACCAGTCTCTCTTGCGCGGAGAAACTTTTGAAAAATGGCTGGTCTCATGTTTCATCGCGCTCAGTGCGCATGTGCAGTTACTTTAAATTTGCGTTTCCTCTTGCACTCTCTACTTCTGCTTTCTTTCTCCTTTCGAAACTCGTGTGTATATATTTATCCCGTTTTAAGTGTACGAAATGCAATCGAAACGAACAGATCCTTATTCTGTATTTCCGATGCGCCCTCTTTGTGCATTTCCCCGTCGCTGATTCAGTTGATTCGATGTGCGCAACATCGTCTCATTACACGAGTCCCATATCTCGCGGTTATTGATGATTTCCATTTTAGGAAATCTCCTCGTTTCTCCATAGTATGATTGTAAAGGAGCCGAAATCGTTTCTCGCAAATTTCAAATTGAAGAATATCTTCAAGAAGCTCCTGGTAATCGAGGGTGTAATGTTCATTGGCCTATATGCAATCTGGCGTCGCATGAATCACTCACAGGGTAAATTGCTTATTTCGCATCTGCAAGGTTTACGTTTATTTTAGGTTATTCCATCTTATGATCCGTGTCGGGAGCTACACTCCCGTTGCATTCCCATTGATTAATCTTAATCTCCTTGGATTTATTGATCTTTGTCGTACTGTTATATTTTCTATCCGCACCTAAAATGAAAGAAGCAAGTCGTCCAACATTCGACGAAAGATCAGCAAAGAAATGGTGAAATACAAAAAATACCACTAAGAGACTGTATCTCTCTCTCAGCACTTCGATTAATAAAATATTAAGGGATTGATTCCATGAAATTATCACTTCCATTAACTTACATAATTACATAAATGCAGTCAATCAAGTCTATGAACAGTATTGTACAAGTTTCCTTTGTGTTGAAGTCACTCCTTAACGCAATTGCACTCAATAGTTAACTCCTAATATTTTCTACATACCAGATTTCAGGTATTATATGCATAAAAATTATCCAACTATATTAGAACAATATTACCTTATTGGAGAGAAAATATCTGGGGATGATGATGTAAGGAGATTTGATTACACAACCTGGGCAAAATAAAATGAATAATAGATCTTCATGGCGCATATGAAAGTTATAGCATCGTTACTTGTTGGTGGAGGCATATCGTATGGTTTATTTCGTGCTACTATACCTAATGAAAACAATATTATAAAGGTAATAATTTTATAGTTGCAAGATTATAGGTCAGTGATATAAATATCAATATATTATAATATTAATAAAAATGGTCAGAGAGATAACTTGAATATCTTTTTAGCCATTTTTATTGATATTATGATATATTGATATGTTTTTATTAGTTAGGACTAGTTATATAATTCATTTTTAAATAATTATATAATATTTGACTATCTTATGATATTATAGTGTGTGTATATATGTACATATAGATATTAGTAAAATTTTTAAGATATTTAAATTTACAAATACTTAATATTATTTTTTTCTAGTTTTTATTATAGGAATTGTTTCAGCATTTGCCCCCATATTCATCGGAACCACATGGCCTCTTAGAGACTTACAGTAAAAAGGAAAACTCTTCAGAATTGATGAACCTAACGAGACCAAGACGGATTATTCCTGAGAAACAGAAAATTCAGGACAACACGAACATTGGTGGAAAATAGCACTTGCATAGCAATAAAAAATGGATTCCACTGAACTTATAGAAGGTAGTCTACCAGATCGTATTACAAAAAGGGACCGTGAACGCAAAAATGTTATCGAAAGGCGACGGGAGGAGCGGCAGTCTCTCACTGTGGAATCCGAGCAAAGCAGTTATTTCAAAGACACATTTTACTCTTCCTGTAAGAAGATCAAAGATATGCTAGATGATGCGCCCAGTACTTCGTCCTCAGCTCTGCCGGGGATCTTTGAGAAAACCAACAAGGAGATCCAGTTGCTTAAGAACTACCTGTCACAATCGAAAATGTTCTTGAAGGTTTACGATATAAGACGCGCACAAGAGAACTTGCAATTACTAGAGAACCAGGCTTCCGAGATGGAGTTAAAGTTACTGCCTAAGAAGAAGTTTGGATTCAAGAATCGTCGTGTCGTAAAGAAACCATCTGACAAAGGTCATGACATCACGGACGGTCTGAAGGATCTCAAGATATCTGAAGGGATTGTCAACGGTTCAACTAAACAGAACAACAAACTGTTGTCGAGCAAGTACGGTGATAATGCTTGCATGTTATTGGGTAAGACAAACGAGCAACTGGTGTTGGACGCCGAGAACGTGAATAAAAACGATGTCCTGCTGTCCGATCTAGTGCACTGTACCATAAGGATATACGGTACACCTAGTACATTACACATGGTGAATCTGAAACAATGCACCGTCCTGGTCGGGCCGGTGACGTCGTCCGTGTTCGCGCACGACTGCAGCGAGTGCGCGTTCGCCTTTGCGTGTCAGCAGTTACGGTTGCACTCGTCGACAGACTGTACTATTTATCTGCATGTCACAAGTAGGGCGATCATAGAGGATTGTACAAAGATACGGGTAGCACCTTACAACTGGTCCTACGAAGATCAGACGAGTCACTTCAATCTAGCCGGCCTCGATCCAAAAGTCAACAATTGGAATTGCATCGATGACTTCAATTGGCTATCTAGCGAGAAACATTCGCCGAATTGGTCCATTCTCGAGCCAGAGCTTCGTGTGAAAACATGGGATTAGACAGAGTATTTGTGAAAAAACGACGAAGAGCGATCGAAACATTAAAAGCTGTAGTCGAGAGCGTTTTTCAGAAAGCTAATTCTTTTTCCAAATGTTCATACACACACACACACACACAAGCGTCGATGTATTTACGTAAATAAAATTATCCACATGTATACTACGCTTTTTCACACAAAGACGCAAACTATGTAAGTGTTTTATATACTTACAATGTCTAATAAATTTACCGTTTATGCAATATATACGAATACATTTAAATTTTAATGTATATATAACGGTATATATCTTATTTAATTTATTCTTTCTTTCGTATAAATTTCTCTTGTGCACGTTCTTCTTTTTTTTTAACGAAGAATACCCCACAAATGATGAAGTATTGAAGAAATATCGTTTTTCATGAAATTTGTTCCTTAAGTACGAGAATGATAATACAATGCGTAAAAATGAGCATGTTTATAGTTTGTGAAGTGTGAGCGATTTTCTACCAGATGGAAGCACAACAAACTTCCTTGCGCTATCGTTGATTGAGTCCCGAGATATTCATTCTCGTAACCTGCTCCTTCGCGAAAGATACATTGAAACTTACAGAAGATGGCAAGTTTCATGGTTAAAACTATTAATCTAACAAAAGGTAGGGTAATTTCCATCATTGAGTTCTTTGCACTAGATGATTGTTTCACCGTTAACCAAAAATCAAATTTCTTCCAGTTCGTATATACGTATTATGTAACGTTTACTACCTGTCAAATTCTTTTTACATTATTACTCGTATGTGTAAAATCTTCACGAAAAAGTTCGATATTCTTTATTTCTATCAATCATTTTATAAACTCCGATCTTTTCCAGTGATGATCATATGCAACTACGTTAAGGTTATATCTTTCATAAGACATGGTTCCAAAAACATGAAACATTGCAATTTTGATTAAATATTGCTTTAATTGAACAAAATAATGTTGCATATCAATTTTTCTTTCAGCTGGTATTAAGAAAGCAATACCTGTACTCAATGTATGGAAGCAGTATGCTATGGTGGAACTAACACCACCATCGCCAAGGGACATTCCTGCAATTCGTAATGGTTTTGCAAAATTGGTTGAAGGAGCAAAGACTGGTCGTTTTCGTGAAGTCACTGTACGTGAAGCTGTCATAAATACTTTAGTAACTATCGAGGTGTACTGCTGGTTCTATGTTGGGGAATGTATTGGAAAGCGACATTTTGTTGGATACGATGTATAAATATGTCGCATATTTCATCTCCCAGATAGATATAATTCTGTATAACTTATAGTCCTCGTAAATATACAAATATAGATTATATTTTTTTGTTTTTAATATATATGATTGTTATAACATTATAACAAATAACCTGTTTTATTAAGAATTTATTTAAATTTTTCAAGTATCATATCCTATACTTCATACACAAATGTCAAAAGATAATTATTTTAATGTACATTGGCTCGCATACTGCCATATGCAGATTGCAGCAGCAACGTGAACATTCAATGAACGTATCACACCTACTTGAGGTATTTCCACACATGTGTTAAAGAGAGGTATAAAGTTGGCAGGTATACCATCCTTTTCGTTCCTATAAAACATCATCCTGATTATATTATAAATTTTAAAGTAATACGTCATAAATTGCAATTTATTTACCCTAGCACGAGAATTGTCTTTTTCTCGAATTTAGCCTCCAATAAGTTTATGCTATTGGCTGTTTGTTCAGCACCAACTATAGACCATCCTGCGCTTTTCTTTTCCAACAAGTATTGTTGTAATTCGTGCAATGTTACCTAGAGATTTCAGAACACAATAATGTTATTTTGATAATATATGTTAATGCAAATTTTATAAATGAAATTATGTTCAAACAAGTAAACAAGCCATGTTAAATCTATATTAAAATAAAAGAGAAAATAAAAACGAATCACACTATTCAAGACTATAAAAAACTAGGATTTTTTTATTGATTTACATAGACTCCATTTTTCAAGTATATAATGATTTAAAGATATACTATTTAAATACCTGTATCATATTTATCCATTTTTCAGCAGACACGCTGAGACATTGAAAGTCCTTATCCTTTACGCAATCTAAATTTGCAATGACCAACGATTTAACTCCAAATATTTCACACGTCCTTGCAATTCCGCCTAAATTTGGTGGTCGACTAACGAGAGACGCTACAACTATTAAACCTTCATGTAATTGTGATACTTCCCGATGCGCGGATTCTATTATTCCAAAATTATCATTATATAATTGAATTGTAAGCTTTGACGGATCAATCTTCCTTTGGATATCGTGTAAACCTTCCAAATAAGTCTCAACGTTGTTTGTTAAGGACTCCATGTCACCTGGAATATTTTATTTTATATCGTACTAGATATCGTCATACAATATATTTTCTTTTTTCTAATTTACCTGCGAGAGGTTTTGTAAGATATATAGAAGCGGTAGTGTCGGACAGAAACGAATTGACGTTATACAGCTGCAAAGGATGATTATCATTTTGCTCAAACATAAAAGCTTTAAATACATCCGGACTGATCCACTCGTCACGACTTATATTAGTCAGTCGTGGTAATTCAAAGTAAATCGTCTACAAGTCGTAAAATAATGTATGTAATGTAATGTAGCTTTTCGATACACATTAAACATTCAATTCTCTTTCTTTTTCAAATAAATGCGCAGTGGATACCTGCAAGCTGTAATCATCGATCGGATGAAAACTAGAAAAGTAGAAATTATCTTGAATCTCCATGAAATTCTTCGTCGATTTTGCTTGTTGCAAGCTAGCCGCCTGATATATGCCATTGTAGTCACATATACTGTCGTCATCATTTGCTTGTTTCATTAATTTACATAATCGGATCAGAATAAACTGTATTGAATATAATTAAGATCAAATCAATATGAAAACTGAAAAGCTCTGATAATAAGTAAAGATAAATAGGAGTCTAAATTTCGTTGTTACGGTTCTTGTTGGTCCTTTACTCATCCTATCAATTAAGACGAACAATGTCGTAGAAGTACGAATAACATACGAACAAATAACGATGTGCTTCGATCCGTTTCAGTGCTTACCGGAGTTTATTTACCTGATTATAGAGACGCACATTGAATTGTTGGCCTAAACAACATTGCGCTACATATGGCAGAGCTGTTCTAATAAAAATTTTCTGGCTGGCGCCCGAAAGTAGTTGCGTAACATGATACACAATACTCGCCACAGAGATCGTACGTCCCGGTCGTTTTTCTATACTCTGAAAATACATATTTCATGAAATGATACAGTAAAAATTACTTTGTAAAAATGATATACAAGATTATAAAATGTTGTCGGATTACTTCTGCAAAAAATTTCCATAGTTCATCGTGCAGATCGCTATTTCTCGCGAAAATTCGTATCATCAGCCATTCCTGCATTAATCTCACACTGTGCTGATTGCTTTCCGAAAAGATCGAGTCTCGCAAATTTTTCTGTAGTACAGCCACGAGCTCCTGCGAATTATCGATTGATTTTCTGGTAGAAGTGAAGAAGTAAAATATGTTACCAACACCTTTTGTACAATCGACATCTTTGTAATATATGTAATATCAATCAACTCCAAGAGCTCGATATACTCACCTTACTCATGACCGGTTCTAATATCAATAGAATCTGCATTAGTCTGTGTTTTAATTTATGTATGTAGGAATCGTTGAAGTATCTCTTGTTTTTGTACTCTTCTAATGTTTCGAATATAAGCGGCACAATAGTCATCACATAATTTAACTCAGGAATACTAACTATTCTATGCAGTATTATCATCGCCGATGCTCTAACTGCGGCATCGTTGTTATGATCTCTATTAATAGAAGACATCTTAATGTATTATATCATTATATCTTGTTTTATTCGCTTTACGAAGAGAATTTAGTCTTATCTTGAATTTAGTCTTGAATTTCGGAACTCTAAAATTTATACTTGCAATCTTGTCTGTGACATGTATTAAAAAAAAAGGAACGAACAATACACGAATGCTTACAATACTAAAATATGCTTCGGAAAATATTGTCCCAGATGCTTGATGATGAATAAATAAACATGACTTTCGACTCTTTCGTCACGCCGATGTACAGAACCGTGAAGAAGACAATTCAATAACGGCTTTCCTAATCTCATCAAGTTGCTCACATTCAATCTTTCCATCTTAGATAATAATATCCTTTTAAATCTTGTCATACCGTTGCCTTCTTTTACTAGCTGATCGACAAACTAGGAAAATGAAGTTCATAAATACAATCGATATTGAGAATCCTGTTATATTCTTCTTGTAGAGAGATATGCGATAACTTACTTCTGTTATGAATTCTGTGGCACCGGGCAAGAGCAAAAAGTTATCATTTACGATAACTCCTGTAAGATTCTGTATCGCCGTCCAGAATATATTGTTCTTCTTACTGACGAAGGTGCTTCTCCAGCATGACTGAAAAATATACTCCAAAGTTTCCCTGTCATTTGTATCTCTTATAGCTCCATTATCGATCATTAGAATTAATATCGTTGCTACCTCGGAAATAATTTCTGTTTTTCCTAGTTCGAGAAACTTCAACAAATTAGTCAGCAACGTGCTGGTAGGAATCCACGTATGCATGGGAGAATTCAAAAGATAGCGATACGTCAGTCGTGAAAGAAGCAAATAATATTCTGATGCAATTTTTCCCTTTAAATTCATCGTTTTGGCATCGTTATCGGTTTGTATCGGAATCGCTTGCGTATTTAGCAAATGTACGGTGTAAAATGTTCCCTCATGAGTCGATGAAGTCAATATGTCCTGGCAGAGGTGCAATATGCACAACCCGTACAGGTATTGCATATTTTGACGATGCTGTGTATTCTTCAGTAAACGTATACTCTCGTCTCGTAGTTTTATCGTGTAACTGTTCACGTCTCTCTTCGGCATGACTAAATCTGCATGGGCAATATGCGATGACAGGATAGCAGTGTATCTCGTGTAATCTTCGTAAGTTAGTCCCGTGGCCATCTTCTTCATGTTTTTAATTAGCAACTTGAAAGTAGCGTGTATGTATAACGATATTAAATGCGTCATGACGCAATAGGTTTCTCCTTGAGTGAAGAAGTTCAACGAATGCGACATAAATTCCGCTATATCGATACTCGAGCGAATATTGGCGTAAGGTCTCATCTCAATATCATTTAAGGAGGACAACCACTTGTTCAATGCCTTCTCAGTAGGGCACATTTTGCAAGAAAATATAAGACCCGCGTCGTGTAGCAGGAATATCATTAATGCGAATGTTCTTGGGCTAACTTCGCAGACAAGATTTTCACACGAATACCTCGTGCAAGTCTGCTCCACAAAAGTTACTGCGTCTTCCTTTGTCAGTACTTTCCGCAACCATGCCGTGATAATGTCCCAAGGAAATCTTCCTCTAGTAAGACCCTCTTCCGAGGGAAACGTAGCTAAAACGTTAGCGAGCAATGTCAGATTGTCGATTTCTCGTACGAAGTTGGGTATCGTTCGCAGAAGTTCAATTTGCGACGCGATACGTAAGATGTGAGAATGCATGCTCAGATTCGTCTCCACTAAAGATTTAACGGCATTCAATTCAGCGACTCGCCAATTATTGCGTTGTACTGTCTCCTGCGAAGTTACTCGAAGTGTGTGTATTATATAAAATATTGCTATAGGACCCCATGTTATCTCACTGACTTTCTTGAGGAATATATTGAGCAAACTTGTTTCTCCCATACATCTGAAGAATGTTGAAAGTTCTCTCACAATTTCTGGACAATCTTCATTAGACTGACACTCATAAAGGAAAGAGTTATTCAGGATACTCACAAACATCTTGAGAAACTGACTATCAAATATATGTATGATGCTATCTAATTTACAAACATACAATACACTCCATTTGACAATATTATTATTTTCATGGTGTAAGATCTTCTCGAGGATGCATCGCAGCCACTCAATGTTAAAGCATTGGCAAGATTTGTGCTCCTTGTTTGCCTTTACTAAACTAGTTATATGAGTTAAAGCTGGTGTTACTAAGTGATACTGTTTCTCCTCTGATGCTTCATACACCAAGAAAAACTTCTGATTAATGCTGTCAATTGGCAAAGCTGAATCATCAGATTTGCTGCAAATAAATGGAGTAACTTCAGCTTTTGTCAATCCTAAATGCAAGGTATCAGTTTTACTCATAAAATCAGTTACTCTTTTCATAATATATAAAGCTTGTTTACGATATTGTTGTAAGGGTGATCGTAATCCTTCTAATAACAATAACCAGAATGTATTCTTACAGTAGATATCATGATGTATATAAGTTAATTTTGTAGAATATGATGATGTGAAATGACATGTATCCACTATGATGCTTAGGACAGTAAGAAATTCTTTCAGATCACTCATTTTGTTTAGAATGTAGTCCCATAGTGGAAATATTATATGTTCAGAAGCAAAAGTTTTCAATAGCATGGGAAATATCGAAGCAAATAATCCCCATTCAGAATCCTCTTTTATTTTCATCCATGACTTGATGATCTCTAGATACATAGAACCGATTTCTTTTAATTCCATTTCACTGTTGCTTCCATCATTATGAAAAAATCGGTATAAGCAAATGGATTCTAAGAAGTATTCCAATACCTTCATATACATAGTTCTAGTATCACTATTTGTGGTGTAAGCATTGTAAGAGCTAAGAAAATTTTGCAAATGTTGCTTAATCGACGCAGTGTTACAGTAAAGTACCGTCTGCAAAATAATTATGTCATGTAAAATTGTCATTTCTGCGACACTTCGAGGATGTTGCGCTGGAAAAACAGCTTTCATATTAGAAAAACATATCTTTTCCACATCTGATATTATGTACTTCTTATCGTTGCGTCTCTCGATTTCACTGAATGCTTGTTGATATTCGTAACATAACAGCATTCGATAAACCTCCAGTTTATTTATATTCAATTTTTCTTTAATCAACTCGTAATTATAAAACTGTATTAAATGATGAGATATATTATCTTCCAGTTTATCACTCACAGCTCGTAAAACTGAAATGTCTAGCGTTGGGAAATGAAAATAACGATTATGTAAATCCATTTTACAAAGTCTAGCTTCTATTTAGAGTTAATTTATATTATGTACAATTATTATTGCACAAATAATACATCACATATGGTACTTGAATGTATCATGTCACATATGAAAATAAACTCACTTAACCTATTTAAAATAATCTATCCAACAGACGCGACTGGATGCGACGGCTTATTTGACGCCATTTCTTATAACTAAAATCATCGATAAGATAATACTAAAGACTGTAAGCCCTAGGTGTAACTTTTCATATTGGCAAAGAGACCTCAAGGAGCCCGGCGGTAATTCAAGAGCGATGACCGTACCGACTATTTTAACTACGCCACCACTACGCTAAAGATAACACAACATATGTCGCGTCCTATGTATAACCGGCCTAAGGCTAACAATCTTTATTAATATTTTGTCGGTGCCTTTACCTACCTGAAAATAAAGATAACTCAACGATAGAAAACGCAGACTTATCAACGAGTACATACGACTGCAGAACTGTCAAAGCTGTCAAAGTGAAGTAGGGGATGTAATGATTAGTCAAAATTAATTTATTGGAATTGTAACGATTCTTATATTACAATGGAAGAACAAGGCAAACCAACTGTAGTGTTTCATCCAATTATTTCTTCTATACAAAAAATTGCGCTATATGAAACAAAATCTGTAAGTTTTATATTATATTTCAGTTATTTCGACTTAATAATATAAATTATCGTCTATAAATATCCGCGATATATGTTTGTTTTCATTTTTTTTCATTTAATTCTTTACATTTGTCTTGTATTTTATAGCGATTTTATCTAATGGGCTCGAACAATACATTAACTCGTTTCCGAGTTTTGAAAATCGATAGGATGGAACCAAGAGAATTAGTTGTAGTGGATGATAAAAGGGAATACACTCAGGATGAAATAAAAGATCTGGTCAACATGATAGATATGGGTAATCGGACAAGAGCTGGGCAACGTAACAATATAGGTGGTGTTGCACGTGTTGTATCTGCCTTTGGAATTGTTGGTAAGATCAGGAGAATATTTTCTCTTTTAATGCATAAATAAATAAATGTAGGATTGTTCATGAATGTATATATAAGACTTCAAGGTAATATACATAACATAAATGTGTGTATATATGTGTACATGTGTGTGTTTTGCATGTAACAATTTATATAGTTATAGCATTTTTATTTAAACAACTTATTCAATATTCAAACAATTTATATATTTATATGGTATATGCATTATATCATTTTATATGTTTGATGAAACTGTCAAGGTTTAAATTCCTCAGCTTTGTGATGCTTCATTCTTTGTTCATGGGGCATAATATATAACCACATTATCATAATATATACATATAAATATTCATATCATCACTAACACTATTTATGCATCAACACATCAAATACATTAATTAGAATTCTTTTTATATAAAACTTGGCTTATACTTACATTTGCTTGCAATAATAAAGGCAACAATAATAAAGAACCTGCACCCAGTACGAGTAGATCAGAAGAGGCTGAACAACAAGAATCACAAAAACCATTGCACAAACCAACACAAATTAAATTTAACTGGAAGAATATGTGGCAGAGAAACACTTTTCCCAGGCTAGTGCCAGCTTTTGGTCTCCTTGGTAAGGCACAATGAGCTTTCTACTGGCAAAGCTAAAGGTAGATGTACATAATTGTTAGACAGAATAACTTTGTCTCATGATGAGAAAATTGGCTTGTGGAAAGAAAGCACTGAATATCATGCTTATTAATGTTAATTGGTCAGCATGGAAATGTAGTGGGTACAATTAAATTGTGAACAAATATTAATTTGGAGAGAATGTGAATCTAAATATCAGTCGCATTAGATAACATAACACAGAGTTATTCGGTTAAAGAATCAAGGATCTATAGAACATATGTGTAATCGATTAGAATGAAAAAAGTATTATACAACCAACAATATTAATCTACGCAATCAGACGTTGCGATGTATCGCGGTATGTACATCATATTTTTTACACGCATGATACAGACAGTTACGTGTTTATGATGTTTTATATGTGATGTAATTCAATTGATTGCATGGGTATTATACGACAGACAGTGGTTACTATGAGTATGGACACAAGCAAGTTATCACTATTAATTTATCTAGTTAAGCAACTTGTAGACATGTTACAATAGGAACAAAGTATGCATGATAATAATAAAGGAAACTTTATAAATTACAAATTAAGATCATTATCATTAAATAGACAAATTAGACAAATGGAGATCTGTAAGGATACGAGAAGAAACTGTTTACTGTCAGGTTTCGTGCGTTTCCTGGAGGGGTATTATATAATCCTGGTTACAAAACGTCGTAGAGTTGCAGTCGTTGGACATCACACAATTTACAAAATAGAGGATACTGCAATGATATATATACCAAACGACATCATACGGCTCTTCCATCCGGACGAGCAGAGATACGTCAAGATGTTTCAAAGTATCGATCTCAGCAGTAACTTTTACTTCAGTTACTCGTACGACATGTCGCATACTTTTCAAAGTAACATGGCACCACCGAGACACATTAAATCTGACATTTCCACTGATATGTTTGCCGGCCGCAAAGAATCCGACGAATCGGAAGATTCTGATGACTTTTTTAACATGTGGGCATTTAGGAAAGATTGGCAGGCTGAATGGTATGGATTGTCTTAAATGCTAAACTTTTATTATCTTTTTTACACGTATACGTATAATCTATTAATGAAGAAAAACAAGATATTTTTTTATTCGAATTACAGCGAGGGTGAGAAATATGTGGATTACGGTATACGTAGCAACCCGCATCGTCGCTTCGTGTGGAACTCTCACCTCCTGAAACCCGTGGAGAAAGATCTACATCCTGACTGGATATTATACATAATACACGGCTTTATCGGTCAGTCAAATGTGAGCATTTTTGGGAGATCCATGTACGTTACTATTATCGCAAGAAGAAGTAACAAGTATGCGGGTACCCGGTTTTTAAAACGCGGCGCAAATTTCGATGTAAGTGCAAGAGCATACACGTGATACTTATACGTGCCGCAGATACTCACCAGTAAACTAAAGTAACGGCACACGCACAGGGGGACGTTGCCAACGAGGTAGAAACGGAACAAATCGTTCACGACTCCGGCGTGAGCTCGTTGAGTAAAGGACGCTTCAGTTCTTTCGTACAGCTGCGCGGGTCAGTGCCTGCTCACTGGAGTCAGGACGTGAGCAAAATGGTTCCCAAACCGACTATAACTTGTGACTTAGCCGACCCTTACGTGGAAACGGCAGGTATTGCTGTGTGAAAATCGAATTGATTCATTTCCGAGAGGGATCGTTATTCTTATATAATCAGAATAATTTTAGGAGCACACTTCAATAAATTGTTGAGAAGATACGGATCGCCAATAATAATATTAAATCTAGTGAAGAAACGGGAGAAGAAGAAACATGAGAGCACATTGAGCGAAGAGCTGAGCATGGCTGTGAAATACTTAAATCAGTTTCTACCTTTGGAGCACCATATTCAGTACATAAGTTTCGATATGGCACGCATGAGTAAGAGGCAAGTTCATTACATTAACATGTCAAAGATTTGATGACAAGCACAATATGGTGAATATATCGAAGCGACGCACCACTTTTCAATGATCTGGCAACTTATTTTCACAGAAAGGAAGTGAACGTCATGAGGCGTTTAGCAAACATCGCTCACAATGCAGTGTTGAAGACTGGTATTTATCAGTCGCACAACCCGTATTACAATCAGAGATACCTATTCTCACCGCAAAACAATAACACAAGGAAAATTCACAAGACGTACTCAAGCTCGACTTTGTCGTCTAATTTGTGTGACGCCAGATGTTCCACTAACACGTCCATTAAGACTGACTATAGCAGGCAAACGAACTCTCTGTGCGGTTCCGATTCCAGCACATATGTCAATCGAACGAGCGAATTGCACCAGGTCGAAAGCAAAGTGAGGGAATGTTTCACCAGGAGAGGAACCTTGCAAACCGGGATCATCAGGACAAATTGCGTAGATTGTTTAGATCGCACCAACACGGCACAATTCGCGATAGGGAAATGCGCCTTGGGATTCCAATTGTGTGCTCTGGGTGTATTGGAGTCTCCTAAACTCGAATTTGATTCCGATTGCGTGAGAATGCTGGAAGAATTGTACGAGGATCACGGGGATACTCTGGCTTTGCAGTACGGCGGGTCACAATTGGTGCACAGAATTAAAACGTACAGGTGAGTGTGAACGTGATTGTTCGGCTGTGGGAGCATGAACAACAGCAACTAATCATGCAACGATTGTTTTGTTATTTAAGGAAAACTGCACCGTGGACTAGTCAAGGTAACGACATTATGCAAACTTTAAGCAGATATTACAGTAATACGTTTAGCGACCAAGAGAAGCAGCACACGATTAATCTGTTTCTGGGTAAGTAGACACAATATCTGCATTTCGCGAAAGAATTCACGATCAACATCCAATCAACTGTATATGTCTTCAGGATTGTTTGTACCTGAAGAAGGCAAACCTCCAATATGGGAACTTTTGACAGATTATTATCTGCACCATCCACCCGCCTGTCGGTACTTGCGTAAGACAAAGCTCCTGACGCAATGGTGGGATAAAAATGTGTTAAAATGTCTGCCTTATGCGCTCGACGAGGTAACTAAATCTTGCTCAGAAATGATACATGTGCAAAACTCTATTGAAGAAATGATTGACGTTTATTATGACTATCACAGGTAGCGTCACAGGTATTTTTATATATCTGTATTGTACGAATATATCATAGATTTTTTATATCTTTCATAAAGAAAATTATCTGTAATTTCTCATATTGATATTATGATACTTAATATTTTATCTTATACATATAAATATCTTTAGGCCATATGAATTGTCTTTGCTGTCTGAAGTATATGCATATAAAATAAGTCACTCAGTCAGAGACTTCATGCCGCACTTCACTACCTGCTACAGTCCTTTTGCCGTTCGTGTACGACCAGGTAGACGGAGAGAAGAAGCGGGTAGTAAAAATTTAAATATGAAAAATCCATCTATGACTGGTCAGAGCAGTACGAGCAGCACAACGTCCAGCGCGAGGTAGGTAAAATTTAAATGTCCATTACATATTTCATAGTCAAATGCGGATTTAGCTCATTGGTTTAGAATTCGATATTTCACACATATTAACATGAATTATGTGTCGTAGCTCGAGCGAGGATTCAAGCTCGGATGAAGATGAAAGTCATCAACAGATGGACGATTCTCAATTGATAGCTTCTAAAGACAGTTCGGAACTAATGTCCTTTGAGTCTTTGTTTCCATCTATGAAAGAAGTATATGGCACACAACCAGAATATCCAAAACGAAACGATATCATTCTTTATAAAAGGTCAGCAATATGGATATTTGCACAACCGTGAACTCTATATGCATTTTAACAAATGTCTCATTTTCGCTTAGATTTGTTCTAATAGGACGCAACGCAACATATTCTATGGATCATACTAAATTACGCTCAAAATTGATACAACAAACATCTTTTCCTGAATCTACAGCTCCTGTTATTACAATACCTGCTGTTAAAGATGCAAGCATAAGTATATATGAACAATATGTAAAAAGAGCTACAGTAAGTAAATATGACAAATTTATAGTGAGACAGATATTGTTTTATCCCTTAATTATATTAATATTTTTACAGAGAGGTGGTTCTATACCAAACCCAAATGATATGAATTTATACGAGACTTATGTTGCTCAGCACAAACTATTCATGGAACAAGTATGTTCTCGATAGAAGTATAAGTCAACATCATCCAAGTTATTTTATAAATAGAAATAATTGCATGTGTATATATATATATTTTATTAGTTATATGAAATAAAATATTCGATATCTTAGTTATATAATTTATTTAAACCAAATATGTGGACATACATATTTCTATATCGCTGGCATCTGTAAGAAATATGTACTTTCGCAGCAATAATCTACTTCAGCTTCTTCTTCGGGCGGATGTTGTTTGTGTGGCCACATTTCTTCTTACGACAATTTGTTGCACGCGGGTGAAGACGAGCATAGCATTTGCGACAGATCATTTTGTCGCAATTGTACTTTTGCGCGAGTATACGCAAAGTCGGCTCGATTACACCTCCTCGGAGACGAAGTACGAGGTGAAGAGTAGATTCTGTTAAAAAATTATTGAGATTTCATATGCCTATACATAAGATAAAGTCAGCTTGAGTAACTGAAACGTATTCGTACCTTTTTGAATGTTATAATCAGATAAAGTACGCCCATCCTCTAACTGTTTGCCGGCGAAGATCAGTCGCTGTTGATCTGGTGGAATCCCCTCTTTGTCTTGAATCTTAGCTTTCACATTTTCGATGGTATCGGATGCTTCTACCTCGAGGGTAATTGTCTTACCCGTGAGGGTTTTCACGAAAATCTGCATGACGGTTTGCCTAAATCGTAACAGAGTTCTCAATACCGTGGATTTATCATGATAGTAAGGGACAAACGTTAGAATTGAAAGCAAACGAGAAATTTCAACATCGACAACGTACAATCACGTGGTGCGTATATGTTAGTAACTTCACCGCATTGCAATTGTTTATTCGCGATTTTTTTTGTGTTATTCAAATGCTCGTGCGGAATGAGCAAATAAATATCGACGAAGATTAAGATTAAATATCACTCAATCACGAAAAATACGAAAGAAATACTTAATGATATCGCATACTTACCACCTCGTCAACGCGCAGTCAGAAACACAACCTAGAAAAGAACTTGGTCACAGTAACGCCATCACTTCCGCCAACGAACGCCGGAAAACTGATGCGACATCTCGCGCGCGGTATTACGAGATGCATCGCGGAGTAATAAACATGATTTTAAAAAACCTAAACATCTTATTACTACTTGGATTCATCGTCATGCGCGTCAGTTCCTGTAAGTGTTGAAATCATTATTATTATCATTATTATTATTATTATTATTAAACGTCTTATATGTCAATATAAAGTCACAATATAATAATAAACAAATAACACATGGATAAATATCTTCTCTATTCTACAATCTCGACTGATAGATTTCTATCGATCCTAAAAAGGCTTGATAGATATCTTCGATCGATTTTCAGCAATCATCGTCAAGCCGTTTCTTGTAAATTTTCGATTGTGATGTCATTTTCAGACTGCAAGAATCTCTCTTTTAAAATTTGTTACACGACGAAAAAATGATAAACAATGATGATCTTTTTTCGATCATAGCGTGGATAGTCTGCCACTCGCATGAAAAGAATTTGTAAATTTAATCCCCAGTTGGAGTTAGCTTTTCGCTCGCGTGAAGAGAATGAATAAACTTCCCGATTATTCCAGATGATGGGGAAACAGGCTCACTTCGATCGGAAACCCATCCGTACGATCTCACGAGCGGAGTGGAAGACGCGGCGAGTGGAGGCCGCACGGGCGCCTGCGTTCTCTCACGGCAGCCGTTCCACGTTTCGCGTTTCGCCGGATGTTAGTCGACGAACGTTTATTAGATGACAACGTTTCGATGGCCGTAAGTGTCCCGCCTTTCCCCGCAGTAGGAAAAAATCGGAGGGCGGATGGAGATTACGAGTCGAAATAAACGCGTGGAGCGCGTAGATGATATTCGCGGTTTCCCGCAGAGTCTCTCTCGAAGCGCCGCGTGTCCGTCGCAGTCGCAGATCACAGCAGGTCTCACGAGGCTGGATCACGAGAGGCTCGATTGGGATCGCGGACGACGACGGCGGCAATAGAGATTCACGCACGGGACCCCGACAGAGGAGGAGATGGCTGCCGTTCTGAGGAGAAAACTCCGTGTCTTGTCGGGCACGCTCGCCGGCAACAGAAATACTCCGTTGCTTATCGCCGCACGGTAGCAAACTCTAAGAAAACGATTTGCCAGTAGTTCATTAGCATTTACATCGTGATTAGACAGCACGCTGCCGACGACGACATTCGCGAGCCGTGCGTATTCTCAAATTGTCTTCGTAATCGCAGGTCCCTGACAAGGTCATCGGTCCGTGGAGACATCAGCGAAGGATGGATCAGCAAACTCCTGGTGAGGAAGATCGAGCCCACAAAAGAGTCACACTCGCGGATGCTCTCCGACAAGGAGGTCATTTACGCGCTGCACACTCACAACATTCGGCCGGACTCGATCGACAAATATTTGACCAACTAGTGAGTCGACATTTCATCTTCCGTGTGATTTCGCGCGAACTCGGATTGGCGGGATTTGCGTGTTTTTAATTCTACGCGATATTTCTGGATTTATCTTTATTTTGTTGTTTTGCGTGCCTGCAATTTATTGATATCTCAAGCTAGGCCTTGATGTTGTAACACGATTTTTTAAACTCATTCGAAAATCGGCGAACGTTCATGTCTTTGGTGCTCTGCTGCGTGTGATGTTAAAACGTTCAAAATAGTTCACAGAACTATTGGTTTACATACAATACTCGTATTATTAACGCATAAATGATACGGATGTTACTTGACCCATAACCTCTACAGACTATTATAATCCTACAAAGTCTAAGAGATAAGGTAATGTTTGTTTAAAATTTTATATACAATATCTCCTTGCTTGTGATGTCTGTTAGCATTAGTCTTGTATGTTTGTGTGATTTGTTTACATTACTTTTATCACTTTTACAATTAATGGAAAAAATTCATAAAGGTTATCAAATACAAAACATTCAGCAGTTTTAGCTCATACCAATATTATTTTTCTGAATGGCAAACTTGATTCTTTTTTATTAAGTTTCATACAAATACTGATTAAACACATATACATCTTGTGTAATATAATCGTTTCTTCCTGCATCATCACAGTGAAGAAAATGTCAATCTTATACACTCAAAAAAACTTGATTTGAACTGTGAATTGGTTGGTTCATGGACAGTCGAAGTTGGAGACTTGGATCAGGCTCTACATCTGTGGCAATATACAGGTGGCTACGAAAGTGTAGATCATGCACAAGCTGTACTTTCTACAGATGAGGTATAAAATATCTTATTTGGTTACACAATATGTAGCAGTGTTAGATATGTGATAAAGAATATTCATTTTTCATAGGCTTATCAACGACTGCTTAGAGAAAGAGGAAATTACCTAAGATCACGTCATTTACAATATCTATTGGCGTTCAGTTACTGGCCACCGCTAGTTAAACGTACAGATTCAAATAAATATGAAATTCGCAGTTACAGCTTGAAACCAGGCACAATGATAGAATGGGGAAATAATTGGGCCAAAGCCATCAATTACAGGCGCAACAATGATGAGCCCTTTGCTGGTTATTTTTCACAAATTGGTAGATTATATAATGTTCATCATATTTGGTGTAAGTAATATTCTGTTTACATTGTTTCTTTATGCATAAATTGTTACTTATTTTTGTTGAAAAAAGATCACTTCAAAAAGTTGAAAGTTTGGGAGCAAAATAAGCAACAGACCGACTTACAAAATTAATGTTAATGTACAGCTATTTTCTGAAAAACATACAAATTGTGATATCTCTACTTCGGCTTTTAGGTTACAAGAATCTTCAGTCACGTAAAGAAACGCGTGAAAGCGCTTGGCGATCACCCGGTTGGGACGAATGTGTTGCCTATACGGTACCTTTAATAAGAGAGATGCATTGCCGCATACTAAGCCCGACTACATTCTCACCTACGAAATAAAATTTTACGCTCGCGACGCGCAAATGCATTTGTATATTGCCGATCATTTCTTATATACATATATTGATTGTAATATTGTAAAAAAAAACATTTGTTACATATATACACTTGTAGACGTAACCATGTCAACTATACGCGCAACATGAAGGAAGCTACAAATTTTGTTGTATCATAATTAGTAGAAAATGTAGTTTGTTACTACTAGAATTTATGTATTACAGCAAGAGCGTTTCTTCTATGTATACATATATATATATATATATATATATACGCTCATGCATATATGTCATATTTTCGTAATGTCAGTTGCAGCACATTTATATGTATTATGTATGTATATAAAATTATATATGTGTGTATACCTTATATATGTATATATACATATATAAATACATTTATATACATACATATGCGTGTATAGAAGAATATAAACGGTCTTTATACTTATACGTCTTTCTTCCTTTACCAAATCTCTCAATTTATATAACTCGAAACTATCGTAAAAAGGAAAATAATGATTTTAACATATTTTTATTTCATTCTTAATTTTCCTATTTGCTTGTTTCTAAAGATTTCAAATTTACCGTAAAATTTGTAATGAAAAAGATATTCGATTGTTGTTCTAGAACACTTATATAGATTGTAAAAACCAATCTCTGCACATCATTGAGGAGGAGAAAGAGATCGGCAAACTGCATCAAAATTAGTTCACACTTCAACATTTTTTGTCATTTATTATTTTATCAAGATATTGGATTAAACAGCCTCGACTGTTTACTTTAAGCCTTAATTTATGATGCAGGTAACATCTTACATATAGTTTATCACTCTAATCGCCGATTTAGTTACAAAATGTTTTCATACGTTACTTAAATTTAAAAATAAAACAGTATTATCCTCTTTCACGATAATTATATCAAGAATGGTTATGACTCGATCTTCGCATTACGTACATTGCAATTCACGATCAGTAATTTATGAAAAGAATATTGATACCTATGGTAATAAAATTTTATATTTTCTGCTGTACTTTTGTTATATATATATATATATGATGGTAATATAATAAAATAATAGAGGATAGAGGATATTTATACCTATTATATGTTATTTCATCTCACGTTATATTAATGAGTTGTGTGAGCACATATTGACTATAAATGTTAGCTCATCCATTCAGGCAATTGCATTAAATTCAGAAACATTTCGGCATTGCTACCGAAAATCCTTAATAAAACTATCTTCTTTATAATTGGAGAACTAATAAAAAATTATACATTTCGATTATTTAAAATATTAAAGTAGCATTTATATATAATTTTATGTAATAACAATATACCGTTATAAATGTTTGATCATATTTCCTTATGAAATTATGCCACTTTAAAATGAAGGATGACATGAATATTTTTTTTGTTGTTTTCCAAAAAGACAATTTTCTATCTTACATAAAATATATGTGGAAAGGAAAGGAGTAATTCTGTGTTTCACAAGGAATTCAATAATGTTTTAACTATTTTTGTTTTGTGTATGTTGTTTGTAGTGTAGCGTACAATAACCAATTTGTTGTATTTTCTACTTTCTACAATACTAAATAATATTCATTCTGTGTGAAAAAGGATAACTACTACACTACTCTTGTTATTCAGTGTATATCTGCCTTGTTGCAAAGTAAAAAAAGAAAGAAGGCTACAAGGCTGATAAAATAAAAATTACAATTTATCTAATTAAAGCTAGAGATTGTATTGAGAAGTATATATAATTACATTTACTTCGGTATTTTTACGTGTACAAAAACAATTCTCTTGTAATTGGCCAATAGCATAAAGAAGACACAATTATACAAATTGTATTATACAAATTGTATTGGAATTATTACAGCTCAAGTATATTGCATTTTCACCTAATATGACAGTGAATCATAATCTGCAAACCATTAATCAATGTTACGAAATCGCATGTTCAATGGAAATAAATGAATAGTGAGCTCGTCAAATAATCACAAGCATAATTCGATAATAGTATTTGATATGCTATGCCTATGATTAATTGTCTAGCTTATCAGTTATCACATTCCAAATTTAACTAATAGAATTTGCTACGATCTTTTTGGAAAATTTTATAAATCTTTCAGTGTGACTAAGTAGTAAATGTTATAATAAAAAGTCCCATATCGCAGTTCTATGTAAAGCGAATAAATATTTACAAAACGCTAGCAACATCGACAAACAATTTCCTAAATTGGATATTTAGCGAGTTATACCGATTACACAGCTATGATGAAGAATTAATCGTTCTTGCTTTCTTCTTTTTTTTTTTCTTTTTTGTTACATACATACAACTTAACTCAGAGACAACTCGTGCTATAATTAAAAGTGCATATAAAACTTAACAATCTCTTTTCTTTCTTTTTTTTTTCCCTTATATAGAATCTTCCTGACGGAGAGGATAAATTTGATGTCTAGAACTTTAATAACTGCGATTATATTCAATTAGTTACTTATCGTAAGAGAAAGACCTACTGTATAACATATTAAATTAGTCCAACAGCTTTTTCCCGAACCATACGTCTCACACGATTTTGGAATCCGGTTTGTTAGCACGAACAATCTCTTTTAGTCTGTAATACTTGGAATTGATCATAGCAATTGGTTTTTCCGACATCTCTCATTCTCTCTACTAGTAGAACAACCTAAGGAAGAATTTAAATATGTATCTTCATACACATGGATGCCATTTTACTGTCTTTTCCATAATAAATTGTTGCATTTCGATTACTATGTATATTATTATGTGTCTATATTTACACGTTACATGGTTATAAAGGAGAAACATTTCGGTTGATTGTGACGGTTTTCCGTTGTTGTACAGTTTGGAACATATAACCATGACAACAATCGTGTCGTTTGCGTTTCACTACAATCGCTCGTACCGCTAATAATTGAACACATTTTTAGATATTCGTTCGATGCATGCTGGTCATTCGATAATTTTCATTCCCGCGCGTTTCAGAATTTTATCTTCGTCAAAAGAATTTCGTAGATGGGTATGCGTGTGTAAAAGATGAAAATTGGAATGTATTATATTGTAATTGATAATGATAATATAAACAATATAATGTACACATATACATGTGTAAATGTTGTTCAAAGCACTTTTGCACACTTCTTATTTATCCTTTCTTTTTGTTCAAATGCATGTTATATGTGAAAAAAGAGTCTACGAACTTATGAAATAAAATGCAACGTTTTTGGCCATGCCTTTTTATGTTTCATCATCTGTTTAACTATCTTCATTCCTTAAATCTAAACATATTTCCTTTTTCTTTTAATTTACGGAGAATCTCAATGCATAAGCGTAAAATGAAATTATAAAACATTATTCTTTTCATAGTATGCATTAATTAATTAATATAATACAAACATTTGATTGGCAATGATTGACACTTTCTTGTCCATCGCTTACAAGTATTTCATGGTGACATGTCTTACTGCTCTCTCAATATATTAGAAAGAAATTCGATCGTTATCGTTAAGTAGTAAATTTACATTTCCTCTTTACGAAATAACAATAAAATGCTTTATACATAAAACTTATTGACACTTCATAATCCAAACGTAAGTGGACCGTATACGCATTGCTAAGTATTAATTATATAGTAATAGCACCTCCTTAAAGAGTGTTATGATTAATGAAAATACACTTTCTTAATACAAAATTTTTGACTTTAACATGAAACAATATTTGTTCTCGTTGTTTCTGAAATGAAAAAAGTGTACTTAAACATTGTAACGAAACGAACATCGTTCAGAGGAATAACAGTCACAATCATTTGGATTTAAATTTCATATTTAATATTAAATGAGTTTAGTGATATATAAAACAAAAATATGAGAAAAAAATAATGAAAAAAAAAAGAAACGAAATGTATATTTTGATATAAAAGTACAACATTGGGATGTGTACTGGATGAAATTTTAGAAATATAATTGTAGAATATATCATACAATATAAATATTGGAGTGATACAAAAAATCAGATTCAAACACTTCAAACTTTTGTGAGTATAAAGTTGGGAAAGATCATCATGTAACGTTCTTTCAACGTTTACTCAGTTTTCGTAAAATGGAATTAATCGATCGAATCAAAACGAAAAAAAGAATGAATATATTATATCCACATAGTGTATATCAAGTAATGATAAATTATTACGATTATCAGTATAAAAATGTAGAATGTTTGGTAAGATAATATCAATTAGTCTTACAATTAAGGTGTTTTGTATCACGGTTAATATCTGCGTATGATTATCCTCTTTTGTCAATCATATGTTATGTTTAATATAGAGAAGTATTCTTAAACATTAGATAAGAAAGTATTTATATCATATATTAAACAATAGGTAGACTATAATTCGAAATAAATTCATCTAGTAATAACGCAAAAAGTATTTGGAGTAATAATATAACTGTAATCTGCTATTATTAAATAACAGAAGGAATACTTAAACCTTTTGAGAAAATTTATAATAGATAAATTATTACATTATAAATAATTTTTACATTTATTTCATTAACTTTATATAAGAACTACGCGTCTATTTAGGATATTTAAGATACAACCAACAATAAAGAAACTTTCATTGTTAGCAGAGAAGAGTTTTGAAAAAGTCGACAGGAATTGAAACTGACTACTAATTGTGTACAATTCAACAATAATTTTATTATCAATTAGATTTGATATTGATATAAAACAAAAATATATAGCAATAGAAAGATAACTCGTCATATTCTGAATTTGATTTTTCTAAAAACAAAAAAAGAAATACTAATCACTGAGATTTACGTATAGTTATAAAATCAGTAAATTTCATTAAATTTTTTAAAGGGTCACAAAAAATATATTACTTTGTAAGTTCTATCAATTTTGTATTATACTTCAAATTAAATGAACTAAAATGTAATTAAAACTTCGATATATGTGTAAGAAATATATTAATGCTCGATATTTATAATGTGAAAATTTTTGAAATATTCGTTATAAAAGTAAGTCTTGTGTAAAAGTTAAAAGATCACTGAAACATCTCAAATTTATTATTTCAAATCATATGCCAAGAAAAATAAATAAGAGAAAAATAAATACAAAAAAATGAAAGATAAGAAATTTAACGTGTATATCAACTCGAGCATCAGAATTATTGTACTGTTACTTTTATCATATTCGCGATACAGTTATTATCACCAATAAATAAATGTCTCCAAAATTTTTTTTTTCAGTTTTTTCTCTGTTGTAGCCGTATATAAAATTCTTTATTTACTACATTGACGCTTTCTCATTGGCGCACATATACATATACATACACATATATGTGTGTATACATGTACATAAACCTTTAGAATTCTAGTGGATATTAAATGTGAGATTAATGTTTTAAAAATCTTTCTTTATCTCTACACGCGTCTCAAGATATTTGGTTAGGATTAATAAATATTACAATGTTGCAAAAAGCATCTAGATTCTTCTTCAATATGAAGCTCTCACTTTTCTTTTCTGGTAAATTATATTGATATATCTTGATAATTAAAAAATATGCGATTAAGATAATTTCAGTCCAATACACATTCCCAACCTCAACAAACCTCTTAGGTTCGGGGTCAATGCACGCAACGAGCCAACTCTTGTTATTATATATATATATATATATATATATATATATATATATATTATATATATATATGTATATATATAAGTCGTAGAATTATACGTTGGGGCAAACTCGTCATGTACTTACTACAGGCAGACATACATACATACATATAAATATAAACATAAATAAATAAATACGCATGTATATATTTATTTATATTAATACTCATACGTGTGTGTGTGTGTATATATATATATATATATATATATATACATACACACACCCACACACACACACACACACCCACACACACACACACACACACACATATATATATATATGTATATATATATATATATATTCTATTAATATGATTAAAATTATAGACTATTAGGGGGGAAGGATGTGGAGCTATTACTGTGAGCCAGACTTAACATGGAGCCACTAAGGCTTTCATCGTCTGGATAAGATTCTTTTGATGCCTCAGCTATCGCCAGAGCACTGCAATAACGTGAAAAATATTATGAACAAGATGTTGTTTTGTCGAATATCTTTCTCTAATATGGAATACAAAATTTGAGACAAATATAGAAGATGCGGTAAGATCTCATCTTTAATCTTCATTTCCTTTTATTTCTTTCTATTTTTTTGACGTCTGCGTACCGTAAAGAAGCAGAAGTTATATACATCAAATGATCATACCTGAATCCTATTCTTGCACTTTCCTCATCGAATTGCTGCAGTTCACGTTCCTGTCTTTCGTGCAACAGGCGTATACGTTCACTACGTTCACGAAGGAATTCCTGAGTTTCTAATTCCATCTTTTGTTCAAGCAGAGCTCGTCTAACAGATACGCGATCTTCCAACTCACGGCGTTCCCTGTTTCTCTGCGCTTCGGCTTGCATCTTATTTTTTGATTGGTATGCCATCAGAATTTCTAATTCGTAATTTAATCTTTCCTGTGTGTGTGTGTAAAATAAATCGATTCAATCTTACCACTACGATCATGTAATTATTGTGAATGTTGAATACGACATAGAAAATCAACATTATATGATAATACAATGAATTATACCGAACCTTAAGATTATGGCATTCTACTTCTTGCGACTCATCTAACCGTATACTTTGTTTTTGGAGCATTTCGGCGATACTCTGTTCATATTGGTCACCTAGAAGCGCCAATTTGCGTCTTTGTTCCTCCTTTAATTTCTTAATGACCGCTTTCTGCTCGTCTTTGGCGGTTGTTTGAAGGATTTGAGATTTTAATGCCTTATATTGTCGTGTTTGTATTTTACACGTTTCCCTAAATTGTTTACGGATTTGCATTTCCTTTTGCTAAAAATATAAAAATCGTAGATCAATACAATAAATAACACATAGAGAACGTGTCATTAAAATCTGTCTCAATTTGTGCGTAATTATACAGCCTGACACTCTGTTAACTCTGTTGCAAGTACAAGTTCTTCAAGTATTCTAGGCACTTAACGGATGTGTTTTTAATTACGTTTATCTTATCTATCATCTATTGTTGTTCTTTGAAGGCTTATTTCGCAGGAAATAATTTTTAATTACTTATCAGACAAATGTCTTGATATTTCCGATGGTGCTATTTACCTTGAGACTCTTCGGTTGCTGTTTAAGCTCTAACGCATGTTTCTTACGTAGATCACGTTCCGCTCTTTGCATGTAATCTTGTTGATTACAAAGTTCCGTAGCATGCTGTCGATGAACTTGATCCTCGCGGAGAGTGTGCACTGCTCGCTGTTGTCTGTATTCCAATTCTTGCGTCTTTTCATGATGTCGCAAGAGCATAGCGTGTGCTTGCTCTAATTGCTGTTGTCGTTTGTTCAGTTCCTATTTACAAATTTTACATTTTTAGAACACTCAAAAGTACGAAAATAACATCGATGAGAAGTAATTATCGCCACGCTTATTAGTCTTGCAATTAACACTATGTTAATATGTCGAGATATTGGCTGCGTTCAGTAGAACAAAATGATCAGTGAGCACTTAGTGATTATTGTCTGTGATTGGAGCATTATTCTTTTAGATTCTTCATAGACCCAGAAGTATTTACCAATCAGGAGCGAGAATCATGAGAATTTGTTCTGCTGAACGCAGCCATTGATAATAATACTAACTTCGCGAAGAAGCTCCTGCTCGAGACTGTGGAAGATTAATAACTTTTTTCTACGGAATTTACGTATTTCAAGATCCAAGTATTCTCGTTGCCCCCTCGCTAGTCGCTGTTCTTCTTGCGCTTCCATCTGTCGCAAATTGTCTTTTTGACTTTGAAGGGTAGCGTCTCGTTGCCTTTTTGTCACATCATCTTGAGAAAGTTCCTTTTTCCATCTTTCTTTATAAGCCTACGCGAGTACAATTAAGTCATGTTCAGAGATACCAAAAAAATATATGAAACATATGTGGATTGGTACACTTCTAATGCTGCTGTTTCGTTGCGTTTAGATAAACAAGCATCTTACTTTGTACTCTCTTTTCTGTTGAGCTTCCAGAGCTTTACGATCAGCCTCCTGTCTGCTTGTTATTTCCTTGTGTAGTTTCTTTTCCGCATTTTGATTTTGTTTCAGTTTGCGCTCCAGTTCTTGCATATGTCTCAGCTGCAATTTCTCGAGCTCTTTACTAAATTGTTGCAAAAGCGTTTCATACTCTTTATCCAACAACTGCTTGTGTGACTCCATTTCCATTTTGCAGCGTTCCTCTAGTTTAACCTATAACAACGGCATTGTAAATTTAAAAGACATTAATTTTCAGTTTATATATTAATTTTTTTCACAGATATTTTTGTTTCTTTTATCAATTTAATTACAAAGATTTCACATAATGATGAAAAATAATCGGCCTTTTAGTAACTCGATATAAAAAAAAATGTCTCATTCATATATATCTTTATATATAACTTTTTCTTATTTATCTTAATTTTCTTTATGTAAAAATCTTTCTTAATTTTTTCAGACACCATGTGACTTTCAATAAAACGTAAAAAATATCATAACTTCAGGGATATCATGATAAAAAATAATCATCATACAAAATTAATGAAATGTTTAAGAACTTACCAAAGCACCTTGATGTTCTCTTCGCATTCGTTTATATCCACTCATTTGTTCATGCATCTCTTCTTGCATATGTTCCTTCTGTTGTTTCGTAACAATCGAAGTTGTCCTAATTGTCGCAAAATTATTGGCACCGTGTTCAAGAAGATTGGCAGTGACACCGCCTGCTGAAACTTTATGCCGATTTCGAACAGATCCCGTAGAATAGTCATTACTATCGGCATTCGGCAGCGGCAGGCTATTCGTAGAGGAACTTTGAGAGCTTGCCGAGACGCCTATCGAGTGGATTGAGTGTTCTGAGGTAATTGAATTGCTTTTGCTACTATCACCACCTGTTTGTTCATCAGGAGTATCTGCAACGCGCAATTAGTTTAAGATTTCGAAATCGCCTCAGTATATAAATATATCTAATTAATGTATTTAAGGGAAAGGAAAGAAGAAACATGCACAATGAATAAAAATAATGATAAAGACTCAGTGTGATTAGTGTCACTAGTGACTAATGTCAACTGGAAAATTTTTCACTTATTTTTTACAAGTGCCACATGTCCTCAAATCTCTTTATCTTTCCTTAAATTGCTACATAAGAAACACCGAATGTTTTGAAACAATTAGATCTACACAAACGTACCGTCAGTATCACCAACTGTGCTCTCTGTTTCGCACGCGTCGATCATCAGTATCTTTTTCATTTTACGATAATTCAAATTATCTAATTCCCGGACTGCAGCTTTCGTTCTCTGTATCAAATCTATCAAAACTTGAGGAGAACGCGTTCTGGTGACAAATTGATGCTGTAAAATTGAAAGCCTATAAGAGAACAACTAGACTACTACTAACATACTATTTACAGTATACATACAAGCATATATACACACACATATAGAGAAAATAGAGAATATGTATGTATAAAATATTATTGTACATGCGAATATTTCTAAGAACAACTCACTGATAGTAATTTCCCGGATGTTGGTCTTTCGATTGGACTTTTTGTCAGGCATACTTCAACAAAATGACGAAAGACGTCGGTCCAATCTGGAGAATTTAGAGTTGGTGTATCATTCTGTGCAATATGATACAGAGCGCTCATAGCGTTCATGTTAAAATAGGGTGGCTTCCTTTCCGCTGTAATTAATGTGAGTGAGAGAGAATTAGTCTGTGACTTGACCTTCAAGTTAATAGATAACATGTTGGATAGTCAGGATAGATAATGCGATGAAATGAATAATTCGAGACTTGCGCAACTTATGACATGTAACGCAATAATTTAACATATTAGATCGATATACCTAATTCGATGCATGTTATTCCTAACGACCATACATCAACTTTGCCATCATACTGCCCTTCGTCCATGGCCAATATAACTTCTGGTGCCATCCAATACGGAGTTCCTACGAAGCTATTGGCCGGACATTTTACACTCGCGGACCCAAAATCAGCCAATTTCACTGTACCATTCTCGGTAAGTAGAATATTTCCCGCCTTTACATCCCGGTGGATTCTCCCGAGGGAATGGAGATAATGCAAGCCGCGCAATACACCTTCGCATATCGCAGCTATTTCATCTTCTTTCAAGGGTCTTTTGTGTACTTCGATAATATCTGATGCGGAGCCAAGACAATATTCCATCACCAACTGCGAAACAGCATTTGCAAATTCTCATAATAATCTAATTATTTATCCATAAAATGTTGAACACATTACACATTCGTTACAACTAACCCACAATATTTATAACTTGACATTTTATACTCGGTCTCTGTTCTGACATTATCTGTCTATATAAAAAGGTTTAATCCTATTTGGAAAAATCTATAATAGGATTCAAGCATATGCCTCTGCTGACAAAGACTAGAAAAAGTGAAAAAAATAAGAACTTGATATATATCGTACATACCCAGGCAGTGTGGTCCCTGAGATAGCAACCCTTATATTCTATAGTGTTAGGATGATTAAGTTGCCTAAGAAATCGGATCTCCTTCAAAATGTCCTGCCATTTTTCCACCGTCTGCTTTCCCAGATAAGACATCTTCTTGATGGCAACAATTTCTTTGGTAACCAGGCATCGTGCATAATAAACAGCCCCGAAACTACCATGCCCGATCTCGCGCAGATCCTCAAATATCTTCTCCGGATCATTTTTCTCGAATAATTCGGCGATCTCTGGATCTTTTAAACTACCAGGCCTTGCAACAGCTGGCATAGTCGAGTTGTTGATGATTGGACGCCCGAGGCCTTGTCCAGACACCTTGTCTCGTTACCGTCTTTCGACTATCTTGCCCGAACCTTCTGATTTTGTTGAATCCTCTGTCAGTCCATTCCCGAGATTAATATTCTATCTGCAAAACAGACAAGTGTCTCAGACACATAGAGGCACATCGAGGGAATTTATTATTTAGCATCTTCTGTCGTTGTCCGATATTCAATGTGCCAAGTGCAAGATTCTAGTTCCGTCGATCAAAGAGCAAACTTTGCCGCAATCAGTTCGAAAACGTAGTTTTTCCGCTCACTTACTCGGCTCCTCGGAGTCTCATAATGATATCGTTAAGCTGAGCTCCGAGTCCATCAAAAAATCTACGTGTGCGAGCTTCTCTCTGATCGAATTCTTCGAAAGGTGTTCGCTCGTCAAAGATATTCGCTAATTGCCACTCGAATAATATCAAATTCGGACGCAAGTCGGAACACCTTCCGTACACGGATGATGCACTTGACAAGCTTTGCAAACGCCGAACGTACACGAACGGCACAGAGCGGTATACGGCTCTCTTAAACGGACTGCAAACACAACACAAACGTTTACGTTACACCCATTGTCCGACACGTCGTGATTTTCTCTCCTCTGCGCTTTTTCTTTTCGTCGGCAGAGAGGAGAGAGAGAGAGAGAGAGAGAGAGAGAGAGAGAGAGAGAGAGAGAGAGAGAGAGAGAGAGAGAGAGAGAGAGAGAGAGAGAGAGAAGAGAGAGAGAAAGAGAGATATCTAAAAGTGATCCGCAGTTGTCGTGGTCGACAAACGCGAAGAACACGTAACGATGTCTCTTGAAAGACACAGAAATAGGCACGTTCCCGTAGTAGCGAACCGCACTCTCGTCATTGTTGTCGCGTTAGTCACGTTACTGAGCGAGAGCGAGAAACCAAGACAGTTAGTACATCGGGAAAAGATCTGTCAGAGCAAGACCCGCCATCGTCATCCCCCATCGTAGATCCCTGTTATCCGTCCTCGGCGACGATCATCGCTGCGCCCGAGAGTCGCGGTGACTATATCGACTATCTTTCCGGAGGCATACCACACACTGAACCGGATCGGAAGCGAAATTCGGCAGGGCGCGCACAAGCGGCGTTCGGACGTCGGAGGGCGTCGAGAAAGAGAGAATTATCGAGCGGCAACGAGAGTGAAAGAGAAAGAGAACCAGCGAGCGAGACAACGGTAAAAAGAGACAGACGGGCGGACTGACAGAGCGAAAGAGAGGAACGAGGAGCTTTCGAGGGAGCGCAGTCTCTCCGAACCAAACCTTTGGGGGGAGAAAGCGTCGGAATTCGCCCCGACGGGGCGATTTTTGCACAGGAGACGCGAATCGCGAGAGAATGAGGAACGGAGGAAGAGAGGTAGAAGCAGAGACGACGCAGGAGAGTTCGCTGGAGACCGATTGAGAAAGAGATGCGGGTGTAAGGAGGGTTGGGTCCTCGCACTCATCCGTCGACAATCCGATCAAGCCTCCGTTCGAGCGAGCGCGATGCAACGCTGCATCGCGTTGCGCTATCGACAGCACGTCGACGATCTGATGACGACAAATACCACCATGACGATCACGATCACAACGACGACGACGAAGACGACGACATGATTACAGTATATATCAAAAACACATACACACACACATAACAGAGCGCCTTGCTAAACGCATTAACGCAAGCCGCAACCGTCGCCGGGCTGACGCGACATCGTTATTACGCTCTCTTTTTTCTCTCTCTCTCTCTCTCTCTCTCTCTCTCTCTCTCTCTCTCTCTCTCTCTCGTTGCTCGATAGCGGAAACTCGCGGTGAAACGAGAAACATCGGTCGGACAAAAAAAGAAAGAGCCGAGAAAATTGTATTCACCTCCAAAATGGCGAGGGAGCGAGGGACGGGGAAGCATGCGCCTCGCAGGCTCTCCGTGCACTCTCTTCAAGCGAAGGAGGTGGCGGTGGCTGAGGAGGAGCAGCAGCAGCTCTCTTTCCTGAAAGGCCTAGCCGCCGTCGATCCCGCGGGCATATTAAACGCTTGTCTGTCCACGAGCGATCCCGTTGTCGCCGTTGATACGCCGTCGCGCGAAACCGCGCACCGCGCCCCGGAACAATACACGCCTCCTCCTCCTCCTCCTCCTCCTCTTCGTCGTGTCGTTGCGTTGTCGTTGTCGTCGTCGCGTGTCGTATACGCACGTCACGCACCCACTACATATACATCACTGCATCACCACACCACACCACACCGTACCGTACCGCACCGCATACATACATACATACATACATACATACATATATACATACATACATACATCATACATACATCATACATACATCATACATACATACATACATACATACATACATACATACATACATACATACATACATACATACATACATACATACATACATACATACACACACACATACATACATACACACGCACGCACGCACCACACGAGCGTGCGCGCGCGTTCTCGCTCGCACGAAGCAAGAACCTGGAGCCCGGAGGAAAAGGATGAGCGAGCCGCGCAGCGAGCTCGGTGCCGATACGACTCTCACCGTCACTCGAGAACTCCCGGACAACCGCCGCAAGATTTGCGCGTTGGCGAAAAATCCTCCGCTGCGTTCTCGTTCGCTTCTGCCGTACCTCACTCTGATACCGCACTCTGCTTCATTATATTTCTGTATACCGTAACCGTATACAGCACACACTTGAACGCCGCACACAGCCACAATCAGACACGACGGACTGCTGTCGCGCGATGGCGGCGGTAGCGCTTGTCACGTTACAGCATCCAGCGGGTCGACTTGCAAATCTCTACGGTACCGACAGCGGTAAGATCAGATTGCTGCTGTAGGTAGGATGACCATATGTACTCTTTTAAGAATATATGTACTCTTTTTAAGGTGGTGAAAAGAGTACTTTCTACTTCTTACGTATCGTATTCTTGTATATACTCTTTTTTTCGTAATTATACTTTGTCGATAATGACCAGAGAGCAGACCTCGCTGACGTTTTTATCACTCACAGCATTTGAGCGCCGCGAGCGCCAATACCGATTATGCGTAGAGGTTCTGCGCAACTATCGAGCCACAATGCAAACGTAGAAAGAGTTTTCAGTATGATGAACTCAATGGACTGATGAAAGAAATAGATTTACTGTTGATTCGGTAAAAAGTTTATTAATGGTTAAATACAATTATAAAGAATTTAATTGTTCTGAATTTTACGATTATTGTCTAAATAATAAGAAATTGTTAAACGATGTACGGAGTAGTGCAAAATATAATTATAAAATATCTTAATAATATAATAAAATATATGTATTCGACTAATATTTCTCGGTTTTATTAGTACCCACTATGTTTTATTTTAAATATTATACCTAGTAATCCATATCGATCATTGTCCCAAATAAAACACAAAATAATTTTGACGTCAAAATGACATAATTTTTGTATTACTTGACGTCACCTTGACTTTTATGTTCTACCTGATTTTGTGTTCTACTTACTATACTCTTTTGGGACCGTAATTAGTGCTCTTTTATACGCTTTTCTTTACTTGTCTTTTACTCTTTGTTTATGACTGGGATATGGTCATCCTAGCTGTGCGGACCATCAATTTGAAAATCTTTTTCAGTCAGACTTATTTTTATTTCAAGTAACGCGAATTTACGAAAAGTAAAAAGTATGATAAGATCGGATTATATATGAGAAATTATTGAAATAGCGTTAGCGATTAGTCGAATTAGAGAATATCGGGAAACTAATCGATTCTGTCACAAAGGTCGAACGTCGATTTATCGATCGACATCGTCCATCTCTGCAAGCGGCGCATGTCTTTTAAATTGGCAAGAGGTGGCGCATTGGGTCTTCATCGTCGGCGCATTGATACTTCTAGTAGAACCTGATAACTCTGAGCAACCTAGAATCGAGTACAGTGCGGTACGGAGTGAACGCGCAAAGCCAGCGGCACACGGTGCTTGTTTTTGTGCTGGATTGCTTGCTGGATGAAAATACTGCGTTTTGATTGGTGCATTTCCGAAGATGGATGGAAATGCACCAATCAGAACGCAGTATTTTCATCCAGCAAGCAATCCAACACGAAAACCAGCACCGTGTGCCGCTGGCTTAACGCGCAGCCACATGCAGCGGAAGCGGGCGAGAAGATTGGAGAGGATTTTTCGTCAGCAGGCGAAACTCATTTGGGAGCTCAAGCGGGAGTGAAAAACGCGAGCTCGTCGCGATTGCTAGTTTCCTTTCTTGTAGACTTGCTTTGTACGCTCACGCTCGTTTGGTGTGTGCATTTAGTACGGTGTGTTGATATATCAAAAGCTCCGGTTGAATAAATCACATACAAAATGCCGCGTATTATGATAAAAGGCGGAGTTTGGCGGAATACGGAGGTAAAGTACAAGATATTTTCTAACTTGATACACTATGATAAATATTTTTACATTACGGGTGGTTTTATTAATGACCTTGATATATTTCGTCAAGGTAATCAGCCAAATTATTGAAAGATTTCGACCGCTAACGTTTCATTGTTTATTAGGAAATTATTGGTAAAAGAATTTTAAAAATATAATGGATATTATCAGTGGTACAGAAGATAATTTAAATATTTACATAATTGGGCAAATTCTTTGCCTTATTAAATTGATGAGTTTACTGTATTGAAATAACACTGAAAAACATACTACTCTACTGAAAATGGAGATATTGTAAAGATTGGCAAAGATCTCTGTGCAAAGTTTATGTTGCGTTGAATTTAATTTCTATTTGAAAGCAATTGTATATTTGATGTGATAATCTGTATTTTAGGATGAAATTTTGAAAGCAGCTGTAATGAAATATGGTAAAAATCAGTGGAGTCGTATAGCATCTCTGCTGCATAGAAAATCAGCCAAGCAATGTAAGGCACGTTGGTTTGAATGGCTGGATCCAAGTATCAAGAAAACTGAATGGAGCCGGGAAGAAGATGAAAAGTTGCTGCATTTAGCTAAATTAATGCCTACTCAATGGCGAACTATTGCTCCTATAATTGGAAGAACTGCGGCACAATGTTTAGAAAGATATGAATACTTGCTGTAAGTGGCATTCTTTTGATACAATATACCAATTAATCTTCTGCTCTACATTATTATTGATTTATTTCAGTGATCAAGCACAAAAGAAAGAAGAGGGAGATGATGCTGCTGATGATCCTCGTAAGCTTAAACCTGGAGAAATTGATCCTAATCCAGAAACAAAGCCAGCTAGACCAGATCCTAAGGATATGGACGAAGATGGTAGGCTGAAAATAGTTTGATTTAAGCAAAATAGAGCCTTTATTGCAGTTTCAATCCCACCTATACTAACTATTCACATCTGTTTTATCAACTATAGTAGAGATGGTTTTGCTCCTAGTTTAGAATTATATTCTTTTGCAGAATTGGAGATGTTGTCCGAGGCACGCGCTAGGCTCGCAAACACTCAGGGAAAAAAGGCGAAACGCAAAGCGCGGGAGAAACAACTGGAAGAGGCACGTAGGCTGGCTGCTTTGCAGAAGCGCAGAGAACTGAGAGCCGCCGGGATTACAGTGTCGCAGAAGAACAAACGCAAGCGCGGCGTCAATTATAACACAGAGATACCATTTGAGAAACGACCGGCGCCCGGTTTCTACGACACCTCGAACGAGCACGTCGATCCACTAGCGATCGACTTCTCGAGAATGAGACAGCAACATCTAGATGGTGAGCTCAGGCAGGAGAAGGAAGAGATGGAGCGTAGAAAAGACAAGCAGAAACTGAAGCAGCGCAAAGAAAATGATATACCTATGGGTATGCTCAACAACGAGGAGCCCATAAGAAAAAGGAGTAAATTGGTTCTTCCAGAGCCGCAAATTTCCGATCAGGAATTACAGCAAGTTGTGAAACTCGGCAGAGCGTCGGAGGTACGTGCTTGGATTAATCGTTTTTGCAACTAGATATCTGTATAGATCTGTATAGACCACTCAATATCACAGGTCGCGCGAGAAGTTGCAACTGAGAGCGGCATCACGCTGTCCGACAGTTTGCTGGCCGACTACTCCTTACCTACAAACGCTGCGGTAACACCTCGCACACCGGCTGTCACAGATAGGATATTACAGGAAGCTCAAAACGTCATGGCTCTCACGCACGTGGACACGCCACTGAAAGGTTAATTGACATGATTAACATCAAACCAATTTGATAATTTTTAATATTTTGTAACTACTAATATGAAAAATGATATGATAATTTTCGATGTTGCAACTGTTAGTGTTACACATATCACTCGTCTTTTTCCGCAAGGTGGATTGAATACTCCGCTCAATAACCCAGACTTCACTGGTGTCGCGCCACCGAGCAATGTCGTGGCGACGCCGAATACGATTTTAGCCACCCCGTTTCGCTCGCAACGTAACGACGGAACACCCATAAATACATTCAACACACCGGGCGGAGCGTCGGTGCGAACGCAAAACGGCGTTTTAGCGGCGACACCCGTCCGTGACAAGCTCAACATTAATCCGAATGAAAACGTAGACGGCTCGGAAACTCCGCTTATACAGACGCAAGCGAAAAGCTCGTTGCGCGCGGCGTTGAGTTCCCTGCCGGCGCCTTGCAACGACTATGAGATAGACATGCGCGACGAAGAAATCAACGAGGAAAGCATCAACGCACCGGCGAATAACATGATCGAAGATCAGGCGGACGTCGATGCGAGACAACAACAAGAATTGATTGAGGAAAGTAAGTCGGTCGACGGTACTCTTGTCGATTTCTCGTAACTGCGCGATGTAGCACAATAGAAGACTCTTTCTCGAGAGAAATGTACGAGGTTGGGAAGTAACGCTGTTAAAAAGTACTCTTTTCGAGCAACGGCTTAATATCGCTGTTTGTAACATGAGTGGCGCGGATTGTTGTCGAATTAACAAATTCTCTGGAATTTTTAGAGAAAAGAGAACTAGCACGTAGATCACAAGTGATACAGAGAGACTTGCCGCGCCCTGCAGATGTAAATATGAATACCTTAAGACCTTACATGGACACGCCGTTAACAGACTTGCAGAGGGTATAAAAAAATTTATAGTTTTGCGCACGAAGCTCCCTCATAAATTGTGATCGTCGTAAATTAATTTACATTATGTACTCATAGGCGGAAGAATTGATCAAACGAGAAATGATTACAATGATGCACTACGATTCGCTGCAAAACCCAACGCAACCGAATCGAAAAGGCGCCGCGACATCATTGGCTCAGGCTCAAGCCTACTTGGACCAACATCCGTATGAGACCTTCGAGGAAAGCGAGCTTGTTGCTGTTAGTACAAAACATTCTATTCTTATGTAGTTTGTGCATTATTTAATATAACAATACTTCGTCGCTAATCTTAGCTGCTATTGGTAATATTTTCCTACTAATACTCAAACTCAGGCCAAGAAAATGTTGACTGATGAAATGGCAGTGGTAAAGGAAGGAATGGCGCACGGTGAATTGAGTTTGGATGCTTACACCACTGTGTGGGAGGAGTGTTTGTCGCAGATCTTGTACCTAGATACTCAAAAACGATACACTCGCGCGACCTTAGCCTCGAAGAAGGATCGGGTGGAAGCATGTGAGAGAAAATTGGAGGAAAATCGCATGCACATGACCGGTGAGGCTAAACGCGCCGCAAGGATGGAGAAGAAGTTGAAAGTATTGACCGGTGGTTATCAAGTAAGTAGAAATCCACATTCTCAATGAACAGTAAAATGCCTAGAGAAATTTAAAAATCCATAGCTTTATGTATGCTAATCCGAAATTCAAATTTGAGTAATGAGTAAGAGTTAGCGGAACAATAACGTAATTAACAACCGAACAAATAAACAACACTAAAAATAACTAACACGCGAATAGTAAGATAACTAAGCCACTGTGCGGGGATCCAAATCGCAAGATCCAAATTTTCCCGAGCAATTTCATGCGCGTGAACGTGCGTCGGAAGATGTTTTAAATACGCAAGCAAAGATAAGTGATTGAATACAGGTACATGTAAGTTGTCTTGTTCTCAAACAGACCAGAGCGCAAGTATTGACGAAGCAATTGCACGACACGTGGGAGCAGATAGAGCAAGCGAATCTCGAACTGTCGACATTTAAATTTCTGCAAACGCAAGAAGAAGCGGCGATCCCCAGGCGAATAAACGGATTGATGGAGGATGTGCACAGGCAAACGGAGCGGGAGCGCTCGTTGCAAATACGCTACGCTCAGCTGCAAGATCAATTGCAGAAGATTCGACTGGATCATTCGTCTTAGGGACGCGTGACAACGTTCGCTGAGTGCGTGCGATGAACTGTGCTATGAATGTGTATATTACTTCATAACGTCAACCAGTGTTGTGTAGTACAGTTCACTGTATACATGTCACATACATTTTACAAATACAATACAATTCGTTGCAGAAGAGAAGCGCATATCTGCAGATTAAAATTTATACATTTTAGAAGATATAACGTATCTACCCAGGTAGCAGAGTGACGTCAAGTGACGTAATAATAACGTCTTAATAACGAATCTAACGTCAATAAGACGTCAGGCTGCTATTCGGATAGAGTATAATCTATTTTGTAAGTATATAAATCTTGTTATGATGTGTAATCTGAACGTGACCACTCATACTTTACGAGCGGAACAGAAAGTTGTAAAGGCAATTGTTCCTTCCTATACTGTTAGGTAGAATCTTCGCTTTATTCTCGATTTATTCCAGCAATAAAAATTATGTATTTGATATTCGGATACATTTAGTATCTTCATTACGTCTGCTCTAGATCCTCCATTAGAGAAGTGAGAAACGTATCACCGTTGATCAATCTAGTGGTTCCCACGACAAATTCGACATTCACTGAAAATAAACTTCCATGTTAAACAAATCTAAAGCGTATCTACATGAATTTCTCAATTTCTTCAATTGTCACACAATACTCACAATCCTCCTGCTGCGACAGAAATCGAAGGGCGGATATTTCAGCGAAAGTACATCCTCCGATAAAGAATATCATGATCAATTTCGGTGGCTCAGAACTGGAGTCTTCGCTGGTGATGGAGTTTCCTAGAATAAAAATTCATCCTTACAAACGCGTATTGTCCCAGACAAAATTCGATAAGGTAAGTATATCAAAGTAGATTGTAAATTCAACTTACGTCTCATTAATGAAGATTGCATATTGTATGGAACATTGCTTACAGTAGGACCTGCCAGTAACCCCATCACATCGTTTAAACCTTGCCATCCACTCGGTTGTATCAGTTGCTCCGCTAATCTTACACTCAATGGCGCATATATGGAATGTACGTAACTGATATCTTTTGGCGTTATTTCACTTTCATCCTCAACTGTAAGTCTCAATGCCTTCCTCAAAACTGCGTATTGTCGTACCGACTGTTGCTGCTTCAGCAATCCGGCTTTCTCTAAATTTAATATGGTCGGCAAATGCTGGAACCCGTAAGTATGTATTATCTCTCTCTTGTAATAATCCAACAACTTCGGTTTTAAACCAGAATTCGTCAACGACTGTATGCAAAGAAGACGTAAAACTTTCAGTAACGGTTGTTGCTGCGCTATCATGTCCTCAATGTAAGCATTCGGTTTGTCCGTATCAATGCAATTCAATAGTTCTTGTTCGACTTGCAATGATTCCAAAAAGCTGCTCGAGTCAGTAACTTCCTTTATCATTTCTGCGATTGTAGTGTCTGAACACGATGAAATCACAAGAAAACAAAATATCACGGCATATGAAGATGTGCTAGAAAAATTATATTAATATTTCAAACATCTCTATTACTTACGTCTTGCTAAAGATTGCTTGGTGGCTAACATGTGCGGTAGTCTCGCGACAAATTGTTTGATTTCTTGCACACTCTTGTCTCCATGTCTTTCGTCAAATTGAGACGAAATTACTTTGGCTTTCCTACTGAGAACTGGTCCAACACCATTGAAATTTTTATCTCTGTAAGTAAGAGTTGCTCACATACACAAATTACAGAGAGGAAATCTATATTAACACACCTGATCTCAGCGAAAAGTTCTTCTCCAGAATTCAATATAATTTGTTCTTTTTCATTCAACGACATCGCTGTGGGAGAATCGTCGGAATCATGAAACTTTTTTGCAGGTAACTGCACAGTATCTAAAGCAAATGAAGAGATACTTTATTTCATGAATAGAAATTCAGATTAAAGAAATTATATTTGAATTATAATTTTTAAATATAGAAAATGTTGTTTCCACAATATAAAAGGTATAATATTAATACTTGCTGTATTTTATTCCAAATATTTCATCGATTAAACCTTCGTACGTCAACTGTGTAACTAACGGTGAAAGCAAATCTACAGATCGATCCAATAGTAACAAATGTTCAATGGCAACAGAGGAGACAGGAATTGTCTTACTGTCTTCTTCTTCTCTATTTAATCTCTCTAATAGTTCCCAAACTTTACTAGCAGCTGGCCCTCTGCCTGTAACTTTCAGAATTTTTCCATACAACCTTTGCAAGCCTTGTATAGCTTGTGCAACTTGATATAAACAGGTAGGATCATTTTCCAAGTAAAATTCTTTGAAAGAATTGCTCAGTTCCATTGATAGTAAGTCATTATCGAATGGGAAGAGGTCACATTTAAATTCCTCTATTAAAGTAAAATTGCCAAACACACCACGGTTCTGAAGCTTTTTTTGACAAAGCAGACTCTTGCGTGGCACAAAAAATAAGTGAAATTCTTTACGTGGCTTTTTATCTTCCTCCCTATATAAATATATTAATAATTATGTACTTGTATAATTTTTATGAAGATCCTTAAGTCTGTATCACAAATCTCATAAACAACATCCCTTGTACACTCACCCACGAATATTCTCTGCTATTAAATCCATAAGTTCTAATTGTGGTCTTGATATGAATATGATATTGGCGATATTGGATGGTATTGTCAAAGTTCCACCATATAATGGATACATTTTTACAACACCATATTCTTCTAACAAGTTATATTTTGCCACAAGACCAATTGGTCCGGCTAATGACTGATCCCATATAATAGCCTATACAAAGAATGATAAAAACACGTTACATACAATATATAGATATATTAGAAAAATATACTTGTGCATATATATATTTAAATTTATTTATTGCAGATTTATGTTGAAAAATAACGTTTTGTTCTTATGATAATATAAAATTAAAACTTAAAAATTAAAAAAACTCGCGACCATTAAATTGTTAAATATTATCAAATAATTCAAAAAGAGGTTATCATATCATACTTTCGGACCATCGCACTTCTCCAACAAACAAAGTAATCGTTTTCTTGCTTGTTCTTGTATAAGTCCGACATTTAATCTGCCTCCCGTCAAATATGTCGATGACATGATTATTTTATAATTTTATCAGTTATATGCAGTATTTTCTGCAACAATCCACCACAATGACAGCTATAGACGCTACATCGTATTTGACAACCGATGGTTCACTACTTTGTCACTGAGTTATACTACTTGAAAAATTACGTCTGACTAATCGCAGGGTTACAATCGCAAAGTTGTATCTTCATTAGACAGTGGCGACTCAAAGAGAAAATTGTAGAACTAAGAGCTCTCCGCTACGAGCCGCTACTATATTTACTGAAAATTCGAAATCATAATAATACGACTCAGTGACAAGTCGAATGTATTTCTATTTTCAAATAGGACTCATTAATTCATTTTCTCATCAAGTTAAACATACTTTCATTTTATATGTCGCAGATATTATTACCATTACTATTATTACTTCAAGTCATATAAAAATAAAAAAGAAAACAAACAGATAGAATCAAACCGCTCTCGCTATAAAAGTCAATCAGATTTAAAGACGATAAGACAATCGCGTCGCGAAACAACAACATTGTTAAAAAATAGAATTCACGAATATTACTTCTCTCTCTTTAAATTTCTTATATAAAGAAATGATTGTAGTATATAAAATAAACGAGTAGTTAAACAAACGACTACTCCTGCAAAAGTCAGTCGAACATTTGCCGATGCATCTTCACGCTAAATTCCAGATTTGTGGGTGCCATCAAAATTTAAACGTCGCATATACAGGTTTACACAGGCGTACGCGTGCGCGCGCGCTTAAATAACGGTTTGTACACATCTGTCCCCTATTTTTCTCAATACAATAGGGGTTGTATGTCCCCCTTCGTCTCCTAGATATGCAGTCGGGACTGCGTCCCGCTCGCGCACGCGCGCGCGCATACATACATACACGAAGAATAGTAACGAGGAACATCGAAGACGTCGGAAACAATTTCATTGTTTTAGAATCTACCATCGTCTCCATTTACAGGTTTTAACGTTTTCCAATATCGATAGCTTCGATGTTCATCACCTAGTGCTAAAAAAAGAGCACGCAAATGAGGCACTTAGCATTGCAAATGTTCGGTCGAGAGACCGTCATTGTGGCACAGCATCATGCATGCATATTGAACGCACTGAGCGTTGTGTTCAATATTATCAATTCAATAATCGAACCACACATGTGCATCGAGGACTTATACGCTGTAAGAGTACAAGTCGCGAACTCTCTGCTATTTTATAATTTTCACTTTCTGTGAATATTCGAAGCGAGCTCATCGATGGTCGCGCTTAAATGCATTCGCAAGGAAACGATGCGTTCACGCATCGCTCTCGTTCGCTCATCAATGTCCACGCAACGCGGATGCGTGTAAGTGATTCATTCACGTGCATGTACACGCACGCATGACGCATTACCACAGGCATTTTCACGCAGATGTTCGGAGTGGCGCGTGCCTCCACACTCCGCCGCACCGTCGCCTCGCTAACACGCGAGCACTGTACAGAAAATGTGGGTCCCACTATGTTCGTTGGCGGGGAGGGCGGGGGAGGGCAGGACAAGACAGGGGTCTCGACCCCCGCTCGCACGTGGGGGAGCGATAGACGCGCACACCTGGCCCTTAAAAGCGCCATTGGCGTGATTTCATGGCGTCTTCCGAGGAAGAGCTGAACCATCGACCTTCCTCGAGGCGTCGCGCTCGCTACGCCAATGAACGATGGGTCCCCGTTTCATCGTGAAACGACTTGTCACTTTTGAGAATGAAATAGAAACGTCTTCTCGCTTCCTACTGCGCTCAGAAGCAGAAGCTATTGTTGCGTTTGTTTGTCACACCTTCACGAGCATCCTTCACCAGAGCGTTAATTATCGTTGCTTCGCGCACGGTACATCAGCGAGTCCTAAAAAAAATGTTTACGAGACTCGGTGAGAGAAAAGTAATGGATTATAATGATTCGTCATATACTTCTTAAGTAACGATAATGGTAACGAGTCGCCGAAAATAACTTTCTCAAACTTGGTCAAATTTCACTCGATCCAATATAATGTTTCATTCATTAGAAGGATTCCATTGTTATATTACCTGTTCGTTCATCGCCGCGAAGGTCCAAGGCGACGTGACCGCCGCTTCGCGTATCTATTATTCCGCATACTAGAACTGGATCACATCTTGTGTGTCTTTACCTATCGCTTAATTAAGCATCTTCCGGTATATGTCCGCGGGAGTCTCACCCGGTCCAAAGGAGCGCGCACCTCGTTACGGTTTGACGGTTACACACGGACACGCGCGGTGCCCCGTGTGCGTACGAGGGGGTACATATGGAAACGTGCACCCCATGCAAGCTGCCTCTACAGGAATGACAAAGGCGAGAGGGGAGGAGCTGCGTTTTCACACGACTTGGCTTATGCGCTTTGGGCGGAGAAGAGGGAAAGATCGCGCGGCGGCGGCGAGTCGCGCCCGCGAGGAAGTCGGAAGCGACCGCGTCCCGAGTCAGTCAGTCAGCCAGTCGATTGTGGGGCATTAACGCGCTTAGATCGATCATCGCTGATTGCGCGCGTTTCAGAAGCGCGTCCGCAGAATGCGTGTGTGCGTGTGTACAATTGTGTATGGTGTTTGCTTCAACGTATCTTACGCAAGGCAGTAACTTCAAGCGGGAACTATCGTGCAGAATCCGCTCGGGTCCTCGAAGATAATTAAGAGAGCGACGAGAAGATTTAAATAGTGACTGTAAATCTCATCTCGGTTGGAACAACTGAATGAAATGATAATCTGTCGTACGATTTTCGAGTATGACTCGAGACTTACGTTTGCCTTAAGGCTGCCTTGAAGATCGGGATCTACCGAGGAAGAACGCGTGTCGCGTGAGGGGGTAGTCGTCATTAGGCAGTTTGTGGGGTTGCGACGGAGACCATACGGTCGTTCTCCAGCCACGCGCCGACCAGCCGTGGGAGGGTCGTTCCGCTCCGTTGAATCGTGAAAACACCCCCGTTGGAGCGAACATTGCGTTATACCCCGGCGCATCCTAGACGCACCTCGGGAGTTCTTCGGCAGACATTTATCGAATTCCCTGTTTCGCCCACGACGTACCCTGCAAGTACAAAAACATTATCTGAGAAGATCGTCGAGTGCCTTAAGGTTCTTGTTCGTTTCACGAGATAGTTACGCGCTCATTCGCTCGTTCTTTGTAATTCTATGGGGTGAAAATAGTGATATAATCATGAGTGCGTTCAAGAGGTATCAGAGCCGAGTGTTTTGGAACCAAATGGCCTCGCGCGACTTGGGGGATGATTATTTTGTAGAAAAAAACGCTCTCCCTGAGCGCGATCGTTTCGAATCTCCTCCTCATGAGGGAAACACGAAGGAGAGAGAAGAGGAAGAAGAAGATTCGACCGGCAAGTCGGAAAATGATACAGTGAGCAGCGGCGAAATCACCGCGATACGCGTTTGCAGAAATGCCGATGAAGATATGGAACAAAATACGTGTCAAATTTCGTCAATACACGACGAAAGTGTCGCGCGTTGCAGGTATGTACACGTAAAAAACGACAAATTCGCTGTTGAATATTCGCGCAGTGTTGAATATTGAAGCAGGAGCATCGAGCTTGACGAAAATCGCTGCTGGCGTAAAGCAGCGCGTGCGTCCTAATGTAATCATTTGTAAATAGATAATCTAAGTTCTTATTTATTTTTCAATGATTCAATTGTCTCTGTTTTCCGTATGTAATCGAGGAAAGTCAGCGCGACGGTCAACTGACGTTAAACTGGAACATAAAGTGAAATTTTCTATCACGCTATCGCTATTAGAGGAATCGGACGAACTTAACGCTCCGATGTCATACACAATTAACATTCGATCGTTTAGAATGGACATGGAAGAATCGAAGGAGGAAGGAGAACACGAGGTTGTCGCGAAGAACAGATCCTGCAGTCCGCTGAGCCAAGATCTCAAAAGTCTGGATTCCGGGTTCTCCGACTCCGAGAGATCGAACTGCTCGGAGGCCTACGAAAACGCGACTCCGAAGCGGAAGTCGAGACGCAGGAGAATACGAGAACGAAGAATTCAGCCAAAGATCGCTTCGCCGTGGCTGGAAGAAGTATCACCTCCGAATCCGATGCACACTTCCACGCCGAAAAACTCCAGAATATCACAGATAACGAGAAACCGTCTGGGAGGACGGGCAGGAAGCTGCTCGCAAGGACGAAGGTGAGTGAAGCGGTTGGACATAAACCGTCGTACTTGTAACGCCGTTACTGTCACGTATTCTTTCTCAATGCTTATTCGGTGACAGCGATATTCCTTTCTCGTTTGGCAACGGTAACGTTAACGGTAATACGATTACGTTTTATGGGCAATGGTGGCGAGGGTAATCTCGTTACTTTGCGCACGCAGAATGAGTAAATGAGGTAGGTCGCGATAAATGCAAAAAGACGATCGTCGTAAAGGACACGTAAGATTCCTCAACTCGAGACAAATATAAGTCGCAGCGATAAGATTGGAACAGTGAACTAATCGGCAGGAATGTGACACGTAAGGTGATTTCGTTTGATTTTGAGCAACGCAATGTACACATGTGTGTGAATCACAGGTCGTCAATACGTACTGCGCGTTGCGAGCAACGACGTACCGCCGACGGTCACTCTTCTCATGTTCCTCACACTCACGATATCCGTGTGATAAACGTGTGTCCGACACTCGAGCGAACTCGATTATCAATCCTTGAGCCGAAGGTGCCTGGTCTTATCGTCGAGCTGTTGCATTCGCGCCGTGCGCGATCGTGTATTCTCTCCTGCTCGATTCTCATGATGTAACGACGACGACGTATTCCCGAATTCTACGACGACCACGATGATTCGTAACGAGCGGGCTTCAATTCGATGGTATATATATATATATATATATATCTTTCCGAGAACTCGAAGAATTATCTGCACATAAATAGAAGCGTTGTATTCGAGAAATTTTTTGTAAGTCTCTCCATAAACACTCCAGCATCCAGATGACGAAATATTAATGACATCGTTAATAAGTCATTAATACATCATTTAATACCATTAATATATCATCGTGTGGTGATGTGTGTTTGGAAGATGTCTAAAAGACATCCTACTTGTTTGTGATATATTTCGGGATGTTTCTGAGGCGTGCCTTCAGATGTGTGCCGTTTAAATTCACGCGAACAAAGCATTCTTCAAAGAACCCATACGGCATAAAAGTTCCAGCAACATTGCTGCAACGTTGCAATATTGCAGGAATGTTTCTACAACTTTTGCGCTATATGGGAATGTTTCAGATAAATGTGCCGATCATTTAAATGTGTATTCTACGGGAGAGAACTTTCGAGTCAACCTAACAGGTCCGTGAGTACACGGATAAATTGTCACGAGCAAAGCTAATGGCATGAAACGCGAAACTAAATGGAGCCACGCATAAGGGGGACATTTAATATCTCACGCTTCGTTCAACCGGGCGCGAAATTCGTTGTGATGCTCATACGGGCCCCGCGCGGGTCGTGCTTTTCTGTTAGTCACCGCGTGCGCTCGTGCGCGTACGTGAGTCAATGCAACGCGTTGCACGAAGAATACGTAAATGAAGAATGAGCCCGACTGGAACCGGCGGTCAGGCTCGGGCCCTGACACAGTGTCATGCTTTCGGTGTCGCGCGACAGCGAATCTACGAGGAATTCGTAGTCCGACGCGGCGCGGCGCGGTGCGGTGCGACGCAACGCGCAGGTGGACGCATTGTAGTGCTACAGGAACGTGATTAGTCATCGCGTGCGCGAGATAGATCTCAGGAAGCCGCCTTGATTAGTCAGCCGATCTTACGTTTCCCGGTAATCGCCCCGGGCGCTTTCCCGTCCTTCCCACCCACGGAAATCGGCCGACTACGATGGCGAGTAATCACATGACACGAGAGAGATCTCTCTCAGTAGTAGGATAATAATTGTGCCACAATGACAGTAGCCGGGATCTACGTCGGTTCGCTATGACTCGGAGGTAGTATAAACTGCCAAGGACGACCAACTATCCAGGAGACAGGAGACAAAAGATTAAGAGACACGCACCGGGAAGATGCTTTCGAAGCACTCTCAGAATGTCTGGAAAAGTAGAATATTTCTTGAACATTTGGCCCATAATCGTGACGTCTTCTAGACTCTTGCGTCGTCCCGCGGTAACTCGTTAGAAATCACCGTGTATGAAACATGTACACCCGTTTGTGTGTATGTTACATGTTTATGGTACACTTGCCAAAGGCGAATCACACCATTCCAGGGCTACCGACGAGACCCTACCGGGCAATGCACCGAAGATACGTCCGTTGATACTCTCGTCCGTTGGGTCACTAGAGGGTGAGTGCCTGGGTGATTTTCTGTACGCGTCCGAACCGCCGGAAGACAGCGTTCAGCCGGCGACTGCGAAATCGCCGATTTCCATCGATTCCGCCGACGACGCGATATCCGCCGGCAGGGACGTGTTAAAGTCGAGAAATTACCGTCAATCGTCGTCCATGAGGGCCTGGTTGACAGATCTCGCCATGGAGACCGAGAACGAGTGCATCCACGCTCTCCAGAGTAAGAATCTGCCGCGCAGAAGAGCACTGGTGGTGTCCGGGGAAGCACACGCACGCGACCTCAAGATGATGTCCTCTGCGGCTACCGCGGCCGCGAGCAAACTGTTGGCCAATGCAGAGCAGTTTGAGCAACATTATCGTAATATTGTCGAGTAAGTTGTCTCAAATATACTTCTTTATCTCTTCAATTCTTTGCCGTGCATCGACAGAAAAGAATCAGGTCAGAAAAATCGAGTCACGCAAATTCTGTTGCGCACAACCTGCAACTGAATGAAATTGGATAAAAATGTAGTCGGACGTAACGATCCGACGTGAGAGAATTTAAACCGTATACTTTGTATTCGTTAATATTAAAGATGGCGTCATTCAAAATTTTTTCCGAATTTTTAATTAGTTTTTAAAACTAGCAGCTAGCTCAAGTTTAGATTTAAAATTCGAAAATTTGGATGACATCGCTGTGACATTCTTGGAGCGCGAAGAGTTAAATCATTCGGAGAACTATCGTAAAAATATCAAACATATTTAAATATCCGAAAGGCGAGTGTACCTTCTTTAGTCATAAACGATCAAATTGGGTTAAATTAGATTTGCCGCATTAATCATTCGTCATTCTTCGTCGTTCTTCACGCAGGAAAATAACGTGTCTGGAAGGCGGCCGATCCGAGATGGGGCTTCTCCGCAGCATCGAGGAAGCCGCGTTCGCGATCCTCTCACAATTAGGAGCGCCACCACCGCGACGGATTCAACAAGGCAGTCTAAGAAGCATTCTCGCACAGCTGCAAAACATGAAGACATACGTCGACGGTACAATTGACACGCGCTTGGACTTCTACATAGAGGTTGGTTCATACACGTTGGACGACGTTGTCTCGCGGCACACACCCGCTCGAGGTCGGCAATTTGCAAGAGATAATCTACGTAAAAACTGTCTTTCAGAAAATAATTCGCGGACTCGAGGAAGCGCCGCACGAAGACAGTAGCATAGCCAGAGGCGCTTTGGCAGCTTTGACCGCGTTGGGACTGTCAGACTCCCGCGCAGGAAGCAGCATAGCCCGATGCTCCGGGATAAAGGCGCTCCTGATGTGTCTCATCGGTACCGGTTCTCGAGAATCGTCATCATCGGGCGACTTGATTGCGGTCTCGCTGCGTGCTCTGGCTAGTATATGCTCGTCAACAACCGCTATTGAATACTTCGTCCGAGACGGCGGGCCTGAAATCTTGACGGACCTGTTAGAGGCGGAATCCACTCGCGAAAAAGAGAAAACCGAAGCCGCCGCCTTAGTGGTACAGATCACGGCGCCGTGGACCAACGCGATGGGTCTGCCTTACCTCGAGCCTTTCGCGGGCTCCTTGATACCGGCGCTGAATCGACTGCTTGAGAATACTAGCTGCGCTCAGACATTGCTGTTAACGGCTGCCGCACTCAATAACATGTCTAAGTCGCGACTGTGCAGCGATGTTATATTGAGGGAAGACAGCGTAAGGAAGTTGCTGAAGAGCGTGAAGAAGTCCGCAGTCGGCGGTAACGTCTGGCTGATGGAACAGGTGGCCGCGCTGATCGGCGAATTGGCGCGCACCCCCGCGGGCCGGACGCACTTGGCGCAAGTACGCGCCTCTGTAGCGTTAGTTTCCTTCCTGAGAATGAGACCGCCAGGCTTAGAGGACGCGTATCGTCGGCTGGAGATCACCGCAGCTGCCGCGCTCACCAGGCTCTGCGTGGAGCCGGAAATCGCGCGGCAAGTGGTCGCAGTCGGCGGCGGCGATTGCCTTCCGGCTGTCTACGACTTCGACAAGCCGGCCGGAGTGGAAAACGACGAGGTGCAGGTAGAAGCGGGTTTGTTAAAATATACCAGGTCGTTGAGGCGAGCGTGCAAGAAGGCGGCGAGGCAAATCGGGATCGCAAAGGCCAAGGATCGCAGCACGTTGGATTAAGGAGGCACTCCATAAGTAAAGGATCCATTGCGACGGTTCCGACAATGATAGCGGGGAAGGTCGCGTGTGGTAAAAACAAGACTGTAAATATATATTGTACAAGAATAAACTATATAATTACAATGATACATTTTATAATGTAAAAATAATATAGAAAACAAGATGATTCGTCGTTAAAAACAGATGTACAGGTATATTTAGTTTTGTGTTTTGTATCTCCAATGATACAAATGCATACTGTGTAAAAAATACTTGTTTTTATCTTTCTGCCATAAAAAATGTGCCATAATTCTTATAATATACCTGTGTGTAAAAACTTTATAAAAAATATTGACCATTTTAATCTCTGTCCTAACTGCCATCCTGAAGATCTGACTTGTGGAAAATGTCTACTGTGGTCTCCAAGCAGGGCCTTAATTCCAGATCGCATGTGCCAAGAACAAATTTACCATTAGGTGCTCTAAAATAGTCTAATCCACGTCCGATTTTGATCACCCATCCGTTGCTCAACCTAAGATGCACAAATACGAGAGAATAACATGAAAATCTGGACATAAATCATCCTTGTAATGGTTATATCTTTTTTGCATCTGTTGTCCTTACGAAATTTTTCTGTCATGTAGTGTCTCAGAAAAGGAGAAATCAAAAGAGATTTTACGAGAAGCCAAACTCTCTTTTAACTCAGCCAATCTCGTAATTTGATTGTTATCCTCTATATCGTAAGTCGTAAGCAGAGATATTCTCGATAATTTGCAACACTTTTGAACAGCCAGTTCGCATAGCCTAACCAAGTTTTGACACTATATACAAAATGATGACATAATAAATATATTATAACAACAACAATCTACATATTTTACAGATGATGTGTACGTACTTGGTGAAAAGCTCTTATATATGGATCCTCGATACTGATATGAGTAACAGTACTATCTAAGAATCTGCCAAAAACTGTCGCATAACTGTATCCTGTTGATCCACTCTCGATTTTCATCGACTCTCTGTATGAACCAGCTAACTTTCTTGCGTTAATAAGCTTCTTCACCTTCTCGGCTCTGTCCAAATATTCCTTTGCCTTAATGGTAAAGTGTCCCCTCTTATGTGCTTCTTTTGTCTCTATATCGTTTCATTAACGATTCTTGAACCGAATTACAAAAGTGGTAACACAATAAAACTAATAGCTCCGACTTTTTCCAGCAAAAACTTCTCTAGTTCGTGACATATACAGGAGAAAAGAGAATGGATGTGTTTCATTTAGTAACATAAATCAACATAAGCATTAATTTGTCTTTGTTTCTTATAGTAAATAAAATTAGGATGATACTTATATTGACTAGTGCCACTAAAAATGAAAAGTACTCAATAAATATGAAAGAAAGAATCCCCTCGTCAAATGTCGTCAAATGATTTGCAAATAAATATTACATATTCTAACATTTATAATTTGAATAAAATACTTGAAATCATTGTTTTACTCTAATCATAGAAACAAAATAGAAACTGTACTTATTATTACACTTATTATGTCACTGTTAGTACTAAAAATCTATATATAACATAAACTAGATTTTCAACACTGGAAGTGAATAATGGAACATAAACCATGTTTTAATAATCAAATTTTATAGGGTTAGAAAATTGGCTGTGTCAAATATCAAGAATAAAAATCGGTCGAAGCAAGTCTCCTCTCTCCCTTTCTTTTTCTCTGTCACTCTCTCTCACGAATTTATTTCATATTCACAGGTCTTTAATAAAAAATAAATAAGCATCCTGGTGATTACCTTTTACGACATTAAGAAGTATCTGTACACCTTCCTCATACAATACCAACGCCATTGTATATTGTTCCTTCTCGTCCATCTCTACCGCCCGTGTTAGCACCGAAACCGCTGCAAGTTCCATGCTTTGTGTTCTCGAATTTCGAATTTGAATGACTCAAATGTCACGCTACACTGTACAGAAGAAAGCTTTCAAACCGGATTCTTCAATTACCATACCTGCAACACAATGATGCTCAGGTTAATCTATCATTCTCCTAAACCAAGTATAACCTAAGAACAAAACTATAGATAACAACGAATGATAAGGGAATTTGACGTCATATTTTTTTGTTCTACTTGGGGGAATCAATCGATTTTATCTGCGTGTGCAGTAGATAACTCGAGAGTTTCTTACATACATAACGATAGCAACAAAGCAAAGTATGAGAAACCGCAATCGAATAGTGTTGCACTCGAAGTTTGAACGTATCAATCGTGAATCGCATGCGGTACTGCAAATTATACATGAAACGTTATCCAAATCACGCTTCACCACTTCATTCAACCTCGAATGTAATACCAACGCTGTCACACGATGCAGTTCGTCGTAAGTCTATCGCACTGTACAAGTTCGTTGAATTCGTGTTTAAATTTCAAACACTATCGATAATCGCAGTCACAATTCCGACGATAGGTTCGCTCTTGAGAGGCTAGCTTCGTAAATTTCATTAAACATGGCGTCACACCATATCGCTCAATGTCGACGACTTTTACGTATATTGAATCACGTTCTCGTGCAAAAAGACGAATTACTTTGGTGAAACGTAAAATCGTATTGTGGCACCTCGGTGCGCGGCAATATTTTCCAGAACTTTTTCGTTGAAACGATTGAACCTCAGGTAAGATAAATATGAACCTTTTCGAACAAAATTCCGTAGAATTTACCGTGTTGTGTTTTCGTTCGACATGAACGATGCTGAGATCGTGTGACGTTGTACCACGTGACCGTTCGCGCGCGGCAAAATTTTAATTTATGATATGCACGTTTCAAGACTTGGTGCATAGCATCTCTAAATGAATAAGAAAAATATACGAGATATATGCATATTTTTTTTAAGTATTAATGAAGTCCAGCAAAAATTTTGGTTATGGTACATTATGGGGAGAGCTACCAGCGCGGGAAATGCTGAAGCAAGAAGTAATAACACCAGATATCATAGAAAATGTTTGGCGACAAGTCATAGATGACTCAAACAATCCTGATTGTGATTATCGTAATGACAGGCAAACTGAATATTTACAGCAAGTATAATAATCATATTAATGCATAAAAACGCAATGAATCAAGTTATTACTTATGTTATTAATATCATTCTGTTACAGGTTACCCATGGGAAATTTACATGTATTAAATACCATAAATCTTCACCAACAATTACGCACAATGGTAAAATATTTAAATGAATTTTTCAACTCTAAAATCATATAGAAAATATGCTTTGTATGAACGATAAATTTATCTTTCTCTTTTAAGGAGGAAGGAACTGTGCTTGGAAACATGACTATGGTAGATTCAAAAGATTCACAGAATATGACTGATTCTAAAAACATATTTAATTTTCCACCTCATCAGATAGAAAGGTATTTACTATAGTTTTAATTTAATATGTCGCTATATAGTAATATTGTAATTAATGTGATTATAATGTTTTAGAAACAAGTTTAAAGATTGCTCCACTATTCATCACTTAACACCACAGACGGTACGAGACTTGTTGAGGCATACTGTGACTACTTTATTGGCTCATATTGGGTTTGAAAGTTCATCGGATATAGCTATAGAAACAATCACTGATATCGCGGATCATTTCCTAAGGAGAATGACTCTGTTATTAAAAGTTGCGGCTGAGCAGAAGGATCATGGCTTTCCCGTAAGAGAAAATTAATGTACAATAATTAATATACAATGAGCAAAAATAAAATAAAAACATATTGCCATAGTGCCATTTCCAATCTAGACATATTACATTTATGAATTATTTCTTTTTTTATTCATTGATTATATGTACGTTTATATATAATCAATTTATACTTCTCAGGACACTGTGGAGAGAGTGCTGGTAGAAACAGGCGTGGGTGGAGTGACGGCGTTGCATGATTATTATCAGGAATACATTCTGAATTTCGAAGAGAACATGAAAAGAAAGGTCGAGGAAATGATGGAAAGACAGAGGCAACTTGAACTTAATACTTGTAGTACTAAATATTCAATTGTATAACCGAGCCGTCAGTCATTTATATCATTACTACTTTAGAAAAAATAGTTACATTATGTCATAATAATGTGTCATGATTTTGCAGAATGGTACTAGACGAAGCCGCTAGCAAGCTACAATTCGAAGAACTGGATGAATTTGGTAATGTGTATCGCGAAGTGCCAACACTTCAATTGCTCGATCCAGAAATGGGCTTTCCACCCAGCCTGGATGCTGGCTTTCAGATGCTCTACAGTCTCGAGCAGGATGAGTAGGTTTTACGTACGGTTGGGGCATTACCAGGCGGCAAGATGATAATCTCAGTGCTTCTAGATTAAACAGTCTGGAAGTGGAAGAGGAAGAGGTGAATGTAAGCGATTCACCGAATACAACGGGACAACGATCCGACGCGTCTGCAGACAAGAAAAGATGTTGAGTTATTGAGTGTGAAATGTTTTCACGGAGGATTCTCCATGGAATCACGTGAAACATATTTCTATTCTTGCAATCTACGTGTTTGTTGTATCGTTTCAATAAATAGCAAAATTTTACATATTTTCTTATTTTTTATAATAGAAAAAAAATAAAGGCCTGGCTTGCTGGTGACTCATATTACTTGATTAATAGGTTGTCTCTGTCTGATTTGTCATTGAGTCGTATCACGATTACGATCTCTCAATCTCTTGATGAGGATGGTGGCGGCTCGTAATGAGAAATCAAGGAACTAATAAAAATAACGGATCTAATAGAAGATTCACCCTGTGCATTACGTGACGAATTAGTTTCTATACTACGTACAAAGCTTGGAAAATTACTTCCTCAATCCCGAAACATTCAAAATTCAACAGATTGTAATTTCATTAAAAATAATGAGGTGGGACAGGAAATACATTTTACAGCTTGAAGTTTTCAATGTTTATCATATATTTTCTGCTTATGAAGAATTGTATCATCACTGAGAGACTTCAGCGCCGAACAACTAGGTTTCGCCACGCGTCCCAGAATCCTCTGTGACGCACGTTGACAACACGTCAAAAATGGCAGATCCTGCGCCCAGCAAAGCAGATATCGAAGAAATTTTCAAAAAACTGCGGGCTATTCCTTCGAATAAGGTTTGTTTGAGTGTGGTATCATTATTTAATTATTCGTGTAAATACAAGAGAAACAACAGGATAATCGATCCTTTGAGTCAATAGGATTCTAGCATCATATTGCTACTTCCAACCTGCAGTTTTGTAAGAATCTTCCTTCCCATCGTGTAACACGCACGAAAGTGGGGATTGTCGAATCTAGAACAGTTGTGTTGTATTTTGTAATACGTGTTCCCAGTAAATATCATTGAAACACATAAAAAATATGTTTTTATCGATGCGTACTTGGTTTTATGTAATCAGTATACTTTTTGTATCATTTTATACCTTAATTTATTATATATACTTTCATACTTTATACAGAAGAACTGAATAAAATAAAAAGAAGAGGTAATATAATGTATATTAACAACTTCCTTTTTCAGACATGTTTTGATTGTAATGCAAAAAATCCAGCATGGTCCAGTGTAACATATGGAGTTTTTTTATGTATCGATTGTTCAGCTGTACATCGTAGTTTGGGTGTACATTTGACCTTTGTCAGATCTACCCAACTTGACACAAATTGGACATGGCTGCAGCTTAGAAATATGCAGCTGGGTGGTAATACTAACGCTGTTAGTTTCTATAGCTTATAATATTGATATTTGTATAATTTTTGTATCATTGGTTGTTTTTCATAAGATCAACAGGTATTTTATTATTTTGTTTTATTGCTATTATTACTTTATCATTGCTTAATTACTTTTGATTAATATTGTTATTACTTACCAACAATGTTATCAATATTAAAATCAATAATATCTAGCTTCAGCCTCATTAATAATTTTTAGAGAAAATTCTTTGCACAACACAATTGTACCTCGAATGATGCTCAGCAGAAGTATAACTCACGTGCAGCTATGCTATATAGGGAAAAATTGGGGCAGGTATCAGCTCAAGCAATGCGCCGTTATGGCACAAAGGTATAATTATTCAGTAGATATATTAACATTTATAATGTAGTATTTAATAGATATTAGTTAGATCTGCCATAACTATAAATGTGGTAATTATAGGTTTTTCTCCCTTCGCCAAAAAGTAAAACAATGGTGAGCTGAGTGAATGTTTAAAGAAAAACAATGCTTGAAAGTTTACCAATGTGTGCTTATGATGCTGTTAAGAAATCGCTTTTTTCATTTTCCATAAACATACATATCAATTGTTTTTTGTGATATTTAATATCAATGCACATCCTTAATGTTTTGTATACAATGACCTATGATTATAAAGATATGTTACTTGCATTTTTTCTTACAAAAAAGTTTATTGCTCACGTCGTTGTAATCATAACAAACCTCACTTAATGTAAAGACCTCATTTAATACGCATACATATACATTTCATTACGATTCGAAATGCAACATTATGTATTTTATTTTTATAGCTGTTGCACCTAATAATCTACACTTCAGTCCAATTTTTTTTGCAGCTTCATTTAGAGGAAGGTACGGAAACAATGTCAGAAGAAACAAACGAGTTGGATTTCTTTAAACAACATGAGAATCTAGATTCACACCAACCTGAAACAATAATTCCGACAGAAGAGAAAGCATTCCTCGCATCTAACGCTGTATCATACAATGACAATACAGAGAGAAACACATCGGAAATTGCTTCCAATTGCTTGGGTCCATCTGTGAAACTTTCCGATTCTACCTCAAACATACAGTTCGAGAGAAAATCTACCATAGGTCGTAGGACGGTGCAATCCAAAAAGGCCGGTGTAAGTTTACGCAGCGGAACGATATATTGCAACTATCTTAATTAACTAATTAACTTACTTAATTACAGCTGGGGAAAAAAGCCGGAAGTTTAGGAGCTCAAAGAGTTAAGACCAATTTTGACGAACTAGAAAGAAGTATTACAGAAATAGGTAAACAAATACAAGAAAAGGATCAAGAGGTAACGAAGAAAGAACAAGAGGAATTGACTACACGTTTAATCTACCAGTACGAACAAAATTTGAGTCAGCAAGCGAAGAAAGCGGAAGAGAGAGCAAAACAGCTGGACCCATCAAAAGCTGGACAAGCGGAACGACTCGGAATGGGATTTAATGTACGAAGGTAATGAATCCGCACATTTCTCGTCCTCTGTAAAATTTATATCATACATACCACTGCGAGGCGTCTCAAGTGCAAAGATTTCGACAAAAATTAAAAAAGAAAAAACCGAACAACTTATGGAAAATTTGTGAAAATCTATAAAACCGTTTTGTAAGGTTTATTTTAGCAATTTGAAATGTCGCCTATATCGGGCGTTATTCATATTTACTATTTTCCTTTAGTATCATTTATTTATTTTCTTTTTTTCAGCGGCGCCAGTCATTCTGCACTTGGTGATATGAAGACAATAACACAGGAAACATCGTCGAAGACCATAACGGCCGTAGAGCCGAGGTTGAGAGATATTGAACGTGATCTTATTGTTGGTTTGGACGAATTTTTTGCAGTTTATGCTAACAGTACCAGCAAGTCATCGCGCAGTGAGGATGTTGTGGTTGTGGCGGAACCGGAACCACCTAAGCGATTAATATCCTCGACACGAACCGCAAAAAATGATATAAAAGCTTCACCTACCGTCGAGGGAGAAGCTCAGAAGAAGTTCGGTAGTGCTAAAGCAATTAGTTCGGAACAATACTTTCAAGATAGTACTTCTGACAATTCGGTGAGCGGAAACCTCAGAAAATACAATCAAGATTATTTTTGTCGTATTATTATTGCTTTTTATCGCTATATCGGTGCTCCAATGCAATACTAGAGTATCTTTAAATAGAATATTGTAAAATTGTTAAATGCATTAGTAATTCGTACAAAATAATCACAATATTGTGCTCCATCATTTTTGTTTAACACAAAGACAGCAATAGTTATGTTCTATTGTATTCTCACATTCTACGACTTTATTTCAGGGAGTATCGAACAATATTTTACATTCACAATTTAATTTATGTATTTATGATATCTTAATATGAAATCTTAATTTTATAATATTTGGGGATATCACAGTAGTGATTTAGAGCAGCGATATATAATATGTAATATATAAGACATAATTTAATTATTTTTTAATGGGAAATCTACATTTTCAGTGGGAACGTAAGAGTAATCTACGTCGTTTTGAGGGTTCATCCAGTATCTCATCAGCTGATTATTTTGGCACCGAAAGCTCGACGCCATCCTCGTCCTCGTCGTTATCTATTCGTCTCGGCGCGGGAGGAGCCGGTGTCGTAGATCTGGACGATGTCCGAGAAAGCGTGCGCCAAGGTGTAAACAAGGTTGCAGGGAGGCTCAGTTCTATCGCGAATGCAGCGGTCTCCTCTATACAAGATCGTTATGGGCTCTGAATGAAATCTAATTGCAATTTATAAAGATTGTTATGACACTTATATCCGGACTGCTCTTGTCCATTGTTTGAAACTGTAAATAAAAGCTTACCCACAATTGAGCTTCCGTGTAACTTATATGTCAGGTACACACACACACACACACACACACACACATACACCCGCATTTTTACGTAAAACAGTTATATCGGCAACGAGACTAGCGTAATGTCGAGTCATTTACCACACTGACGTAAATGAGAATAAATACAATGTATTTTATAAATACGCCTGATCACTTTACAATGTAGAGAGAGAGAAAGAGAATCACAACTTTTTCCCTCTCTCTCTTATCACATAATATATATTGCATAACAAACATCTCTATATCAAAAGTCAGATTACACCGACGCGGGAATAAAATAAGGTACGAATAATTTAGATAAAAATTAATAGAACACCACTACCTAAGAAGGTTAAGAATCTATACTCGACGGTTCTTGACAACGCAGGACTAGTTGCGAACATGGTTTGCCGTGGAGAAAACACACGAGTATGACTGTCATGTTATCACAGCCGGTGCCCATCAGAGTGTCCGGTGCTAGGCAGTGATTCAAAAGTTCTTCGCAAATCTCCTCGGGATATATGTTGTCGTTTCTCGTTGTTTGCGAGTCCCCCAGCTTCGTGTGAGCTAAACGCGTTCTCACAAAGTTGACAACTTCCTCACTGGTCATTACGTCCCAAATGCCGTCGCATGCCAGAACCACAAACTCCCAGTCCTCCGTAATTGGGAATTGTTGTACTTCGGGGAAAGCTGCGATAATATATTATTTTCAGCAAAATACGTAAAGTGTGTTAAAAGTTACACACACCGCCCCAAGCAGTTGGCAAATTATATCGTAAATGCAAAACTAACTTCTCAGAAGAATTATTTTAATCTTTGTGTTTATCTAACTATAATAGAAATAATGTGAAATAAATAAAAGGTTATTTGAATTAGAGTTGTAATATTTTCTCAAAGTATCATTGACAAAACAACGACAAGATTTCTACTAACGTGCTTGATACTCTTACACTTTAGTCAGATATCAAAAAGTAAGATGAAAAGTTACATTCATATAAACATTGTGTTATATACTGAAGATTAATATTATTTGATACGTTCAACATATTAAATAGATATTAGATAATATAACAAAAACAAGAAAAACGATACTCTGCTTTTGACAGTATGCTTTTGACATATTAGAATAAATGTTGTCATGTTCGACGTTGTTATTACCGGTAACAATTTGTTCTTGCGGTGATTTCCGGTCGTTTCGTTTAAACATGAAATCCCCAAGAGCACGTGACAGTGCTAAATTGCCGTTTACTCTCTTATATTCGACAAAACCACCCGCGGCTTCAATCCGCGCGCGTTCGTCCTTCAATGTAGGCTTGTGATCTCGACTAAGGGGTATCGTCTTGCCATTGATGCTCGCTACCGCTCTGCTATCACCTGCATTAGCCTACAGAGCTCTTCTTACTGGTCAGCGATTCGAATGGAAAGCATGTTGTTGTGAAATAACGAACGACTTACGCTGTATAAAATGTTATCTTTGACGAGGAGAGCGATAACAGTAGTTCCAGCCGGCTCGCCCTTCAGTGCAGCATCGTTCTGCATCGCTTTATCCAACTCTAGGAAGCCTTGCTGTATAGCTTGTATGATATTACCAGATTTGTACTCGCTTCTCTTGGTGATATATTTGTGAAGATGCTTCCCGGCATGTTGCGCCATGGATGCACCTACAAGCATGCAGGTTTATATGAATATATGTGTTAAATTTATTTATACAGAATAAACGAATTAAACTATCTCTTAGAAGCTTATCTTTCACCACGAATCTAACAAATATTCCGTAATAATTTTCCAATAGTACTCACCTCCATGTCCATCATAAACTGCAAAGAATGCAGTATCTGGATCATTGGGTAAGGAAAGTATATGCACGTGCGAGTCTTCCATTTTAATACGCCATCCTTGCATACAGGAGCTACCTACTCGATAGTTGGTATCCCAACAACAGGCTGATTTCTTTGTTGTTATCGGTTGACTCAGAGTCTGTCCCATATCTATTTCTTAACCAATAGTTAACCTGTTAATGAATAACATGTTATTTAATACAAATCGCAACCAACGTTATTTCGTAAAGTTTCGATTTATATATTTCCTCATTGTCATGCCGCAATTGTGTCTATTTGTAGCAGAGGAAATGCGACTCATCGATGTTGTACAATTTTCTAATTTAATACGATATTATTTACATGTCGTTTTTAAACGTGACAACATTCGACGAATCCATTCAAGTATTCTGTCGCCTTACCGTCTAGGACACTAAAATTCCGTGTTTAACTTCTTTTCAGGCCGCTAGTCTCAGAAAAATTTTCCACAGAAAAAAACGCGAAACATTCGGGGAACGTCAAAGAGCCTCGAATATTAATAAATAACCTCGATTTGTCAATTAAAACCTGCGTTACTTTTCGCGCCTCACATCCAGCCATGGAAAAAGATGTGCGTGGTGTCAGAGCGATTCTATAAGCAGACATTGACCGAGATAAACAGCTGATCCGGAGGATGACGTTACGACAAAACGTCGTCTTTTTGGAGCGCGATCGTACACTCGGTACGTCATAGTCCCTCCGCGTCCCGAGTGAAGTTAGCTATGCTTTTTGCACTTTCTGTACTCGATCATCGCTGTGCTCTGCGACTGTTTTATAGGTTTGCTCCTTCTTTTAGTATCTTTAGTGTCCTTTTATTTCTTGCGTCTTATCAAATACCTGGATATGAAATTTGCCCTCGTACTGTAAAAAACATAATTTATGGTCGAACAAGTAAGTTCAGAGGTTATGAGAGTGTCACAGTCGCAAGTGTAATGTACGCAAGTACCAATGCACCACGCGCAACGCGGTAAAATTAAATTAAACGCATCATGGCCGACATGGTTCTATCTTAAAGTCCTCTTTCAATATTTAATTAAAATCTATTTAGTTATATTTTTTTTGAGATTCTTGTAAGTCCTGGAAACTAACATTATATTTCATTCCTTACAATTTCAATATCCAGTAACCGAAGAAGTTATTTATATCGTGATTGGAAGCAGATGTAACATCGACAAATTTGCATCTTATCTTGAAGGAAAACCGATTTAACGGCTTGATTGGAAGAATGGCAGGAGTTAACGGTGCTTTAATTTCGAGGAATTTGCGACAATTAACATTTGGAAGATATAAACATCTGACAGGTACGATGTTAGAGACAAATAATATCTGTTAGAATAATGAACAATTATGTATGCTCATGATGTTACTTTTTCGAAAGGTCCCATACGTTCTTTCTCGTCCAAAGACACGGATAAAGCCGACGAGGGTCCAAGATTACGTGAGTTTCGAAAGAAATTACGTGAGCAAACTCCCATAGGTATGCCATCAAACTCGCGAGTTAAAATTAGAGATCACAGAAATTTAAAGTAAATCTTGAACAGAGAAACTGGAGGAGTTGGAGGAGGGAAAACATCCTTATCAGGAGAAAGAACCTCTGAAGCCGTTTCCAAACAATACGAATCCAGAAACAGGTGAAATCGGAGGTCCACGCGGTCCAGAACCAACTCGCTACGGTGATTGGGAAAGGAAAGGCCGCGTCACAGACTTCTGAACGATGTCAGCTGCAAGGAGAAACTAAACCGTTTGTTCGTAATGAATGATAATCGCACCGAGTCTAAGTAAAAAAATACCTTATCAGTCAATGTTAAATCAATCGATATATCTCTATCGATGAAAAACGACAGTTTTGAATAAAATACTTTTATGGTATTGTTTCTCGTTTTATGCATTGTACTGTCTTATTCCGGGATAGAAAGGACTGTGCACACATGGACATACATTTTGTACTCTGTATACATCTAATATGACAGTTGCAAGTATCTCGACATGTGACAGTGTTTTATTAACAAAATGAATAAACTATTTCTATGTCGACATTTTTATAATTACGGGCGGGTATATGTTTCGTGGTGGTTCACAGCAAAACGTCCGTAAGATGATTCGGACCAGTCTTATTCTGACGAAATGGCAGCCGAGAAGTTACAGACAATTTGTTACGAGTACGAGCGGCCCAACATTTCCGAATATTCCAAATTTGCGAGCTTGACACTTGTATTCTAGCAAATATAGACAATTATTTTCTTCTTCATAGCGGAGAAGGCTTGTCGTCTGTCTATTCTTTTTGTACTAAAATATGTAAAAATTAAACGAGTGATTTACGTTCAGATTCTCTGGTGCAAAAAATGAAGCAAGACATGGATATGTCTACAGAATACGAGCGAAAAGAATCACCGCGAATGAAGCAATTTCACGAAAAACTCAAGTTGCAGCCGATACCAAGTACAAGAAAAAGATTTTGACGCGATATCAACTATTCTTTTACATTTCTGTAGTTTCCTTTTTCAATCAGCGTATATACGTAGAATTTTTTCTATAATAATAATAATACTATATAATTTACTATATAATTTTATCAACCATGTTCTTGATTGTGAGATTTCGTATTGATTTTTTTCTTGCTTAATAGAAATAGGACCACGAGAGCGATTTGTTGATCTAATGTTAGTGGAAGTTGACTCCAAAACCGGGGAACTAATAGCAGACAGCGAAAAGGAACCTACTAAATGGGGAGATTGGCAACATGGTGGTAGAGTCACTGATTTTTGAAATGAAGACGTTGTATGCTTATTATAGACCTTCACATGATGCACGTGTAAAGCACAAAGAAGAACTTTGTATGTGTGTGACTCAACATCTTTGTTAATTCTATACTCCATAGGAAACGGACTGAATTTTCTCGGGTAGTCAATACTAGGCGAAACGATGTAAATTAAAATTATTTGTCGTATAGCGAAATACAGAATGGATAACGCCGCATATGTAATGTAGAAAAACATTTACATTGTATGTTTCGGAACAAAAATTTTATCTCACGGTGAATAAATTATACTATACGCAAGAATGACTTCTTGTCTTCTCGAGCAATAACATTGAGGAGAGTTAGTTTTTGCAAATAACTACAAATTTATTAATGTGTTTGGCATTAATTCCACAAAAGAATTTGGAAAGTCTAGCTCTCTCGCTATGTTAGTCTACACAAAAAGCTTACATTATACAGATCATTGGTATGTTACATGTATAAAAATATGCAATATACTAAAACTCTGCCAGATACAGTAGCAGCGAAATTTTTATTTAGCCAAAACATAATAAGTTTCTAGTACTAACACTAAGCCGTTCGTGTAGAAAAAAAGCAGAGCTAACACTACAAACATATCATAGCAAGAGGATGTATGTACACCATTATTACTATAGTAAAAATTTCACTTTGTATTTGTAACGTTTTGAAAATTTCTCTGACGATGTCGAAAATTCTTAATAAAATAATCTACGAGATATTACACGAGATGCGTGTATAGAAGATACACTATAGGATTCCATTCGTTTTTAGCTATTGCGACAATAGCAAACAGATCGTTTGATTAATCTCGTTATCCGTCTTCGATATCCTCTGAGAATATTAGAGCAGTATTGATAAAATAAAGTGACGTGTTTATCGCACTATTGATAGACCGCTTCGTAGATTATTGTAGTTCCTATATACATACAACTTTCCCATTCATCTTAATACAGCACAGGAAGTATTTCCATTTTTGTGTCCCTTAATACAAGAATATGTTTCACTGCGCTATACGGAAAGTATAAAACTTCATTCGAGACGTAAAAACGAAGATTAGCAGCCGTATTTACATGATAATGATTCTTTTTATGTACTAAACTTTCCTTATGTACACACGTAGTATACTTAAGCGATACACAGTGAGAAAAATGTGTTTAAAAAACTTTATTTCTTAATTTTTTAATAAACAAAAATTTTTTTAAACTTTTATTAAATTTTGAGAAATCCGAATGGAAAACTAAATATTTCGAAATCAATTTGCAAAATAAACTAACTAGATTCTCCCCATAATTATTGGGTTTATTGCATCATTAAATTAGGAAAGAACTAAATAGGAATAAAACAAACAAAATGAATTCTAAACGTAGACATAAATATTCTAACATTCAAAAGATTGAATATCTTCAGTCTTTCATCTAGCATCAACGGACTTGTCTGTTTGAATTATCGAAGTATAGCATCGCAAGCGCATTGAAAAAAAAATGAAAATTTTAAAATCTTAACAATTTATAAACTATAAAGTTTTATTGATGGCTAACACATCCCGCATCATCATATTTCTGAGTGTCCACAAGGCGTTCACCACATTACCATGATTGCCGACGCCGTTGCCCAACCACTCAGCAGGTAGTTTCGTTACATCCGGGATTTGCGTGTTATCCGGATTGGCATTCATTTGCTTATCCCAGTTTGATATGTAACGGTTTTCTACGTTTAATCCTTCGATGTACCTATAGATAAAAAAAAAAAAAGAAAAAAAAAGAAAAAAGAAAAAAAGAAATAAAGATACGCTCTTCAATGTACCGTTGACACTTCCCATTGAGATAACATTCAGAAATATCGCAACAAAACCGACGGATATCTTATATAAAATAATGGATGCTCAAAATTTTACCTCAAATAAGCGTCCGAATGCAATACACGGCTTGGTCTTGGTGGTACCGCAACAAACATTGGCTCCGGTTGCTTGGCGGCAGGTATGTTGCTTGTTTGAGTTGCTGCAGCTGAAGTTTCTGCGCGTGAGAAAAAGAGACCGAGGGGAGGGGGAGGGGAAAGAGAGAGAGGGGGAGAAATACCGGATTTTATCTTAATCTCTTTCCCCTTGTTATATTCATCGCGTTTACAAGATTTTCGCAAGAAGATTTACCTGTTTCCATCGGTGGCAATACCGTCGGCCCTTTCGAAGCCATATAATTCCTACGAAAAAAACACGTGATCACACGCGCGCAGTTAGTTATATTAGTTCTATCGTTCTTATAAAGCAACATGTGTATTAGAATGCAAGAAAAATAATCCTTACTTGCTTCTCTCGGAGGGAGGTATTATACGGCCGTGTGACTTGAGAATATGCACTTCCTTCACGTGTCTAGCGAGTCTCTGTACGCTTGGGAACGGTGGAACGGTCTTCTTCGTGCGACCGCAGCCACGCCATTGGCACTGAAACTCCACATCTGCAACATCACGAATTGCAATTTTATCCTCCTGTACATCGTACGAAAAGCATTTAGCGCATTTTTCTCATCGCTATTGCGTGGCAGCATTACGGTCTTGCTTACCACTAGGAGCGTTCACGAATGACGATTGCACATGACCATTTTGTTCGGCGATGCAGTGATCAATGCAATCGGTCATGTCTTCGAACTGCCAATCGCAATTGTCCCAACAACATTCATATACTACATCCTGTATGGCATTCGTGCCTACCGATACCGTTGTCCCTTTCAACTGTCCTCCATCTTCGTTCATTTTAATCGCTCGTTCCTCCCAGGCTTGCTTCTCTCCTGCCGGCAATTTCCTCCACTGGAAGGAGAGTCATCTTTAAACGCTTTATACTATCAAGCCCGTCGTGTGTTACTCATAATCCGTAATAAACAGTTGACAAAACCATCTTGTCCAAATTTCTCTAAGTAGTTCAACAAACTGTTTCAAAGTAATGGCTACTCTCCCTTTCGCGATAAATCCGGTTATACAAATATGCATAAATTACAATACAACATGTATCAGTGTTGTAAGTTCGTTACGTATGTATATAGCATTTGCAAAAAAATTATAACATCTATGTTACAAATATTTATAACATATGTACACGCGCACATTTTTACGATATATATACGTAGACTTGTGTCTTGGTAAAAAACGATAGAAAGTAGCCACTGAGATCTAACATGAGATCTAATATGATTCGTTTGAATAAAGGAGCGAGTATGCAGAATAACGCTAATAAGTTCCAAATATAGAATTTGCCAATATCTGCTATTTACTAAACATAACATTTATTGTAGAATGTTATATTTGTATAGGAAATTTCTTCAGCATACGTTCCTTCAATCAAAGATTCTTCTTAACAAATTAAAAAATCAACAGTGAAAAAGAAATAAATACCTCGTTGCCAACAATTCTGCTAATCTCTCCAAAGGACGATTCAGGATTGTTTTGTGTAATCTGCGTTCGCATTTTACTCGAATATAAAATATAGCCCGTAACTAATTTCTTACCCGCCGTTTTCTAAACAGAAGAAAAACAAATTATAATGTTAACGTTTCAGGTTAACGAGTGTTCCTCTTTTTTTTTTACATATATTTCTCACAAGAGATAACATCAAATTGTCAATCTATTGTTAGAGATCAAGTGAAAAGTGTTTTAACGGTGCTTAAAAATAAAAAAAAGAGGTATGCTGGCATATTTCTCTAAATAAAATGAAAGTGAAATAAATAAAAAACATATGACATGTGAATAGAGTTGATAAAAGTAAAAATAAGGTCACGGTAAAGCCTACCTTCTTAGTCGACACAGGAGTTTGAGTATTGGAGAGCACCGGTTGAGCTTCTGTAGATCCAACGGATGGTGGACCACCAGCATCCATGCTGTCTTCCCCAACTCCTACTCCCACTCCTACTCCTAATCCTACCCCCAAGCTTAGTACATCGGGTTCCAGCTTCGGTAACAATGGTGATGCTTCCTACACCATTTATGTCATGTTACCTTCATGGCCTCCGTTACCAATTGCGATATCGCGCGTTTTTTTCGCAGTCCTCCTCCATATAGTAAAAGTTAAAACGGTAAAAGCAAAATGTTATCTTGCCCGTCTGTCCAAAATAAGCTACTGCTCCTATTTCCTCCCGTTTAAGAACCTTCTTACACTTATTGATAGATATCTAATCAATGGCGTACAAGATGTAATATCTGTTTCTAAATACAAAATTGTCGACGTGTGTACGCGCATATGCCCAGTCATATGCGTTACACAGATATTAACGTATTGTGTGCGCACACGAGCACACACATTCAAGACTCTTTATAAACAGATTAGTAATACATGTTTATACTTGAAAAAACAAATTCTTTTCTCTTATATTAGTTGGGTTAGAATGACATGGAAGCACAAGATTCTTCAGTGGTGTTTTATGTTTGCAAACGTATCAGTGATAAACCCAACAGGTGCTCTGACTTGAAATTGTCGGATACGCAAAACTGCTCGACACACAAACACCATATGCAACACATAACTGCACATAATCAAAATAAAAAAGAAAATGAGAATGAGAGAAGGAAATGAATATGCCGGCATAGATCGAAGAAACATGCATGTAGATGCAGTTCGGTTGACAAACTATTTTGTATCACACGCAAAGAAGTTTTATAGAGGTAACACAAGACCAGAGGAGAAAAATCGTTTCTCCCCTCTTTTTATGTCGATATATAAATATATAAATATGTATCAGCTTGCGTGTGATCCCGAGTGGAAACGTGCGATTCTTATTCTCCATTATTAAGAACGAGATATATATAAGTTTTCGTAATTAGTAATTACCATCTCAAACTGGGCCGAGCTGGGCGTGACGGACTTGACTTGATTTTGCGTCTGAGCCACGTCGCTCGAAACCTATAACACACACATAACATGCGAAGCGATAACTCTGCAGTTAGTTGCGTAGAACCAACTAGAACGTATACTATTTATTATTTGCCGAATGATTATGTATGCTATGTATGTTAGTGAAATATATTCAGTTCTTACACATACTTTAGCAGGATTGATGGGTCTTCGGAAGAAATAGATCTCGTCTTCTGTCACCGTTGACGTGTGATTGAACTTTTTTAAACCCTCCTGATTAAGCTTCTTCATCAGGCTTTTACTTTCGTCGTATAGCGATTCACAAATATACACGTCATCTTCAGGGATTTCCGTTGGTCTGCCTATAATCATGTGAACGACGTGTCAATGTACGATAGTCTACTTCCTATTAATCTTACTTGCGAATGTTAGAGAGCAAATACCCACTGCATATATACTCTGAGTAGTCGAGAACGGCAGATTTTCCAACGATAGCAACAATGGGATGAGTACCGTCAACAGTGGATAAGAATAGTTCTTGCTTATAAAATAATTTCGTAGGTGTATGTGGCACTTCTGTAGGCATCAATAACCATGGACCTTTGAAATAGCACTTCCCACTGAAACCAGATATAAATATAAAATATTAGGCATTTGTACAATATATAATGAATACACACATTGGTGATATTGTTACTTACTCTTTGGTTGACCACAATGCATCGATTTGAGCTATCTGCTGCCTGCCCCCATCTGTTGCTACATAAACGAAATCACCAGTTTTCACAGATCCCGCGCATGTATTGTACTGTTCGTAATATGTATTTTCGGTATCTTCCGGATTGTATAGTATCACATTCTGTTGCGGTAATATAAAATAAAGAAATTATGTTAAGAGCTTATTAAGCATGAGTATGAAGATGACAAGAAAGAGAAACAACTTGATTAAAAATTTTAAAGATAGGAATAATAATAAGCGAATGCAAAGCAATGCTGGTCTAAGACTGAAATGTTTTTGAAAATCATTTGTCGACATTGGTACATTAGTTGCAATATATTCGTCCATTATCTATTAAACGAATTTATATATCGAATTACTCACCGGTTTTTCCTTCTCCATTAATTTTTCTCCCTCCTCTAATTCTGCTATTTCTTCCTTATGCTTTTCTAATCGTTCTTTGTATACAGAAATTACTCGTTTCGGTTCTAACGGTTTTTCTCTCGGGATCAATTTCAAATGATCAGGATCAAAATTCCAGACTTTGATTTTCTTGAAAGCTCTGGCTTTTGTGGAATAACGTGACTCGCATACATACACATCTTTCTCTAGGAATCCTTCGGGTTGCATGCGAAAATAATCCTTTACACTCAAAACGCAACATCTGCCTGCTACTTTTGCTAATGGTATCGCTACGTGAGCGTCACTTTTAAATAACTCCTTGTCAAGAAACTTCCGCGAAGCTACATGGTATGTTTCGCTCGGTCTATAAAACAAATTTCCATACAACATTTGCTGACTATCTGCATTGGTCCAAAGCCTTTCTATAAGAACTACGCCATATTCCATGCCTCTTTCCGTTGGCTCGACATAGGCAAAGTCACCAGCTCTATACACTTCTTGATTAAAACTCATGGATCCTCCATTGTCACTATTGTTTCCTTCCGTATTTGTATTCGTTTCAGAATCCTAATGTAATAAATATTTAAAAATGTTAAATGTAGATCAGGCATTAATAACAAGAACATAAAAAGGAAAGAAACAAATAAGGTCTCATGTAAAGTTTTAATGAAAAGATTTAACTCCACCTTTGTTTCATTTCCATCACAGCTCTCATCTTCATTAGGTAGATTTAATTCCTGCTGCTGTTTTATTCTTTTAAGTTCTGCAACCTGAGCAGATAAATCAAGAAGCGTGTAATTTAATGCAGGCGAATGCAACAAATCTCCCCCACGAGTTGCCTCATCACGTGTACGCAAAAAGAACGCCTGGAGTTCCACACTATCTTCAAACGGCTGTGAATCTGTACGTGACAACCTGCGTGCTCTCTCCAGACATGTAAAAACATCTTCTTGGAAGCGATCTAATCTCTTATATACTCCTCGATCCAATCTTCTTTTAATCAAATCCAATGACAAACCTCGTATCCTATTTTCCAATATATAAAAATAATTGTTATATACATTTTAACTATATGTAAATGGAACTATATGTAAGTGGAGCAACTTTAGATGTAGATGCAGAAAGAAAATTCCAAAAAAGTATACTTATGTATATTTACTTTAGAATCTTTTGTAAACTACCAAAATAAATACTTCAAGTTTACTCATACTTTTTTCCATCAATAATATCATGTTCTGGAAGTTCTGCCATAGAATCTGAGTAACATCTTCCCTCTTCGTCTTGGTGATTATAAAGTGCAGTAAATATTGTTGCTAAAATTTCTTGAACAGCAGCCGATACATCTGGAACGCTTTCCTCATCTTCACTTAGCTGCAGTTTACTTTGTAACACTAATCTTTGAAGTATTAAAGCATCCTAAAATGTTACAATTATTTATATTAAACATTAATCAACAGCTCAGTAATATTTTCAATAAGCAAAATATCAAAATTTGTAAAAAATGAAAATCATTGATCTCTTCATTTACTTCTGTCTCATTCTTCTTATACTTTTTTCGTATGCGTTCCTCTACTTCCTTGTCTCTGAATAGGCGTATGAAACACGATCTGGTTTTTAACGGATTTTGTACTGTTATATCATTTATCAAATTATGCTCGGTTTGTTCGAACATTCTTGGGACTTGCACAATAATTGATAGTTTGTTATAGGATAAAACTTGGAAGCACTTTGTGAAATACACTTGTCGGAAGAACACGATAAAAATGCACACTTGTTACTAAGGTTAATATAAATCTCAAACACGATCAATACATTTTCAATAAATTTCTAAATATGTACAATATATAAAAACATATTTCACAAAAGTATACAAAACATAGTTTGGAAGAATTTGTTCTTTTTTATTTTATACAGAAGATTAAAACGTGTGACAAAGTCGCGAAGGAGTCTCACGTAACCTCCAAACCCGGTCGTAAACAGAGCTTTCCATGTTGTACCGCGAAATTTCAATTTAAATTCGAACACGCGTACACTATTTCGAATGTAATTCATATTATAAGAAATGTTATTTTAAAGTTGACTTTACGACATAGTACCTTTTCAGAATTATATTTAAAAAAACTTATTTTTATTCGATTAAATTAATATTATTAATAAATTATCAATATCTTTATATTTTGTTTCAATCACATAGAAATTCTGTAATTATTGAACCAAGCTGTTTAAAAAATTGGAAGATATTTTTATAATTAAATAACGTCAAAAAGAGTACTTCCAACAAGCACAATCCAACTTTGGCAGTATTTTATTCTTGGAATTATTCAAGATAGAACTGAGCATAAAAATCATAGTTTGTTAGAATTGTTGCTAAAAATTTAATGTTTTACAAACAAATTATAGATATATTATAATTTTAGTTTTAAACGTCGTATAAAAACTGATTTTCATCAAAATAAAAATAAAGGCGTTTAACGGGAAATTAGACATCGTGATTAAAAATCATATGTAAAAATAAAATAGTTAAAACTCGCCGGCAAGTTTTAACTAAAAGTTAAGTTTTTTCTATCCGACGAGTTTTAACTATAAGTTAAGTTTTTTCTATCAGATACAATTTAAGATTATATTGCACAAATAGGAAACTCCAAATATTTATCCTTATTGATAAATTTCTACAATATGTGTGTATGCATTTCTCAACACAAAATATATATAAAACAATATATATTTTTTTGCCTGATGCGCTTGGAAAATAAAGAATGTATGATTTTATACAAACCTTGTATATCTGCGAATCTGGTTCATTATATTTACAAGCATTGTCAAACATTAATATAAAATCGGACACTAGTTCGTCCAAATTCTCATATCCGTTATTCTTTAAAGTAGCAGCTATCTTCTCCATATGTATGGGTTGCTTTATCACCTCATAGTAATCCGGATATTCATTTTTATTCGGTAATTTCATAAAAATTAGGGATAGTTGCCTTCCTTTCGCGTCATGATAATCTTTTATGGTATCGTATAGAGTTTTTAATTTTTGCAAATGAAGCGGCACTACTTTTTTCGGTCTCCTAAATATATAAGTAGAAGAAAAAAATAGTAGAAAAGAGAAAAAAACAAGCATTGTTACCTGTGTTCCACATTCTATATGAGTACTACCGTTTTGTACAAACATACCCGACATTTCTAGTTGGTGTCGACGCAGTGGATTTAGACTTGGGAGTATCTGGCAAGGGTCCCAATTCCTTCACTTTATCCATCAAGACTTTTTCTAATGTATTTGCATCTTCGTATATCAATGAACCTTCTTCGTTGTATTGGCGGCAATTGTTAAACATTAACTGTGAGATAAGAGATGGAAATTATAAGTAATTGTAGGTAAAACATATATTACAGATTGTCGTAATGAATTAGTCAAGAATGACGCGTATTGTTCAAATACCTTAAAATCTTGTATTAATTCACTCTCACTTTGATATTTCTCTGCTTTAATATTGGCCTCAATCGCCAACATATCTATGGGTTCTGCTATTACTTGATAATAGTCAGGGTATAATTTTTTGGAAGGTTTTTCCATAAACATCAACATAGGTTGCCGACCATCTTCGCACTGTAACAAAAGTTAGAAACGCTATACGTCGACTGACCCGGTTGATTTTAACGCATTTTGGAATTACTTACAACGTATTCTATGACACATTTGACTAATGCGTATAATCTTTTCTTCAATGGTATATTGTCCTTGTATTTTCCGCGTGTTAGTAAATTCGAGGCGCGTTTAATTAACTTAGGTTGTTGGGAGCTATTCTCCGATTCGCTATCTGAATCGGAATCCTGCGAATATAGGAAATTCAGCGCATAATATTTGCATCTCGGAAGGGATGTATACAACTATCAGTGCAATTTTACATAAAAGACATACATTATTTTAGATTAGATAAAAAACGGAGCAGATTATTCTATTACCTGATCAAATTCTAAAAGCTCCTGCACTTTCTCTTGCATTATCTTTTGCAACTTAACAGCACTCTATGACAAAATGTAGAAGGTAAGTGCAATGGTTACGATTATTACAAATAATATTGTGGCAATATCCAAAATTCTTTAGAATTTGATAAAAACGCAGAAAAACTGTCGTGTACATGTGTATGTACTTCATTCAAACGCACGTTTCAGTTATATATATAGTTAGTGTTCTAACTTGTTATAAACTTATCATTCAATTACGCAGATAAAAAATAAACTTTTTAATGCCACTTTATATCTATAATACAATTACTTTAATAAAACCTTATAGTCCTAAAGTATGTTAATTGCAAAATTATTACCTTGTACAGTCGAGAAGTATGTACGTTATATTTCTTAGCATTTTCAAACATGATATTCATATCTCCAGCTACTTCACTAACAGTACCATATTCACCTTTCTGGAAATCGTGATTCAACAATATATTTTCAGAATGTTAATGCATGTACAATGATATCCTGAGCAAAACTTTTATAGCATACCTTTATTTTTGTGTGTATTTGTAGCAAACATATAGGATTTTTTATCGTTTTATAGTAATCAGGATATAATCTCTTTGGTGGGAGTTTCCAAAAATATTCACTTATTCGAAGACCTACGTGCGACATAAAACACAATGTGACGCAATAATTACTTTAAAACATTCAGTGAAACGACAATAACCTCATAGCATTATTAAAGTAAAGAGATTCGTATTGCACCTTGATTATTAGGAGCTGTCCGGATAGTTTGAAATAGTTGCCATTGTGAGTTATCAGGATCTTCAGCTTCAGCAAGTTCTTCATCCTCGTCATCGCTTTCATCGTCTTCATCGCGTAACGCTGCTGTTTGTGCTATCAATGACTGTGCCATAGTACGACTACCTCTTTTACTTCTTGTCGAAGGCGCGGTTGTAGCGATTTTAGGTATATTACTTCCTAATCCACTGTCTTGCCTTTTTGCAGCCGCAGTGATTATTTTCTTTAAGAGTTTAGCGTCTTTATAAATTTGCGAGCCAGGTTCGTTAAATTGACAGGCGTTACGACACATAAGCATTAGATCTTTCTCCATATCACCGATAGAACTATATGAACCTTCTTGAATTCTTCGCGCAACAGTTTTTAAGTCGACCGGTGTCTCAATAACATCATAATATTCAGGATAAAGCTGCGAGGCAAAATAAAAGATTAAGGTAAAGCAATCAAACACAGCAGGAGTAAATATAAGTTTAATTTAATTAGTGAAACTACATACCTTTTTGGAGGGTTTGAGTTGAAACATAGTGTGAAGAGGTCTGTTATTGTCCATCGGATCAGCCGCTGTTATAACTGCTGCAAATAAATCTTCAAACAGCTGCATAGTTTCTTCGTCGAGATTCGCTGAACTTTCGGAAGTATCTTCCGCGTCATCTTGTCTCGTTGCCGCTTTACGCGCCTGAAAGGCGAGAACATCTTATAAATATCAAATATCAAGCAATAATGTATGGTATATGTACATGTAGATAGATATATAAATAAAATATCATTTTGTTTCTCATAAAAATATACGTCCTCTAGAAAGATATAATTTCATATGTTAAAACCATATAACTATACTTATGATGTAATATCATATAACATGCTATTCGTATCATACAGCATGATATTCAACTAAAATAAAAGAATTACCAGTCTTCCAACTTTCAAGATGAGTTTTCCTTTAGGTTCTGGGTCTTCATATTCTTCTGTAATACGATTTTTAGTATTTACACACAATTCCCACAGTTCAGTTGCATCTTTATATTCAGGAGATGTACGCTGCAAAAATTATACAATAAAAAGCTTTAGTTATTGACAAATAAACGATAGCACAAGCATTTTATACATGTATACTTATATTTGCCACTAATATTTATGTACAGATTAAACATGAAAAAATATAAATAAAGAGTAATCTTACCATGTAAAAAGCTTTAGCGTTATTGACCATAAGTTGAATATCAGCGGCCAAGTCATCCATATCGCGATATTCATCAGTTTTTAATTTCTGCTGTACTTTCAAAAGATCGATAGGATTGGAAACAACTTCGTAATATCCTGGCTCTTGCCTACGCTTAGGCACACGTATAAATGCATCGCACAATAAGGAACCATCTTCTTTCTTCTGGTTACGCAGTACATCATACAGTTGTTGGCACAAGTCACTCTACACAAAACAAAAGCGATTAACAGATATTCGACATAAACCTGAGAAGTAGATTTGCAAGGCACAAACATCAGGGCACTGCAAACGAAGTATACAAACATGAGCACTCACAGGATCTAATTTTTTCCTCCTCTTCGTTGGCTCCGGTGGGATATCGTCACCGTCATCTTCAGTACCACGACTAGCTACCGACGATGTTCTACGACGTTTGTTCATCTTGATGTGTCTCGAAGAATCACAAGAAACGATAGAATTCTTGCTGCGATCTACAATGGAGATTCATTACATCGTTCGGCTGTGCACAGTGTTTTCTAACCCACAATTCAAAACCTCCTCAGCAAAGATTACTGAAAACAATAGGAGAATGTGTAAACAAATATACGACGTGCATGCACACATCCGCGTGTATTCGTATGTGCGCGTGTACGCACACTAAAAGGGTTCTTGAACTAAACAGCACGAAGCCTCGTCGAACTCGTGCGCCGTGTTATTTATCAGAAACGTACGGCTGGCTGTTTATCGTGCACCTAGCACTCGCCTTTCACGCGCACAGCGGACCTACGTAATACGTTGTCGTCGGCCGACGATGCGCGTGTCGGTTCGGGTCCGTGCGAATTCCTCAGCACGAGTGAGCGTCACGCACGGCAGTATAAACCGAGATACCCCGACTACGCTACTAAAAAAAATCGCACCGCCATGATAAGTCGCTACTGTGCTTGAAAACCGCGGCGACACGGTACGGTGTGTAGTGCTGCACCGTGCTCGTTCAAAACCGGTGTTTGTTGCCGTGAGAGAGACGATTCCGCCTGATTCCGCCTCTCTGACGCGCCATCGATTAACGTCGCGCGCCAACGTGCGTGAACCGTGCGCGTCGTCAACGGCATGTACGTCGTGGCGATACGTCGGCCACGGTAACGCACGCCTCGGCCTGCCTTCCTTCATCCTTCGCTCGAGCCACGATCCGGCCGAAATTTGCCGCCATATCGGAATACGAACGCATCGTCGCTTGCGCGGAATCTCTCTCCCGCAGTCCCCGAGGACGCGCTCGATTTCTCTCCTTCGGTTCTTTTCCCTCCCTCGCCGCTCCTGTTTCCGCGGGCTCTCACCTGTCCACGGGACACCTGTCACGGGAGGATTTTTATTGAGTGTGCGACATGTAAGATTCCCCGCGAGTAGAGTGCTAAACCCCAACGGTACGGTGCTTTTCATTCGCGATCCAGGACGACATACGTCTCGGCCGACGCCATGCCCCGAGAACGTTCGCTCATTTTCCATTTGTGTTTCCACGCCGAGCGACCTTTTCGCTCGCGCGCGTACACTCCCACCGGGGCTTCGCACCTTCTTACCGATTGTCTCTGCCAATTTTTAACAATTCGAAGTGTTTGTACTTTTCGACACTCTAGTGTCAATTGAGATAGTCAGTTTTCTTGTATTTTGTGGATCGATTACGGATGGAGGCACTTGCCGGTCGATTACGTCGACGCTCCAAACTTTCGCTCAATCGATAATGATAATATTAGCGGGTCGGTAACTAATGCACAATCGGTAAAGACGAACAGTTGTTGTACTCTAATGATAAAACGAGATTTTTATGGAAAAATCAAGATCGATTCGAAACAAATCGTCCCACACATGCATTGGAAACGATAAATTATTCGGTTGACTGTAGAGCATTGCGACTTATTACACAAGAATCGGCAACACATGGGTGATTCTCGATGATTTATTGAGAAAAACTACGTTTATAAAACTTATAACTTTGGTAAAATTGTTACAAGAAGATCTCATATGTTGAGCCCGTACGTTCAACTCGAATCAAATCTTAAGTGTATCTTATCTAGTAATTTTGTATCCTTCGCTGAGAAAACGTAGTAAAAATGTTGTGCCTTTTAAATTAGTTATTACAACATACACATTATTCATCTTTAGAACAAATACAGTTCGTACATCTAACAAGCTAATAATTTTCAGACATTGGTTGCTCGATACATACAATTCTTTTCGCAGAGAGATTTTCGTGGATATTTCTTAGAAAAAAATACGATTTTCTTATAAAACTGTTGTAAATGTAATCAAAACTCACATGTTAGACATTTTGGATTTCACTGCTCATTAAACTTCTTACAAAATGTATCTTATTTTATCAATCTTGATAATACAATAAATAATAATGTAATTAATGATGTAGAGAAAACATTCTACATCGAGCGTAACTAGATTGAATTTTATATATATTTGTGTATGTTGCGCATACGTGCGCGCGCGCGTGTGCGTGCGTGCGTGTGTGTGGGTGTGTGTGTGTGTGTGTGTGTGTGTGTGTGTGTGTGTGTGTGTGTGCGTGTGTGTGTGTGTGTGTGTGATTGTATGTACGTATATATGTATGTACGTATCATTTTGATATGTGGTCAGTGAATATATGTATATTCGAGCATTATTCAAGATAATAAACATCTATTCCATAGATTTCCGTAGATACGATGCAAAATTATTGTTGACTTTCAAGACGCACGGTAATATGCATAATACATAAACGAGTAACAAATTTCGCTTCTCTCTCATGACAAAAGGCCAACTTCTATAACGTGTTAGTTTAGTACTCTAATTTACATAAATGCTATAATTCTGTATCTACATACATTTCTCATAGTTATTAAAGAACCTTAATTTAAATCCAAATTCATATTACTCACTTATCCCTCGCTCTCACCATCAAGTTGATAATGATAACGTCGTAGAGCGGCTAAACGTAGTCTCTCAGTTCCTAAAGCTTGTTCCAATTCCAAGATTCGCACCTGCGCCTCCATTTCTAATCTTTTAGCCTGATGTAAGCTCAGACTAGACATATCTAGGTCTTCTACTTAAACGAAGTGAAATGATAATATCGATGAATAATTCGCGATGCGATACAGAAATTTAAAAAACATACCATTTTCCTCAACAAGATGATTGCAACTTTTAGCAGTGGCAACAACATTCGCTGTAGCTTGTGTCACTTCTCTCGATGCTTTGGAAAGTTCGGACAAGTTGTTACTGTTTCTTTCAGCTTTAACTCTGCTAGCGACCACCAACTGTGCGGTAGACGCTGCGATTCCTTGAGAGGCGACGACTAATTGTTCGAACTTACCGTTGCCCGATACAACTTTATCTGCCGCTTCTCTGTATGACACAGGTACATAAGTGTGTGTACGATATTTAGAAAAGTTAACACATCATTTTATAGTATCTTATTTTGTACTCACAATAAAAAGTTTGCACCCATAGCAATCGCTTTTGCAGCTGAAATGAGGCCCTCGGACCACTGATGATTGCGTTTGTAAAATTCAGTAGCTGAAGCGGTCCCCTGAACATAAAATTGATGAATATAATTTCTTGACAAATGACAAATAACTAGCTTTCGTGACTTTATAATATATGCATCTTGAGGTAAGGTATGAAGATTTGTCATACCTTTCCTTGTTCTACGATTTCCTTCTGCAGCAAGCGTGACTTTTGTACTAATTTCTTTATATATTTCATCAGTTCTGTACAAGAATCCAGAATTTGTTCGTTTACTTTCAATTTCAAACCCGAATCTGCTGCACGTGACTTATCCAGCATATCCTATTGATAAAAATATAGACAAATTGTTGCGATTATCCTTTTTCACTTCCCCATTATTTTACTTTGCAAAATAACAAGCTTAAATTGTGCACCTGTATTCTCATAACCGCTTCTTCTATGGCTTTATCCATACTCAGTAACTCGTTCTCCACTAAAGAGCCAATAATCTCTACATTATTCTGCGTAGTGGACAATGTATTTATAAGAGACGAAATCTTCTGCAATTGATTCTTGACATTTGCAATTTGCACCGTGGTCATTGTAGATTTTTCCTTCATATAACTCAGCATAATTAAACCCTGCGAGCCTAATTGCTTGCATTCATCGGCAAATCCTACAATCATTGAACAAATTTTATGAAAAGAAAATTCAATTTATCATAAGAACACTTCATAATTTAAGTTTCAGTGTGTTCCGAGATAGACAACATTATTAATAGCATTAAATAGTTATAGAAAAAGACTTACTATCGGCTAAGCCAATATCCGTCGATGTGTTTGAAGTAGATTTTGCATATATCAAATAGAGAGCCAGAAAGTGTGCACCGTGTATAGCAGCGCGGATCAGTCCTTTTCCTTTCGTTGTATCGGATATATAATTATTATACGCCTCTTCTAAGTCATTCAAGGATTTCTCTGTTGGCTCCAACGAACCACTCAGATAATCGGGCGTACAAGTTAACGCGGATATCGCCGGACTATCGATCGCATTCATCGCGTGATGTAAAATAGATTCCGCTTCCGATATAGCATTCACTGAAACAAATAACTTTCGCTCGCGATCCTCCGAATGAAGCCTTTTGACAGGTAAAACAGATTAAATCACGTTGTTACTCACGTAACAAATCGTACAAAGCTGTATTAGCGTCTGTTTTTACTTGATTGCACGATCGCTCGGCATCGGCTTCCAGGTTCGTCATTCGTTGATCCAACTCTTCTTTTTGCACCAGCAGATCATGGAGATCTCCTTCCAGAGCAGTTTTTTCAGACGTGATAAAATCTATCTTTGCCGTTAATGCCTACGAAAGATTATATACATATATTGTTTGCTTAGTGTTTGCGAGAAATCGATTATACACCAAATACACGCCAAGGATCTTTACTCACCAAATTTTCCGTCTGAACATTATCGAGTTTTTTCCTCACGTCGTCCAAATCCTGACGTGCTTGCATTACTCTCTGAGCTTCTTGTTCTGCCGACGCTTGTCCTTGAAGCAGCTCCTGCAGTCGCTCTTCGGCTTTCAACGACCGACGTTCCGATTGCTCTCGCAATATCTTTATTCCTCCTATTTCTTTATCTAGTTCAGCTTTCTTTTGTATAATAATCAATGATGTTGTAAATGTAGAAACGGGAAATATGATACACATAATCTTTTCAATATCAATACTTCAAATCAATATCAGAGACATACCTTTCTGATCAAACCGATATGTTCCTCTCTCAATTTGGAGTAAACATCTTTGAGCTTTTTGAATTTTTCCTCTAAGACTTCACTTTTTCCTTAAAACAGTTGATTGTATATATAAATGTGCACATTATTATTATTAGTCATATATATAATCGCGATTTTTAATAAACAAAAATCAATTGTCGCAATTGTTTTTATTTACCTTCAATTTCTTGTATTTTTTCTGACATATTGTTTTTCTCCTTCATTAGCTCTTGACAAGCTTGTTTTTCCACCACAATTTCATTGCTCTAAAATATTTATTATGATATAAGTCAATATATGTGTGTGTGTGTGTGTGTGTGTGTGTGTGTGTGTGTGTGTGTGTGTGTGTGCGTGCGCGCGCGCGCGTGTGTGTGTGAAATCGAATTAAATTATTAAAACTGCTAATAAACATACTTTAGTAGAAAGAGTTGATTCTAGTTCCAGAACACGTTTTCTGAGTTCTGCGACTGTCTGTTGATATTCCATCAATAAACGATGTAGTTCTTGTCTTTGGCGACCATTCTCTTGATATAAATGATCGATAAGACTGTCCCTGCAAAGAATCACATTTCTTTAAAAATATATTTAAACTATACGAAGTTCAGGAAGAACATGATACCAATCCAACAATCAAATTAAGCAAGATATATGATCATTTAAGTTAAATTCTAAAAAAATATTAAGATTCTAAAAAGTGGAAGGAAAAAGGATAGAAAAAATCGAGCTGAAAGTAGAAAAAGTGCACTGGCACATTATTACTTAACTTTACTTTTACATATTCTTGGTTTTGCATTTTGCATGCGTTTTTGATATTAGTTCCTACAAGTGAAATGGACTATAATCCAAAATACTTGACTCTAGTACCGGTTATGAGGTGTTATCGTGTATCCGTTCTTCAGTTTATATCAAGGCGAGGAATAGCTAGATAAGATAAATGCATTTTATACCTTTCTGCGAGGGCGTCTGGTGATATTGCGCCGTTTCGCGTAGAATCTGTCTGATCGCCGGTCAACGATCCCGCATCGGATGTATCAATAAGGCTTTCTATGACAGCCTCGTTATCTAAAGATTCCTCGGGCGGAAGCACCACTATTGGCGTAACATATGTTCGCAGTTCAGCTTGTATTAAAAAGTTTGGTGGGTTCTGCGAAATATATTATATGCGGGAAATACGACATATAATGTTAACGAATTCATATTAATTATCGGTAACGATAAATTACCTCGGGTAATGAAGGTATTGTTATCAATTGCTTAAAATACTGCATATGTTTGATAGTATTGTAAAAGCTCTTCAATTCGTGAAATTGTTTTGAGAATCTATCACGGTGTCCGTTCAGCGTGTCTGCCGGCAGTGCGCCATGAAGCTTAAACAAAATTTTCACGCAATAATCATAGAGTTGCGAAGCGTCCTGAATGCATGGGATTAGAGGTGCAAGTCGACACTGACCACATGGTGTCATTGAATTGGATCGTGACAAGTCCAGAGAACCAAATACTGTAATTTCATACAAAGCTTAAAGAAATAGGCACATACTGCATCGTAGAAAATTTGTACTTGGAAAGAATATTTATACTCATATTCATACGATTCCCAAATCTGTGGTGTGTTATCCGATTCATTTCTGTTTTAACTTACCTGCATGTTGTAAATTCAAAATGTCATCCATATAATCAAACATTTCAACAGACATTTGAAAGCTAAGAAAAAAAAGAAAACAGAACGATTTATATATAAATATATATTTTTAAAAAGATTCAAAGAAACAGTAGGAAAGATACAACTTACTATACATTGATATCATTTTCTCCAATAGCTTCCAGCTCTTCCGACGTTACTTGCAAATTTCCAGGTAAACGTGGATTTCGTTTGTGATAATCCAACTTGGTAATTAACAATCTTGTGTACAGTTGTATGAGACGACCATAACCCTCTCGAAGATGTTGCCAGAGTTTACCAATATCCTCTAATTTACCACGATATCTTTGGGAGTCAATGATAACTCTGGGATGTCCTTCTCGCAATACTTTGTGTAGAACATGACAAAATTTCCAAGCAACAATCTGATTCTCTTGTAATGGTTGCCTCAACATGTACGTCCAAAAAATAGAGCCACTTTTCTCTCGATATGTGCCAATAATCGCACCTATTTATTTATAAGGAACTTTTTTTTCAATATAATTGTTTAATATTTGTCATAATATATTAGAATACAAAATATAAAATAAGAAAGGATACTTCGTACATGTTTTTCCTTCACAGGAGTTTCTGTAGCATTTACAGCTTTCCCAATACTGATACTCTATGAATAATAAATATACATATGAGAGATAGAAAATTTCAATTTTGATATTATGTATTTGACACAAAATCATAATTCTGTGTTCTTAAACTAGATTCCCTTTCTCTTTCTCTCTCTCTCTTTCTCTCTCTACACACACACACACATATATATATATATATATATATATATAGATGTATCATCTAAAAAATTGCCAATTTATTTTATATTTTTGTACTTACCAGTTGATGAAGTTGTTTGTCAGTCAATGGTATTGTAGATGTCATGATGATAGCATAATAAATTTACCAGAAAAGACGAATATAACACATACACAAAGTAGTATACTAATTAGCATACACGAAGGGATATTATTTATTCATTTATAGATTGATTTAAATCATTTCTAATAGATATAAATTGCACTTGTACAGTTGTATATATTATCTGCAAAACTAATAATTCAAAATTATTATTATTATTTCAAAAAATACATTATTATTTCGCATGTACGACTATTAAGTAGTGATATATTTCGAATGTCGCTTGACATTGACATACCTGAAATCTCTGGAAGTGGATAGAACTTAAGTTGGAGCCAGCCACTTTCTGTTTGCAAATTCGTCGCGAGAACAACGAAGACATGTTCGATCGTTGACACACGAAAGATATTGCTTCGTATATCGAACAGAACGCCTTACGAACGTGACAATTGTGAATGCATTATTCCACAAGTAACTGTGATTTCATTGATGGGTGTTGATACTAAAATGATATAAAGCAGCGTATTTACAGGGATATTTTGCCAGTGCGTTTCGTCGAGTTATTTTCAGGACTGCCGTTTATGCGGATTTAGATCTATGCTCTCTGGCTAATTTAGTTAATTTGGTCGCGCATTTGAGGAAAATTAATGACAGATAATGATACAACAGTGATAACAAATACTGCATCGACGTACGTAACACCAAAAAGTTCTCTACTCTCGAAATGCATTTCAATGAATATAAATTCGAGGGTCTCGAGTGAACGGTGAATACTATGATGCTGCCATCTAACGATACATGATGTCAAAGAAGGAATGGATGATTGATCGATGATTGATCAATGTATTTTACGAAATTTAATTTATTTTTATATACGTTCGACTTATTTTTTATATTGATATCTTCTCGATAATTTTTAATATTTTTTTCCCATTATATATATATACTCCATATCTATTACCATCTACGTTCATTTCGAGCTACAGCTTTATATTCCGGCCACAATATTCATAAGGCGTTAACGCACAGTGAAATTTATCTGGTATTTTAAATCCCATAAGATCAACTTTATTGATATAGTCGATGGTATTGTTCAAACGATGGTCAGAAAATTTTTTACTTTTTAGTAACAGGACCAATTAAACTTTGGTTTTTACATATGTTCGATAAATAAAATGTCAATGAATGAATATGAGATAAATCAGAAGATCTCTATTTGACTTTTTCTCTTGACAATGAATTTAAAAAAATTTTTTTATCTTTCTAAATGTTCCTAAAATTTTTTTTCCTTTTTCAAAAATTTAAGTATCATATATGTTATTCCTAGTTTATTTTACTTTATTTTTATTTTATTTTATAAATAATATATTAATTAATAATATATTAGTAGATAATATATTAGTAAAAGGCAAGAAATTATAAATTTATTGTATGAAGCAAATTATTTTTAAATTAGTAGTAATTTTGTATATTTTATGATCAGAGAAAACTATAGCAGAAAAATGAAATATATCTTACAATTAAATAATATATATTATGTTCATGATATAAAACAATTCTTATAAACATTATACGCACGCAACATATACATATACACACACATATATACTCGCAATCGTTACACATGAATCATTTGTCATTATTTCGACATCTTGATACATTATGATAAATTAATGCTTTATATTATTAATTATCGATTTAAATTAAACAAAAATTAAACTATTATTAATAGTTTATATACGATATATGATAATTTAAAGTATAAACTATTATTGTTAATAATTCATATAATAGTTTAAGATATAAATTATTATTATTAATAGTTTAAAATAATAGTTAAAATACATAATAGTTTAAAATAATAATTAAATACATAATAGTTTAAAATAAACTATTATTATTAAATTAAATTGTTAATATTAATCGATAATTGTTTTTACATTATATTTATTCTTTTAAACGATATTTCGATAAATTCTGCGTTTTCATAATAAATATTATAGAAAGAATTAATATACAACAATTCATGAAACTGATCTTTGTGCATGAAAAGTTTTTAGACCAAATGATTGTAGTATATTATTCATTAGAATAATCAATAGTCATATTTTGAAATGTATTATAGATTTTATATAATTCTATCTAATTTTTTACTAAAATAGTTAAATATAAACGATGGATATATCAAAGCCTTAAACCAAGTATCCGTCAGTTTTAATAATGAATAGATAAAATAGTACACAGCCATTTTAACGATCACTAAATGTTCCATCACTTCCATTTTATAGCACATATCATAAATCATATCATAAATATATATTAACAACAAAAAATATATGATATTCAGGTATACTTTTAAATTCAACATGAATGTTTAGAATCATATTACGGCACGGTACTTGTAATTATAGACTACATGATACACCGACAGCTACGTGATTATTATGTAGTATATATCTTCAAATCTTTTGAAAAACTATTGTTATGAAGATACTTTCGAAGAAAGTATTATCAAGATTCATATTTCACGTGGAACAAGAGCATTAACTTCGGGCTGAAGGAATTCTGTTACAATAGCTGATACCATCTCGTTGAGGATATTCTTCAACTTGTTTAAGTCCCTAAAAGTAGATTATTATATTAAAGAAATATAAAATTATATAAAAACGAAAAAATATTAACAAAATATATATATGTGTATCAAGATTAAGGAAATTGCTTTTTAATTTAATTATCATTATCATTATTCAAGAAATAACAAATAATTTACAACTTTCATTATTCTTTTCACAAAGTTTTGAAGACTTTTTTTTGTATGATTCGTTGTCGCTTATCTTATGTATATATATTATAACTACAAACGATAAGAGCAATTATACGATAAAAGCAATTATACGATAAGAGCAACGATAAGAACAATTATATTTATCACTGTTACATAAAAAATGCAATTGCGTTATAAGTGAAAAAAATGTTACTGAAAACAGTAACAGTAAAAACTAAAAGCAACGGCGGTACAATTTGTTACTTCCTATTCCTGAATATATATCACATTAATATGACATTATCTGAGATATCTGAGTATTAATGTGAAGGACTAAGTAAGGTGAAATAAATTAATGTTTTTGTGAGAAGTTTTTCTTCAGAAAACTTACGTTTCCTCGGGCGATGCACATAACTCATTATAATATTTAATTTTAGGTTCTGTGCCACTGGTTCTCAATGTAGTGACTAAGCCATTTTCAAAAGTAAATGTAATCATTTGGCTAGACTTCGATACAGGCAGAACAGCTTTATTGTCAAGTTTAGTATTGTCATATCCGGTTGTTAAGTCGCGAATGCCAGTAATTATATACTTTCCTTCCAATATTCCTGTTGGATACTGCAATTAAACATATTATATTAGAGCTTTTATGAAAAAACAAAGACATCTAATCTATGTAACTTTATATTGAAAGAAAATTCACATATTTTGGAATTGTTTTTTTTTTAATTTTTTGCTAATTATACACACACACACTTACATCATATTTTCATTTGTTTCCATAAAAAATGGCGTGAGATGATATAATGATTGTACTACTGGTATAATTAAAACAGCAAGTAATAAAGAAGGCAAAAGTGTCAATGATGTAACAGCCATATCTATGTATTTGTTGTAGATAGTGTTTGGTGACATTTTAACATGCATTATAAGCCAAATTAAAGGAAGTGTAGAGTTTTGCAAATTAGTTTAAAAAGAAAGCTTCCATAGGCTGTGTTGTTATTATGCAACACACTCTTATAATTAAAATAGCACCAGTTAATTAGTCAAGTGTAAAAAGTATAGAAACATAAATTAAATTTGAATAATTTTAATAAACACTATTATACTTTTATAAATATCACACGCGACATTTTATATTTACATTATGTTTAATATTATCTAATTGTAAGCGTGACAATAAAGCGACACAACCATCACCTTAAATAGCACTAGCACAAATGCAATGTGATACTTGGACTTTACCACACTTCATATAGTGGTTAGTCACTTTATGCTATCTCATACATACATATATATCCGTTGACCTTGGAAAAACGTAATATATACATACATACTGTTAGAAACATGTTGGAAACGTATACTACACAAAATAATGTTTACTGTGCTATAATATTAGAATATAAGGAATCCAGTACAATCTGATACCTTTGTATTAAATTTATATAAACTGTTATCCGGGAGATATTCATACAACTTTCTAATTGAATGTATTTACAGCTAGATATGACTTTACAAAGATAAGCTTTGCAAGATAAGCTTTAAGATATCGTGAAATATAAAATTACTCTTGGATCTTAATTAACTCTTGGTCAATCTTATATTTATAAATGTGACATTCTATTCCTTCTTGTATAAAGTTTTACACATCTGGTTATAAAGAGATGGAAATAATACTTACTGTATTCGGTTTACCATAATAATTTCTCAGTCGTTCAAATATTGCCTTGATAGTGATCGATTCGTGACATATCCAATAGGAATTTTCACTAATATGATGGCCGTATCTACGTATTATTTCATCAAATAATTAGAATTTATTATATTAAAATGAAAATTACTGTAGGTCTCAGATTATATGCGTACTTTGTATATATTTCCTGTAATTTATCAGATAAGGTCAACCCTAACATCTCAAGATAGGCTGATAATTCAGCTACGCGTACGCCAGCACTGATACCGTCCTTATCTAATACCTTGGTACCACACATGAAACCTATAGCTTCTTCGTAAGCGAACAGTACATCCTTTTCTTCTTTCATTAATTCTACAGCTTTATTACCCATCCATTTAAAGCCTGTTAAAGTTTCCTGTCAAAATAAAAAGATAGTTTTGTCAGATTATTTTCATCTCTGTTATGTATCAAATATTACAACTCGTTATAAAACCATATCAAACACTCAAACCTCAAAATTGAAACCTTCCTTCTTAGCCATTGAAGCTAAAATCTTGCTGGAAACAGTTGATGCTAACATATATGCGTTGCTTAGATCAGCTTGAGGGTTCAATACTCGATAAGTGTGAATCATCCACCAACCCAATAATGCACCAAGTTCATTTCCCGAGAATACATGCCACTCCCCACTACAAAAGTCATTCAATATATTTTCTTTATATATTTTCACTATTTAAAATTAATTTATAATTTTGATGTTTATAAACCTCTTTGTCTTTGTTGCGCAAGCAAGCCTGTCAGCATCAGGATCATTGGCAAGTATAATAGTGGAGCTATGTTTATTCGCTAATTTTATACTAAGATCAAGAGCACTTTTTCCTTCTTCTGGGTTTGGGTATTTTACTGTGGGAAATTCTGGATCTGGCAATTTTTGTTCCTCGACTACTAAAAATGGCTGAAAGTTTCAAGCTAACAATAATGACGTGATAAATTTCTCCAAAAATAAAAATAATGTTAGCAAATAAATATACTACCTTAAAGTTTGCCGCATCAAATGCAGATTTCATATAATCATATCCAACACCATGCATGGCAGTATATGTAAATTTCAATGTGGTATTGTTATTACTCTCAGGATACAGAACCTTATCCTGTAAATCTTTGTAATAACATTCTGTAATATAGAATGTTGGGTCTATATTAAGAGAGCTTTTATAAATATTATTTATATCCCACGAAGATTTGAGTGGTTCAAGATTATCAAGAATGTAGCTTTGAATTTTTTTATCATGTGGTGAAATTATTTGTGCACCATTTTGCCAATAAACTTTATATCCGTTATCATCCTTTGGATTGTGAGAAGCAGTGACCATAATACCTGCAGCACACTTATATTTCAATATAGAATATGGTATAAATGGTGTAGGACAGACTTTACGGAATAAGTAGACTTTAATGCCATTGGCTGTAAAAATTGCAGTAGTTAATTCTGCAAACCTAAAATAAGAGACAGATATATATAATTAATTTTTATGATGCAATTCTTTATAACAATCATATAAATTTGATTATATTTATATTAATATATGAAATAATATATTATATAGTATATTAATATGTAAAATATAGCGTTTTATAAATAAATTATAAAATAAAGCTATTTTATAATATAGTTTACTGTTCGAGTCCCAAGTGTTGCAAATAATTTACCTCTTGCTATTATAACGGCCATCATATCCTATTACGACACCTTGATCTGCTACATCAGATATTGTATCCATCAAATACTTTGTTAATCCTTGACCAGTCTGCACGATAACTAAATCATTCATCTGGCTATAGCCTGGTCCCATACAGCCTCTAAGACCAGCAGTCCCAAATTCGAGTCTCTTAAGAAATAACTTTGATAATATTTTAACATCTCCATTACTTAAATATTTAGATATCTCAGCTTCTGCTTTTGGATCCTATGATACAGAGTATAGAAATTTATATATTATATAACTAAAATCTTTCCATTTATTAGATAAATCTATATAAAATTTAAATATCATACCTTGTTCCACAGTAACCATTCGGTGATCTTTGTATCCAGATTACTATCACCAGTATTTATTGAATGTTGGAGAACCATGGTAGCCAATTGTATATCAATTCTAATATGCAAATTAGACCGGTATTTTCTTCAATATGATCAAATTCGTCGCCAACAAAGATGTCATTAAAACTTCTTTTTCAGAAGTAGAAAGGCCTTGATTATTCTTCTATATAATCGAGAGCAGTTTTCTTCGAACTTCTGTAACATATATGCATGTAAAATATCAGTTACGATGAAGAGTTGCGCAATAATTGATAATTATATCATATTCGTATATGTGAGATAAGAACGAAGTAACACATCGGACATGAATACAGCAACTACGTCAATCCATGGTCAATTCCATGATCGTATTTTTACTAATATGTCACACAACTCCTGCGAAATTCAGCGATAAAAGTCGGGCAATTTCGAAAAACATATCACGTTATTTAGCTTCTTTACAATGTTTAACGATGCACAGTTCATGAATAGCCACCAATTTCCTTCATAACCTTCCGCAGTATAATTCGCGAGTATCTTCGTCGTTATCGCATACTAGGCTTATCGCTCTAACCGAAGAAACAAAAGTGTAGTAGAAACCATTTGAATTTACCTCCAGCTACGTGAAGTCATTAGAGCCTATCGTCCATTTATAAAAATGTCCGGATTTATCATAAAGGCAAACAATATTGCAATACAATGCAAATATTCGTTGGTTGAGCGTGTAATTCTCATGCACGAGCACAAGATAATTAAATTTGCTCAACTGTGACGAACACCTTGATTCTTTTATCTAGTTGTGCGGTGTAGCGTGAAATTTTTTAGCGATTCAAGCATCAGTTTATCCCTTACATACCAATAAGATTGATTCACGATATAGATTTTTTATAGACCAGACACATATCTCGAAGATGCAAGGACACATTGCAATGAGTAGAAAGAGAACGCAATATTTCAAGATTCTTTTTTATTATAATTTAAATAAAAGTTCGATACATATAGGATATTACAATGTTGCATGCATGTATTTTCATATGTTTTCAGAAATATCTGAAATACGTGAAGTTACGTACATTTAAGCCATAACTCGATTACGAACAGATCATGTATAACTGTAAGAAATAAGCGATAGATGCCAGCACCATCCAGTTCCGGGTGGAGCCACCGACAAAGACGGAGTCCAACTGTCCAACGGCTCTGGCGCAGCCGGTAGGACGGGGATATAAAAATAGCCACCGAGCTTAGCAGAGAGAGAGAGAGAATCGAGAAGAGAATAGAGTCGAATCCTTATAAAGTATTGTATTGTACGGAGATACGTTGTCGGATTTATGTAGAATCGTGTTTAAATTACAATATATATATATTCATTCTTGTGTTGTTCGAAAGAGTGAGTTTTCTATTTAACGACCACAACCTTCACTTCCTGATAAGTATACATTCTGACAAAAGAGAAGAGAATCTACTGAGTTAAATAGAGCATAGAGAGATATCTTAACGTTGATAACTCAAAGAAGTGAGATTTTAATTATCTTCGGTTATCTTACATAACCTACAAGTGGGTATCATTTCATACGAATATAATAGGCTATTTCACGACACAAGATCGTAAGTTTGTGGACAAATTCTTCAAGTAATTTTACACGAACACAATCATAAGAGAGAATTTCTGTATAAATATTGGTTATTTACACACAATCGCTTGGAAAGCGAGCTTTGTTTTAAATCGAGCGCGTTTTGTTCCGATGAGTCGATAAAACTGATAATATCGATAAGTGACAATCGTGAGGACTCGTGGTATACTTCCGTGCGCTCGGTCATATGATCTCGGTGGAAAAAGGCGAGCCGCGAGCCCCCTCGTTTCGATTTTGACGTATCTGCCTATTGTACGAACGTTTTGGAGAGAAATCTTGTTTCAAGATGAAGGGCTGTATGTTCAACATCGACGGTGGTTACCTGGAAGGTCTGTGCCGCGGTTTTAAGTGCGGCATACTGCAGCAGAGTGATTATCTGAACCTGGTTCAATGCGAAACGCTCGAAGGTACTTGGATTCAATTCTGTCGCTTTTATGAATCTGAATTTACATTCCTTAAACGAAACAAGATCCTCTCACAGCTTTGTAATATATAATTTATTTCTTGAAGATTTCTTACAGATTTAAAATACTTTACAAAAGTACGCCCCCTTGCAATAAGATTCGATTTTTTATATCAACTGTGATATGTTGACAAATCTTTAATTACTTCCTTCTAGCTCTGATTAATTGATTAATTATCTGTATAGATCTGAAGCTGCATTTGGCTGGTACGGACTATGGCAGTTTTTTGGCAAATGAACCATCCCCACTTTCTGTCAGTGTGATTGATGATAAATTGAGGGAAAAGCTGGTTGTGGAGTTTCAACATATGCGTAATCATTCAGTCGAGCCACTGTCACAGTTTTTAGATTTTATCACATACAGCTATATGATTGACAATATCATTTTGTTGATCACTGGTACTTTACATCAAAGACCTATCTCAGAATTGATCCCAAAATGCCATCCACTTGGTAGTTTTGAGCAAATGGAAGCAATTCATGTTGCTGCCACACCTGCTGAGCTGTACAATGCTGTATTAGTAGATACACCTTTAGGTACAGCCTTAAATTATCTTCTTATAGCTTATTATCTTATTTCTTATGGATAAATAAGAATTAATTATATTTAGATAAATAAAAAAGTAGGATAAATAAGAGTTAATTATATAGTTAAATATAATTAGTTTTGTTATCTCTTAGTTTGCTATCAGTTACAATTATTAATCATAATATATGAAACATTCATTACTAATATACAGAAAGATCAAACACAAATATAATAAATTTTATATAGATTTATATTTGTACTTATTTCTTTTTTATATAATAGTTTTAACAATATTGTATATGTTTCTTTTCTTTATAGCACCATTTTTTGTGGATTGTATTTCTGAGCAAGACTTGGATGAAATGAATATTGAAATAATAAGAAATACACTTTACAAGGCTTACTTAGAAGCATTTTACAAATTTTGCAAAGAACTTGGTGGTACAACTGCAGACACCATGTGTGAGATACTTGCTGTAAGAGATTTCATCCAGTTAAAATAATGAGAATTTATCTTTTATAAAATATATAACATATCTAATATTTTGGTAGTTTGAAGCAGATAGAAGAGCAATCATTATAACAATTAATTCATTTGGGACTGAATTGGGTAAAGACGACCGTGCAAAATTGTACCCACGTTGCGGACGGTTGAATCCGGATGGATTGGCAGCTCTAGCAAGAGCTGATGACTATGAGCAAGTGAAGGCTGTAGCGGAATATTATGCTGTAGGTACCAAAAATTGATTAAGCAATTGTTAATTACAAAATTATAGTGTCTCTTATAAACTCCATTTTCACTCCATAAATATCAATTTGCTTAATTTTTTCATTCAATATTTAAACAGGAATATAGTGCTTTATTCGAGGGAGCAGGCAATAATCCTGGGGACAAAACTTTGGAAGACAAGTTTTTCGAACACGAGGTAAATATATTTTTCGTAAAAAAATTTTGAGACAATGATTATTAATATGCAAGTTTAGTATATGTTATCCTTTATCAAATGTTTTTAACAATTTTTGTTTCGATACATAGGTTCGTTTGAACGTTCATGCATTCCTCCAACAATTTCACTTTGGGGTATTTTACAGTTACCTCAAATTGAAAGAGCAAGAGTGTCGTAATATTGTGTGGATCGCGGAATGCGTAGCTCAGAAGCATCGTGCTAAAATAGATAATTATATCCCTATATTTTAAATTGTAAATTCGAACCGGCGATGTCAGTCATCTTTATTTTCCCAATATTAACGTTTATAACCCGATTTATAATTTATAAATCGGTTAATCAATCACGACCTATTATCTATTTTCGTGATTAGTCATAACGTCATAAGTGAGAAAATATACAATCAAGTTTTTGCAAAATAAAAAGATAACGTTATAGACATATCTTTTTATTTCGTTTTTTGCAAGAATTTTGTACGTACATTTTCTCGTTTTTGAAATCGTTAATCGGGATAATATCGTGGAAAATAAATTTAAAATAATACAGTAGAATTCGTGTATATAGTGTATTTTATTGTAATCATCAATGTAAGTCATGGTCATGTGTTATTTCATGTTATGTAATTACTAATATAATTCGAGAATTATAATATAAAGTAATAAAAATATAGAGCATTCCAATACGATTAACAATGCCATTGATAATTATCCAACTTCATATACAACAGTATATATTATCGTAACCTTTCATTTCTCTTTCTTTTTTGGCATTAAGCTAAGGCCAAGAAAACTCTAATAAAAATTTAGCTTATTATCAGAATTACTTCACGCAATTCTAGCAACGATAAGATTATCTTTTCGCATACTTAACAAGATCTTTATCTGTACGTGGAATAACTTATTATTCTAGTTCTACATTTTGAATCTATTAGCAACTCTTACATAATTCGTAGATTATTTGTATCTATCTTGCAAATATATTATTGCGCGTCGCTAAGAGTTCAATATTGAAATGCTTTTATTAGAAAGATCAATACGGCATGATTGGATAAAAGGACGATTCCCAGAATAACTGATAAGAGATAAATAGAGACAAAGGAATCGCATATGAACTATCGAGTTGAATTGATATTTAGGAATTAAGTGCATGAAATATTGTAAAAATATCGTAAAATAAAACAATGAGAAACTCGTGTGTGTGTGTGTGTGTATACAAATTTTAACATCCCTGATTCTTTTTCTAAACAGGTCCAATTATTTTCTATGATCATAACGAGAGTGCCGCAGAGATCGCAATCGTAAATTCAGACACGTGTGCGAGCACAATAACATATCTCTTACATATTTAGATTTACTTTTTTTTTCATGCAGATTAAGAGGAAACTTTTTCCATGATGCAGCATTTTATTTGTCTAGAAAAGCTGCTTTTGACAAAATTTTGTAACATATCTTCTATATATTATATATATATATATATATATACATATATATGGATATGTACATATATATATATATATATATCTATATATTTAAAATTTCTTGTATATATTCATAGTACTTTTATACCTATAACATAATATAGATATAAATACAGTTTCTTATTTCAATTTAATTAGAATTCGTATAAAAGAAAAAAAGCACACATACACTTATCTCCTACAAATGCGTTCTCCGTCACACTGCATTCTATCTCCGTCCGTCTCTCGGTTTCTTTTAGAATGTACTTCCTCGTTCATCGAATTTGCGTTAATCGTTTGTGTAGGTGGTGGTGGTGGTGGAACATTGTTTACATGTTTTATGTTTACAGTGGGCGATGGGGGCGTGGGTACAGGCATTGTATTTTTAATACTATTTGCCAAGTTAGGTACTTGGTAAGTTGCTAAACTCTTCAAACCAATTACTTCGGGATTTTCCTTCCAAAAACGATCATTGATAATATCATCTACCAAAGGGACCACAGCAGGTTTTAATCTTCCTGTAACATCAGGCACTAATTTCCGAATAAGCATTGTGCCCTTCCGAAACAATGGTGGTTCATTGTTATAATTTATACCAAACTCTTGAAAAAGTAACTCATTTTTGTGCGACGAAAGAGTACCCCTCAGTTTTTCTTCTGCCTGTAAGTTTTCAGATTTTAAATAGTATGATAAACAGAATATAAATATAAATGCTTAATTATATTATAATTGTGTTTGAAACAGTGTTCAATTAAAATTAAAAGGAAGAATCCCATATAACTTACAAATTAATGTCAATAGGAGTTGAGATGACATAATTGTTATATATCATATACTTATGTACGGTACAATAAATAAAACATAACATAATAAAACATTGAGATGACATAATTGTTATATATCATATACTTATGTACGGTACAATAAATAAAACATATATATATCTATTGTTGAGCTTTATAACATGTCAAAAAATATATTACTTTATAAATTTACCTGACTAGGAGTTAATTTTCCTTTTAATATGAGATTCCAAAAACAAGTATTGTACAAGTTATTAACGTGTACATCAGCTTGTCGCCAAGCTAGGTAATCTCTTAAATTTTTGTCTGTTGGATACAATACAACACGAGCATCAAATGAAGGTGGATAATACAATTCTTTCCCTCTTAAAAAGCGTGGCCAATGATATACATATGCTGAAGTGAATAAAGAATTTACATTTGACATCAGTTTTGATGCTGAAACAAATATAAAGATATTAGACATAAAAGATGTATACAGACACATGAGATTAAACAGTGATTACAACTTCTAAAATTATAGTGCTACTCCATGATACTTATAAGTCATAGTTGGAATAAAAGAATACTATAGCTTAAGCTAATCAATTTTTGGGGAACAAAATTTTTTCTAATCAAATCAATAAAGTAATGGTACATGTTTTTTTTACAATAATCATGAATTAATATAAAGAATCATTAACATTATGTTTACAATTATACAGAACCGGGTGAAAAACTTTGTTTTCTTGTGAATTATTCTTGCAAATTTCGTATGAAGCTGTACGTGCATAAGTACCTCGGCGTTTATAGAGCTCAGTGTCCTTCCGGAAAACGAACGAATACTCATCACTTTGGCCAAATCCCAATATAATTTCTTTAAAGTCTTCCATGACAGTGATCGCGGCGCGATTCATCAGCTCCAGAGCGGCTACATCGTTTGGCTTGACGAATTGATGCGTCTCACAAAACTTGGAGAAATTCCTGCCGTCTATTCTAACCACAATCCAGCAGTTCGGCAAACAATGGTCGTCCCGTTCAAATTCCTTCACATATTCAAACTTACTTTTCGCCATGGTAGTCACGTTTACGTATCGGCGCGAAACCACTTGTTTGGCCCGACTGATTATTCGCAGAAAGACGCTGCCCTTCATTCGTACACGCTGTCAGAGTCGCATTGTCGCAACAATGTCGTCGGAGCCACTGCGCGCAGAGAGACTATTGAACAGTATATCAAAATCATCAACGAGCAGTCATTCAACTAAAATTCGCAATTTACGACTCACAATCCACAGTATTCCATAACTTTCTTCAACGGGAACGACGACTAATGACTGCGTGCTGAATGGACGGCTGTCTTTCGACCGCACGCAACATTTGAAATCCCGGCTGTTGTATTGCGAATTGTTGCGCAGCGCCACGCCGGCTTCGAATGTATTCGAAATTGACTACCAAACCTGCGAATAAAGCCAGCGGCACACGGTGCTTGTTTTCATGCTGGATTGCTTGCTGGATGAAAATATTGCATTGTGATTGGTACATTTCCGAAGATGGATGGAAATGCACCAATTAGAACGCAGTATTTTCATCCAGCAAGCAATCCAGCACGAAAACAAGCACCGTGTGCCGCTGGCTTTACATATAACATAAACAGGTCTATTCCGAAATGGGATGATCATGCTTGGATGTCAAAGCATTTATTATTTCTGTTCACAAACATAGTTTCAGCTATTAAGTTTGCAATAATAGAGAAAGAAATGAATAGGTTTTTTATTACTTATTATCTTAATAATTGATCAGCTGACCAATTACGGAACATGGTACCTATTATGGAACTCGTCGGAATCGATTATGCGGGCAGAATGCTTGATCTAGATACGTTCGTCATTGGCCTGTTCTGAAATCAGTTTCAGAAATTTTGGTTATAAAGTTGGTAGTCCTTAAATTTACTAAAGCCAGATTAGAAATTTAGGAAATAATGAAATAAATTCGATCGGAATCGATTCCGACGAGTTCCATAAAGGCTCGTCTACATTAGCTGTAAGAGTAAGCTTAAGACTCCATGCATGCGGTGAGCTGCGGCAAATGCTGCGGTAACCAATCAGGAGGGAGGCGCAAGTCCGGTTGCGGCAAGCTCCGGCATGCGTCTGTCTCCTGATTGGTCACCGCAGCCGTTTGCCGGAGCTCACCGCATGCATGGAGTCTTAGCTTAAGCTTTAGCTTAACAGCCTTAAGCTAAGACTCCATGCATGCGGTGAGCTCCGGCAAACGGCTGCGGTGACCAATCAGGAGACAGACGCATGCCGGAGCTTGCCGCAACCGGACTTGCGCCTCCCTCCTGATTGGTCACCGCAGCATTTGCCGCAGCTCACCGCATGCATGGAGTCTTAGCTCAAGGCTGTAACGTAAGCTGTCAGCGAATGAAAATATTTCATTTCGTGTCTTGCAACCTTACAGACTAAATGCTCGTCTACAATAGCTGTAAGAGTAAGGCTGTAAGGCTGTAACGCAAGCTATCAGCGAATGAAAATATTTCATTTCGTGTCTTGCAACCTTACAGCCTTATTCTTACAGCTAATGTAGACGAGCCTCTACTCTTACAGCTAATGTAGACGAGCCTTAATAGGTACCCATATCTAAAGCCAGCGGCACACTGTGCTTGTTTTCGTGCTGGATTGCTTGCTGGATGAAAATACTGCGTTCTGATTGGTGCATTTCCATCCATCTTCGGAAATGTACTAATGAAAATGCAAGCCAACGCAGAATGAAGCCGAAGTTGATAGTTTAAATCAGAATGAGAAAATTGATTTTCCTGATTTGCCTCAATGCTTTCTAAAGCCAGCGGCACACGGTGCTTGTTTTCGTGCTGGATTGCTTGCTGGATGAAAATATTGCGTTGTGATTGGTACATTTCCGAAGATGGATGGAAATGCACCAATCAGAACGCAGTATTTTCATCCAGCAAGCAATCCAGCACGAAAACAAGCACCGTGTGCCGCTGGCTTTACTCTGTCGATAGAGGCTGCGTTCCGATATTCACTGTCAATACTAAAAATCTATAGTATATGCAACGCAAACTATATATTTTCAGTACTGGCAGTGAATATCGGAACGCAGCCAGAAAAGAAATGGCGGCAATCAAAAGCAATAGGCCTGTTCGTTTTGTTTGCACTACTGAACTAGTGCATTAAGTTAAAGTGAGACAAACCTAAGGCTCGTCTACATTAGCTGTAAGAGTAAGGCTGTAAGGTTGCAAGACACGAAATGAAATATTTTCATTCGCTGACAGCTTACGTTACAGCCTTACAGTCTTACTCTTACAGCTAATGTAGACGAACCTTTAGTTTTCTCACTTTAACTTGTTGCACCAGTTCAGCAGTGCAGACAAAACGAACAGGCCTATTAGCGAGACGGCAGACTTTTGTAAATTCAGAAGCAGGTAAATTTTATCGAGTTTATTAACGCATTTGATGACGTAACATCGTCCGATTTGTACTAGCATTCGGATTGGTCGTCGCAGAATCGTATGATCGTTTGTAATTTTTTAGTTATTGCGTTTGACATATCGATGTTGAGCAAAGTATAACGACCGATTAGCACGTTTATTTCATGTAAGTAAATATCTGAGATAGTGATCGAGCATAATGGCAGACCCAGGAGGAGGATGGATGCCTAGCCAAGACAATGATTTTACGAATTTTCAATCGAATGACAGCTTCAATTTGAATGAAGTTACTGGCATCGATGGTAGGTAGCTGATACGATGCTTTTTCAACAAATTCTGTTATTGTTACACGTGTTTTGACTAAATCCCGTTGCGTATTTCAGATCATTTTGTTCCCCTATTGTTTTATTGCTTTGTTGTCTATTGGGCATTTATTCACTAACAACCATCTTATTTGGTGTTATCTTTTTTTTACATCTTATTTATCTACTTATTTATTTATTACTTATATATCTATTTGTCTATTTATTTATATTTTTCATCTATCTTTCTGTTTACTTGTCTGTTATTACTGAATACGCTAGTATCAAGTAATATGAAAATTGCCTTGCATCATCGACTACAAAATTAGAAATAATATTCTATAAAATGATATTCTACTAAATAGAATGATATAATTGATTAGAATATTCATTTGTATGTAATCTTTTATATTTCACTTATATTGCAACATTTGTATATGTAGAATTTATAATTCTTTTCTTTTTAATGATTATAAGCATTTGTGTTGAGAGAATTTAAATATATATTCAGTAGCTAGCAATAAACACTATATTAGAACATATTACTTTATGACAATTATTTATAATATATAATGTTGCAGATCTTCTCACCAATTGTGAAAATGAATTATTGAAAAATGAAAATTTATTCAGCGATGAAGCTTTACTCTCTGAATTGGATGAATCTATACCAATGGGTGGAGATACATTTGATTTCTTGACTCTCAATAATACTGATGAGTTTAAAGATTTTAAAGATTTCAAGGATTCAAGCATTCTTGAACCACCAAATTCAAATGTTATTATCACACAATCAGTAACAGATAACAGTCAACCTATCCCTTGTGTGCAACAAGATATTACATCTGTACAAAATAGACCACAGAGGATATCAGTGGCTACAACACCTACAGTCTTTAATTCACAGTATACTATACCTTCGAATGTAAGTTTTAATGTACAATCACCTGTTGTGACTTTGGCTCCAGTACCCCAGCAGAGACAACTGATTCTACCAGCCAAGATAATAAAATCCGAGTCTCTTGTGTATTCGAGAGGTACACAGGCTGTTACATCAACTTCTGTACCACATCAGATACGTACCTTGGTGAATACTGCAAATGGAACAGTTTTAGCTACTGGTATATAAGTGTATTTAAATTTGTAATATGTATGCATATATATATGCACATGCTTATGTGCGCACGTACATATACATCATATCATCCACATATACATTAAGGCTGTAGTATAAGTATGTTTCTCATATATTCTTGCAAATCATTGGTAAATTGTACATGAAAGATATGTAATTTCCAATAAAATGCCCATTATTGTCACATAATCTTGTTTTGTTTCAGGAATTCCTGTGGTACTTGATACCGAAAAAGTACAAATCAATCGTCTAAACACAGGCACTCATGTGGGAGTACCAAGGGTAAGAGAAGTGAAACGCAGCGCTCATAATGCTATCGAACGACGATATAGGACATCAATTAACGACAAGATTATCGAATTGAAGAATATTATTGTCGGTGTTGAGGCTAAGTTAAATAAATCGGCGATCTTACGAAAAACTATAGATTACATCAGGTTGAGAGTGAAATCCTATTTTTTTCATTACATGTAGTACATTGATAAGAATGGCCTCTGATAATTACATATTCAATTTCAGATTTTTGCAAAACTCCAATACGAAATTAAAAGCTGAAAATATGTCATTGAAAATGGCAGCTCAACGACAAAATCTTCGCGATTTACTGACATGTGGAGAACTAACACCTCCACGTTCAGACTCCAGCGAGCCATCACTCTCACCCGCACCCGCGCCACTATCACCACCTTCTCCATCGTCTGTAAAGGATGATACGGATGCGTTACAAAATCTGCATCCTATGGCTGCATCATCCAATGGAGGCATGAGGGATCATACGCGGTTAACTTTGTGTGGATTCATGTTGTTGTTCTTAGCGTTTAATCCTCTGGGTATACTTATAAACAATGTTGGAAAATTCAATTACGATTATTTAAATACAAAATTGGATGGACGAACGATACTCAATTATCAAGGTATGTAAATGAGAACGTAAATGGAACGTGAAATATAAATGGAAATAGAGAAAAACCGAAATTTTCTATTTGGATAATTGTAGATGTATTAACAATTTGTTAGATGCTTTGTTAGACAAAGAATACATTTCCTATTTCGATAAATTATTTTTCATCTAATATTTTTATTTCTGATTATAGCAGATCAATCAGAATCAGACAAACTATTATGGAGTAGCGTCATTCTATGGCTGACCAATCTGATACTTCTGGCGGGTGGTCTTTGTAAATTGTTACGGTATGGCGATCCCATCTTACCGACGGACAGCAAAGTTTTCCTCGAATTACGACGTTGGAGACGTCAGGCTGAATTCAACATTTCTAAACACGAATATAATCAAGCGTATCGGGATTTACATCAATGTCTGCAATATTTCGGCCGGTCTTTCCCGTTATCACGGACAGAAACCTTTCTAGCTACTATGTGGCAGATAGTGAGACAAGTGCTTCACAAATTGTGGCTAGGAAGGTGGGTAATGCAGATCAACAAGTGGCTGTCAGACAAGTCCGAACGACAAGAGGCGGAAATGTCCGCTATGGAAATAGCTATTGTCTACCAATACACGCTTTGCCTTCGACTCTCTGAGGGAACGAGGAGCCCGAATCTATATTTTGCTCTTTGCGCGCTTAATTATGCGGAGGCCGCTGGCGAGAGTATGCCAAAGCCTCTTTTGGCAGAGATATACGTGAACACCGCCTTATGCCTCAAGCAATCTTTCTTTCCGTACGTACACAAATATTATTTGGGCAAGGCACGTGTCCTTTTATCCTCGTGCACTGTGCCGCCGAAATTGAAATGGATCATGACCGACGAAGGTGCGAGGTTCTTGGCGTCTTACAAATGGCAATATAAGAATCAACGATCCGATAGTGAATTCACATCGCAGAGCAGCAAAGCGGATCCTGTGTCTTACGTGGCTCGCGCATACAGGGATCATTTGTTTGAGCAATGCCTACGTTTGCTGACTGGTACGGCTGGAGAATATCATGCATCCTCCGTGCTCGAGTTAGGACAAATCATTATGGCCTCTGCTGGAGTGGATGCTTCTTTCCCGAGTACTGACCAAGTTAGCGTAGCGAGTAAGTTTGAAAGAACTATGAGAGAAAAAAGAAGTTATACATCGATGCATTTTTATGTCGATAAATTTCATACTTTGCGCATTTTCTCACTTTTCACTTATATGTCAGAATTTGGGAACATTTTAAAGTTCTTGGTAAGCTTAACTGTAAGTTTTGATTTTCAATCGGTAAAATATTAATTAATTGTTGCGATCAGTGTAGTTTTAAAGATCGATATGTTGTTTTAAAATGGATACAAATACCAAGATTTTTACAACTGGAAACTTCTATAATATTATTGTACTTGTTTCATGTTGCAGCATGTGAAGATGAAGTTGGATTATGGTGGGGAGCAGTAATGTGCGTTGCTGCGAGTTGGAGATTAGGGGAAGAGAACTCGGAAGCCTGGAGTGTTGTAGAACGTAAATTCCCTTACAAAAGAAATTTCCAAATTGGTGACAGTAACAGTAGAAGTAGCCCGTTACCGCACGCAGTACTCAACGTTTTACAGGCGGCGAAACATTCGTCGAAGCTAGCCTCCATGCGTTTCATTGATCAGGCTGGATTACTGCTCGAACAATCGATGGTGTATTATCACTGCAAAGAACAATCGTCGCAGCAGATCCTGGTGAGTTCGAATATTATAATAGATCTTTATGATAGATCTACATTATAGATATGATCTGCCAACATTATATGGCTCTTTCAAATGTGATATTACGTCGACGTCGAGTTGAAGTAGAGGTATAAGGATGTAGTAACCATGAGCAAAATTTCATGTTCCGAGTCTATTGAAATATCCAGGAAAGCCCGAAAATACATTAAAATTACTTAATTTTATTTAAAGGCTAGTATGCAAAATGATCTAGGATACTAAATGTGTTAATTATTTGTAAGCTTTTTGACTAATCTGAAATCGATATTTTTTTATCGAAGATTTTGACAATTTTCCTCAATAATCAAATTCTGAGTTAGTCTCAAGATTCATTCGAAATCTTATTGGAATCATTGTTTAATAAGTTATTTCATTATTTATTAGTAATTTAAAAAATAAGTTTTTGGAAAATCTGCATCTTATTTATAACTCAAAAATTGAAAAACCCCGACATTTCGTGTAAAAGAAAAGTCGACGTTAAATTAATCGTTTATCTGTTACAAGTGTGCATTGTAGTTGCATTGCATGAGATACAACTATGCAATACTTCTACAGTGCAACTCCTGTGGCAGATCGCAGCACCGTACAGATAGTTGTGTGTGTTAGCTTGTGAGTCGTGTACATGTACATAATATCGTCGTCACTTGTCATATTAACTTCATTTTCCGTTTTTTCTCGCCTTTTCAGCTTATTCAGCTGTTGATCTGCGACTGGCTCTTAGAGTTACGCACAACATTGTGGCAAGATTTGGATGCAGAATTAGATAGATCAGCTGCAAATGTGTCACTTGCAAATTTCCAACGTGATTTAGCATGCTTGAGACAATTGTGTCAACATATTCCGGTAAATAAATGATAAATCATAAAGCAGCAGCAGTATTTTTAGTGAAGTCAATATTAATATAAAATCATTTTTATAAATTAGATATACGTATCCAACATATATATATGTATGTTGGATACGGAAAAATTATTATATATATATATATATATCTTTGATATATATATTCAACATATTTATGATATGTATGTTTTCAGTCTGTATTGGCACGAGTGTTTCTGTACGAGGCTACAGCACGTATCATGGCTGGCGCGACGCCAGTAAAAACGCAAATCCTGCTGGATCGAAGTTCACACCACAGGAATTCGCGCTCCTCTATCATCTGCGGCAAAGATCGATCGCAGGAACAGAGTAACGGTGAAAGGGAGCACGCTGTTGCGTTGTACCTGACTTGCAGGTACTTGCCGACGCTGCTATTAGTGTCACCTGGCGCACGTGACGGTATGCTCACTGAGGCCGCTAAAACGCTCGAACGCATAGGGGACCGAAAGCGTCTCCTGGAATGTTACAAACTGATGCAACAGCTAAGTTCTACTATCACAGTTAATTAGTTATCGTCTAATAACTGCATATCTTTTGTGTTGTTAGCAATCATCAGCAGAATTCCTATTAATTTCAGTGATTTAAATTATTAATATATGATTGATCTTTTCTCAATTAAAAGCTTTTATAAAATTTAGAATAGGATATTAGAGAAGAGGAAAATAAAATAGAATTGAATAAAAAAAGATATACATATATATACATACATATTTTTATTGTATTTATATCTATTATATTAAATGTCATTTTATGATTATATAAATTGTACATATATACATACATACAACGGTTATATATCTTTAATATAAAAGTTTTATACAACCATCCAATCATGTTCAATAAAAATGGTCTTTGATCGGTGTATGCTTTAAGGCGGTATTCTAGTGTAACAAGTACTTTTTCATAGCTTTTTTGGGAATTTTTTTAAGAATATAGACAAACAATATCGTTATCAAAACTTTTTTTCTATATTATTTACCATTTATATTTATAAAAAAAAAATTTCATAAAAAACTACTTAAAATAGATGGCGTTACAAAGCGTCAAAGTCTAGGCCTAAAAAAAAAAGGTGTTGGATGGTAGACATGATTCCGGCTCTCTAGATAATCTAAAACAAAAAATCAAAAAGATTCTTAAAATATATGCTTGTGGCTGTAGTCGGTAGCGAATTTAAGTGTATGAAAAATTTTCAAAATGGCGGACATTTGAAACTGAAATATCGATTTATAACTTTTGTAAAAATAAGTATTTCAATGTAATTATGGTAGGGGCTATAGGCACACGTCCCCTGAAGATGTGTGCAGACCGACGACCCGATCAGTTCATTAGCTTTTGAGATAGCATGTCTATCGATCTTGAAAACGTGGTTTTGAGAAAAATGCGTTTAAAGTTTTAAAAACGTTTCAAGTCAAAATTATTATACTTACGATTATTCTGCTATGCGTGGTCCATACTGCACATCTTCCTCTTTTTCAAAAAAGTCTCGCTTAATAAATTAAAATAAAAAAAAATTAATATCTTCTCTGCCTACTACTAAAAGTCTCATTACAAATACTAATCGTCGATTGACTTCAAATGCATTGTTTATTAGTGGACACGAAGGTATGTTTTCTAAAGCGTGGTCTACAATGGTCGTAAGCAGTAAGAAGAAAGCATGAACAGTAAAAGCCATTGCACGTACAAAAGTTTTAGGCGTAATCGTAAGTCCGTAAGCAAATTGACCAATCACAATCCAGCATCTCGAAATATACGAATTGTGATTGGTCAATTTGCTTACGGACTTACGGTTACGACTAAAACTTTTGTACGTGCAATGGCCTTTATTGACTAGCTGATCACGCTGTGACACACAGCCATATGTCTTATTTTTATTTACAAATTTTATTTACAAATTTGATTCTAACCATTAATTTTGTAATATTAGATAGAGAAATGGATAAAGTTTTTATTATTTATCTTGATAATTAATCAGTGGAAATGTGGAATGGATCATGGAACGTATCTAAGTTAATTTAAGGCCTGCCAACTTTATAACTAAAACCTTCCTATAATTAAAAGCTTCTGAAACTTATTTCCGAACAGACCTACAATGATCCAACCGTTCGCCATATCTAAAAGTCTCTTTTTCCCAGATAGCAAGAAAGTCGAGTTGCTTTCGTAAGTACTCCAATATTTCGATATTATTTTTTAAAATTTAGGTCAAATTACAACATTTCTATACTCTATATTGCGGAAAAGTACACAATGTAGTTTATCAAGATATAGTTGCTTCTAGCATGACAGATAAAAACCAGATATCGAATTTATTCTGTTGTGCCACGTGCATTTCATGTTGCGTTTCGCGTTGTATGATGGTTCTAAAAGTCTTTTGCACAATAAGGGCAGTTATACCTAAAAGACTTTGGATCCTTGATTTTTCAGAATTTTTTATTAAACTGAATAGAATTCAGTGTGAAGGTCGAAATGTTCAATATGTATTAGAATGTAAACAAATTATTTCTTTCATTACATATTCGCGGCTAAATAGTACTTAGCCCTTATTTGTTTATCATCTTTTTAAACAAAGTTATATTAATAAATTGTATATAATAAATTATGTATAATGTTTTGTTACAGATTAAGTTGTCACAATGACAAATTCTAAAGGTTACAGACGGGGTACCAGGGACTTATTTTCACGCAAGTTCCGCAAACATGGAACAATACCACTGTCAACTTATATGAAGGTATACAAAGTCGGCGACATTGTCGACATTAAAGGAAATGGCGCTGTACAAAAAGGCATGCCATATAAAGTATATCATGGTAAGACAGGCCGTGTATTCAATGTGACACCTCATGCCTTGGGTGTCATTGTTAATAAGAGAGTACGTGGACGTATCATCGCTAAGAGGATAAATGTCCGTATTGAACATCTCACGCATTCCAAATGCCGTGAGGACTTTTTGAAAAGAGTTAAAGAAAATGAAAGGCTAAGAAAGGAAGCCAAGGAGAAGAATGTGCGTGTTCAACTGAAGAGACAGCCAGCTGAACCATCAAAGGCACACATTGTATCAGGACGTGAAGCACCCATTTTGCTCGCACCTATTCCCTATGAATTTATTGCTTAAATATTGAATAAACTCATTTTAAACATAAAAGTTTATATTTTCACCCTTGATGTTACCATTATAAAATGATTACCATAATCCATAAAAAAGAAATTTCACTATAGAAGTATCTTACCCAGAAGTTAAATAGTTGACTTGATTTTATGCGAATATACAGTTCTATACATACTATAGTAAAAAGAGAAATAAATATTTTCTCATAACAATATTTTTATTTTCAGTCATATTTTCTTTACATTTGTATAGAATTTGATAGTGCTTCCAACGTTTCTATAACACTGGACACGCAAGTTATCGCAATAATGTAAATAATCAAGTTCATTCTCTTCCAGACAGACTAGTACCGGCAATATAAATAAATATAAAACAGTACATAAACTGCTCGCGATTTTTCTCAACATTAAACAATCTGTGGCTTATAAATGAAAGATTCTAAAAAAAATTTAGAATTACTTTATAATAAAAACTATAAAGCAGCAGCTTATAGCTAAATCTATATCACCATTTTCTATTTCTAGCAGCCGAAAATGTAATCAAACGCGTATTTGTATATAATTATCATAAATAAACTGACATGCCATTAGAACATTCAAAAATTTACATGCACTGTACTTTGTTAAAATATGAAATTAGCATATAGGAGTGCTTAACTTCAATTACTATTTATACTAAATTTTAACTACAATCTCGCGATTGATAGAACAGAATGTAACCAGTTTCAGAACTCTTCTGAATATCTGATGTGAGTCCATAAAAATCTTCTATAGTTGATGCATCAATTTTCTGAAAATATAAAGATATTTGTATTTTTTCTTAGTTACAATGTAATGTTGAAGAAAATTATACAACTTTTGCAAGGCATAAGTATACAAAACACTTACATCGACCATATCATCGTCAAAGAGCAACCAGAATCCATGGCTTTTAACTATAGAAATGTAATGCCCTCTGTTAGGCCCACTTCCACAATGTATCACAACTGCCACCAAATCATATAAACGATCTGGGTTTACAGCATCATCGCTCTATTGAAATGAGAGATTCAACATTTCTAGTAAATCAAATTGAGTGGAACTTTGTCTGAGAATTTGTAAACGGAAAAACTTACAGTATTGAAAAGTCTGAGCTCCAATGGAAAAACTACCCTGTGAGATACTTTTATATGACGATTATACTGTTCCACATATTTAAACCTTTTTAGATGCAACGCTAGGATCATAGGTAGCTTTTTAACCCTCATTCGTTTCTGTAATGTAAAATAACTGTGGTTTTGATGGAGTGACTTACAGCAGAAATTGATCTTTGAATGTAATATCACTGAGTGTAATATCACTTTAAATTTGAACTTGCTTCATTTTTATCTCAAAGACATCATTAATACCTGAGCTTCTTGGTAACTGCTGCAATGATCGCATTTAAATTTGTTGTCACTACACAGGGTCTCTGTATTGGAGAAGCATCTGAGGCAGTGTGTGATCGAAGTATTCTGGTCTACATCGACTTGTAGATCGAAGAAGTCCTCGTCTTTGCTAGATACAGTCTCACAGTTAAGGCAGCGTGTTTCCGAGGTCAGTATTCCTTGAAATATCTCATGAACCCAAGTAGGCTCGGGTGGTGAACCAGCATCCCCTGCCCCACACTTTCCACCAGCTGGCTTGCTCTGAGTTCTCTCTGCTAATGTGCCAGATTAAACTTGTAAAAACATTGCTAGCAGAAGCAATACAATGAAACAAAACCAAGAATTTACCTAGAATAATTTCATTTATGTGATTTATAAGGAAGTTCAGGAACTCATGTGCATCTTGTTGCATGTAATTGTCAAATTCCTCTGAAAAGATACTGAAGTTAAAAAAAATAACATTATCATAAAATACACATGCATACATATATATACATAAATTCTTTATTTTCCCTATAGTACAGACCTTTCTCTTTTCTCAATCTGGCAATAAACTTCTTCGGTGCTATGGAACCTACTTTTTTCTTTTGAGTTGCAATACTGTAAAACAGATCTGCTAAGCATGTTAACAGTGTCTCCTTGGTTCGTTTGTTTCTAGCCTTGTATTCTAAAACCTTTTCTCTAAATGGTCGACAAAAGTATAAAGCCTGTAACACTGAATTGCTGTAACAAGTGTTACCAAACTGCAAGAATATATATTTTTATTAGGATTCAGCAAAATATATGAATAGAAAGAACATTTATTTCTTGAACTAATTCTGAGTATGGCAGAAAAAATATATATACATATGTTTGATATTGTTTGATACTTACATTAACTAAACCAAAATAATGTTCATTAGGTGGAAACTGATCAGAACCTATATCTCTTTCCAATTGTGATATGTTTGCACCCTAGAATTGTGGATAAAAATATTGGTACAAATTATATTATGTTATGTTATTGTACACATAATTGTTATTAAGTAATTTGTACTTCATATAAAGTAAATTTCAGTAGAAAAAATATGAAGCACAAGGAATTTAGTACAAGGCAGTAGTAAAGTTAAAGATAAAATCAGTATTAATTGTGGCATCAGTATGACACAAAAGACACAATCGTGAAAAGCCGCGAATAAACATAGATTTGTAGATACGTAACTAAAGAGTGTTAGGACTGAGATTATTGACGTCTGAATTATAATCTCATTTACTCGCGATCCAAAGCGTACTCTAGCACACACTTACCATTTTACGATTCAATAACACAAACGGAACATTGACAAGCACTTAGCACGGACTTCAATAGCGGCATAAACTCCATCGTATCGTGGACTTGCAGAGATTTATCGGCTAGAGTGTTTCCATCGAACGGATTATTACCATACCGCTTTAATAGCGCTTCCCGGCTCGTTCCACGTGTCAAACGTGAGAAACGTCACCGCGACGTCGTGTTCGCGAGCAATTTCGATAATTCCAAGACAGAGCGCCGCAATCACGCAAGAATTGCGCCTCGCGTAGCGTTACGCTTGTTCTGATAACCAATAAACTGGAACGAACCTAATTTCACCTTCTCGTACCGAGCGCGAGTTCTCCGTGAACAGCCAACACTCGGTGATAGAAAGATTCGAACACTCTATCCTTGATGCACTTCGAATCGTATATGATATCCAATAAGAATATTCATCTTCGAAAAATCTATTCTCCTATTGGTTATCAATTGCGTTCTGCAATGCATCGAAAAAGAAACGTTCAAATCTTCTATTTCCGAGTGTATCGTCGTCTCGTCCACTTTCCAGTGATGTCATAGAATTCAAGTTTAATATTAGATATGCTTGCGAAAGTAAAATTATGTGGACGAATTATTTTTCTTGGATTAACTAGAGATTTTTTTTATGTAGAAATTGAATGCTACCATTGGCAGAACTGGTCGAATTGCGCAGTGTAAAGATATGGTCTGTTCTTTTCAGCTGCACTGCGGAACTAGTGCAATAAGTTAGAATGAGACAACTATATATTTTCTCGCTTTAACTTATTGCACCAGTTCAGTAGTGCAACTGAAAAGAACAGACCAAGTTACATTTTCCATAAGATGTAACGCAATTGGTCGAAACTGTTACGCTTACGAAAAGTGTGTGTGATGGCCTTAAATTTATCATATGTATATACCAGATAACCTCTCAAATAGTTTGGTTGACAGATTCTGCTTCATATAATTGTAATTTTAAAGTAGCAATATGTTACGAATATTTAATGTTGCGAATCACAAAAACACTTTCAGTTGTAATTTACACTTGGCGGTAAGTGACTCGACAATCAGTCTTTGTTAAACACCTGAACGAAAAGGCAAACTTTCGTAATTTGTTGAATTTTATTTTTTCGTCGCAATTTATAAAATTATATAATTACTTAATTGTGCATCTGCCAATCTCTATAAAATTTTGTATTACAGTGTATACGTGCTTCAACGGAAAGTAATAAAGGTTTTTCGGAGAAACTAGCGGATGGCCCACAATTCGAGGACTTTCTCGTAGACAATGTCAAGAAATACGATGGAAAATTGAAATTGGAAAAAGGCGAATCAACGCGATTAAGGTTACCACCTTGGTTGAAAACGGAGATACCTATGGGCAAAAGTTACAGTAAAATAAAAGCACAGTTGAGGCACTTACGTTTAAATACAGTCTGTGAGGAAGCAAGATGTCCAAACATTGGAGAATGTTGGGGTGGAGGCAGTTATGGTACAGCGACTGCTACCATCATGGTTTGTTGTTTAATAAACAACCTTTATATTGCATATTGTGTGATTTACTTTAAAAGTAATAGACTTAATTTTAAAGACGCAATATTAATAGTATCTTGATGTTTATTAAGATATTTGTAATATTATCAAGATAATAATAATTGTTTAGTTAATGGGGGACACATGCACTCGAGGTTGCAGGTTTTGTTCTGTCAAAACTGCACGAACACCACCACCATTGGATACAGAGGAGCCAGTCAATACTGCCAGTGCAATAGCAGACTGGGGTTTGGACTATATTGTTTTAACATCTGTGGACCGTGATGGTTAGTAGTCTATATTGCTTTTATAAATAATATGGAATGAAGATTATATTATATTAAAAGTATATAACTTAACATGTATTGATTATTCCAGATTTGAAAGATGGTGGAGCTAGTCATATAGCAGCTACTGTTAGAGAGATAAAAAAGAGGTACTTTATATATAAATAATCTTTCTTGAAAAATTACAATTTTGTACTTTGAATTTTTCGCAAAAATAGTTTATGACTCGTAAATGATACAATTTGCTAGAGTAGCTCATTTAACTGTGTATATCATATTATAGAGATATTTCACCGTAGGAGCAACATTTTGGTGGAATGTCTAGTACCAGATTTTAAAGGCGATGAAGATTGTGTTGCTACAATTGTCAGTTCCAATTTAGATGTGTTTGCACATAATATCGAAACTGTGGAACATTTAACTCCGTTTGTCCGAGATAGACGAGCTCGATACAGGTATGATGGGTTAATGTATCACTTATAGTTTTATAAAATAGGCTGCAACTTTATATATAATTTTAATATAATTTTGCAGTTTTACTATATGATAATTTCCATACAGCAATACTTAGATGCTTAGAATTTCTAAATATTTATAGAAAAATAAAAAGCTGTTTTTTCTTATTTATTAGCTTTATTTAATGCTTATGTATTAAAGTTTATGAATTAATAGAAACTTGCTCCAGCCTACTCTATGTTTATTAATCATTTTATCTATATATCTATTATTTTGAATTAAATGTGTTGTTATAATAGGCAGTCATTAGCTGTGCTGAAGGCAGCTAAGAAGATCAATCCTAGCTTGATAACTAAATCATCAATAATGTTGGGCTTGGGTGAAACTGATAAGGAAATCGAGCAAACTATGCAGGATTTAAAAAACGTCGGCGTGGATGCTTTAACGTTAGGACAGTACATGCAACCTACCAAGAGGCATTTAAAAGTTATTGAATACGTAACACCTGAGAAATTTAAATCGTGGGAGAATATAGGAAATCAAATGGGTTTCTTGTATACTGCCAGTGGTCCCTTAGTGCGATCGTCCTATAAAGCTGGCGAATATTTCCTGACAAATATTTTAAAACAACGGAAAAACAAGCAAATTGAAGACTATTAACTACTATCGTAGATTTAAAAAAAAATAATAGTCCAAACTAGAAATGAAATTTGTTTGATTTCTAAAGTTTGTTAATGTAATCGAAAGTTCTGTGTACAGTCAGTTTTAATATGATTTGAACACTTTTTTTGAAACTGATAATCGCAGTTAATGCTTCAATGAATTTAACTATTAAAAATTAATCTGAGAATCATTTTGGCTGCATTGTGGACTACATTGAAAAAAAAGTGTTAGAATCGTATTGGAACGATGTGTACGTATGTATGTGATAATTTATCATTTACAGGGAAAGATTTACATCACGTTTTAGTCTCATAAAGTAGTTTAAATAATTAAAGCAGATTGTAACCGATAAACCGATGGTAAATATCTCTATTTATCGTGTTATTTACTTTGTTACAAAAAATTTAAATATTCAATAAAATGCGGTTTTAATTTTTATATGAATCGTATACGACAGACAGAAAAAAAGAGAAAGAAAGAAAGAGAAACAGTTTACGTTATTATTTAATCTGTGTCCATGGCGATAGCAACTTGAGGATCCTGTGGAGCAGGATCATCAGCAGGCGGATCCTGCGGTGGTCTACTATCATCTTGCACACTTGGCTCCGTAGGCCTGCCGCGTTTATCATCTCCTTCAATCTCAGAGAGGTAAGTAGCTGTTGCGGTTTCGTCGAGAATAGCAAAGTCATAACCCTTTCCTACTATCGCAATTGATACATTCTGAAATATATAATTTTGAAAATTTATCAGTTTTTCCTTGAGAAAACGTAAAATTTAACATAAATTACAACTATTTTCCTATTACTGTACTCGCGCTATGAAATTTAACACCAAAGGAATTGTAATATTGCGGCAAAATCTACCTTCACAGATAAATCAACTTCATTAGGTAAAGTATCGCGTAATGCTCTCAGACCATGTTTCACTAACTCATCAAGATCACTTGTTAAAAATTCATTTAGATGTTTCTCTAAATATGTCCTGGCGCTTTGAGAACGAGCTCCTATAGCCATTGCTTTACAATCAAAATAATTTGCTGAAGGACACGTCTGATATATATGTGGCCCTTGATCCTGCAAAAATAAATTTAATAATTATAATTATTAAATTAAGTTAGAGAAGCAATATATATTTAGTAACGTAGTTTATTACATAGACCTTACCTATTAGAAACATAATTATTACTATACCTATTTAACAATAATAATTGTTATTATTTATATCAGAAATAAAATTTTTCATCATAAATTCTTACATCATATCCTGCTACAAGTAAACCAACGCCATATGGACGTCTATCATATCTCTGTGTGCAAGTTTGCATTTTATTTCCCAAAGATGCAATTAATCGGCCTATAGGTAATGTGTCATCATGGGAATACTTGTAATTCAAGCATTCAGTACGCATATAACGGCTGCAAGTAATGTTACTTATGAGAATTACAACAATTAATAATTTGTATAATCTATATACCTCAATATCCTTGCATCAGCAGTCAACCCAGAAATACTAATTCCCATATGTTTATCAATCGGTATAATCTTCTTCTGATAGGCTGATAGTTCTGAAGAAGCTCTTTTCAAAGCAATAAGAACAGCATGTGTTTGATTCTTTAAGCCCACAGTAGCTGATCCTAATTTTACTGCTTCCATAGCATATTCTACTTGATGTAGACGTCCTTGTGGACTCCATACTGTGACATCGCTGTCATATTGATTACGAAACTAAAAAAAATGTTTAAATATAAAATATATATATATATCATTCATATTTTATTAATTTCAATTGTATGTACAGTTTATATAAATCATGATTAAATTACATGTTATAATTCTGAATTATTGCTATCTATATATATTTGACATTTCAAAATGAAACATTTTATATTAGAAACTAGATATTGTTCATATAAAATAGCTATATATATATATATGTGTTATTAAGACAAATATTTTTGTTAATTTGTTATACATTAAATCAATTATTCGAGTATTCTTCGTTACGATTGTGCACGATACATAACCACCATGTTATTCAACTTGAATAATAAAATAGCATTACAGTATTTTTATAACATACTCTTGTTTTTCTCTTAGTTTTTGAAGAAAATATTCTTACTGAGAAATTATAACGTTTCGTAATCACTTACTAACAAATATTTGCACACATAACCGCAATACTCAATGACTTGGTCACTATTTATGAATTTTTGTTATACACTATTATTAATTTATCAAAAAATATCAAATAGAGGTCAGTTTAATATTTAACAATCATTAAATACATACCATTTTCACTAGTAGATTCTCTAAATTGAGAAGCTAAAAACAGCAAGCGATATTACTTGCAAAATATACGACAAACCAACTGTCATGCTTTGAGGCAGATATATAGATGTCAGTATGTATAGCCTATGTTGGACCGATTAATCGATGTCCGATTCTTTCGTTATTAAAAGATCGATTATCTTTTCAATGTTTCCAGATTTTATTAATCCATATCTCGATAGTCTTTCTTATTCGATGTTACTACATTTTATTAATAAATCTTACTATAGATGATAACACTCGTGTATGCATGTAGCACACACATTTGTATGCTGTTGTGTTTTTAAAAATAATTTATTTACTTCAATACCGTGCATATAGTAAAACATAATACAAATGGATATTCAATATAAGTATGTATTTTACTTTTCAAATTTACGAAATATATGACAATAAATAAATAAAGAGCTTATGTCATTTTCTTTGTGAAAATGTTCTGTAATACATTATATGTCATTAACTATTTAATTTTTGTAGAACAATTCATCCTGTGAAACACTTGCAGGATCATTTTGTAAGTATTTTGTACAGATTAACACATGTATAAAAATTTGACAAAAAATATTTTAATCCGATATTTGTAGGTGCAAGATATTCGACCAGATGGTAGGAAATTCCTGTCCTTTCGACCAATAAGTATTAATGTTTCATCAATTGTTCAGGCAGATAGTTCAGCAATATTCAAATTGGGTAGTACAACTGTGGTTTGTGGTATTAAAGCGGTAAATATATTTTACTTTATTTTATATGTTTGTATCATCAGGTTAATTTTTATTTATATTAAAGAGGTTGGTCAAGTAAATATTTTTTACATACTATATTAAAAGATACGATTCTTTTAATTTGTTGGAAAAATCGATCATCGAATGATTGATATACTATTTCAGGAATTAGCAATACCAAAAACAGATACTCCAGAATGTGGCTATATAATACCAAATGTTGAGTTATCTCCACTATGTTCTCCAAAGTTTCGTCCAGGTCCACCAAGTGAGCAAGCACAGGTGATTTCTAAACTAATAGATATAATATTAAAAAATTCCACTGCAATTGATTTAAAGGACCTTTGCATCTGTAAAAGAAAATTGGTATGGGTTTTATATTGCGACATGCTATGTTTAAATTATAATGGCTCAGTCATAGATGCTTGCACAGGTGCATTGACTGCAGCTCTCAAAACATGTAAGTTATATATTGTATATTATATTGGTTATCATCTGACATACTAGAAAAGGATAAAAAAATTTTTTCTTTGCAGTAACTCTACCTGAAGTAAATTATAATTTAGAAACAGGAGTCACTGTTGTGCATCCAAAAAAGAGAAAGCCATTTGTTATGAAAATGTTGCCAGTATCCATATCATTTGCAATATTTGAGAAGTAGGTTTCAGTTTGTTGATAAGCACTTTCATATAGTTTATCTTATTGACTAATTTTTCAACATTTGCAGACAAATGTTAATTGTTGATCCTACGGATGAAGAGGAAAGTTTATCATTAGGAAGATTATCTGTTGTGATGGATAGTGAAGAAGAAATTTGTTATGTGCATAAACCAGGTATATGTATTTCTTATTTCTTGTATAGTATATATATGTGTATATAATAATAATTATAAATCTTATATAGGTGGTATTCCAATATCACAACATTTATTTTCCAAGGCAGTAGAAATAGCAAAAACCAGAGCAGATCTAGTTCGATCATTGATTCATGCTGCTATTTCAACATTGAAAGTTGAAACAAATATTTGATACTTTTAAAAATAAAATATTTTATTACTATGTGTGTTATTTCTAACATCAGATATGTAAAAATTAAAAGTAATATTATATAAGTGATACTGGCAGGCTTTGAGAATTATCCATATTTAATTTTTAACAACAAAAATATACAATATAGATTAGAAAAATAGATATAAAAAGGTTTGCAAATTGCTTGTTAGTTGTTTTGTTACATCTATAAAATCAAAGTTCTATTTAAATCAAAGTTTATAAACAGCAATTTAGAATTTTATATAAATCTGTAAAGAATTTACATGTACACATATATGTTAGTTTATATAACTTCAGATTTCAAACATGAAACTATCTTGTTTTGTAATCATATTACTAAACATTTACACAAATGTTTTTTTAAAAAAGTATTCTTGACAAATCATAGCAAATCAATTCTTTATAGCAAGTCAGTCTTTTTTCTAAGTATACAGAAACAGAATGTATATTTAAGTGTTATAAGGCATGATAGCATATTAATTTAATATAGACATGCTTTCCTCATGATTCTGAGAAATTCTTCTTGGGATATTTCTCCATCACCATCTTTATCTGCTTCGTCAATCATTTCTTGTATTTCTTCATCAGTTAAAGTTTCTCCCAACTCATTTGCTACTCTTCTCAAATTTTTAAACGATATTTTTCCTGTATCATCATCATCAAAGAGACGAAAGGCTCTCAATACTTCCTCCTTTGAGTCTTTTTCCGACATTTTCACTGTCATTATATCCAAGAATTCTTCAAAAGATAATTTGCCAAGACCATCTGGATCAACATCTGCTACAAGCTTCTTTAATTCCTCCTTAGTTGGTTCAATGCCCAATGCTCTAATGGCAACTTTAAGTTCTTTGGTGGCAATTCTCCCAGTGCCATCCGGATCGAATAAATCAAATGCTTCTTTTATGTCAGCTTTTTGTTCTTCTGTTAGTTCAAATTTCATCGTGTTCTTCTTTCGGACAAAACCACCATTTTGTTTCTTAGATGTAGATGCCTAAAAGGAAATGAAACTAAATATTTAATTATCGGATATTTTATATAATGTAAAAGATTCAGAATATGGAAAGAATATAATCTAAAAAACGATTTATTATGGAAATCTGTTGAAACGAAATCGTATTAATTACCATTTGCTCGGTCTGCAATTTGCTGACTGTACAAGTAAGTAATTATCTCTTATTGAGGAAAATTTTCAGGCACTTATTTACGGTACTGTTAAATAATAGTGTAAGGCTGTCTCGTTATTCTCGCCAAGCACGCAATCGCAAGTATCACTTTTATTATACGTTGAAAGGGATTAGTTTGATCGATACATGACGTAGTCATCGTATATCTTGGAAATCGAAAGTTGTGAGAGCATACGCAAACAATAGCGTAAACACTTCAACGATAGTATACTCACAATTGAGCCGGTATCCAGAGCAACGTATCAAAGCAAACTGCAATTGTTAGGTTAGGTTAATTTAAATAATGTTACAACGTTCATTTCGAGAAAATTTATGTTATCTATTACATCCAGCGTATAGTATATTCTATCTTACTTCTTTTTGTTTGTTATAAATTTGTACCGATTTGATATTCTTTTAATTATACCGATAAAGCAGATTTCTATTTTATTATTAAACGGTAATTAAAATATATTTGAGCATTCTTCAATCTTATTGACTCCTAATTTTTTAAGAAGTAAAATTTTTAATTTTATACCTTTTATTTCATATAAAAAATATTTTATGCTTGTTGTAATGCTTCAAATTTAATAGAATTCATATTATACGTATTCGCAGAGATCCAGAATTAATATAATAACATTTATTTTATTGGTATTTCATAATGGCGTATTTGGTTTTTATCTCAAATTTTATCCCTCTATAGATAATTCGTATTTCAAATTATCTCTTCTACTACTCGTCATTTGTTCTTCAGGCTAGTTATTTATGTTTAACTGTAATCGCCTCTTTCATTTTTTATTCTTCTGTTTCAATTGTTTCATCGGGAACAACTTCATCGGGAATCTCATCTTTATCATTCTTTTCCATGTATTCTTCAGTCTTTTGTTCTTGTTTGACTTTTTCATCTTCTACATCCTCTTTCTTATCTTTCTTTTCTCTTTCCATCACTTCATCCTCGCTCTTTTTCTCGTACTTCTTCTGTTCCATTTGGTTCAAGTAGTCTTCTTCACTATCCGTCTCTTCATCATCATCCACCTCCGTCTCTTTCATTTCTCTCTTTTTGTAATATTTCTCCAGGGTTTCTTTATCAGCTTCAGCAACTTCAACGAGTACTTCGGCTATCCAACAAGCTATTATTTCAGCCAAGAGGTGCAGCTGCTGCGTCGTTCGATCGTCGTTGTTTCGAGTATTTGTATATTCGTTGATAGACATCAAACGTTTCAATATCACACGTGCGATTTCGCGGAGGTCTTTCCTATGTGTTTGACATTGGCGTTCCAGAATGCTCTTGACGAAATTTACGGCTAACACATATTGGCATATCGCCATGTCTTTGTCTAGAGTCGATGGAATTTGTACTGTGTCTAATTTTGCAATTTCTTTAGCCCATTTTTTCGCAAGCGGTGGTAGTTGCGTTATCTTCTTCGTTTTGCGTTTCTTTTGACGTAGGACTCGCGCTGCTTCCCTACGAAGAGTCGACAGATTTGTAAGAATTATACGTATGCACATGTTTGCTTCAGCAAAAGCAAAAAATACGATTAAAAATAGAAGTTAATAAAACAAGAGGATGATTGTATAACAAATTTTTTACTCTGGACTTATGCAGGTTTTGACTTCGACGATTTTTGTAAGATTATCCACAAGTGTCGGCGGCAATATCCACGCTTTATGTCGCAATGTGAACAATACATTGTGTATCGCTGGTCGAGCTAATTCTTCGAATCGAGGCGATATACGTTTTGCTGGTACTTTTGGCACAGGAAGCTACATATTTGTGAAACAAAAATGAGACAGCAATATTTAATATAAAAAAATGTAATAATATGTAATAGAGTTTTTCTTTCATTCGTATAATGCAAAAGATAGATAATGCAACGAGAGGAGCAATTTCTGGATTCGTGATTCTACACACATGCGTATTAAAATTGAAAACCAAATTGTAATACTTTCACGGTTTTCGGCATTAATTTCGGGCGACGCTTTTTCTTGATTTTTTCTCTTATTTTTGGATGTTCTTCGAGTACTTCGTTTTGTTCGCCCTTGGCAACTTCCGTTTCCACCACTTCGGCTTCCTTCGGTTCATTGTTATTTGTGATCATAATTGTATTCTTGTGACCTGATATAAAGGATCATGACAAAATATGTAGGACATGAGAGATATAGTGTTCGAGTTTTTGAATGAAAGAATTTTCATGTTTAATCTTTCTTATGAACAATACGTCATTAGGTTATTTGTTTCTTCACTGCTATCTCTAAAAATTACTTCATGCATATATACCTTGTATTAGACAGACGCGGTAATTTGGAAATGTTGCCTACGAATAACTCGCGTATAGAAGCGATACATTATTTTAACGATTAGTTCCGTGTCTGGAGAGATGATTGATCAAATTCTCGGTCCATATTTAAGTAGGTCATTTGTCAAATTTTTCGATATTTTCGGCGCAGTAGCTTATCTTTTTTTATCCCTCACCGTCGGCAAAGCAGGCCGACAAAAAATTGGGTATCGATAAAGTCGGTGGTTTTTTTACCGTCCTTCATTCTCATTCGATAATCGTCGGTAAAAGCTGATCGAACTGAAGTATGAGCTTCTTCCTCTTAACCTTTACCAAAGGGGGCGCATCGTCATCTTGGCATTTCGCTTCGCGGCGACAATAACCCGTCCGTTTATTAATCGATCATTCCGGGAGTCGCTGTACGTGAATCGGTCGTACGGTGTCGCGGGATCGTCGTCGGTGGTTTTTGCGCGCGCTAAGGAAAGTGGGGAAGAGTGAATTAGTAGTCGAGTGCGAGTGAGCGAGAGCGAGTGAGCGAACACCGAACGAACGAACGAACGAACGAGCGAGCGAACGGCCGGACGACCTCGAGGCGATGACGGTCCGAGAATAATAATCGCGCGTTTCTCAACGCTACGCCACATCCGGGGGGAGAGATGTAGCTGTCAAACACAGTGTGTGTGTAACAACGTGAATGCGTCGCTTGTTCCTTCTCACGGATGTCCTCAGCGGCGAAGGACGACGGAGCGCGAGACGCATATCCACGCATATCCGAGATGTGAGCGCAGGACCAACGTCACTTAATTGACAGCTCTCAACGAGGTCGATCGGGGGAATCGCCGGGGAAAAAGGATCGCTACCGCGGTACAGAGGCCCAGACGCTATGACGAGATAACAAATGCAGAATGAGATACAGTAGCGGTAACCTATTCGGTTATGCGTGGCTCACGTTCATCCTCACTCGCCTCAAGGGTAAGTTCATTGCACGTATGCGATCGCGCGTGTAATAATTACACGGTTACACCGTGTCGCCCTATCCCGCCCCTTTCCGTCTCTTCTCTTCTCTCCTCTTCTCTCCTCTTCCCTTCTCTTCCGAGCCCCCTTCGGGAGAGACCTTCGTCTCCTTGTATTTTTGTAACGCCATCGATTGCGTTCTGCGTTATCGCCCGCGTGTTTGCTCAAAGTCGGTCGCTCGAGGGCTGTCAGAAAAATAGGACACGTTCTATATGCCATGCAAAGGTGCATATACGCGCGCGCAAGTGTGCCTCCTCGTGTTGGAGAAGCCATCGTTTTACGTACGCGCGCGCGCGCGAGATGCATGTGCGTGTGCATACGCGAGCGCGCTCGCGCGTGTTCCTCTCGCGCACGCAATCGTGTTTTCAAGTTGTTATATCTCAATTACGTCTCGTACTGATCTGTCCATTACGCCGCGAGATTTCAATTGGCATCAATTAAGGGTAAAATTTCAAATTGAAAAGCGGCGCTCTCTCGACGCATCGGTTCGTTGCGTTTCACGGGCGCCGTGTAAAATAGAACGGGATGTGCCGCGAGAAACGACGCATCGACATCTTATCCGCCTATTTTAATCCGCTCCGTAATTAGCAGGCTTCATGAAAAGGACATCCGGACGTGTGACAGCACGTGTAACGTACGTAAGCGTTTGTTGAACAATGCGCGATATCATCTGTCGGAGCGAGAGAAACATACTGCGGTGTATCTATTGCAGAAGGCTTTCAGCTTTCCTTTTTTCTTACTTCTTGATCAACCACGTCTTTTTTGCTCTTTTGATAACAAGTACGCCTGTTAATATTTATAGTACACGCGGAAAGCGGAGTCGCTTGCAAAGACCAACATGGGCGCTCCTACGAAAGTGGCTTCCACTATATACCTGGACCTGAGCCCTGCACCTTCTGCATCTGCGACAATGGCAACCCAAAATTGTGTAAAGCTTTCATCTGCAAGTTCCTCGAGGTATGTAGTATTAATCCTCTTAGAGTCTAGGAGTTTTCAATGACATATAGGCTAGTGTAACAATCATGATATACACAATTATCCTTTTAGAGGACATAATGTATTTCTCATGAGAAACTTTGAAATGGCGGAACTTTATACAGTAAACTTTATATCTATTATACTAGTCTGTGTACATTGTGCACACATTGTACAGTCAGTGGAGGAAAAATTGCAAACATTCATCTTGATGAATTTTAGAATGCATTCAGTACCCAATAGAAAAATGTACTTGTACATCACTAAGAGTCAAATTCTTATATCAGATAGGAAAGCGTCGTGAAACTCATTGAAAGTTATGTACATTATGCTTTTTGTTTCACATTTGAGACAGTAAGTTTTTTTTTATCACCTTATATTTTACTTCTTTTATTTATTTTGTACCAGAAATTATATATATATATATATATACACAGTGTTCTCTCAGTCCGAAGAACGAACGTAATTATCTTTTGCATCAAATATGAATATGAATACACAGATAATAGTAATTAACATATTGATTTTTGCTAATTATATAAAAGTTTACTGGATCATTTAATCATCCAAGATATAGTGAATAAATGTGATATCACTGTTTTTTACCTCATCTCCTTGCTTCTCTATTATATGGTCAGTGTATGATGAAATGTATAATTAATTAATTATACATTATACATGACTTAATGAGGCTTGATGATGTTATGATATTGGCTGTAGATAAAATCAATATGCTAATTTTCTTAACAAGATACGAAATTATATATAATTGTTATTATCCAATCTAAATCACAAATCATAGTATGCATAATGTAAAGTCTCTTCTGTGTGCAACAGGAGGATTGCAAATCCTTTCGTCGGGGCGATACTTGCTGCGAGTTCATATGTTTGGACGACACGTTGTCATCGATATCTAATGACAAAGCCGACGGCACGGGAACCAACATAATAGATGGAAACGCAAATTACGATTTGGGCTTGCGATCGGTTGCTAGTTTTGTCACAGCGATATTATCAATGAGTCTGTTATTCTTTCTGATACATCGTCTGCGTCAGCGCAAGATACAAGGTAAGAGCTAACGATGTCCCCTCTTCCGTTTCGTTGGATGCTTCGCGTCTGTTGACCTTCCTCAATAAAAACGTAGTACGTGGTATATCAGTTTGTGTGGCAGGTCGGGAGAACAGACAAATCGGAGAGGACCAAAGAAACTTAGGCAATATGGGATACCTGGAGAGAGGCGGCTTACTGCACGGAGTCCCCATGGACGACATCCCCTGCGGTACCGGTTATTCGCTATGGAAACCGCCTGGCAATTACTTCCCACGCGGGGAGGCGCCCCCGCCGTACGAGGAGGCGGTCGCCGCGGCGAGGGCGGAGCAGGCGTTGCTGTCGATGAATCCGCACACGTTGCTGTCGATGAACTTCTCCGACAGCTATATGCCGAGCGGCAACAATCACACAGGCATAGCGGTCGTCGCGAACGCCCCGAACGAATTAACCGTGAGCACGCAGCAGCTGTCGTCCAACGATAATCACATGAGCGCGCCTCTGATGTCATCGTCTTCAAGCAGACCGCTCTCCAGCCCCGGTACGTATGCCAATTACCGGCCGGTGAGCCAGAGCAGCACCACGTCCACTGGTCTGAACACTAGTACCTCCACCACGAGCTTTACCATGGGCACCAATATGTACGAGAACCTGCCGGTCTCGATCGGCACGACGAGCTTCAACGACGGCGCCGGGCAACACTCCGCCGCCGGTGGCCACGTATCCGCGCAGCAGCAATCGATGCTGCCGATATCGCATTCTACGATACCCAAGAGTTACCGTCAGCACACGACAAACTTCTCGCGTCAGAGCGCCGGCGCGTTCACGATATCGGCCACTTTGTCGAATTCCGACGTGTCGTCTTCCCATCGCACGATCCCGAGGACGCTGGCCACTCAGCGCGTCGTGACCGGCGGCAGGGCGAAGGACCTTTCGACCGACTGCTCCGCCAAGGATTACTTCCGCCTGTCACCGGGCAGCATCGCGCCGCAGAGCCTTTCGCACTCCGTACAACTGTCGCCCGCGGCCGTCCCGGCTAATTACAAGGATACCAAGAACTCGGACGTGTTCTACGCGGACGCTCCGTTACCATCGGCGTCCGGTCTGCCGGCACAGTCTTCCGATTGCGTCTCCGAATATACGGCGCACACGACTGACATCTCCGAGAAGAGTCGCGAGTTCAAGGTACAGCAACGCGTCGTTGTACGATAAAATAAATATATAATAAAACTGTTACGTTACGCCACGATAAATGCAATATATCGTAATGGGTTTGTGAAATTCTCACGAATAATATTCGTCAATTATACGATTTGTCCTGGATTTGTTGCAGCCTTCGCTGAGCGCAGCTAACGAGATGAATGCGAGCGGCAGTTTCGAATCGGTAACGTGTACTTGCAGTATGCAAGCATTGCCGACTCTGCACGATGACACAGATGATTATCGGAGTGAGTGCGAAAACTGTAAGAGTGCGACGGGTTCTCGTTATTATTTAGATAATGAGGACGAACTAGTTACGTCTCTTCACGAAACCATGACACTGCACAGAAGACCAGACGATGCAGCATCAAGTGCCACGCCACAATATTATAGAACTTCACTTACACTGCCGACGAGTACACGTCAACGTACAAGGTGATGTTATTTTTTATTTTAATTGTTATAATTACAAGATATAATAACTCGGTTGTTATTGTCAATTTTGTTATGATTCTTTTTCGATATTTACGAAATGCAAAAACGTTCTCGTTATTGTTCAAGTGTAAAAGTATCTCCTCCTTCGCATAGTTTTCCAAGAAAATTCATGAAGTGTTTCTTTGTCATCTAGGATTACCGGGGCTCGTGAAAATTGGTTCAGCACTATGCCGGAAAGTTCCAGCGGATCTTCCGACGAGAACTAAGTATTACAAAAATAGCGGACAATGTTTAAGCGCGCAAATAAAATGAATACACATATAGTATCTATATGTTATATACATAAGTATTAAAACTATCTATACAGAGTGTCCCAGAATTACCGCGCTCCTCCTCTCACAGATACGATCATTGCTCGAGTGTCGATGCATTGATAATTTTCGCATCGTATCAAAGAAAGATCATGGTGGAAAAAAATTCAAAAAGAGAGAGAAAGAGAGAGAGAGAGAGAGAGAGAATCGGTGTAAAAAATTTGACACAACAATGCGTGGAGGAAACTCCCTAATTTTCGCGAATTTTTCCATTTATTCGGTGCGGCGACAGCCTGAGTCTTCCAGAATATTTAGCTTCTCTACTCTCCATGTGGCATCAACGTTCAAGAGAAACTGCCAATCTTTTGGGACATCCTCTATAGCGATTGTCGTAATTAACACCATTATTATCATTGTCATCAGCGTGAACATTACCATTAGAATATCATACCATCGTCAGCGTTATCATCGTTATAATCGACATCATAAACATTACCATTTCTATCGTCATCATTAGGTAATGAAAGTTTGTTAGAATTCATGATGAACTTTCCGAACCTGAAATGCGTTAAAACAGTTTAACTGTGCTTGTGACGCGAATAGCAGAGCAGGGGGCAGATGTTCATATTACGCTATAAACAACAAGGCAATATATATTGTTTATCGTACCGTTTATCATTGCCACATATAATTCTGCTTGGTAAGGTGTCCGATGCTTATATTCTTCATCCACTAACTTGACATCCGGACAATTCTCGAAACAATTGGAAAGTTTCCGACACATCGCCAGCAAGTGAAACGTCGGCTCCCATTGAGACAATGATCTTTACGTGATAACGGAAGATGACTACCGTCGTCTGTGTTTGTGTCGCATAGCGACGATAAATAGATAGATAAATAGATAGATATAGAAGTAGATAGATAGATAGATGAATGTTTATTCTACTCTGGGGTGGAACCCCGTAGGGCACAAAGTAAAAAAGAGAAGGAATACAAAATCTACTTAAATATTAAAGAAAGAAGAGAGGCAGGGGGAAATGTGCAGCGGTAAAACGATGAGCAATGCGTGACAGAAACATAAGTACTGACACAATATTACTACGTAATTATCTTGAAACTTGCCAGAAAAGTAAAGAAACGAAAGGCAAGAATAAAAAGAAAAAAAAATGCAAATCAAAGATACGAATTATTGTATGATAAGCTAAGGGCGATTCTTACAAACGTAGAACTTTGTTCTCTCGTATAGCTAAGAAAAAGAAAGAAAAAATATTGAGTGAGAAATTAATATCACCGAGTGAAAAGTTTCAGACGGAGAAAACGATGACTGTAGAAAATTCTTAAAATTCCAACGTAACATGTGTGGACAGATGGAGATTTTCGGATTAGGGATTCTGGACGAGTAGGTTTGGGCGAGGACGAGGGAAACGTAAATAAGAAAATAATTGTCTGTAAGATAGAAAATAAAAAGTAAGCAGGAAATTTGCAGGAACGCGTGTCGATATCATCTGGGAAGTTTCAAAGTGAAGTCTCAAACTTTCACACCTTCTCGTTATCTTCGTTGTCTCATTATCATTATAAAAATCATCACATAAATCATATCATCAACGTTATTACCATCGCCATTATTGTCATTGTTATCCTGCCCGTTATCATTATTGTCACTACTATGTTACCACTGTATTTTTTCTTTAAACATTGGTTACCAGTGAACGAGGAAATATATTGTTCAATTAATGGAAAGTCTAATACGAATCAGACATACATGTTGATACGCTCGAATCATTTGGTTCGTATTTGACTCTCCCTGTGATTATTTTTTTATCTGTTAATGAGCTTTGACTTTTTGTTATTTTTTAAAGCATTACGTTATATCCAAAGAAATATACAAATTTTAATGGTAGATCTTTATTGTAAAAAAGTAGGATAAACTCATATCTATATGTACATGATACTAGGATAGTTCCAAAACAATGTAACAAGTCATAGAAATTTTTCTTTCATGAAACGTCTACGAATGCGAAATCTCTTTGTTAATATACTTATTAATGTGCGTATATAAGTTGCCTGCAGCACCGATAAGACGCTTAAAAATTCATAGTTGACCCGTAAATATTTGTCACTAAATAGGTTTTACTTGTTTTTTTATATCTCTGAATCTTGTTATTAATTATATATTATAAAAAGTTGTAGAGTTGCTTTACCTTCGGAAGATTAACTTGTTAAAACTGCTTTTCAGCTGCAACGAAAGATGCAGAGTGTGACTGAACTCCTCTATATTCATGTGAAATATCAAGGTTTCTTTTTTTAATTTGAATTTGCGGATTGTCGAAATGCCTTCATAAGTGCAAATAGAGAATTTACGAAGAATTTTTCCTCAAGGACTCAGAAGAATTGTGAAAATTTGAGTTTAAATCGAAAGTCAGAATTGGATGTTTATATCGAAAATCTAAGGGATCGTAACAAATGATGGTTTTCTCAAATTCTGGGTAGGAAAAAATTGACTTTACATATTCATCAAGGAATCAAAGAACCTATGACTTTTAATGCTTTTTGCTACCATGTAGATATATGTAAAAAAAGAATTAATCCGGCTACTCTTGTTATATTCAAGTCGGAAAAGAAAGAATGAAAGTTCTGAACTGTTATGAATAAAAAAAAAAGTAAAATTGTAACACGGATATATTTTAATTGTAAATTGTCTGTAAATCCAATAGAGCACAAAATATGTGTGTATAAGTACAAGCGCGAGTACAAGCTTACCATGTTTTGTTTTGTCCAAATTTGATTTCTAAGGTCGGATAGGAGTGTGGTATAAAGAGAAGTTTTTGATATATCATTTCCAGTATTAAGGTATTGTTCAGTATTAGATATGTTGTTTTTAATATTAGTATATTTTCCTGTATCCTTACATACAAAAACATACACATACACACGTGCGTACACACACATACATGTACAGATTCATAATGTTGACCGAACAATAGTTCTTTGTAATTGTAACATGGAACTTCTTGGGGCTTCTTGAAACTTCTTGTAACGTCTTCTTATCCATGATTCTATGAAATATAAATTATTAGCAAATAAATCATTTTTCCTCATTACTGAACATACAAATAAAATGAAGCACCATTCGAAAGTAGATTCGAAAGTGGAAAGTTTTTCTTGTCATGAAGCTGTTTTTTAATTATTTCAAAGATTCTTTTGCCCTATTGTTGAATATGATTTTGATTTATCAGTAAAAACTTGTGACTGCTTGTAACGTAGATTATAGAATTAAAATAAATATTAGAGATTTAGAACTGTGAATGACTACTTTGAAATTTGATTGAGACAAAACGAACTAAAATCCGAACTAATTTCGTCAAATTCTGATCTCTTCTAATTCACATTCTTCAATCTCAGTATGTGGTTTGACTTTAAGATCTTTTTAGTACTGTTGATTGACGACGGTTTTATTTCTTGAAGTATCTTCCTACGTTATTCTCTTCATTCAATAATTAAAAAAGTAATATTGAAGAATCGTATTTTTTATATCACATATCATTTACTTTGTGTGTGTGTGTGTGTGTATGTGTGTGTGTATCAAAACTAATTATTAACTGAAATAATTTTATTCGTTGTAATAAATCGCATCACACATGCGTAGTGTAAAACATTAATTAAATTGTTCTCGAAAAGTACAATTGTCTGGGAAACATAGACCTTCAAAGGACATCCATAGAACATCCAGATGTCCGGAGGACATGCTCAAGACGTCCCTTGGAGGAGATTGTGTTATCTGAACGAGCAAAGCCTAAAAAATGTCGTTATTATAACGGTTATAACGCACACTTTTATTTGATAATTAATCTGTACTGATAACATCGCGCTGCGATACTTCTTGAGCCTTCGCTTTTGCTTTCGCCTTGTGCCGAAGGGCACGACCTCTTATGTTAAGCATTGTCTTTGTCACTAGCCACACCGCGCCCGCTTCGCACAAATAACGAAGGGCGTTTACGAATCCGACCATCAGGGAATGAGGTGGATAGCCAGTCGTGTGCGACTCTATGCCGACTGTTTTCAACGACGCCTCAACGAATTTCTCCGGAGTTGGCGCCATCCATGTTGATCGTCTATAAATCCACGTAAACATGAATTTCGAGTTCGTAAAGAAAAAATTGTATAATTCGTAGAAAGAATCTGAGTCCCAAGGCTGGGGGAACATATTTGTCTCTGATTAAGCAATTCTTACTTTATTCTTGACATTTTGGTAGCAACAGGTCCAGGAAGAACGCACTGGACGGTGATACCTCTTGGCCCCGCCTCTGCTGCTAGATCAGCGCTAAGTTTGTTGATGTACGCTTTACTAGCGGCGTAAACCGACAAATAAGGACTCGGTATAGCGGCAGCCATTGAACTGACGTTTATCACCACTCCCTTTTTTCGCTTCATCATGCCGGGTAACAATGCCCTCGCGACCCCTGTTACGCCGGCCACGTTTAATTGCAGTATTTTGGCGAGAACTTCCTCCGACACGTTTGTAAACAACTCGGGATGATCATAACTGGTACCAGCGTTGTTAACGAGGACTCCCACCTGTCGGAGAGTGATTTAATATCTTAGTACCGAGATAAGAAGAGAATGAAAAGGCATTTTTTTGCGGATGACAATTTCCTGGGACAGAAATTCTCAGGCAGCAGTTCTCTTCGTCTTTGCATCTTTGATAAAAGAGGGCAATTCTCTTTTACTCTAAACTATATTCGGTTTTTTTCTTTTTTTTTTCGTTACTGACTACATCTTATCGTCAAGTACTACTTGATTCATTCGCGCAAAATATATGACAAATTATATTACCTCCAAATCCTCCGTCACTTTGGCGATTTCGGCATAAACTGTTTGTCCCTCTGTCAAATCAGCTTCCACGACGCGAGTTTCAACCCCGTATTTCTGCTTGATTTCGGCAGCCACGTCTTTCAGCTTGGACATGGATCGCGACACCAGGACAATGTCCAGACCCTTTTCGGCAAGGGCTTTGGCGAACGCTTTTCCAAGCCCGTCGGTCGCACCGGTAACCACCGCCCATTTTCCTTGAGTTCGTAAATCAATCCCGAAACCAAGACTCGGAGCAATCAACTTTCTCCATGTTAGAAGAGAGGCTTTTATAAAGATTCTCAAGCTGATGAGCGCTATTATTACCAATAGTATCTTCTCCCAAAACGTTAACGCCATTCTATAATAACAGTACCAACGATAATTGTAATAGTAGTAATAATAACGCGTAATAATGCGTAAAGTTATTTAAATTAATATAAATTCGATCGCTTCATCACATTTGAATTTATTATCAATCGTTTGATATAATATAGTAAATGCAATATAGTATCGAATCGCAAATTTTTATTTTGTTATTCGAGCTAATTCGAGCAGAAATTCAATTCTTGAAATATATTCGTCCGTTCGCGCTGGTTAAAAATCTTCGACTAAGCTCGAGTTGCTGAGTTAATTTAAGTCTTATCGTTACGAATGCCAGTCATTGCCGGTTCGCGTAATGTCACGTACATTATTAACTGATATGGAAATATTTTTGTTTTGCATTTCAAATATGAGTTTACCATATATTAAGCAAATGTATAAGAATAAATTGACGTTTATATACTAAATATATATACTAAATATATTCCATATTTATATATTATATATACACACAGATGTGTATAGATATAAATATAAATTAATAAATATATATACAAATAAATGTGTATATACATATATAATCATAAAAAATAAAACACTTAAATATCTCCATCAAATTTGAAAATAGATCAAAATATCTAAGAAATAAAAATTTTTTAAACATTCTTATATCTTCATTTCGTTCTTATTCTTCATTTCAAGGTCAAACCAAAGAGAATGATTTTTTTATACAAAATGATTTCCCTCGTAAGTTCACGTATAAAAGTATTAAATTAAATAAAAGTATTAAATAAAAGTATTAAAATATAAAAAGTATAAAAGTATTAAATTAAATAAAAGTATTAAATAAAAGTATTAAAATATAAAAAGTATAAAAGTATTAAATTAAAATAATTGGAAAATAGATATCTGATATTTCGTATTGAAACATACTTCTTCACGAGGAAAAAATATCCATAGTTCGATTTCAGGAAAGACGTTATGGAGATAAGTCGTTTGATTCATCCAATGGACAATTGTCTAACAACAGTAACGCGCTACAAAATTTCATCGCAATATAACTTTCTCCGACGTTTTATAGTCGAATGCGTGGCAATCGAGCCGTGGTACTTTCTCGCTTTCTTACCTTATTTGATCTTGTTGCAGTTTAATTCTTCTGCTTCCGAATGTCCGATGTCCCACAAGTAGCAGATCTTTCTGGTCCACGATAGAGAAGTCACAATCTCGCGGATCAAAACTGATCGAAATTGCTCGTGAAAATTGTGAGAAAATTCTTATCTCCAAAATAACGAACTTCCTAATGACAAGGATAAATGTCACATTGGAATTGCGCGGGCAGCGAAGTCGATGGAGAGGATGAAGGTCAAGATCGATGATAGCATCGAGAAGAGGACAATGAGGAAATGAAGCAAAACGGCGGTAAATAGGCCATTGTAGAAAGGTGAAATTGTAGCGTGAAAGGGTGTCGCGACGGCACAAACCGGCGTACCCGAATACCGTTGCGGCGATACTGCAAGAGAAGAAGCAGACGCGATCGATCTTAACGGCGCCCGGCGAGTTGTCCTCCAACGCGCGCGCGCGCGCACACACAATGTCAGGGCTAATATCGCACTAGTCGAATTGATTCAGGAAGGGAGGATATCGCAGGCACAAAATTCCCGGACGAAAAAGAACCGTTAATACACTCGGCAGGAGAGAAAGGTGACTTCTTTCTTACGGCACACTTTACGCTGCACGTACAACTTTGCTGTTTCGCTGAATCAATCCGTACCGTTCGGTGTTGTACCGAATGTATCTCTCCTCATCGTTATGTTATCTTATCGTATTTTTCTCAAACGTGACTTGCCGACGTCGTCGATGCCGTCATTTGTGATTGTAACTTGACATATCATCTGATAAATTATGCAACCATTTTATCCGCATAGTGATAAGGCACGAAACAAACAATAACATATAAATAAAACAATGTCGATCCTATTTTATTTCGTTTATGTACAAAAGATACATTTTTCACACACATACACACTCATGGATGTACAAATATCATGAGTTGCAACAATCCTGTAAAAGTTACAAAATCATGAACGGAGAGCGTTTTGTATGTTTTAAAACATGAATATAATTACATATATATAGGAAAACTTGATTATGAGCTATACGATTTTTCTCTTTACTCTTACTCTTTTCTCACACACATGACACGTACTTTCTCTTCCTCTTATGTTATTGTTACATAGGAAGGAATTAAAGATAAAAACTCTTTTCTTACTCCTTTTTCATGTTATTCGACCTACTTTTAAGAATTCCATATAGCAGAACCATGTGACACAGATGTAAAGCTGTGCTACTGAAAACTGTACTTGGATATGTGTTCCAACACAGTTCTATCATGCCTAAGATGGTCAATTTAAAGACAGTCTTGTAATGAGTACACCATGCCATATATGGCAAGGTATAGTAGTACCATATGTAGAATTGATAATGCAGTGATCTACTGAACATAACACCGATGAAATTTGCAACAAAGAAGGGATAAATAAACAACTGACTTATCATAGACGTGTCTACTCTCTCCTTGCCGCGAAGTTGAGGTTTTAAATCCTTCTCGACATGTTTCAATGTCGCATATGACCTCAAATAAGTGTTCCAACTAAATGCACAATAAAACAACGTTAAGACATGCAGAAGTAACAGAGAAACATGAAAGTACGGGTGAACGAATATATCTTCCGGTAGAAATCTCCAGTTTACAGTCCACTTAAATTCAAATACTCTGCCTATGTCGAAGGAAGCTTTTATATACGCGACTGGATTTTCTAGTAAGAACGGAAGGCCAAGGGCTAACTGTACGAGTGCGCAGATGGATAAATGCCTGAATGTTCCGAACGTTCCTAGTATGCGCAGATAGGCTATGAGAAGCGCCGGGGCGAATAACAATATATTCATTTTGATCGACACGGCGAAGCTGTATAATATACTACCCAAATACCAATGATCGTCCAAGAATGCATTGATACTCGCGAACAACAGTACCATCGCTACCGGGTCGTTGAATAGCCGCAAAACGAATATCGAGTGTATCCGATAGGAAGTACAACACATCAAGATGAGGACGTAGGGCGGCACTTTTTTCGTTCTCGCGTAAATTCGAAAGACCAACGCCAACGTGATGACATAGAGAGCCGCGAAGAAATATTGCGCCACTCTGATGTCCGTGCCGTGTGAAGTTATGTAGTACAAACCGGAGAAGATGTAGACGAATCCAGCGGGATAAACCAACGGCCCGGTGTCACCTTTCAGTTTTGAGTAGTCGTGAGTGCCGTTGATAAAACCCTCGACCTCCTGCATGTACGCTTTCCAGTCGATCTCGGTATACGATACATTTTTGATGATCAGGATATTCAACACCACTTCCAGTAGAACGAACGAGATCGCTGTCAACGGCAGTCTCTTCGGCTCGGTTAACAAGGAAACGAGGTATCGCCATTCTAAGCGACTCTTTATCCAACTTTTGTCACTTTTCTTCGCGGACCTCGCTGAGTTGATGTTAATCCTGCTTTCTCTACGAGGCGCCATGTCGCTTTGCGATACACGTGGACCGCAGCAGAGAGTAACCTGAGAGCGGCCAATACGACATTTTCTGCGACACCGACTTTCCGCACTGGGAAAGAACGCCATCTGCATTCATTTTGAGAGGGGAACTACGATAGTACATCCACTTTCAGGTCTCGGTGGTAAAATCTGCATATGGTGGAAGTCCATGCTATATCCACTTTCAGGCGGTTTATGTCCGTGCTGCAATGACAGTTGCCATCTCTATGCCAGACTATGCCCGGTGGTCTAAAAAGAGCGGGAGAGAGGGGGGGAGGAGCAGAAAAAATAAAAGTACGTATTAAATGTTAAATCTTCGAATATATATTGCCGTATCAAAGTCTCTTCTATAATAAACAATTTGACATGTATGGAGACGCATGATGTATCGTTGTCCGCGTCCCGTTCACTTCGTCTTGTTTTTTAATTCAGCATCCCGTCCGCTCCGGACATTCGCTCGTGGCACTGACAGTGGCCGTCGGTGAGCATTCGATCCGCTCGGAGGAGCACGTGTTATTCACGTAATTAACGTGACGAGACTCCGATTATAAATATCCCGCGAGTCGACGAAATATTTGAACTTTTAAAAAAAGCATCAAAGAAAATCACGTTAATGTTGTCATGGGTAAAATCTCACCCCGGTATATATTTTCTTATTTTCGAAATAAAAAAAGCCAAACGAATGCAATTAAATGTTATTTATCATCATTGAATATTAAATGAAAAGTAGAAGAGTTATTGTCCGCAGCGGATAATCTCCCTGTATAAAATGTCGAACTGAAACATATTAAAAAGTATTGACATTTTGAATACGTCTGAATTCTGCTTTCTGATCCGAAGAAAGGGAAAATAAAAAGTATTAGTTCCCATTAAATTTCACCGCGCTAAATGCGAGATGGCAGTAGTGAATGCTTCGCATTAACAAGGATTCAATTCGTTTCAAATATACCTTGTATTCAATCGCAATCGATAATTTTTAAATGCGAACTTTCGTATTGAAAAATATTCACTTCTTCTCCTAATCGTTTTCGGATTCAGAGGCATACAAGATTTTCACGTTCTATTCCCCGTCGCATTAAAAAGTATTCACCCACGATCCAATTTGAGAGCAGAATTCACGACAAAATCTCGTGAATGCGAAACAATACTTTTAAATACATTTTATACAGGACTAATATTTAATAAGAGCGCGACTAAATTCGCATAGGATGAAATTCCATTCCTTAACGTTACCATGACCTTTAATTATTCTCTGAAAACGGCGTCACAACAACTTACACTCTGTACAATTAGTTGCTAACACATTTTCTAATCGTATACATTCCTCTTTAATTAACATAAAGCTAACAAATGTCCGATGCTTCGACAGAGTAATTTTCTTTATTTTCAGTAATCAATAAATAGAGCGCATCAATGTCGCGTACAGTTGAAAGGTCTCCTCGCATTCCCCTCGTCGTTCCGAAACCTTCGAGAAAACAAGAGACGTTCAAAGGCAAGTCTCTCTTGCTTCAACCGCCGCCGAGGCCCGCAATGTTTACATCGCGCCGATTGTGTTGATCGGCTCGCGAGCGACGACACTTTTTGCCCTTCGTATTATAATACTCGCGCACCTCATGTATTCGACCTCATTTCATCAGCAGCAGCCGTGCGCGACGCTCTCGTCACTTCCATCTCGTGTAATTAAAAGAAATATATCTCGTTGGTCCTCGAGATACTCAATCGGCATCACGTTGATTAATCGCACGGTCGAATCGCGAGTATCGGTATTAGAAACGTGAGCGAGTGAAATCCGGAGGACTCCAGCAAGGCGGGAAGTAGGACGTCGGCAGCGATACGTTACGTTTTCAGATATGTGGAATCATTTATTATACGGGAAATCTCCGATAACGAGAGCGGACGTTTGACGAATTTTCCGGGAATAAGAAGTCGGAATTTCGCGCTCGGCATTCACGATACGCCATCATCCGACTAGTAATCATGAATTTATGAATCTGCAATTACTCTCGTTAATCTCTGTCTATCTATTTATTGCGTTGTTGTATACAAGAGATATTGATTCAGACGGAGACGGATAACGGTCCATGAACGCGGATCTCTAATTCATCACGTTCTCAATCAAACATTCTAAATAATTCTCAACTGTGTGAGTATACCGGTCTTGTGTAGAATATTCAACGTCATACCGCTTCTTAGACTACGACCTTTTTTGTTTTAGGTCAGCGCTTCTTTCAAGTCTGTTTACTCTCGTTACGGGATCTAAATTTCCACTCTCAATTCCCAGTAGAAACGGAGATATCAAAGGTACAAATTGGAAAATTTACCCTTCGATATCTCCTAAACGGCTAGAGATACAGGCCTGTTTCTGCCATCAAAATATAGTCCTCTCAAAACCCCATATTTTGCCGTAAATGACGTCTCTCTGCTCCCAGTAAAATCGGAGATATCAACGGAGAAAGGTTGGAAAACTTTAACCTTCGATATCTCCTAAACGGTTAGAGATACAGGCTTCGGACAGGTACCAAATTAAAGCCCTTTCAAAACCCTACATTTTGGACTACATGGACGACTCTCTACTCCCAGTAGAAGCGGAGATATCGACGGATGAAGGCTGGATATCGACGGAGAAAGGTTAGAAATCTTTAAACTTCGATATCTCCTAAACGGTTAGAGATACAGGCTTCGGACAGGTACCAAATTAAAGCCCTTTCAAAACCCTACATTTTGGACTACATGGACGACTCTCTACTCCCAGTAGAAGCGGAGATATCGACGGAGAAAGGTTGGAAACTTTAACCTTCGATATCTCCTAAACGGTTAGAGATACAGGCTTCGGACAGGTACCAAATTAAAGCCCTTTCAAAACCCTACATTTTGGACTACATGGACGACTCTCTACTCCCAGTAGAAGCGGAGATATCGACGGATGAAGGCTGGATATCGACGGAGAAAGGTTGGAAATCTTTAAACTTCGATATCTCCTAAACGGTTAGAGATACAGGCTTCGGACAGGTACCAAATTAAAGCCCTTTCAAAACCCTACATTTTGGACTACAATGACGACCCTCTACTCCCAGTAGAAGCGGAGATATCGACGGATGAAGGCTGGATATCGACGGAGAAAGGTTAGAAATCTTTAAACTTCGATATCTCCTAAACGGTTAGAGATAGAGACTTCGGACAGGTACCAAATTAAAGCCCTTTCAAAACCCTACATTTTGGACTACATGGACGACCCTCTACTCCCAGTAGAAGCGGAGATATCGACGGATGAAGGCTGGATATCGACGGAGAAAGGTTAGAAATCTTTAAACTTCGATATCTCCTAAACGGTTAGAGATACAGGCTTCGGACAGGTACCAAATTAAAGCCCTTTCAAAACCCTACATTTTGGACTACATGGACGACCCTCTACTCCCAGTAGAAGCGGAGATATCGACGGATGAAGGCTGGATATCGACGGAGAAAGGTTGGAAATCTTTAACCTTCGATATCTCCTAAACGGTTAGAGATACAGGCTTCGGACAGGTACCAAATTAAAGCCCTTTCAAAACCCTACATTTTGGACTACATGGACGACCCTCTACTCCCAGTAGAAGCGGAGATATCGACGGATGAAGGCTGGATATCGACGGAGAAAGGTTGGAAAACTTTAACCTTCGATATCTCCTAAACGGTTAGAGATACAGGCTTCGGACAGGTACCAAATTAAAGCCCTTTCAAAACCCTACATTTTGGACTACATGGACGACCCTCTACTCCCAGTAGAAGCGGAGATATCGACGGAGAAAGGTTGGAAATCTTTAACCTTCGATATCTCCTAAACGGTTAGAGATACAGGCTTCGGACAGGTACCAAATTAAAGCCCTTTCAAAACCCTACATTTTGGACTACATGGACGACTCTCTACTCCCAGTAGAAGCGGAGATATCGACGGATGAAGGCTGGATATCGACGGAGAAAGGTTAGAAATCTTTAACCTTCGATATCTCCTAAACGGTTAGAGATACAGGCTTCGGACAGGTACCAAATTAAAGCCCTTTCAAAACCCTACATTTTGGACTACATGGACGACCCTCTACTCCCAGTAGAAGCGGAGATATCGACGGATGAAGGCTGGATATCGACGGAGAAAGGTTGGAAAACTTTAAACTTCGATATCTCCTAAACGGTTAGAGATACAGGCTTCGGACAGGTACCAAATTAAAGCCCTTTCAAAACCCTACATTTTGGACTACATGGACGACCTCTACTCCCAGTAGAAGCGGAGATATCGACGGATGAAGGCTGGATATCGACGGAGAAAGGTTAGAAACTTTAACCTTCGATATCTCCTAAACGGTTAGAGATACAGGCTTCGGACAGGTACCAAATTAAAGCCCTTTCAAAACCCTACATTTTGGACTACATGGACGACTCTCTACTCCCAGTAGAAGCGGAGATATCGACGGATGAAGGCTGGATATCGACGGAGAAAGGTTAGAAAACTTTAAACCTTCGATATCTCCTAAACGGTTAGAGATACAGGCTTCGGACAGGTACCAAATTAAAGCCCTTTCAAAACCCTACATTTTGGACTACATGGACGACCCTCTACTCCCAGTAGAAGCGGAGATATCGACGGATGAAGGCTGGATATCGACGGAGAAAGGTTGGAAAACTTTAACCTTCGATATCTCCTAAACGGTTAGAGATACAGGCTTCGGACAGGTACCAAATTAAAGCCCTTTCAAAACCCTACATTTTGGACTACATGGACGACCTCTACTCCCAGTAGAAGCGGAGATATCGACGGATGAAGGCTGGATATCGACGGAGAAAGGTTAGAAATCTTTAAACTTCGATATCTCCTAAACGGTTAGAGATACAGGCTTCGGACAGGTACCAAATTAAAGCCCTTCAAAACCCTACATTTTGGACTACAATGACGACCCTCTACTCCCAGTAGAAGCGGAGATATCGACGGATGAAGGCTGGATATCGACGGTGAAAGGTTGGAAATCTTTAAACTTCGATATCTCCTAAACGGTTAGAGATAGAGACTTCGGAC